AATGTATAACTTACGAGATTGAATATTTTCATGCGCTTTTGCTCATGAGCATGGGATTGAATTTGGCGTTGAACTTCCAGTCCAGCTGCAAGAGTCTCTGCACAGTCAATTATAATAGCATTGTCCTTTACCTTCATTTTGGATGTTTTATACGCGATTTGGTGGTTCTCAGGGTTGATGCCCATCTCAGATGTGATCTTCGCCAGCGACTGTTCAGCAGTCCAGTCATCGAGGATGTCCAAGACATGGAGGACTGTTGGTTTAGAAGGGTCCAGGGTATGAAGGGGCACTTCAACTTGTAGGCCTGAAAGGGCGTTAGGTAGTCCATAAAAACGAAAAGGAGTTTGATGACTCACCAAAACCCTGCTTGGCCCCAGCAGTTTTGCTGGCTAGCCTCGCTGAGGCCCTATTGACCGATGATAGCTCAGACTGAGTAGTAACATTGGATGACGTGGAAGGTTGGGTGGTCACGCCTTCGAATAGATTGATGGCGTTTGCGAGAGTGATTGGCGCATTTGATGTTGTCATGGTATGACTGAGATACTTTTGAACACGCGTGCGGATGGCATTGCTGGAAAGCACTTGATCCCCTGTAAAATATAGAGCTGGTTGAGAATGTTGAAACAGATGTAAGCAGTACTAGTGAGACGGAAGTGGGACGAACAATCATCAGGGACCCAGCATGACACCTGATCATTTCGGCCATTGCCGTCAAGAAGGGCATCAAGAACAATGGCTGAATTGTCGGGCAAATATTTTGCATGCCCATTGACTAGACATTTTGAGAGTGCATCCTGCCGAGTTCTAGGGAGTGGAACCAGGTCCGTTGCTCCAAGTAGGTATGCAATGGGCCATAGGGAGCGTTTTTCACGATTCTCCTCCCAGAATTCGAGGTTGAGTTTCTGAATAGAATTCATTGTAGTGAAATTGAGTGCTGAGAGATGCAAACTGAGGCTCCAGGAGTCAGTGCAGAACAAGAGCCATGAGACGCGCGTTTTATACCTGACTTACGGTCACCGATGAGAAGGCTGCCAATGTCAGATCTCATCAGCTTGTGCTTCGCATAAACAACAACAACAACAAACACGGTTGTTGCACGTGGGACGGTCTAAGCACTCAATGCCGGGACCCCAGCTGAGCTGTCAACAGATATGGTTACATTGGTTTTATATTGGCTTCTATTTTTGCCCAAATTAGCTACCATTTTTGGATTTCCACATGATCCGGCTAAGTCATTTAGCCAAATTTGACGCGTCGATCTTTTTGCACCTTGCTGTAATTGAATCGTATGCGTGGTCCAGGCGGAGCACGGCGGTCCACAACTCGTCTTTCGTTGTGTAGTCCACGGAAATGTCGTGGCGCATAACCATCTCCCGACGCATTTCGCCAGGGATGGCATTCAGGAAACGTTCATTGAACGTTGCCTGGTCAGGAGGCGTGATCATCTCCCCAGCTGCACGATACAGCTGGTTATAGAAGTGTTTGATTCCCTTCGCGGAATCGTATGAAAGTGTTTTGAACGCTTTCGTGGATGCTACTGCTGCAGACTTCTTGATGAAGGTGCAGATAAGGATCTCTAGTAGATCCCAGAATGGGGGGGTTACCCCGTTCTGCACTCCAATGCGTATATAGTGCATCAGGAGGTCTTGTGCCTCGCCTTCAACGGCGGTTGTCAAAGTGTGGACGTGAAACTCGTTGTAAGCTTCACCCTTCCACCCACACGACGACATATAGGCTAGCCAGGAGTGCAGCCAGTTGTGGAATATCTTCGAGTTATTCTCTCCAGACCATTTGATGGTCGGAGTCAGTCCCTGCATCTTCTTGAGCAGTTCTGGGCGTACATCTGCAGGCAGTGGCTGCAGGATTCGGACCTCCACACTTCGGCGTGCAGATTCAAGAAGCTGAGTCATGAACTCAGATGGATCAGGCACTACTCGTGCCGCCGGTGCTGCGTATGAACGCATGGTTGAGTCAAACAAACCGGGTCGTACAGACGAGCGGTTTGGAAAGTTGGATGAAGGCTCCCGTTTTGCTTCGGTGCCAAATAGGTCAGGAAATGGTGGGTTGGGCCAGGACGAGCCACCCTCGCCACCATCCTCGTCATCACCATCGCCACTCGGACGGCGGGGCCTTCTTCCCGAGTTAGACCTAACTTGGTCTACACGCCTCTTGCCCCCTTCTGGAGCCGCAGGCGGTTGTGAGAATCGGTGGTAGTTATCCAGCACTCGTCTGAGTGCTGTGCCGTGGGACAGTCTTTCGGGGTCTTCACCGTTTGCCCCACGACCCACGTTGTATACGAATGCTGCGTCTGCATCCAGACGGGCGTTAAAGTCAAAAGTAGATTCGCTGAGACTACGCTTAGCGAAGATAGGTCTGACCTTGGCGGGCTGTCCGCCAATGTCATCTACACGATCCTGGACATAGATCGGGCGTTTTTTCCGTGCGTAGTAATCGTACGGAACACTGGTGGCTTCCGCGTCACCGTCTTCCTCTTGTATCGTCTCCACAGTGGCCTTCATCGGCACTGCTTTCTTTCTCCCGTGGTCGGGAGGGAAATTACGCGTTTGAGTAGCGTCAACGCTTGGTATCTTCACCCCACTGTTCGTGGGTTGGGACGACAGAATGAACGGCGCGGGCACGAAGCCTGGCCTGAAATGGAATGGAGAAGTTCCACTCTCCCCTGTAATCGATGATCCAGCCAGTTGTCCTGGGTCGATCTCCCTACCCTTTCCTTTGGCGTCAGTGGTTACTGGCGCCATCGACGGGGTAGGTGGCTTAGTTCCACTAAAGATAGGAACAAAACGTCCGTCAGATTCTTGTACCTCGACAGACGCGCGTGAACTTGTCGCCTCTGTGACGACGGCAGAGACAGTGGGGATCCCTCCAGGTATGGGGACCCCACTGATTGGTTGACCCGTTGGATTAACGGGAACTACAGGGACCTCCTGGGGCGCTTGCGCCTCCACAGTGGGTTTAGTGATTTGTTGACCCATTTGATTAACGGGGACTACAGGGACCTCTTGGGGCGCTTGCGCCTCAACAGCGGTTTTTTTCGTCTGGTCAGAGACGACGATGGGGTTTCCACCCGTTGTTGGGTTCACTGGAGGGTTTGCAGATGGGTTATCCACCGTTGCTGCGGGTGGCTTTGGCTCGTCGCGTCGAGAGAGTGCGAGGAGAATTTCGTTAAGTTTCTCATTAAGTCTTTCCTCCACCTTAATGATGTTACGATCTAGACGAGCGATGTTGTCGCTATTCCCAGAGATCTGGGTATTCATGTTACGGACATCGCCTCTCAAGTCGGCGATGTCGTCGTCAACTTGGTCGACGCGATTTCTTAGTACTCGCACCGTTTCAGACGCGAGGGAGTGGGTTGGGGATGGAGGACGCGACGTGCGCATTGGGACGAATGCCGCGAGAGTCTCCGCTGCGAGGGCTTCAGACGTTGTGACTTCGTCAACGTCTCTCATATAGGTGGGACGCGTCTGAGACGCGTCCCTGGGCCCTTGCAGGCCCAGATCGCCACCATCACTTGAGGTGGTGTCGTCTTCCGCCCTACGGCTAGTGGAGGGGCCGGCCGTGTTGGCAGGAGCGTTGGACGTGCTCCTGGTGTTGTATCTCCACGACATCCAGAAGAGGTGTCGAGTTGTTCAACAAGTTCGCGTGAGAACTTGATCGAAGTCGCGTGTTGTCAGGGGCCGACGACGCGCGCGTTGCCAAATGGGATTCCGGCGCCGGTAACGCGGTGCCGAGAATGGAAAGAGAATAATAGCGTAAAAAAGTGAAAGGTTATCTTACTAGTTTGGGGACGGTAATGTTCCGTTCCCCCGTTCGCCTCAGGCCTCAGTAATCCGTCTAAGTATACGCTTGATTTGGCTGTATATTGACGGGGTAGAAGTAAAGGCTAATCTGCCTTTTACAGCTACCCCGAGGGTTTATATACAATCTTATACATTCTCGGCACAAATAAATAGAGAAGCTTCCGCGACGCTAAATTAGCGTCGCGACATAATTATTACACAACACAACATCAACTGATGTTGTGGGCGGAATATAGACATGGGCCGGGGCCTCACAATCCTCTACCATGTTGAAGTCGCCTAGTAGTATGTCAATTCTTACGTGTGTTGTGAGGTGTTTCAGTTCGCTCCAGAAATCCGCATTCTCTTGGCCAGAGGAGGTCATGTTAGGTGCGTAGATTGCTAGGATATTTATTTGGTTTTCTGGTGACCATTCTAAGTTTAGAAGTGCTGCGTGGCCTGGTACTAGGTTCTCAGTGAGGGTTGGTTCGTTTTTGATGAAGTCTTTGTTTAGTATTATTGCCACACCGCCCGCTCGTGAGTGGGTCGGGTTGTAGGAGTGTATTATTTGGTGGGTTTGTTTGTATCTCTCATTCAGGTAGTTTTTTTGGGGCTCATCTGTGTGCGTTTCTGACAGGCAAAGGATGGCTAGTTTCTCTTTTTTCATCTTGTTCATGACTAGGTTCCATTTGTGCTTGGTATTTTGGCTGTTGGCGCCTTTGATGTTAAGGGCGCCTATTTTTATCTGTCCTGTTTTCTGTGTTGGGTCTCTACCGCCCCTGAGGCGGAGTGGGCGTCTGTTTTTTCTGGGTATTGTGTCATGGGGTGTTTGGTCACTTCTGGGGGGGATTTCGGGTGTTTCTTTGTTTATATTGGGCGCCACAGTTCGCTTTATACTCATCCCTGTGCCCACCGTGGCCGAGGCACGGGGGTGAGGCAGGATTGTCTTTGCGGCCTCTTCACCTCCTTGCATGAGTGAAGGGGGGCCTCGTGGTTTTGTGCTGATATGCTGACCAGCACTATCAGGTGGCTCCGGGTGCGCCACTCTCCCCGCCAGGTGCACCTTTTGTGCACTTAGAGGGGCCGGTTCTGTGTATTTATTAGTGTGTGTGTTCATTGGGTGTTGTAGTCAGTTTGGAAACTTGACTAGGTTGTCGCGGTATTGGGGTTGTTAGTTATGTATTGGGATGTTGCGGTTTTTTGCTAGGGTGGGGGATTACATGATGTATCTACCTCTTGTGCTGGAAGGGTGTCTGCCGCGTGGGCCCCTAAGCCTTGCTGGTCTGCCTCTGTAGTTTCCGCGTCCCATCCCCCTACCTCTGTGGTGTGTGTGGGTTTCTTCTCTCGCCATGCTCTGGTGGCCGCTTAGCTCGGTGGCCAGGGAAATGTCTGTGTTGGCTCTCACGGCGTCGTCTGGTTTGTCTGGGTTGGTGATCTCTTTCCAGAAGGGGAGTTCCGTGAGTGGGCACTGGAGTGTCGAGTGGTCGCGGCCTTTGCAGCATCTACATGGCTTGGGGGGGTTCCTTTTGGCTCCTTTCGCGATGGCTGGGTGGTACCAGACTGTGGCTTCTGCTGCTTCAATCCAGTGGCCGTGCTTCACGATGTCTTCGGGGTGTGGGGACTTGACTAGGAACGTCCAGTGGGTTGCAGTGGTGCCGTGGGTGGTGACTGTCAGAGGTCTTACTCGTGCTGAGTCGATTATTGTTAGACGTTCGTAGTTGTCGGGGACATTTTCGACAAGGTATTTCCCAATTTTCGAGGAGGGGCGGTTCAGGGTGGTTTTTAGGCACGTTTGGACGGCCGTGCGGTCTCTGGCCGTGGCTGCGAACGCCCAGTTTCCAATCCAGTCGGAGGTGAACTCGGAGGCTGGGTGCGCCACAAAGCTGAATGCTTTGGAGAGCCAGAATTGGTGGTAGAGGAGCATTGCGGCATCGCAGAGTGTCAAGCCATCGATCATGATACCCCAGGGGAGGGGGTCGTCTCCCTGGGCATCAATCGCATTGGCAGCCGGTATGGTGCTAAGTGTTTCTGCTGAGTCTGGGAACGCTCTTTTAATGAAGGTGGAGGCATGGTCTTTTGCCTCTTGCATTTTCGTGAGGGAGAACGCCATGTAGAGAGGGATAATGATAACTGCGTGTTCGTTGGCTTGGTTCCAAGCTTCGCAGGCTTCATCGGTTACGTTCAGGCGGAGGTGTGGGCTGTGCATACCGAGGACCTTATAGTCGAAGTCGGCTGGGAGTGGGCGGGCATTGTAGCTGACTTCGGTGTCGTCGGGCGTGTCAAAAGGGCCGGATGCTGGGGTGATCTTCGCTTCGCGGGTTTGTTGGGGCTCGGGTGTGGCTGAGAATTCTTTCTCTGAGACCCGGAGTTGGGATGGCTGGACTTCCTCTGTCAGGCCGCTACTGTCCATGTTTATGCCCGGGGTTGTAGGGGGGGTTTGGGTCGCGGGGACTCTGATAGCGGGTTTGGCAGGGGCTCCGCTACCGAAGCCGGGTAGCGGGTTTGGCATTAGGCTCAGGTCGGGTAGGGCCATTCTGCGTTCTTTTCTAGGGGGGTTGGGGTGTCCGAGGTGGAGTTTCCTCGGTTACGTTTATTACCCGCACTGGTTATGGGGGGGGCGGTGTGGTTAGGGTGCTGAAGTCCGGGCGGCATTGGGGCTTACAGGGTCGGTGGTTCTCGTGGTTGCGCTGCTACTTAAGTGGTCTTTGGGGCACGTGGTGTCGTTTGGCGGGTCGTTTGCCCTTTCGTCTGCTGTACAGTTTTGGGGGGTATGGCCGTAAGTTTTCTCTTACTTCTTTTTTTTTTTTTTTTTTTTTTTTTTTTTTTTTTTAATTTAAGTTTAGATTTTTCGGTTATATGTGCGCATTTGTTTTCGTTGTTTCTTAGGGAGGGGGGTGTTTTGGGTGGCTTAGACTGCTGGGAGGTTTTCCTAGGCTTCTACCGCCCCGTTTGGCGAACGGGGCCCTAGCGGCTCACTTGGGTACAGTGAGGGTGGCCCTGCTGGCGCAGGGTCGGCAGGTTGGGGACTTGTTTGCCTGGTTAGCCTCTCTCCCCGGTACTGGCAGTCACCCCTCGTTTCGTTTAGGTTTCGTGTGTTTCTTAGGTTCCTAGTTTAACGACTTTGCGGTCGAGAAATCACATTTTTCATCATCCATCTAACTTGACCCTTCGCTACGGTACGTGTGTATCACTTGGTATCGAAAAGGGCGAAAAATGCACGTCATCCCCGTGCTCGATGATCCCATCCGCCTGTGCGCTGTCGTAACACTCTACCTAATATGTCTACTCATCCAGAGGACGTTCGATCGAGAATGCATCGAGCCACAGAACTTTTAAACACGTGAGGTCTCAGCCCAGTCTCAATACTCAATGTCGGAGAGCTTTTTCACTGACCGAACCACTGCTGGACAATTTGGATGGCGTGGTAACCCATGGTGTGGTGGTCGAGAGCGCGTTGGGTGGCACGGTATGACTGACACGGTTTAGGTATTAGTTGGGTCCACTAAGACTCCAGTGCCGATGACTGGTTGAACCGCCTTGTTGTCATTGACTTCTTTGGGTATGAATCTTTCGCGCTTATCTCGCTTAAGTCCCGGTCCATGATGCTATACGTATGATCCTTGAGATTTGAAATAGAACCCTGCATGCTTGCGTTGATTCTGGATAAATCGGCTCCTCATGCTGGCTCTCTCCTCACCACCACCAAACAGTACTTCTTGGGTATGGGTTCCACTCGCTTGTTGAAGTGCTTTTATTGGTCTGACAAACTCTGTATCGCACATATCTCAGTTGCAACCAACAGCGCCGCCATGTCAACTACTACACCAACCCCTTCTGGCACAGCACACTCGTGAGCGGATGTACCCCTTTTCACCTTATGCCAATAATTATGTCTACGACTTTTAGGCACATTGGCAAACTAAGCCCACTTGTTTGGATTTTAATGAGTTTTCCTTTAGTCCTTGTGGGGATTACGATCGCGGCGGTCGCTGTGATCTTTCTCGCCTATAGTCTCATGGCCCTCTACTACGGTCTCACGGTCGTTCTCGTCAGTTGTCTCACTGCTCTCGTGAAATTTTTGGGAGCCTTCTACAAATGGGCGACGGCCTCAATATTGTTTCTCTATCGACACTTCGTGAAGATTTGGAGGCGACTTTCCAAATGGATGAATACATGGCGCAACCACGATCACGACTTACCCATTACCCATAGGGGTTCCCAATCACGGACTACTTGGAGTCCCTCGACTGCTCTCCAAACCCCAGTCGTCAAAACTCCTTCTCCAGCATTGCAGTCTAAATCGAAAATCCGGGAAACCCCTGCACCCATTGCACCACTTGAAGACAAACCCGATGCATCGGAGTGTCCTATATGTTACGAAGAAATGGGTACAGAGCGGCTACCAACGATTGGCGCACCATGCGGCCATGTTCTTTGTCGAGTATGTCGAGAACGGATCGTAGTGCGTGCTGCTGAAAGTAACGTGCGACCAACCTGCCACACTTGCCGTATGCCGTATGATACGGTTACGGTTACTCCAGAAACATTGGACTAACCCGATGGGTCGTACATTCTCAGCGTACTTAGGCAGCACTATATCACTTGAACTCATTCACTATACATCGCATGTTAAAGTCCATTCAATATATAGCCTGAGGGGGATTGATGTCAAGATAATCCTAGCCCAAGACTTGCCATGAACGTCAAGCTCAGACATGACTTTACCTAGCGTTGCCAATGTTTCTGGAGCGCTCCCTGATGCCACTAGTAACGTCAGGGGGTATCGTTTAATTTCTCCTTGGCCAGTCATTTACATATACACGTGGGTTTCGTGCTCCTTGTCATGCTGATCAGGGATCCCTGCACCGCTCTGAACTTTCCGCGTTCATACGGCCCCCAGCTTCCATGGAATTTGCAATTCGGCTAATCATTGCTGAGATTCGTTCATCTCGCCCCTTGCCATCCCTGCCAGTGCCGGACATTGGTCTTTGCATGCCCACGCACCCATTCTCGGGGGTTACTCTATTCGAGAAACAATTCTTCTACGGCGACCGAATGTCTCTACTAGGCTGTTGAAAGGCAGAAGTCTTTATCGCCGACTCTCTTGGGACAATCATGTCGACAATAGCTATGACCCCAATGCACGTCGATGACATGGCCATTCCCGTTATGGTGGAACCCGTGAGTAGTGCGCTCGCAACTGATTCCTACAGCGATGATTGCCATTTTCGAGATTGTGGTGTTTGTCTCGGTTGATAGCTCACTAACCTTAGTGTTGGGTGAATTACCTAGATCCGCAGAAGCTTTCGGTCCTGCCTCCATTGTCCGTGCCTTCTTGTACTTCGTGCTTCAATCCCCAACTGTATTCAATTTGATGACTGATTAATCGTGATCCCTCAGGCCCGAGGCTCATTCGTCCTTACATTCATTCAGAGATTGCGACTCAGTGCACTCGACGTGCATGATTACTCGGACTCCCTCGTATCCGACCTGCGAAGAAATGTGCAGATCGGAAATGGATCATATAAAGTCTGCTCCCTTGACCTCTCGCATCTGCTGACGTATTCAGAATTTCCGACCCAAGCAAAGGGGCGTGGTGGAAAGCTATCCCCACCTTCATCGTCTTCGCCTCTTTCTTCCGGTTTGTCTCCTTGAGCCTACGAACCGAATTCCGGAAATTGCAGAAATGGTGCGAACGGCGATATCATTCCTCCAGTGAAAATTTGGAGAGATTGCTCTGCGGCAGTGAAAACTTGGCTTCCTGTTCCTAAGTTGTCCACGGTGCGCACGACTATTCGGTCTCAGCATCGCTTCCCCCGCGTTACTACTGGGATCGCGAACCAAGGAGTCGTCTGCCGATCATGCCTCTTAGAAACATGTCCGATTTGTTACGAAAGATTGGATGCATGCAACGCAACCCCGAATGACCAACGCACCATGTCGTCATGTTTGCTGTGGAACGTGCTGGGGACAGGTGGTAACGAGACTGCAGCTGGAAGGAATGCCAAACCAGAAGTGGATTTGCTTCCGAGTCAGCTAGAAACACCGGATTGGCCAACTGTTCGCTGAACGATGGTTGCCTTTGAATAGTTTACCGCAAAATAGAGCAAGGACCCCTCTTTGTTGCATGAGCTGGATACGGCAAACTGGTTTCATCATCAACTTCTGGGTCGCTTAGAGCTTGGGGACTGCTCCTTACAATTGGCATTATTATCTCTCCGGCTGCACTTGTTCCCTTGCACCCGTATAGCTCTTGGTCTTTTCACGCTCATATGATGATCACATAGCCGCCGGGCTGACTTTGCAGGTAAACCCGCTTTTCTGCGAAGACTACCACGAGAGCTTTACTAAAAAATTATCTTATTGGTACCGTTGACATTGTCGCGGGCTCCATATATCTTAGGTGCATCATTGGGTTGCAGCGTTTAAGATGCAACCTTTGACCATTGCCAGACACCCCTAGTCGGAACGCCTCACGCCCTGCACAGCTTTGGTCCTACCACATTGATCAAGAAACAAGAGCCAGTGCTGGGCTAGAGCGCAAATAGCCGTTTTTCCTCATTTGAGCCAACAGTTGTGCCCACCTGCCGCCGAAGGGCAACCACCCCCCTCCTGATCCTGCTATTGCTATTGGCCTGGTCACCAGAAACATTCCTCCAGCGGAAACTGTTGTTCTCGCTCCCACCCTGTCTACATGCTGCTGAAAACAGGGCAGATGCCTTCAGGAAATCACGACTGGGACACAGTTGAATGTCAGCGACGGAACCAATCGCGCATCTGCGACTGGCGTGAGCGCCTAAACTGTGCGTTGCCGAATACGGAATGGCACAGGGTTATTGCCGGACTTCGTTTTCCCTCGACCCATCCAGCTTTAAGGGAAGAACCGGGCGTGTTTGTGGGCCAACCGGTGGTTTTCCAACCTTTATATATAGGGGTTCATAATGACTCAATGGGGAGTCTGTGGAAGCTGTGTCAATGTCAGTGCACCCACCGCCTCCACCCCGGTGCTCGCTGCACAGCCCTCGGGTCCTCTGAGTGTGTCTGACCAACCATTGTTCAGGAGCGCCCTGCTTATTTCATCCAGCCTGCTGTGCACATTCCTGCGCGCCTAGTAGCGTTTGCGTAGTTATAAAAGGGTTGGGGGCTCTTTCCTACGGCACTCTCCTGAGCCTTGGCTCTCCCCGCTCTGATCTGATGATAGTCCCGTTTTCTGCATCCCGGGTAGTAGAACTTCCCTTAAGGTGGGAGTCTTTTTGACTGAACGCCCAGTTCCGCCGATTTTGACAAGTCAGACACCGGCACAATCGGTTTTCTACCAAAGGGCGGCGACTCACGCCAACAGCTCTAGCAGCTCCACTCATTTGGCACCATCACCCGTGACAACATCATCATCGACACCGTCTCCGTTAGCAGCCACGTCCCTCACACGTGCCCACCTCACAGCTAACCAACCGCCCATCACAGAACTTCCCATATTAGTCATGCACGACCAAGTCTTGTTGCCATTGCCATTATTTCGTCATTCGCAACTCCAGCACTTTTGATCTTAGCGACATATGTCCTAATAAAGTGTTTGAGAGGCGCTTGGAGCCCGTTCGGACGTCTGCGCGAGTGTACTAGGGACGTACTAACGTTCCTTTATGGGCTCTCGGAAGGAGGGCTAAAGCGTGTCTTTCGTGCCGATCGTTTGGGTCGTATCGCTCGACGACCGACAACGGAATCTTCCCCTGGACCGATTCTACCCACGGTCTTATCGCTGCCCTCAGCCTCCATCCTGTCGGAAAATACCTCATCGAGGCCTCCGCCACCATCACCAATATCGAAAAATCCCTACTCCATCCCACCTGCTCAAAACAGATCCGAGGGTCTGGAGTGCCCTATATGTTATGAGGAAATGGATAGTACACGCCCGCCAGCAATGGGCGCGCCATGTGGACACGTTCTTTGCCGCGCGTGCCGAGCGCTCATTCTAAACCATGCCCTAGAGAATCGTGTAGTACCGACCTGCCATGTTTGCCGTTTACCTTATGAATAAATGTAATGATGAATGCCCTGAACAGCAGCCAATTACTGCAAATATGCCGCCCCACAGATGAATCCTGCACTGCATTCAATGGCGATACCGACTCACATATGTACGTACCGGTGCCCGCTACATTAACTTTCGGTCGGGGCCCCAGTATGATATGCACGGCGGGAATGATTTGCTGTGGTGGGGCACAGACTAGCATACGATCGTGTCGCGGATGGCTAGTTTGACGTTTCCTCAGGTGGTGCCTTATAATTATGGAACGTTTGTTGGGACAGAGAGCTGGAGGCCAGCCACGAGTCGTCCAATTATTGACATTGGCGGCTCTTTCCTAATACGGGGTTGAACGGCCGATCGTGGAATATCTCTATCTCTATACTCCAATGTCCAACGCATCCGCTAAACAGAAATTATGGGGAGGAAGATTCACCGGGGCTACCGATCCACTGTAAGGATGCACCTTTATGCTCTCGATCTATGGCTAACATCATTCTTCGTTAGCATGAATGCCTTCAACGAGTCCCTTAGTTATGATAAACGCATGCATTCCCAAGACATCAAGGGCTCTATTGCTTATTCGAAAGCTCTATTCTTGGGAGGCATCATTACAGAAGAGGAGCGAGACAATTTGATTCGCGGATTGGAAGCTGTTGGGGAGGAGTGGGCTAAAGGCCAAGTTAGTCATTTCGGACATTTCGGACTATTCAATAACTTCGCTCAACAATTTGTACATGACAGTTCAAGATCCAGCCAGATGATGAGGATATTCATACTGCCAACGAACGACGGCTGTCCGAGCTCATTGGACCACTTGGTGGAAAGCTTCACACTGGTCGGTCCCGAAACGACCAGGTGGCGACTGACATGCGGTTGTGGTTGTTGGAAGAGGTCGAGACCATTCGCTCGGCGCTGATCGACTTGATCAGTGTCATTGTGGAGCGAGCCGATAAGGAGAAAGATGCCCTCCTTCCTGGATACACGCATTTACAGGCAAGTCTTCAAGAGAGATCGGACAAACTTAGTCGCTGAAACGTCCAGTTAGAGGGCTTTACCCATACGGTGGTCTCATCTTTTGCTATCCCACGCTTTTTCGCTCAACAATGACCTTGAGCGGATAACTCAACTCAAACCACGTATCTCCGTTCTACCTCTGGGCTCTGGTGCACTTGCTGGGAATGCTTTCAGTCTGGATCGCGAATTCCTAGCCAAGGAGCTCGGATTCGCATCTATTGCGGAGAACTCTCTCTTTGGTGTTGGCGACCGGGATTTCATCATTGAATTCATGATGTGGGCAAGTTTGACGATGACGCATCTCTCTCGCTTATCTGAGGATCTCATAATATACACAACCGCTGAGTTTGGCTTCTTGACGCTGAGTGATGCATACAGGCAAGTTACAATGAGAGCACTTAGAGCGGCGGGACTGAACAAAGGGATTTAGCACTGGCTCGAGTATGATGCCACAGAAAAAGAACGCGGATTCATTGGAGTTATTGCGAGGGAAGTCGGGTCGAGTATTTGGAAACGTCAGTTTCTGGATCTGGGCTTATGTGTTACGAGTTCGTTGATGATATTCCTAGATGTCCGGTTTCCTCGTCACACTCAAAGGGTTGCCCTCGACCTACAATAAGGACCTTCAAGAAGATAAAGAGCCATTGTTTGACACAGTGGACACAGTGTCGGCATGTCTCCGTATAGCGGAAGGGGTTATTGCGACATTAGAGGTAAATTATTCCTGTCTGTACAAGATGCGGAGCCGACGGTGTTACAGATTCATCCAGATAGGATGAAGAAAGCTCTTACCATGGACATGCTAGCCACTGACTTGGCTGACTATCTCGTGAGAAAAGGGGTTAGTGTGTTTGTTTGGAATTGCTTTGGAATCTCTTGCTAATGGTGCACGGTAGATTCCATTCCGGGAGACGCACCATATTTCTGGTCGAGCTGTAGCGCTGGCAGAACAGCGAGGAGTCCAGATATCAGACATTTCACTGGGGGACCTACAGATCCTAAGCAGCAAATTTGAGGAGGATGTGAAACATGTCTTCGACTTCGAATCGAGTGTGGAGAAGCGAGCTTCAATTGGTGGCACTAGCAGGGCAATGGTGGGCCGACAGGTAGATGTTTTACGGAATAATCTGGCCCTGGCTAGGCAGGCATAATTCTGCGGAATGTGTCGTCTAATTCAAGCCTGTGCATACGGCGCGGTTTGAGGAACGTAAAATTCCAATTCCTATGTAGTCTGGGATCTGGCAGTGTCCGTGATTTCCAATTCGGGCTTCTGAGTGTTGAATCCGGTGCTGTGCAGAAACACACAAACAACCCCTCAAATCTCTTTCCCGAGCGACCGCTTCGTCGACCTTCCCATTGTTAAGCTCAGCACTTCCAAGTTGACCTTTAAGTGCTCAGACAACTTTAATACAGCGACTCCCACCAACTATCGTATAAATTTCCGCAACGCGTCAAACGCTCCACCATGGCTCGAGACAGATTAGCAGCTTTAAGGGTGAGTTTCCAGCGCGGCCTTTGAAAATTTTATCAGTATTTATGCCCACAAAACAGGCACAACAGGGCGGCCAGTATGATAACATAAGGTCCGTTATTATCTCCCTGCGCGAGATCCCAACACCGGTACTCAACCTTGCCTTATTCCGCAGCGAGCCTTCCTATCCTGCTCAGTCAACACCAGAACGCTATCAGTCACCCCCTTCTGGCGGCCGACGGGGCAACCCGTTCGCCCAACCTCAGCAACAATCAGAACGGTACGAAATGGAGGAGCGTAACCCCCCCGTGAGCGCTAATGCCAACGGCGCGGGCTATGGTGATGATGACATGTCTGGTTTCTATTCAGAGGTACGACCGAGATCACAACATGTCATTCAGGAAATTAATTGGCTGTGCTCGTTGAAGATAACATCAATCCAAGAGGACATCAAAACATTCAATAGCCACGTCCAACAAATCTCCGAGTTGCACTCGAGGTCGTTAAATAATGTGGATGACGAAATTAGTAAGCGTAATGCTTCCCAGCTTGAGGCTCTCGTGGAGGATACGAGCGCACTTGGTGCTGTTTTAAAACGCCGCGTCAAGGCTCTCGAGCGGCAGGTGGGCTCAGGGCGTGAAGCGCAGATCAAGAAGAACCAGGTACACTGCCACTACGATCGGCCATCGCGTAATTTTACTGACGACGAACATCCTTTTAGATTGGGTTGGTTAAGTCCAAGTTCGTTGAGGCGATTCAGAGCTACCAAGAGGTTGAGCGCCAATATCGTGCTAAATATAAACAACGCGTTGAACGACAATTCCGTATTGTTAAACCCGATGCAACCCCAGAAGAGGTGAAAGCTGTTACCGAGGACGATGGGGCTCAGATCTTCTCACAAGCTGTTCGTCTCATCTCTCTTTGACAATGCATTTCCGTTTCCTTACTGAACTATGATTAGCTAATGAGCTCCAACCGATATGGTGAATCGCGGGCGGCATATCGTGAGGTCCAGGAGCGACATGCCGATATCAAGCGAATTGAGAAGACTCTGACTGAGCTGGCGCAGCTGTTTAATGATGTGGGTTCCACTACGCTTTCTTTTGGAAACATACTTATCTTTGTGCGCGTCTAGATGAGTGTCATGGTTGAGCAGCAAGATGAAGCTATTGATGTCATTGAAGGGCACGCAGAAATCGCCGAGAAGGATCTCGAGACAGGGTAAGAGTCGTATTCTCCTTATTCAGGCTATCACTGATGAACCACGCTTCCTATTTACTTCCAGGCTGCAGCACACGGAAAAAGCTGTTAACTCGGCGCGGGCAGCTCGCAAGAAGCGTTGGATCTGTTTCTTCATTTGCCTTATCATCCTTGCGATCATCGGCATCGTCGTCGGTGTAGTCGTCTCAAATAACCTGAAACCTAAGCATTAGCGCTTATTGTTCGTTCGTTTCCTTCACTTTCACGTCTTGGTTTACAATAAAGCAATTACAATCATTATCTCGTTTTGATGGAAAGGACTTTTTCTTAATACCTAACTTCTGGTCTTTCCTTTATGTCTTCCTCGATTCATGTCGCTTATCGTCTTTATATTATTGCAAATCTGATCACTCCCCTTCTGCCTGGTGACATGTCTGACTTATGTAGTCGTCCCCGTCAAGACAACCTATATCTGTCGCGTGATTCCATCACTCCTAGTCTCTCACGGCCTAAACCGAAACGAAACCGTCGCCAAGTTGGACACTTTACAACAACGACAAACGCCAGAGTGCTTTTCGTGCCGCCTCGTGGGTGGGGCGGTCCTCGTAGGCGTCGGTACTCACAGTCTCTATCACTCAAGGAAAGTGGGCTTACGCGGCGGACCGAAGACGTTGTTTGGAAGCAGAGTAATGGCTGGTCTTGGTGTCTGTGAGTTGAACGCCGCCTACAGAAGTCATGCCAAAGGAGAGGGGACTGATATATTTTGTTTGCAAAGTCCTCGTTACTGCAGGGTTTGCTAGGATGTATGGGGTGCAACATGCTGATGTCGTCCGGTTGTCAGAGAAATTTGGTAACCGTCCTGCTGGGAGCACGGATCAATAACACCCAACCCAACCTGCCACTCTGTAAACCTATATGGATATTGGCATTATAGTCATTGTGTGGCTCAGATCTGACTCCGCTCCCACAAAAGTCGAGTCCTAGCCTGCCAGGGTTCCGTTCTTTCCCCGCCTTCGACTCTGGTTCTCGCCAGCCCAACCTCGCATCCGTTCACATGTCTTTCGTATTCGGACGGCTTCTGCCCCTTGGCGGTTATTTAAGTCGGCAACGGACGAGGCCAGCTTTCTTTTGTTCTCCACCGCTAGGCTGTGGAACTGTCCCAGACCCTTTTTCAATGATGGTCCTCCCTCTGCCCCGTAGATAGCCAATTACTACCCAATTTGTCTTTCCCCCCTCCCGTCCGACAACTGCATCGACTTTTCAACTTTACCGCCTGCTGGAAAGGATCGTCCTTTCATTTTGTGGAGTCCTTTTCAACCAATTATTTGCGTATGTGTCGGGGGTCTCCAGTGGAAATAATGATGGAGTGGATGGCAAAACGTTTGTGGGTGCTAAGTTGATGCACACCTTTTACTTTCACATACTACTGAGGATCATGCTAAGTCCGCCCTTTGGAAGCGCTTGAAGCTCCCATCCTTCGCTCCAAAGTTATTGGGTAGATGAGGAGCTCACTTGCCCATGCGTGAGTCGCATCTGAATGCTCACCGTGGCAGTCACTGTGGGAAGCCCCTCTGTCATCGTATCTTCGAAACCGTGCCTGCGCGCGTCGGCCCGGGTTACCCGGTCCCCTGTGTTTAAGTGCGGCGTTTACCCTGCGGGATGGGGCCCTCGTGGGTCCCCCGTGCGCGTGGATTTGATTGCTTATTTACATACTTAATCCCCAGACCATCATCGAGTTATTCCCGACCAAATTAGATCGCGATTTTTTGTCTCATGCTGTATCATAATCCAAGTATACATAACATGAAATCCTACTTTGTGTATCGCGTCGCCGAGATATATATGTAGTGCGCAGAACTAATTTTACCAACCCTCGTCAGGTGAGTTGGTACATTACCATTGTCAGTTACCACTCGAAGCTTAGTAAATGATCCTTTCTACGAAAACTTGGTAATTTACAAGAGTTTACTTCCCAACTGCTATCCTTAGCACGGGGAACATCGTTCTCTCAAAGGAGGAATTCTGCTCGAGTGCTGGGAGGATAAGCGACGTGATGATCATGGATCCCTGGATCCGTGCGATCAATCTTCCCTGGTTATTCCTTACTCTTTACGTGCACTCACCCCACACCGAAGACGAACCACCTCGCACCGTCAACCTAAACACATCTCACTGCACCAGCCATGTCCGACGACAAACGCCCATCCGTTTGTGTCTTTTGTGGTTCCACTAAAGGGAATCGACCAGAGTTCGCCGACGCCGCTACAGGTAAGCTGTCCGCGTCGATCTCAGGGTGTATCGGTCAGAGTCAATACTGACGAACCGAATCATTCTAGCGCTTGGCCGCGCATTAGCAAATGACAACCGACAACTCATTTATGGCGGAGGTACTTCGGGCCTCATGGGTCGAGTAGCTGCTGCTTGCCGAGAGGCAGGAGGTAGAGTCACAGGGGTGGTGCCACGCGCGATCGCAGAGGGAGGAGGCGAAGGGGATTCTGTTTACAATCCAATTTCCCCCGATTACCCTGATACACTCTTCGTCGGGAACATGCACGAGCGCAAGATGAGGATGGCTGAGTTGGCGGACGGCGGCTTCGTCGGGCTTCCAGGAGGATTCGGAACCTTCGAAGAGGTAATGACAACACCTTTTCGGCTCCCTGTGGTCACTGAATCATATCTTGTTAGGTGCTGGAGGCAGTGACTTGGACAGGGCTCGGAATACACGAAAAACGTCCGTTTAATTTAATTTTTATATGAGAGGCGCTGATCTGATGAGATTCAATAGCGGTGGTACTACTCAATGTCTGTGGATACTACGAGCCATTGAAACTGCTCATATCAAAGGGTAAGCCGACACACTGATGAGGTTGGGATGGTACCATTGCTAACGATCCTGCAACTTGTAGGATTAGAGTACGGGTTTATCAAGCAGGACTTTGCCTCCTTAGTTGTCTTCGTGGAGCCAACTGAAGATGTGGTGGACGAAAATTTCGACTGGGGTGAAGCAACACTCTCAGCACTTAACTCATGGAAAATGCCAGAAGTTGGTGGTATATTCAAAAACTGGGATATGTCCCAGTCATAAAAGTTGTTCCATTACAAGGTGGAACAAATTAATCTGTACGTAGGGGTCGTTTAAAACAAAATAAACGCCCAGAAGCTTTCTTGTTGCATTCTGCGGAGGCGCGCAAGGGCATTTGTTTGGAGTTACCGCGCGGCTCCTACCTTTTGCTTCCGAATCGGTCACATGGGGGGAAAGCTCACAGGTATATAAGGGCCCATCATGTTCGAACCCACCGCCCCCTTCTCGGATCCAAATTTTTCCCACAACCAAAAATTTTTTAGAGCGCGCTTTGGAAACACTGTTTGATCGCATCTGTCAAAATGGCTTTCCAAGCATCTTCTCAACAGCGACAGAATGGTGGTCTTGTTATGCCTGGTTCGCAGAACACCGTTCCGTCACCTGTTCCCTCTACGTCGACGTCGAATGCAGTAAGCACGACCGTCGTAGCCCCGACAAACAGTACCCCAGCAAATGCTCCAACCCCGGGCAAGCCGCTCACGCTTGAGCAGCAGCATATCACAGCGGTGGATGGGATTGTTCCTACACTGCAGTGAGTATCAGGTTCAGCCTTTGTCTCGTTGCTTGGGCAACGAGTTTGTCATCACGTCCCCCAGTGTCACCCCGATACTAGGTTGTGGTAACGCCATAATCTGGTGCTGTGGGTGGCGATATGGATCGTAATAAGCGATGAGTTGCTGAACATGCCTATGTATGTATTGCTTTCTTGCGTCGTCGAATAGAAACATCGTCGCCACCGTCAACCTTGACTGCCGACTTGATTTGAAAACCATTGCGCTTCATGCTCGCAATGCCGAGTACAATCCTAAGGTAAGCGTCAAGGCGCTGACCTAGGTTCTCCAGGAAGCTCTATCCACTTCATCATAACTAATAGCTTTCCCTCAGCGATTTGCAGCTGTAATCATGCGCATCCGTGATCCCAAGACCACCGCGCTCATCTTTGCCTCGGGCAAGATGGTTGTTACAGGCGCCAAGTCTGAAGACGATTCCCGTCTTGCCTCTCGCAAATATGCGCGCATTGTGCAGAAGCTTGGCTTTGATGCCAAATTCTTGGACTTTAAGATCCAGAACATTGTTGGCAGTTGTGATGTGCGCTTTCCAATACGGTTGGAGGGTCTTGCGTATTCGCACGGGTCTTTCAGCAGCTATGAACCGGAGGTGCGTTTCACTCAGCTGTGTAGCAATGCCATAAGTGGGTCCACATTCTTACCTTGGTCGCCTCGTCACCACGCAGCTCTTCCCTGGTCTTATCTACCGCATGATCAAGCCCAAGGTTGTGCTATTGATTTTTGTGTCGGGGAAGATCGTGTTGACTGGTGCCAAGGTAAGTTATTGTTACTAATGCTTCTGTTGTCGTTGATGCTTACCTTCGAGCCTATGTCGCGCGCTCGTCCCTGCCCTGTAGGTTAGAGAAGAAATCTACACCGCATTCAACACAATTTATACCGTGTTGCTCGAGTTCCGTAAACCTTAGTCTTCGTCGTTTGCGCCATTCTGGGACTACCCCTCGCACTCTTCATCATCAACTACAAGTCAAAGCATCCTTAACTTATTTGATTCACGTTACATTATACTTTTTAACCCCGTACTTTTCACTTCCTCCCGAGTACGACCTACAGCTATCATACATACCTACTGTCGCTTCCCTATCCTCACCGTGCATATCACACTCTGTTGTATCCTACCTATTACAGCATTCGTACACAATAAAAAGCGTTTGTTCACCGTAGCGTTTATCGTGTCATTGGCGTGAATCGGAGGTTGGGGGGGAGACCGTTTATGCTCGGTTCAAGAGTTTAGTCCTGAGAAGCCGGACGGTGTTAGCCGTCACAACATAAGGCTATATTGCTAGTTTCATCTCTTGCAATTACTCAGAGATAACGGCTTGAAATAATCTCCCGTTTGCTATCGGGAGTCAAAATTGGAAAGATGAGAGGGTAAATGATGTATTGAACTTGGAAGACGGTAGTGAGCGGCCTATCTAAGTGCTTCTTCATTATATTGAAGCTTCCTTCTGCTCCCGTCTTCCCAGAACAACCCCCTCACTGTTTAGACTGAGGTTTTGCTGTAGTCACCCCCCAAATTGTCAAGACCCGCGCAACGCCCACGAGTCTGGAAACGATAGGCCTAGAAGGTAAATCTTAGCCGTTAGGCGGAAAAGGGACGCACAAGCATGGCGGATATCGAGAAGTACAACCCAGCTGAGGTGACGATGGGTGCTGACGAGGTACGTTTCTCGCTTTGACCTGTAGCTGTAAAGGTGGTGGGTGCCTTACCGTGTGCCCTTGTCCGCCGGTCATTGCTATCCTGTCCCTACCTTGTGCTGACAAATACCGGCTCTATCATAATCGGGTTACGTTGCGTCGCGTACCCAAAACTGCAGATTGAACTCGCGAGGCATGGCTATAAACAGGAGTTGAAACGAGATTGGAGTCCTTTGCAGGTCAGTGATACAGTCATTTCAGCCGTAGTGGGGTTGCGAGTGGACGTTCACATGCTGGTATGCTGTTGCTTGTAGAACTTTGGTGTAAGTGACTTTTTGACCAAATTGGTGGCGAATCGAGTACCATAATAAGCTCGTCTGCTTGACGGTCCCATATTTGGCATTGGCACCGTTAGATCTCGTTCTCCGTCATCTCTGTTATTACGGGGACTTCGTCTTTGTTCCTCTTCGGCTTGGTGCGTTCCTTGTTCTACATTTCGCCAGTACTCAGAGATTAACAGTGGTCAACAGACCACCGGAGGCCCCGCAGGTATTCCTTTTTGGGCTGGACGACGTCCGTAACTTACTCTCGTTCACATACAGTGATGGTTTGGGGTTGGGTCGTAGTTGGTAAGCCTTCAGCCATTTGGTTCCCTTCCGTTTTGCCCACCCGTGTACGTTCTTGATTAGCGTTTTTCACAATGATCGTTGGATTGGCTATGGCGGAAGTATGCAGCAGCATCCCCACTTCTGGTGGGCCGTACTTCTGGTCCTCCCGCGTTGCAAAGGGGAGATATTCTGCGTTTGCTGCGTGGGTGCGTAGCTTTTAGAGCTTTCGTGCCATGTCGTGAGTCCGCCCCTGACATTCGACGCCTGTGTAGATGACAGGGTGGTTCAATTTGTGCGTAACTCATCCGTTATTTTTCTATGGTGCAAAGCTCAAGTAATCTTGCTCGACATATTTTATCCTGTCATTATTAGGCTTGGACAAGGTATGTAAGGTCCACATACCCAGTTTTATTCTTAACCTGCCCGGAGCCCAGTGGCCGTAACGACCGGTATTAGCTTTGCTTGCGCGACCTTTATCTCAACGGTAGCAACAATCAAGAGCAGCTACGTGCCGAATTCAAGGAAGACAATTGGAATATACGCTGCTGTTTTGATTAGTCAAGGTGGGCTGCACTTTTTTCAAATTGAAAAGGACATTCTAATAACTTTGGCCTCCCCCACCAACAGGCCTCATGAATACCTTCGGTAAGTCAACCAGTCCTCACCACCTGGCCTTAACGAATTTATCGTCATGCGGATATACGCAGGCATCCATCTTCTTGGCTTCTTCAACCAGCTCAGCATCTTCTGGCATGCTATTGGGACCACATCACTTGTAATAGCTGTCCTTGCCAAAGCGCCAACCCATCAGTCTGCGAAATTCGTCTTTACAACTTTCTATGACGGTACAGGGTGGGGAGACCGAGCCTCACACGCCTATGTGGCGATTATTGGTATTCTGATGGCTCAGTATACCCTCAGTAAGTAATTACCTTTCATGTCGAAGTTTCAGGATATTGCAGATGTTGGCGGGGTGCTGATGAGGTTTCCTCCTAGCCGGATTTGATGCCAGTGCACACATGTGCGTGTTCCCCCACTCCTAGGGTGCAGCCGAAGCCGCCCTCAGGCCACAAGAGAGCGACAACACTGATTCTGGCCTACCATCAGGTCAGAAGAGACGCACAATGCTTCTACCTCCGGTTCATGGGGTATCGTCACCTCTATTGGAGTCTCGGCTCTGCTCGGATGGTTCCTTCTGCTCGGCCTTTTGTTCTCGATACAGAATTATGATACGACCCTCGCTTCTTCAACGGGCCAGCCCATTGCTCAGATATTTATTGATACTGTTGGGAAAGACGGTGCCATTGTACTGATGGTGCGTCCCCTCTCGTTGCTGCTTCTTTGAAAGTCGAAGCAACGTTAGCTCTGACATCTCCGATTAGGTTATTATCATCGTTTCCATGTATCTCTGTGGGTGAGTATCCTCAGAATAATTTTGTGAGCGGGAAAATGCGTAGATAACGCTGAAATGGCATGAAGGCTTTTCTCGGTGACTTCGAACTCTCGAATGATGTATGCCTTTTCCCGAGACGGTGCTCTTCCTGGGTCGACGTTCTGGCATAATGTCGACCGCCGTACTCATTCACCCATTAGAACCGGTGGGTTTCATGGTAACTTGGAACAAGATGTGTCGGCTCATTCGAACGCTTTGAATCCAGTATGGTTGGCCATAACACTGAGTTTCTGCCTGGGTCTGCCTTCGCTAGGATCGGCTGTCGCTTTTACGGCCGCAGTATGTGACAGCTTGACCTATCCTGCCTTGTGCTCACGCAAGGGTCGATTACGCAGACATCCATCGCCACGATTGGTCTTTATATATCGTATGGGTAAGACTATCCGTCCGGCTGGGGGATCGAGTGCTCATGTCGATGGTCATATCTAGTATTCCGGTCTTCCTGCGTCTGATCAACCACACGCATTTTCAGAAGGGACCATGGCACCTTGGCAAGTGGTCCCTCCCGATAGCTTTCACCGCTACTGCGTGGATCATTTTCATCACGATCGTTTTTATGCTTCCTCAAGTGAGTCCAGTCACAAGTAAGACGCTTAATTACGCTCCTGTTGCTGTGGGAGTTGTGGTTGTGTATTCTGTCGGGTTCTGGTTACTAAGCGCGAGGAAGTGGTTCACGGGACCTATCAGGCAGATCGAAAGTATGTTGATGCCCTGACTCGCTTGCTCCAGTTGGTGTATTAATACCCCTCCCTGCCTGATCCCTTAGCTGATGTTAGCAGTCCAGACTGAGCAGAGCCTTCGATCATACATTGTTTTCCGTCTACTGCTGCTCCCCGTCCTGTTTTCTCTGGATTGCAGTCAAGATGGTGTTATGCCTCTCATTGATGTCCTGCAGATTATTGCTGTAACCAAGGTTCACATCCTTGTCGGACGAATTACATCGTCCTATCGGTCGATAGCTTGGAGGGCGTGTGATTGTGCCGGTCCCACCTACAGGAGTCACTGACAGAATGTTAGATCAGCTCGATCCATAAAAATGCCGGAGTCCGTGACAGAGTGAAAAGGATGGCGGCTACCATCGGATTTGGCTGGCGGCATAACATTCGAACGCGTGTAAGTGGAGACTCAGGGAGATACTCGGACGAAAACGAATTTTGAACTTTATCTTTGTGTATTTATTTCGGAGACCCCTGCCATTGGCGCTCTCACGAGCAGAACTGCACGATAATTCTGCCATTTCGGAGGCATAGGTGACCTTGGTTTGTGTCCCCACCGTACGGTGGAACCAAAAGGGGCAGCCTCCTAATCTGCCATCATCCTCTACTTTAGTAGAGGCTGGGATCCTGCCTACCATCATCGCCATCACAGTGATGGAGGTGCTGATCTTCCGGTTGAGAAATCCCGCTTTGAAAGGCCTTCTTGCCAGGTTCGTGAGACTACAACGCAAGGGGCATTCACCCTTCGGTGCGAAATTTCGCTTAGGATTTAGAATATTGAGCTTACAACTAGCCGGGTGAGTTTCTTATTTCGTGTTTGATACTGGAATCGTTTCAATGTTAGGGTGCAAGTATATTCGTCCGCATGTTGCTATCGCAGTGGGTGAGGTGGTGGTTTATTTGGATGTTACCACAGAAGCTCCCAGAACATTCGCCCACTCGCGTTAGAATTCGCACATTAATCTGCCACTGCCTTATTCACGGGCGTATGACAACCGTGTCGCACCCCGAATGACGTCCAATCTGTCAAAAAATCGTGGCGCTCATCGCGAGTGTTCTCCGTATCGACCATTTGGTTCGGATGGGCCGTTGATGCTTGTTTCCGCGATGCCTCACTGCTTAGCTATCATAACTTAGCTATTTGAAATTGGATACAACAAGGGTTGGACAGCCGCGAATGTGTTTTGGGTCACTTCCCTTGTTTCGGTCGCTCTAGCGCCATCAATAATCAGCTTAGCTACCAGTAGGTCCGGTGCAGATACTGCAGTATATTTGCATTTTCATCCTTAGATGGTCGTCAGCCCTAGACCCCGCTCCCCCATTATGGAAATTCTTGTGAACTTCCCGAGCAACCCTCTTCTCTCCTAGCTTACCTGTGGTATCGTCGGTGATCACTCTTTATTAGAATCATTGGCTCGGTACCAATTGAGCTCCTCGGTCGACATCGTCTGCTTCACATTTTCATATTTGCGAATCACTCGATCCTGTCATTCAGCAGTTTCGATGGCAGCACTGCTCCCTGTTGGAATTTTATTCACTGCTGAATCGTATAGTTTGGTTCGTGATTTATGGACTCGTCAGCATGAACATATTCGATTTGACCTCATCCGAGAACCAACTACTTGCCATAAATCGTTAGTCAATGGCAACCATCTCATTCTTTCTCACTCGGCGAGGGGCTTTTATATATTTTCCATCTTCGGATGGGGCAGCATCCCCAAGTCACAGCCAGGCCGAAGCTTGCAGCCCCGCGGGGTTCTCGCTTCCGCTAACGTAAGGCAGCCTCTAGCAAGGCTTTTCGCTCACTGACTTTCTACCTCGTCTATACGTGCGGCATTTAAGGAGCATCTTCAGATGGTATCGTGAGCCATATCGCCTCCTGCAACCGTCGATGCCCGGTCACTTTGGAATCAATGGGACGGCTTTCAGTTACGGGTGTCTGGCTGACAGCAGCGAGGTTGCAGCCTCATTCACCGGTGAATTGTCGCACCGGGGAGTGTGGCAGGACCACCCTAACCCTTCTGTTTCTACCGAAGCAGTATCTGACTTCTCCAATGGAAAGAAGTCATTGAAAAGGCTTCCGAAGGGGCTGTAGAAAGTGTTGCCTAAGAGGCTGTTTCAGATGTCTCCGTTACACTCACTTAGCTTTTTGCCTCCCATGATCCGAATCTGCGTGGAGACTTCCCGCTTCCCAGTCTTCCGACGCCAGGATCTTGTTTGTACAGCGAACCCACATCTGATTGATGTCTTTCTGTATTAGAGCCATATCTATTCCTGGCCTGGTTCGATCCAAATCGTAACGCCCCGGGTGCACTAATGCATATTGATTGCGCCATTTGTTTTTGCTCCGATGGGGGAGATATCGATGGTAACCATAAAATATGGTTCATCGGATAGACTGCTGACGTCACTCTTTGTTTGACTCCGGGGGTACAACAGTGAACTTTTCTTCCATCTGCTGGCGCAGACAGCTTGAGGCTTCAGCTTGCGACTCCACCTTTTTCGCAGTGACAAGGCAACGTATCATACGGCCTCCGCGCACGACTATTGTGACGACGTCGAGGGGTGCTCGTGGACGATAAGCTCCGCCTTCGCATCGTCGCACAGCAGCAGGAGGCCACTGGTCGAAGCCCGCTGTCTGTTTTTTTTTCATGATAGTTCCCTCACAGATCAGTGATGTGGTTAAGTAACTTCATACTGATTCGCGACTTTGACATGCGCGGCGCGAAACTGGTTGCTTGCAGTTACTCCTCGTCCTATCGTGACCCTGGATCTTCCATATTAGCTTCGAACGCTTTCCATAAATGAACAATGCGAGGAACTTTGGAATTTCAACCCCGTCGCGGAGAGGGGAGATAATGCCCCAGATGCCCCGATGTCATCTTTCGGCGCTCGGCTGACTTGAGAAGGGTCCGATGGCGCGGCTAGCTTCCATCTTGTAGAAGTTTGGCGTTACCACGGTGGACTGGCCCCTAGCTCAGCTGCACCGAGCACATCCGAGACATGCGCGGACGTGGAACGCATCGCTCATTGTATAACTGAATTCGGCCAACTCCGCTACAACTACAGCTAAGGCATTATAACTGATGGACGCCGCCTGTTGCGGCATTACCCGCTACTCTTATCGGTTCTCTCATCTGACGTCTATGGAGGAAGGCCAGATTGAATTCAGCATTGTGACTTACAGAGTTGTCCCAAATCCCCCTGCAAATCCCCCTGGCGGTTAGCCAAACTTGTGTCACTGCGCTGGGGTACATTGGTATCTCCTCTTGAACGGGTGCTCTACCCATGTACGCTGTGGCGAATTCATGCATTTGCAACAAGACAACTCCCAAGGCCCTCAGCTTGATTTGAAACGACAAGAGTGGCGTTGGGGATGAAAATTGTGTGTCATCCATGGAGACTGCGTGAGCGAATCCGTTCAGGGCCGGGCCCTGATTTTAACTCGAGGTGGATTTGAATGTGCAACAGGATGCCTTCTTCATGAGGATTGTTTAAAGGTTCAAACTGCAGTGCGTCCTTCCCAGGATGGCCTGTGTTCGAAGAGCCTCAAGCCCTGGGAGCGCGACATTATCATGCCTTATTGGTAAGAATCCGCCCGGCTTCCAGGAACTATGGCCCTCCCTGATTGGGACCTACACCGACGGGCAGGGTACAAGGCTTTGCTTTTGGACTTTGGTAGACAATCCACAAGTAACATAAGTGCCCAGCGAACATAACCCCAAAAAAATCCATGCATGAGTCCGTCTGTAAATCCTACACATCCTCCCGAACCAGCAATGCAATGTTTATTAGCACAAGTTCGCGCGAAAGAACAGCTCATCTGTTTCACAACTCAAAACCTCGTGGGCACTGAGTCAAACTCCATTTTCCGACCGTGCAATGGGTGATGACATCATTGGCCACAGACAATCAGGAAACGTCGAATAAAGAGAGAATGGGTAATGGAGAAAGGAGCATGGCATGAAGGGCAAGGGAAGTTATTGGGAAGGGGAGCTTTTAAAGCGAGAACAGGATACGGAAGTTACAAAACAAATGCGGAAAGTTGGCAAGACAAGGACCCTGGATAGCAAGGGAATTTGCAATAATACAGGACCTCTGGCACGGGCATTCAGTTTACGCATTCAAGACCCGCTACAGAGTAGCGGGAATATCACGCAGTTTTTCCTTTTTTTCTTGTTCTCATTCCGGAGACTGAGGTTAGTTATCTCTGTTCTTATAACCTTATTATCTTAGGTGTTCACTAAGGATCACACTGTTGAAATCGTTAAGCTCCACTCACTCCTTCCAAAATCCAGGTTCTGGTCTTGGCTTGGTGTTCCCGGCCTTAATATGAGCTACACTGCCTAGCGTCCATACCGGGAACTACCTCGGCCTCCTTCGTCAGGAAGGTTTCGACTTATAGTTCCTGGCATACACGCCAGTCTGCCACCTAGTGCACATTGAGCTGGGAACACCGACCGGAACCTAGATTTTGGAATGAGTGAACTCGAGTGTGATCCTCGGTGTGAACGAATTGCACATCCATGCACCCGTCTTGGAGGCACAGGTGGCGGTCAACTCTGGTTCAATGATACACGCTCCCCGCTTTCATCCCAATCCCCGCGTCCCTGCACTCATCGGAGGGCTATACAAGCTTCGTGACGATCGTCGCCCCATTACAACAATAATTCGATGACGTTCAACGCGCCGTTGATTGGACTGCCTAGCTCTGTCGCCACGAGTAGAACACGTGGCAATGATTTCCGTACAACCCAAGCCCGAGCAGCACCGTGCAATTCTGCCTCAGTCCGTAGCCAAAGGGCAAGTAGATCGTTTCTATTCGACGGTTGACCTCTGGTGGAATACTCCGTCTGACCCTGCAGTTGGAATGGTCACCATACACGCTTCACACCAATCGCCCATCGGCGCATTCCCGACAAACATCATTCACTATGGCAATTACCGCACCCATTATGACTTTTTTGTAAATCTCACATGGCTGTCAGGGCAGATTGCTCGGAACTGCTGAGGGTCTTGATTCTGATCTTGGAGGAACGCTGATCTCAGGACCCGAACTGTCCTGGCTCGCGATCAGCTCTTTCCGAACTTGGCATGCCGCATGGTATCCCATCTAACGAATATACGCCCACCGAACGAAACATGCACCAGTAGAAGCTCATTCGTTGTTGGGCGCATACGGACATTGCTCCCCACCCCACGAGGACGCAAGGACGATCAGTGCGTGCATTGGCTGTGCCGCGATGACATGATTCGATTGGTACATTGTGCGTACGCAGGGTCGACCTTACATTGAATTTGAATGAACCCTGTAAAGTCTACCTGCCCGACGTTCTGCATTTTGACCATATTCCAATCCCCCTGCTGAGACAAAACTTATCGCAAGGTCCCCAGCTATGATGAACAATTAACATCTGTCTGCTGCTAGGCCTCAGCGTCGGGATGCGGTCATCGTGTATCAGAGTGCAAAGTTCCGTTTTAAACACCCTTACGCCGTTTGTTGATGCATGCATAACTGGTCCCACGGCTAGGTTGGGGACATACTGATAGGTGGTTGTCATGCTTATGTCTTGGAAGCCAATGCAATTCCTCTTGGCGGAAGGATGCGGGGCATATTTACCGTATTGCTCTCAACCTGCACACGAAAGTCGAGCGGCAAAATACAGAGGGGCTTGCTTATCCGAGTGGTTGGAATCCTTGGGATGCAAAACCATCGGGTCACTCGCTAGCCTACAACCTTCATTCTGCTCTTAACACACTCGGTAATTATCTCCATTCAATTGCGTCGGTCGACTATAAATTGGCAACCGCCCGCCGAAATGGGTGGGCCGAAATGGGCGTCATTGGTCATAACACCGGAGATGAGTAACCGGCAATGAATGATTATTCGTGGGGATGAGCATGATCTCCATAATCTCGTACTAGCCAGACAAGCTCATTACATTCATTTGATAGATTACCCCGTTCGTGGCGGTCCATGCCCCCGACGCCGAGGGACTGGGAACAACTTTGAGACCTACATCCTCGGGGTTGGCTGGTCGATCCACTTGGGAGCAGTTCTAATACATGCAGAGGGCCGAGGAGTGACGATGGTAATCACCTGTGTCGTGATAGGATGTATATGGTGTAAGGTGCAGACAGCCTCGATGTGGGGAAAGCATAGTATGCACAGGCCTGGATCGTGCTATATCTGTTTAAGTTGGTCATGATAAACGTTGAATCATCCTACTGTTGGGGATTCCTAGATTGTCAAAGAGTCCATAGGAAACAAACGAAAAAAATTGAACCGAAAAAGAAATGTGCGATCACTTCATAACCAAGCGCACGATTAGTCTAGACCATAAGTCAGTGAAACAAAGCAACGAATCAGGCGGGAATCAAAAAAGACCCGGTAAAGAAGAAAATCGAAAATGTTGGGAGAAAAAACCCTAAATTGATGGGACACGCCGGTGCATGCCCTGGGAGTTCAACAGTTCCTTCTCCTTTCTGGTCAGAAGTTTCAAAGCGCTGGCGTCAACGCCAGCCTCCACGAACGAGGAACTGCGGCGACGAGCATCGATGATGCTCTCCACGTGGCTAGCACTGGGGCAACTGTCTGTTTCCGTCGCATCATTTGCCAAAGTTATTCTTGAGCATTCTTGAGGTTGAATGGCTTCAGCTCCGGTAGCCAATTCGACCAACTCGCGTGCCATCTTAGCTCTCTGCCTTCGACTCGTCTTTTGCGGCGTTGGCGTGAGTGAGAGTGGGAGTATTTGTGATGATGATGGTTGCTTTCCATTGCTGGAGGAATTCGGTCCCTGGTGGGAAGCGTCGACTGAATAATCAAGCGCTTCTGGAAACCGGTATAGGGGCTTCCCAGCAAAAGGAGAGGCCCTAGAGGTGTGTGACATGTCCGCGCCCATATCTTCAGTACAGTTGCACCCATCAGAAATAGAGCTGCCTTGGGCGTCTCCGTCTCTCCAGACCGCCGGTGATTGAGCGCCACTATCCCAATCCAGAGGAGAATATAAAGTGTCTGCATCATCGTTCTTCACTGATGATCCCTCACAGGATACGATCAGAGAAGGCACAGAGGCGACTGATGAGCTCTTTGAAAGGGGAGGTATTTGAACAGGATGTGAAGACACTTCGGAGATTGTCGGCGGCGGAGGGGGTTGTTCAGAAGTTCCGGGTATGCCCAGCAGCACGCCGCCAGAAAGAACGCGCACGGTCTTATCATCGTACACTTGCGGAGCGTGGTGATTCCTATCAATATACGGCGTATGACGAGATACGAAATCCTCCTCGTCAAGGCTCCCAACCTCATCCCATATCGATGTGATATCCATGCCAATCACTATGGCGTTCGAATCATGCGCCGGCGTCGGAGAAGTACTTTTCACCTGGTCAGGAAGAATACGTGGAGGGGTGGGCGAGTCTTTTGCTAGTATGAATGGAGTGACGGTCCCAGTTGAATCGCTCGCGACCTCCACATCCGCAGTAAGGCTATCGGGGTGTGGCTGAGGACTTGCACTATCGGGCTGTCGCTCCACGACTGTAGGTTTACTTGTAGCAAGAAGCAAGGGTTGTTCGTGTAGCGAAAACTGCCCCGGGCTGTTCGAACCTGTGTATGGATGCGTCATTGCGCCACTTGACACTTCCGGGATGCCCATTTCATCGAACGGTGGGCTAGGATATGGATATGGTGCCTGGGGAACTGCACAATCGACTGAGCCCTGAAGTTCGCCAATTGGGTAAGACCCTCGGATTATGGAAGGAGGAGTTATATGCGCAAAGTTGCAGCTGGTGCCGTTCTTACAAAATCCCTTTGCAAAGTATACACAGGCAGTCGGACCATACCTGGATGGCGAGCCACGGTTCCCACGACGGTTGAGAACTAAGCGCGGGCCATGCTGATAGTGGCACAGCTCCTCTGGACAATACCGCCCTTGGAGGAATTTCCAGCAGGGATTGGGTGATTTGAGAATGATAGGGCCAGGGATGACACGTCGGGATGGGTCCGCACTACGCATGAGTGTTGTGGTCGCCCTTCAGTACACTTTCGGAGTTAGGAATTGAGGGAAAAACCGTGTCCATTGGTGCTCACAGTGCAGTTAAAGTGGCGGTAATGACGGGAACTTGAACTGTCCAAAACGTGAAAGGATACTGACGGTGCGAGTGGCGAAGGAGATGCGTCAAGGTAAAGGGCTTGGACTTTTGTAGTTTTGAGCACTCATCAGTGTGCGCATAGAGCGGGGAGCTAATTGTTGAGCATAAAAAGAAAGCAGGCACAAGTTGTATGTAAGTCCGATCAATCATCCTCTTTACATTCCCGCGCCGACGACTGAGACGGAAAATGCAGTTGACGTACCTCGAGGCTCTTGCAGACGATCCATGCACGTTGAGGTGAGCCTCCAACCACTGAGGATTGACATTTTGTCGGCATCATGGACTTCCTAATTGGGCGCTAATGAATATGGACTTGCTGTTGAATTCAAATCATTTGAGTCCGTGTCCGTTTCAGTCTCAAATTCGTGTGTTGAAGGACGACCTAATGGGGCCATACCCTTATCCACCAAAAAAGCGGTCGGACTAGTAGTAGCTTCTCCGCATTGCTTCCAGTGCAGATTTTCCGTGTTGTATACTTCTTCGGTATTGCAACCGCTATCGAACAACGCAATTTTGAAGTCACTTGGATGAAGGAATGGCCTTGCCCCATGCGACACCCTCTCACATTGTCGTTGGCTTGCGTGTGGCTCTTTCCCAGATGCACTACAAAGCTATTAGCAACAGTTTAACTACTTAGGCGCAAACCTGTGCATGCACAGCATTTCTCGCAACTGATCATCCGGAAACCCTTGTAGATCGCAGCAGTTTTTCTTTTTTGCTCTTAGGGGCTGCGAGTGTTGCTCCTTGGGTTTCACGCTCTCCACGGGCCGGGCTGTTTGTGTACTGTGTCTAAGACTCAAATTATCCGCTATCTGATGACGACGGTATGCATACGCCCAACCGACACCAATCCCTCATTGGTGTTTCTGCACAACACATTTGTTGTTGATTCCCTCCGTTCACGAAGTGGAACAAGCCGAGCGAATGATGCACTGAGGCGCCAACCAGTAACGCAAACTCTTCGATCTCAGGAATTTCCAGGGACACCAGAACTATTCATGCGACGGTCCTGTAGCTCAAGTCGCCGCTTTCCCTTATCTATGACGTTGTCACGTTTACGTTCATAATTATTGCTCAGGCACCAATGTTGGCTGGGAAACCAATTTTTTGAACCAAGCCTAGTTCGCTTTGTTCGCAGCACCCTTGGTTCATGCCCTCAAAGAGCATTCCAGAGCTGTTCCAGATACTTAACGTTGCGTGAACACGAAGCGTTCCCCGTATGAATGCCATGCTCTTATGGCTTAGATGGTCGTTGTTGGCTGGTTGACTGGAAATAGCTTTGTTCCCCTAACGTGTGTCCATGCCTAAGACCCTTCGACACCTGCCATCACGAGTATAAGTTATGGTGGTCGGTCAGGATATCAAATCCAGCTTTGTGTTATTCTCAACTTCGAGTGTGAATGCGCAATTCAAACCGACAACTCTCACGGGTACACAAAGGTTTCCGATCAGCTCGGCGTGGATGTTTTATTGTGGGGTGTATTTTACATGTCCACATAAAGGCTCCTAGCAGGCTTTTTGCTTGGTTACTCAGCGCGACAGTCTGGGTGATGGATCTCCGGGGCAATAACTGGCTTCATATGGGGAAATATATGGCACGGCCGCTGATCTAACTAAACCATTTCCGGTGATCTAGGAGAATTTGTTAGCTAGTTGGGGCAGTTCGTAAGAAACGGTGTATTGGACTCCATCCGCCGCCCTCCATGTCCATTCCTGTCCTCAATGCTTGCGCCAGGCGCTCATTGGGGTTTGGAAATCAAGAGACCACTCTTATTGGCTAAAGGAGAACCGACAACTGGATAATTTGACCCGCGTGATGAAGAGAATTAGGCAAGATTCTGACTTCTGTCTGGTAGATGCATGCTAGAAATGTTATTTCTTACGCCACGTTTCGGTGCGCGGGTCGTTTCGGGAATGTCTGAATTTGGATGGTGCACGATATTTGGGTTCCATTGAACAAACGTACTTGCTTCTGCTTCTAGCTTCATTGTGGCAATATATCGGGAGGATCACCCGTACAAACCTATATCTGATAGATATCCGACCTGATCTAGCGGTGCATGTACGTTATCAGTTGGCGTGCGTGATGTGAATGCACCGTAATTGGCAGCCCCCGGCAGCAAGGCATATACGGCGCATCCGATGTTCATGATCATCTTTCTTCTCGGGATCCCTTTGACCGCTCGTACAATCAATATTCCGGTGGGGCGCGCGCGCGAGCATAATCTGTCAAATCCCCAGCCTGGGCGTTCCAATGTGGCGCAGCAATAATGTGCCCTTCTTGCCGTCATTCTCGAATGAACTTCCCATCTTCGCCCACTGAGCGAGACCTCTTTCCTTGGTCAGGATCGAGCGTTCCACAATTCCCTTAATGTGGCCATAACATATCATTAACATGTATGTTTATTCCGCGCAAATGTGTGAATGCGCATGTGACCAGTGGTCCAGAATTAAGTCGACCTATAAGAACTACTACACATAGGGAAGTCTTTATATTCGATAGCGGCTGCATACAGCACACACGCGGGTGCCAAATGCGTTGCGCAGCTTGTGAACGATCACATCTAACGTACAGTTAATCTTAGGTGGATAGTCCCGACGTCGGGATCTAGTGCGCTGTGGTGGGTAAATGCAACTATCTACATAACTAGGCAGGATCCCAGCCTCTACTAAAGTAGACTACATAACCGCCCGCCGCGCGATTGGTTCAAAGCTACTGGGATGCACGGCCGTAGGTGGCTAGATAGCGTGCTGACTCGGAATATTATATGAATGCAGATATTAGTATGTATCTATGTCTTATAAGCATTCTTATGTATGCACATTTTGAGCTAGGTGCAAAAAAAACGGCGGGTCCGGTTTGGATGGCGTGACCATATTGCCTATTTAAGCAAATGCGGTCGATCATCATTTATTTGCTGCCATTTTTTGGACGATCACATGACTTTCATGGTCATTTTATCCAAATCGGGCGCGCCGATTTTCATAGAGCAATTACATAACCACGATGCGTTGAGGCAAGCACTGTTGAAGTGTGCCGGTAAAATGGCTAATATAATAAATAAGCAGACAAAACGAAAGGGATAAGACCAAAAGGAAACTAACCTCAGTCTAGAAATGGGGGAAAAGAATAATTCGATAGATTTAAATGGCTATACAGTAACAAAAACAAAGTCACGTTGTAAGTGCGCGTGACTCGCAGGTAAGAAGATGGACATAACGCAAGTTCAACAGCGTGAGTCGTCACGGCGTTGTTGATACTCTGCAAATTCTTTTTGCTCCACAAATAATTTATAAATGGCCCCTGTACTAGCCTGACCTCTTTCCCTAGTAAGAAATTTTCCTACAACCTTTCTCACTCGTTCCTAGTTGGGCCCCCCATATCCCGCCAGGTCCGCGTAGCAGTCGAAATCAGACGTGCAGCGACCCCTCGTGTCCCAGAAGTACGGCCTATCGTCATCCGGAGAGAGGGGTTTGCAGGAAGTTGCATTGGTCCACATCCTTTGGCAATCTCCCCGACCTCCATCCGTGTCCGTCCAGTTCGTCCAATCAACACTAATGGTAACCGTCTTGTCGCAGAGGCTGGCGGTAACAGGACCTCCTTTTTCTGATTCCAAGGGCGAAAGACCCTGCGCAAGTGCAAAACGCAACATTGGAACGCAGTCGCTCACTGTGCAAACATTGGTTAAGTAAGAGTTAATGTCATTTCAGATTTCGGTTCACTCATGAGCGAAGGGACAACACCCGGTCCCGCTAGGACGTAGTTAAGGTCCTGATAGATCATGCCATGGAAGAAATCGGCCGTGACAATGGGAAGTAGGGCGGCAAGTGGGACAAAGGCACTCCAGAATCGCATTGTAACTTTTAAAGAATTGCCGCTGCTAGGAAATGGTATGAGTTTATAGCTCCGCGTATAACGTGAACACAGGAGTACCAGCCTTAGTCTCAGATGTAGTGCTAGGGGGATTGGGGAGAAGAGGAAGGGAAACCCATGTTATATGTATCCAATCAATATTCGGAAAAATAATCTAGTGTTAGCTGTACTAGTTGCCGTTGTTACTGTTTCTCGGACATTATCAGCATATCCAACGCTAGATATTGAAGTACATATTCCACATCGAATATTATATGCTGTACCCACACGACCAACTATCGGTGAAGTGAGGTTGGGGCGTCCAGTGCCTCGACCCATTTTCATACCTCCTCTCTGCTAGGACGACCTGCCCCGCTAATATAATATAATGCGCGATGTTCATGCATAAAAGGGCAGAACCTTTGGACCCCTCTCCCTCGGATCTCTGTTCAGTCTTATGAGTCTGAGGTGAGGAGGGTTTTTTTGTAATAAATAACTGTGGAACGCTGCCTGAAGCGGCAGATCCCGCTACTCTTACCTCGCATGCGTGTTCACTCTCAATGTTACTATTGGCTGAGATGAAGCCCGAGATTCACTCTAAACCCACCGCATACTCTGATAAGTTCAGGACCACATAATTTACACTGCAGCCATGCAGCAAGCGGAATAGAACTGTATGGGGCAGAGAATGGACCCTGGGTTTGGGGGTCATACAGGACCCTGTGCATAGGACAATTGAGTTTGGGAGAAGAAAACGTAGGACCCGCTACGGAGTAGCGGGAATTAATCCGATGGTTTGCTGTTCATCATCATCATCATCATCATCATCATCGGAATATTGAGTGCTCATGTATTATGTAATTGGCGTAGAATACGGTTTATGAATGGTTCTCACGGGGGATAATTGAGTCAATACGTAGTGACATCTTGGTTGAGAATTACACGCCGTAGCTTCTATACACTGTTCAGATTTCTCCAATTATCCTCCAGCCATCAGGACCAGGACCGAACCGTGACCAGCCCTCCAAGGACCACGCATGGCATCGGCACCCCCATGCGCAACGAACAATCCGAGCAAGCGCCCCTGACATGGAGTCCTGCCTACTCTTGACATGGACATTCTCCTTCGGCTCCTGCTAGGAACACGGCCTCTCGGCTAAACCCAGTTTTCATAACCTCAAATACGTCAGGCGAAGTTAGGCGTTCGATCCAAATATGGCCAACCCGTCAGCTTCAGCGGTTCACTCGCAAAGCAAAGTGATATAGACAGGAGAAAAACAAACTCAAGAACATAAAGCACCCATATTTATACCATGCAATGACAAAATCTGGAGCATTCTATGTGCAGCGCGTACTTCCGCAGGCGCTTAGTCATGTCCTAAGCTCCTCATTATCTGTCACGGAATCCGGTGACTCGCATTTTCCAACAATCGCTTCTGTGTAATTGGGCAGCTCATTTACTCCCCCTTGGACATCGCTCACATGCTCAGCAGCTTTCAGGTCACCAAAATCTTGAAATATGAGTTACTACATAGGCCACGCTTGTCAGCTAGAGGAAAAGTCCGCGACGTTCCCACTAGCTAACAGTGGCGCACGGACTTACCAGCCACCCTAGGATTTTCCCACTATTCCCTTTTGACCGGTCTTTCTTGTTGATAGGCGGCGTTGTAGGCATAAAAGCCACTCGTCGCGACTACTTTCCTCTCCCCTCAGTTGCACTATCGTGAACTGAGGTGACTTCTTGGTCACATTAGACCATATTTTACTCATAACTTGTAATTGTCTAGCGCTCATAGCTGTACATACATCGCTAGTTCCTCGATCTCACAACGCTTGCCAGCCCAAACGCCTTGGCACTGCGCGCGCGATCGATAGTTTCACCACCTCGGTCTGCCAAAGTTGGCTTGCTTGGACACCGATAGGTCAGTTATGGTGGTCGCAAATCCAGCTCTGTGTTATTCTCAACTATGCGCAGTTCAAATCGACAACTCTCACGGGGTACATAAAGGTTTCCGGTCAGCTCGACGTGGATGTTTTATTGTGGGGGTGCATTTTACATGTCCACATAAAAGCTCCTAGCGTGCTTTTTGCTTGGTTACTCAGCGCGACAATCCGAATGATGGATCTCCGGGGCATAACTGGCTTCATATGGGGAAATATATGGCACGGCCGCTGATCTAACTAAACCATTTCCGGTGATAGGAGAATTTGTTAACTAGTTGGGGCAGTTCGTAAGAAACGGTGTATTGGACTCCCGTGGTCCGCCGCCATCCATGTCCATCCCTGTCCTCAATGCTTGCGCCAGGCGCTCACTGGGGTTTGGAAATCAAGAGATCATTCTTATTGGCTAAAGGAGAACCGACAACTGGATAATTTGACCCGCGTGATGAAGAAAATTAGGCAAGACTCCGGCTTCTGTCTGGTAGATGCTAGAAATGTTATTTCTTACGCCACGTTTCGGTGCGCGGATCGTTTCGGGAATGTCTGAATTTGGATGGTGCACAATATTTGGGTTCCATCAAACAAACGTGCTTGCTTCTGCTTCTATATAGCTTCATTGTGGCAGTATATCGGGAGGATCACCCGCACAAACCTATATCTGATAGATACCTCGACCTGATCTAGCGGTGCATGTTATCAGTTAGCGCGCGTGATGTGTACCCTAGCTCGTGAATGCACCGTATATAATTGACAGCCCCCGGCAGCAAGGCACATACGGCGCATCCGATGTTCATGATCATCTATCTTCTCGAGATCCCCAAATTTGACCGCTCGTACAATCAATATTCCGGTGGCCGGGGTTGCGCGCGCGAGCATAAACTGTCAAATCCCCACGTTCCAATGTGGCGCAGCTCGATCCAGTTATAATTATGTGCTCTTCTTGCCGTCATTCTCGAATGAACTTCCCATCTTCGCCCGCTGAGCGAGACCTCTTTCCCTTGGCCAGGATCGAACGTTTTACAATTCCCTTAATATAATATTGCCATAACATATCATTAACATGTATGTTCATTCCGCGCAAATGTGTGAATGCGCATATGACCAGCGGTCCAGAAGCTGGATTGGTTCGACCTATAAGAACCACTACACATAGGCGGGAAGTCTTTATATTGGCATTCTTCGATAGCGGCTGCATGCATACAGCACACGTCACGCGGGTGCCAAATGCGTTGCGCAGCTTGTGAACGATCACATCTAACGTACAGTTAATCTTAGGTGGAGTGCGCTGTGGTGGGTAGTTGCAACCACTACATAGGTTTGCAAAGCATGTACGCACCAGTTACTATCTACATAGTCGTCCGATTGGTTCAAAGCTACTGGGATGCACGGCCGTAGGTGACTAGATAGCGTGCTGACTCGGAATATCATATGAATGATATTGGTATGTATCTCTCTGTGTATATAGGCGTTCTTATGTATGCACATTTTGAACTTATTGCAAGGTGCAAAAAATTGGATGAATGGGGTGACCATATGTACCTATTTAGGTCGATCATCATTTATTTGCTGCCATTTTTGGACGATCACATGACTTTCACCGCGCGCCGATTTTTTTGGTACCATGCAATATTATTCACTAGTCATAATCGGCAGTCTTGTGCATGTACAATCTGATAGAATCCACATGCATATAACCACGATGCGTTTGAATAAGCACAACCATGGTAAAAAGATGTGACATAACGCAAGTTCAACAACGTGAGTCGTCACAGTGTATGTTAATAACGAAAAGAACTCGAATATTAGGTCGTTCCACAGATAAATAGCCCCCTGTACTAGCCCGACCTCATTCCCTTAGTAAGATAATTTCCTACAACCTTTCTCACTCGTTCCTAGTTGCCCCCCGGATTTCCCCCCAGGTCCGCGCGGCAGTCGAAATCAGACTCGCACCAGCCATTATCTTCCCAGCTCCACGTCGAATTATCCGCCGGATAGTAGGGGGTGCAGACAGCTGTCTGATTCCATATCCGAGTGCAATTTCCCCCGCCTCCAACCGTGTCCGTCCACTTGGGGTGCTTAGGGTCAGACTGATTTATGGTAACCGTCCTGTCACAGACGTTGGCGGTCCAATGACTCCCATTTGGTGTTGCGTAGGGAGAAATATTTTGCGCAAGCCCATAAGGTATCATTTGATTGCAGTCGGCCGCTGTGAAAACATTGGTTAAGCAAGAGTTAATTCCTTTTCAAATTTCGGTTTACCTATGAGCGAAGGGACAATACCCCCTCCCAATAGGCCCTGGTTATAGCCCTGAGAGATCAGGCCATAGTGGAAACGAGCCGTGACGATGGGGAGTAGGGCGGTAAGTAGGACAAAGGCACTCCAGAATCGCATTGTAACTTTTAAAGAATTGCTGCTGGGAAATGGTATAAGTTTATAGCTTCCGTGTATAACGTGAACCCAGGAGTACCAGCCTTAGTCTCAGATGTAGGTGCTAGGGGGATTGGAGGGAAGAGGAAGGGAAGACCCATGTTATATAGGAGTTGCGGTATCCAATCAATATTCGGAAAAATAATCTAGTGTTATGTAGCAGTACTAGTTGCCCTTGTCACTGCTAATAATAATATATTCGCAATGATGCAAACTAGCAGTACTCAAGATAATCCTAACACGACCGAAACTATTGATTAGACACTGAAGAAAAAAGATACCATTGCAGAATCATGCCCATGTGAGGATTTCATGAAAATCCTTGTGCTGCGCTACAGCAGGATGCCTGCTTAATTTTGTAGATACAGATACACCTTGGAGATAGAAACACTCATAACACTGATCTCACATCACCACCAAGAATATTAATCACTGCGTTTTGAGGCACCATATCCAAGCTCGGATATTGATTCCATATTGAATATTATATGCTGTATCCACGCGACGTCCCACGTACTAATAACAGTGGCGCACGGACGTACTTACCAACCACCTAGGATTTTCCACTATTCCCTTTTGGTCTTTCTTGTTGATCATGGGCGGTGTTATTGTTGGCTTAAAAGTCACTCGTCGCGACTACTTCTACTTTTCTCTCTCCTCAGTTGCACTATCGTGAGGTCGTACCTTCTTGGTCACATTAGACCATTTTACTCATAACTTGTAATTGTCTAGTGCTCATACATCGCTAGTTCCTCTCACAAGCGCTTGGCCCAAACGTCTTGGCACCCCGGTCTGAAATTGGCTTGCTTAATGTTTGAGTGATAAAAAAAACTCAAAACGCAACCTATTTACTAAAGAAAAAAAAGGTCCCGAGGGACACATTGAGACTTATTTCTGCCCAATTTACAGCCCATTCTATCCAGCCGTTGTCGAGAAAATCGTGTAAAAGCGGTAAAACCTAAAATCATGAAAAATAAAAATTATCGTTATCGCTAAAAAGGTCCGGGCGTAATAGATACACAAACGTTTTGCAGCAAACCGCAAGTGACTAGCTTATGTGGTTGCTGAGATATGGTGCACTCTTTGTTGAGCCCTGTTTTCGGGCAACGAGGAAGGGCGGAAACAAAAACAATGAATCACGTGACAACTAAGCCGAAAACGGCTGTACTTATCTACTGGGATTGTTGTAAACGCGGCGTTCCATATATGGCAACCCGCTTCAGCGGTTCACTCGCAACCCAGATGTGATATAGAAATGGAAATGAGAAGAAAAACTAACTAAAGAACAAACGGTGCTAAAGTACCCATATTTATACTCCTGAATAACATTCCAGGCTCTTCTATGCTCAGCGCTTACGCATGCGCCTAGTAACCTGTAGAATATTCTCGGATATTCCGGTTCAATCTAATCATGTGACTCGTATTCCAACAGGGATGCACAGCCATAGGTGACTAGATAGCGTGCTGACTCGGAATATCATATGAATGATATTAGTATGTATCTATCCCTCTGTGTATATAGGCGTTCTTATGTATGCACATTTTGAACTTATTGCAAGGTGCAAAAAATTGGATGAATGGGGTCACCTATTTAGGTCGATCATCATTCATTTGCTGCCATTTTTGGACGATCACATGACTTTCACCGCGCGCCGATTTTTTTGCACCATCCAATAATGACAATATTATTCACTAGTCATAATCGGCAGTCTTGTGCATGTACAATCTGATAGAATCCACATGCATAGAGCAATTAACCACGATGCGTTGAGGCCCTCTGAATAAGCACAACCATGGTAAAAAGATGTGACATAACGCAAGTTCAACAACGTGAGTCGTCACAGTGTATGTTATGTAATAACGAAAAGAACTCGAATATTAGGTCGTTCCACAGATAAATAGCCCCCTGTACTAGCCCGACCTCATTCCCCTAGTAAGAAAATTCCCTACAACCTTTCTCACTCGTTCCTAGTTGGTCCCCGCGTATCCCCCGCATATCCCCCAGGTCCGCGTAGCAGTCGAAATCAGACTCGCACCAGCCATTATCTTCCCAGCTCCACGTCGAATTATCCGCCGGATAGTAGGGGGTGCATACAGCTGTCTGATTCCATATCCGTTGGCAATTTCCCCCACCTCCAACCGTGTCCGTCCACGTGGGGTGCTCAGGGTCAGACTGATTCATGGTAACCGTCCTGTCACAGACGATGGCGGTCCACTGACTCCCATTTGGTGTTGCGTAGGGAGAAATATTTTGCGCAAGCCCATAAAGTATCATTTGTTTGCAGTCGGCCGCTGTGCAAACATTGGTTAAGCAAGAGTTAATTCCTTTTCAAATTTCGATTTACCTATGAGCGAAGGGACAATACCCCCTGACACTTGGAACGCGTTATCGCCCTGAGAGACCAGGCCATAGTGGAAACGAGCCGTGACGATGGGAAGTAGGGCGGTAAGTGGGACAAAGGCACTCCAGAATCGCATTGTAACTTTTAAAGAATTGCTGCTGGGAAATGGTATGAGTTTATAGCTCCGTGCATAACGTGAACCCAGGAGTACCAGGCTTAGTCTCAGATGTAGGTGCTAGGGGGATTGGAGAGAAGAGGAAGGGAAGACCCATGTTATATAGGAGTTGCATGCGGTATCCAATCAATATTCGGAAAAATAATCTAGTGTTATGTAGCTGTACTAGTTGCCGTTGTCACTGTTAATAATAATATGTTCGCAATGATGCAAACTAGCAGTACTCAAGATAATCCTAACACGACCGAAACTATTGATTAGACACTGAAGAAAAAAGATACCATTACCCATGTGAGGATTTCATGAAAATCCTTGAGCTGCGCTACAGCAGGATGCCTGCTTAATTCTGTAGATACAGATCATACACCTTGGAGGGATTTATACTAATGTATAATAGAAACACTCATAACACTCATCTCACATCACCACCAAGAATATTAATCCCTGCGTTTTGAGGCACAATATCCAATGAAGCTCGGATATTGATTGCATATTGAATATTATATGCTGTATCCATGCGACGTCCCACGTACTAACAGTGGGCGCACGGACGTACTTATATACCAACCACCTAGGATTTTCCACTATTCCCTTTTGGTCTTTCTTGTTGATCACAGGCGGCGTTGTTGGCTTAAAAGTCACTCGTCGCGACGTCTACTTTTCTCTCTCTCTCCTCAGTTGCACTATCATGAGGTCGTACCTTCTTGGTCACATTAGACCATTTTACTCATAACTTGTAATTGTCTAATACATCGCTAATTCCTCTCACAAGCGCTTGGCCCCAAACGTCTTGGCACTGCGCGCGCGCGCGATCAATAGTTTCACCACCTCGGTCTGAAATTGGCTTGCTTTAATTCGTCCTTAACAAGTACGCCTGACTCATCTGAGCTGAGAACTCTTTGGCTCTTGCTTGGTACGTGGACTGATCTAATTTGGACATTCGAGGGTACACAGCATAACCGCTAACTTTTATCATGCGACATAAAAGACGATCTCTGTGGAAAGGAGGTATCATCGCTGATCCAAATTACTTAATGCTTGAACAACAGCAAAGTTATATATATATCACGTCCTCGATGCGCTCGATCAATGTTGAAGGGGTTGCGCGCTGTCCATGTCCATGTCCATTTAGATTGAACCGCTTTTCCGCTATCAAGTTATCCATGATTCTGTCACATTGGGGGGGGGGGGGGGACTTTAGTAAATACTGAAATCTAAATCGCATTTTTGGCTTCTAATATAATTTGTTGTGACTTGGACTGCAATCCACATGACAAAAAATTAATCCTGCCCTCTAGCTAGATTGATACATACCATCATGGACCGGTGGTTTGTGAAATGCCATGATACTTAGTCGACAAAAAATCCTGTTTGCAATGATCCTACACTAGTAGTGGTGTAAGGCCGGATTTTTTTTTTCAAGAAATTCTTTGTCATGGAGTTATACATATATGTAGCAGTTGAAATTAGTCTCGCAGAAGCCGCCATCGTCCCATTGGTACGTCGCACCGTCGCCGTAGGGGTTGCAGGGCGGGAGCGGTGGGTCCGTAGAGTCGTTTCGAAGTGTCCGCCAGCATGGTCCGCCACCTCCATCCGTGTCCGTCCAGCTGAGCCAAGAATCATTAACGGTAACCGTCTTGCCGCAGATGGTGGCAGTGAAAGTATTAAGTCCTGGTTCGAAGAGCGGAATATTCTGCAGCGAACCAATGCGCACTGCAGCCTCGCAGGTGTCTGTTAATTGTTGCAAAGAAACATTGCAGTTAGTTAAGCAAAGAGTTTAAATTCCACTTCAGATTTTTCGGTTCACCGTTGAGCGAAGGGACAATAGCCCCTCCCTGTTGCTTTCCTCCTTTGATGATTATGCCATAGTGGATATCAGCCGTGACAATGGGAAGTAGGGCAATAAGTGGGACGAAGGCACTCCAGAATCGCATTGTAACTTTTGGAGAATTGCTGCTGCTGCTGGGAAATGGTATGAGTTTGATAGCTCCGCGTATAAGGTGAATCCAGGAGTACCAACCTCAGTCCCAAGTGCAAAGTGTAGGTGCTAGGGGGGGATCAGAGAGAAGAGGAAGGGGAAACCTATGGTATGTATGTATATAGGAGTTGCGGTATCCAAACAATATTCGGAAAAATAATCCGTTAGCTGTAGCACTGTGCGTGCCGTGTTACTGTCACTCAAGAAGTGAGGCAACTAATCGTCCTAACACGACCGAAACATCCTTGTGCTTTGCGCTTACACTAGTAGGATATACCTGCTTCTGCAGGGAGCAGGCAGGTGACCAGCCTCTCTTTGCACACCCTTGGACGGATTTATAAGTAGAGTAGAAATCGGCGGGCATTGATTGTCTCGTTGATATGATGGGAACAGGTACGTGTGGTCGTGTTTATATTAATTTATTGGTGATGGAGGTAATGTATCATGCAATATGACTAGGTACGAGTCTGGGTACATAATGTATGCCCACGGGATCCAAACGGAATATGTACCACCATTCAAAGGCGTCTCAGGTTAGACGCTGCCGCGCGCGCGCGGGGGGCAGCGCGTCGTTTCTCACCGTTTGAGTGTTGAAGGGTATGGCACAAGGACGCTGATGTTAAAAAAAAAAAACACTCAGTGGTAGAGTGAGGAGCTCGCTTTACACTTGTGGAAAAGTCGCGAGAGGTCTGGAATTTTGGTCAACCTCCAAATCTCCAAAAAATTTTGTGTATGTGTGTGTGTGGTTACTTGTTAGTTCACAAGTTGTGGTGCTTGCCTTTTCAGACAGAATTCGATGGACTCCCCAGCACAAATTGCTTATGTAAAAAGCCGTGATGCTCTTCGCTGATAGGATCCCAGCCTCTAACTAAAAAAAGTCTTCGCTATATATATATATATATATATTGTTTGTTTGTCATAGAGGCGCCAGAAGTCCTTCCGCGGCAGTGTTTTTTGGTTGCCCTGGGGTGGGGAATAACAACATGTAAGAGTAAGTGACAGGTGTTTACGTAATTTCCGAGCAGCAGTAGTTGACCTGCAGTGCAGGTAACGCTATTACATGAGAGGACTTAGGAGTCCTTGGTAGGAGCTTCATGCGTGCATCGCACGTGCACGGTGATTATGTAATTCGCGTGCGGAGATTGCCATGGCGCGCCGCAGCTGTGTTTTAGCCCCTCGGTTTGGCCGGATTAGTAAGAAAGCATTGTCATTAGGCTGAAACTGCGCCATGGCCAGCTTTACAACAGCGTTTGGGCTATGCTCAGCTAGGTACATCGATGCAAAGTTGACGCGGGCGCTGGGCTGGACACAGAAAGGGGGGTGACCGTGCAGTTGGATATTATATATGTAAGCTGGCGAGCGTGAGCGGTGGAGCCGATCGGAAGTGGAGGATGTGAAAGTAACATCCATCCATATGCGTCGGATTCGGACGTAGGGGTTGTGTTGTACCCGCAGTTTGCAGCGTGGGTCATACGGCGTTTGATCGAGGATTTGAAGATTGGATGGGCACCCCCGGAGAACATTAGGTGAAACTGGTGCCAAGAGTTGTCAGGGTGATTAAGAGCTTAAATCCATGGAGGTCGGATTTGTTGGTTGAACGGGCACGGGGAAGTCGAGAGGTGGGGAGGTTGATGTTGATGTGGCGCTTCGTTTTTTTTATGTAAGTCGTACCCAAGCCCAAGCTAGATCAACCGGATCACCAATGCATTATTGTGATTCTCTGATGAACACATTCTTCCTTTTCACTTGGCGTTTCTTTTCTTTTCTTGCGTGAGTTGGGCGGGGATGTGAGTGCGTGCGTGCGAAAGTGCGGGAGAAATGAGTTGATTACTTACTAGGCCATTAATATGATAGGGAGGGGGGGAAGGAGATAGGAAGGGAATATTGAAGGGAGTGTGTGTGTGTGTGTGTGGAAGGAAGGGTGAGCTCGGACTGTCACTGAAGGAAGAAGGAATCGAACGCTTGGCAGGAAGGAAGCCAAGCGTGGTGAGAAAGAGAGAGGCTGGCCGAGGAGAGAGCGACAGTACTAGCAGTCAGTTCCATGATGTCGGAATAAGGAATATCGAGAAGAAATCGGGAGAGCCGGGAGAGCCGGGGGAAGAAGAAGCGCAAAAACGGAACAATACCTGGCCTTGGCTGATTAGCTCGGCGCTTCCTAAACAAGGGAGCCTTACTTTAGTGGTAATATGAATTTGGAAATGGTGCGACCAAGGGCTCGATCATTCATTGACTGCGGTGCTGCTGCAAAACTGCAACACCCTGCACGACTCAAGGTAACCAAGAAATTGAAAACACCGTGTACATATGTATATTGATCCAAGACGAGGGTCCTTGAGCTTCGGTTGTTTCCGATTCGCCGTGTTAGCTTAGTGACTTCCTCCCCCACGTTCTTCGGAATCCTTCGCGGTTAACCCACCGACCACGCGGAGGACACTCTGGCCAAGAGCTTGGGATCTAGCTCAATTCGGGCTGCTTGTTGCTGGTTAGGGCATGTGGAAGAAGATACATATCAGGGTGGGAGGTGGGCTCGGTTAACGATAGCGAATATCGGGTACGCGTTTATGGGTGAACACTGTGCGTGGACAAATTTGATATTATTCTTGTTGGAATTGTATTCCGCCAAACTCACTACTGGAGTTGTATGTCTCAGTAAAAATGCCTCAACAACAACAACAAGCGTCCGAATCGGGCGCTTTCGTATGGCTTTTTTTCGATTGTTTTTCGGCAAGGTGATTAGCGCATCTTTCTCTCCCTGGGAACTCTCCTGTTCCTAGAGATGGGAGAGGGGGCTGCTCACTGGTGTTGGTCTTTGCGCTGTTGAATGCACTGAGTAAGTAATATTCGATCTGCTCGGGAAACCAAAAAAAAAAAAGGTCGATATCAATCGGGAAATTAACCACCAATTAAATTAAATTAAATTAGTTTTTTTTTATAATATATTTTATGAATTTGTTAAAAATGAAAGTCCGAATGAGTAAGGAGATGTTACACATCCAAGCCCCAAGGTGTGACAAGTGACACCCTATTGGTTCGTCACTCTGTTTAGAGATATTTCCTCTTCTTCGCTTTGCCGAGAACGCGCGATATATCTATCTCCTTTCTCCTTCGCTCCCCTCCCCCTCCCTTCTCCCTTCCTCTTCCTCTTCCCGGCCTCACAACAACCTCCATCTTCATCCTCGTTCGTATCTGGAACCACAACTCCGCCTAACAAAACTCACATTCTAATTCAGACACCAACTGCCTTCCCTACCCAGCCCAAAGTCCGGCCCATTACCCTTAGAATGTTGTCCGCAAAACCGATGGAGCTCGTAACCGTGTCCCTATCACCAAAACTTGACATGTCAGCTACCAGAGTGCCTCTTACGAGTCTCACTCCACCTGCCTCCCCTGCCGAACTCATTCATATCGAGACTCATGCTGGACGTCGTTTTACCCTCGAAAAACCAGGCGCCCATCTCGATCCATGTCTTGTTCCACCACATCCTGTATGTTCTCGATCACATCTCTCTTTCTTTCATTCGTTACGCTATTTCCATTCCTGTGTTTTGGAGGGCGTCTCAGGTATAGCCTTAGTGACGTATTTGGCGTCTACGACGTACCCCATCGCTACCCCATATGTGGCTCTCATGTCCAATTTCCTACCCAACGCATGAACCAAAGCTAACGACCCTTTCTCTTTTCCAGTCTGATCCACCACGGCGTCCATTTGTCTCTGCCCCCACTACCCCTCCGGGTACCGGTGATGATGATGTTGCGGCCACTACTAATCCTTCGGTACCGGTTGATGCAGCAACGATAGCGTTTCCAACTTCCTCATCATCCACATCATCTTCATCATTATCAGAGTCACCACCACGACTGCAACCTACTTCTTTACAGCCAGTGTCTGATCCATCTCGGTCGGCCATTCCCGCCACGGCGACGCCTCCTCGGTCGGGTTTCTCTTTCAAGCGCAAGTTGAGTACTGGATTTGGTAAATCAAGCGCTCACAGTCAAACCCTTCCTCTTCCTCCTCACTGTGATGCCTCTGTTATTCCCCCCGTTCCCCCTATTCCGCACTACTCAAAACTGAAGGAGAAGGAGAAAGAAAAAGAAAAGAGTAAACTTCTTCAACATCGTACTTCGTTGCATTTCCCGCATCATCCACTGAACGATCTTAAACGTTTCTTACAACATCATATGCCCCATGGTCCACATGCGCATGCTCATGCTTCTCACCCTTCCGTCTTCCCATCTCCTGGAACTCGACCACCACCCGCTACTGTGGCTATCCCACCTGTTCCCCAACGTAGAGGGACACCTATATTTTCGACGAGTCCCATCGCGTCGCCGACGGATCTCAAGTCTGGGTCACGTTCGCCTTCACCGAGCAAGTCATCTTCCTCATCCTCTGAGCAGCAGAAGAAGAAGAAGAAGAAGACTAGTAACAGTAGTTTCACTGAAAAGGGAGCGGCGGCGGGGTTAGCTGCTGTTACCCGAACTGCGACGTCCTCGATTGGGTTGACACCTTATTTGCGTACTGCTGGGGCTCCTAGCATCCTATCGCATCCTTCTCAAGAGGATGAACGTGATAATTGTCCAGTTGCTCCGACTGGCGCTGCTACTACTACTACTACTACTACAACTCCGATCGCTATTTCGTCTAGCGATGATGCCGTTACTCAGAGGGCTGTGACAGGTTCTTCTTCATCGGGGTCTTCTTCGCCACTTGCTTCGACGACTGTGACGGTGCTTCCGAACTCCACTGCTTCGGACCCTGTAGCCACTACTACTACTACTACCCCTTTGCCATTATCGGCGGGTGCTCCTGCTTTTGGTTCTCAAGGTTCTCAAGGCACGATGGATAATGGCTCAGGGCCTATTGTGGAAGCGGGAGTCATACCTGGGGCGCAACCTGCGGCGTTGAAGGTGGATGCCGCGAAGCCAAGCGATGGGCAAGTCAAGCCGCAGGTTAAACCTCCTGTTCCAACGGTACCACAATTACAGCTGCCACAACAGGAGCAACGTGCGAAGCCTCATACTCAAGTGAATCATCAGAATCAGAATCATCATCATCATCATTGGGGGGGACAACATATGACGCCCAGTGGAACTCACACCCCTACTTCCCTCGCCGAAGCCACTCACGTTCACCTGTCGAAGAAGTATGGCAAGTGGGGTAAAGTTCTCGGATCTGGAGCTGGAGGGACGGTGAGATTGATCAAAGGGAACGCTAAATCGGGAGGGAAGGTATATGCTGTGAAGGAGTTTAGGGCGAAGAGGGCGAACGAGAGTGAGAGGGAGTATCAGAAGAAGGTCACGGCTGAGTTTTGCGTTGGGAGTACGTTGAAGCATGTTAACATTATCGAAACGGTTGATATCGTGTCGGATCATGGGCATTATTACGAGGTAACGTGGTTTGGTTTTTCTAAATTTCATTTTTTTTTTTGTTTTTTTTTTTTACTTCCTGAGCCCCCTTTTTTTTTTTTCACTTTCACGTTGTTATGCTTTTCCCCGCCCCGTGTTTATTTTTATACTCGGCGGCCGTTATTGCCGCCTGATTCTTTTCGTTATTTTTGGCCTTTTTCATTTCCCCCCTTTGATTCATCGATAAGGGCAGCTGGGATGTTGTACCGATTCGGTATTTCATTCTCCCCCGCGCGGCATCTATCTTCATTTCACTCCACCTGTGTTTTCTCTTCTCAGCTATGCGCTTTGCCCTATCTGACCCCCTACTATCTCTATATCATTTTAGGTAATGGAATATGCCCCGCATGACCTCTTCAGTGTCGTCATGTCAGGCCAAATGTGTCGACCCGAAATCTACTGTATCTTTCGGCAGATATGTGATGGCGTCGATTACCTCCATGGAATGGGACTGGCCCATCGAGACCTCAAGCTGGATAACTGCGTCATGACCACTACCAACGTCGTCAAGTTGATCGATTTTGGTACGGCGACGGTGTTCAAGTATCCAGGGAAGAAGAACGTTTTGGCGAGTGGGATCGTGGGGTCGGATCCGTACCTTGCACCCGAGGTCTTGACGCAGGATAAGTACGATCCTAGGAAGACGGACGTATGGAGCGTTGCGATGATCTTTTTGTGCATGGTGTTGAAGAGGTTCCCGTGGAAGATTCCGGATCTGAAGACGGATGCTTCGTTTAGGAGTTTTGTGCAGGCTCATCCGGATTTGAGCGTTAAGAAGGAGAGGTCGGTTAGTGCTTGTGGTGGGAAGACGGGTGGAGGGATGGGTGTGAACGAAGATGGGAATGGGACGGAACTGGGGTCGCAGAGGTTGCCGACGCGAACTTCGGTCGTCTCGTCTCGCGTGGCGAGCTCTGCGCTTCCAAGTATACCAATGGCTCCATGTCGAGCGATGAGGATAGGGATAGGGACGCAAAGTTTGATAGCGTCTTGAGAGAACAGGGGATTTCGCAGTTGGGTAGGGGCAGTGCGACGACGTTGCCTCCCGTTCCGGTGACTGTGCACGAAAGTCCGGTTGAGGACCGGCATTTGGATCAGTCTGTGTTGAATTTGCCTGGTCCTGCTGGATCGACGGAGAGTTTACCTTCGCCTGCTTTGCGTGAGGCCGGCGTGGGTGTGGATGTTGGGGAGGACGAGTGTGAGAAGTTGGGTGCGGTGCCGGACTCGCCTGTTACGCCTCGGGCAGCTCCACGACATGTTCGGTCGGAGACGAGCCCGACTGTTGCTACGCTCACTCTTCACAAGCCCAGGATTCGCCTCCTCGTTCTTCATCTGCTGCACCCGATTCTGCTTCCGCTCCCGCAAATCCTCCCGCCACTACGAATCAAGAAAGCGCCCTTTCTGGTCTGACGGTCGTCCGAGGCATGGGAGCGTCGCTTCTGTGGCGACGACCGATGGAGGAGGAGCGGATTCGATCTTCCGGTTACTCCCACGCGAGTCGAGGTCTGCGATCCGACGTATGATGAACGTGGAACCTTCGGGGAGGTGTACGCTTTCCGATTTGTTGTATGGACGTGGGAAGGGGAGGGGATTGGTAGGTGGTTGCGTTGAAGGAGGGAGCAATACGCCGCCAGAGATGTTGGAAGCTGATGAGGACAGTGAGAATGAAGGTGAAGGTGAAGGCGAAGCGAAGGCGAAGTGTGTGCCGATGGGTCGGGTCGTAGTGTTACTGGGGGCAGACAATGTAGAGAGGATGAAGGGGATTCGTGGTTGAGGGGGATTGCGCCGTGTTCGTGTGGGCGGAAGCTCGATCATGAACATGTGAAGGTGATTACGGATGAGAAGCAGCATAAGAGACGGTTCTTTCACTGAGGAGGTGAAAAGGGTGGTGTCTCTCTCTTATCGTCTGTTCTGTCGCAACCACACACACTTCGTTCGCTCTCAACACATGAATGACATGGACCCGTGTCCGCAAACTTCGATGCTCTTCATGTGGTTTTCTTTTTGCATTCGTAACTTATTCGCATTCTTACTATGGCCGCCCCCCGCCTCCTCCATCTTCTTTTTTTTTTCTTTCTTTCTAAAAGTATTCAAACTTTTCTTCTTGTTACGCCATTCTTCACTCCTTTTCATTCGGATTCTTTACTTCCTTCCTCGCACGCAATTCCTTCAATCCCTCCCTCTCTATCTGCGCCTGGGGGCATTCTTCTTCAACCGAACCGATCCATATGCAATCACTCTCATTCGTTGTGCAAAAAAACAAACAAACAAACAAACTCATATCATCCAGAGACACCCCCATCATACAACTCTGTCTGAATTTCATGCATTTTATGCCGCTTTTCACTACGTACGTACGATGCCAGCCCACGTCGTACTTGCCCCCCCCCAATGTACCTTTTTTTCTCTTCATTTTCATACACAGAGCTGTACAATACATACACACACGTCTCCGAACGCTATTGAGAACCGAACCAACCCTTTTTCTTTTCGTTCCATTGTCTGCGTCTTTGGTGTGTGGCGCATGCAGTTGTGTTTCTCCCTAGCTCCGCATGCATTGGAGTGGATCGGAGGCAGGGGGGCCTGTATAGCTCCATCCTCTACTGAATAAGTGATCAAATGACCGATATGATACAGGGGTTGTGCGTGTGGGCGCGCGCGTGTAGTACGTGCATGTGAAATACAATATCATATCACTGAACAACTATGGGGGGGCAAGGAAACCGACCAGTCCATGAGCGCCTAGCTCCGGTTTGTCAATGAACGAGTCTCGATGACGCTTGGCACAAGAGCCATCTATTCACCTCTTGTATCACCTTCATGTGCTCCTTTCACGCTTTCCGTGCCTTCCACTCCTCGACGTCTGGAGGTACTACTTATGAATAAAAAGTACACGGGATTGTGCGCAAAGGAGCTTGAGACGCAACGCGCGCCGCGCCGAAGGTTTCCATGGCCAAAATCCGCACGTCAGTTAAACTTCAACATTGGTGCATTTTGGCTGATGTTTTTCCTTGATCCTCGGTTTGGGTTTCGGTCTGGATTTCACTGGACGTGGGGGTTCTTCTGCACTTTGCTCTGCACCTTGGTGATCTGAGCGGGCTGACGTTACTTCCTGCATGCCGTCCATTGCATTGGCAGAAGTAGACGTAGACTGGGAATCCGATGCAGTCGGGGGCTTCCGTTGTCGTCTTCCTCGCTTGGTTGAGCGAGTTTTTTCAGACGTGGTCGTATCGGCAGCTGGATCGGGAGTGTTGGGCCCCACGTCATCTTTGGCATTACCGTCTCCATTTCCATCACGAGGGGCTTTCTTTGTCCGTTTAGACCTCCGTAGTGGCGTTGCACTTGATTCGGGTACGTCTTTCGAATTGTCCGGCGCAGAAATGTTCGGCGATTTCTGAAGAATCCCCCATCGACGTTGGCACTGAATGGGAAAAATGGATGAGGACTTCCATGAACAGTTATTCATTGATAATACGCATTTGTTACCTGCTGGCCACTACGAGTGCCAACGACATCGGCAACGACATTCCAGTCTTTAATACCCCGCTCGATCACAGCCTGTCGAAGTTTTTTATCCTCCTAAAGGGAGATGATTCAATACTCAAGAATGCTGTCAAAGGCAACAGCGTAAGTGGTGCGCACCTCGAATGTCCACCTTCCGCCGTTTATCCCAGCAAGAGTCGTCCTTCTTGTATAGCGTTCCCTACATTGTGGACCCGTCCTCCCCTTGACACAGGAACTTACTTTACTCCAATGAATACCATAAACTGCGACCGCTTCCCTAAGTTTCTCATCCTCAGAATGTGTCCACTCTCCCTTTTTGATAGTGGGATCGAGGGAGGCACGATATCGTTGCGCACAAGCAGGGGGGTTCTCAGGGTAGAGAGTGACAGTGAAACTGTGAAAAGGGATTGATTCAGCCATCGTCAACAACATTGGTCGTAACATTTCACAACCCCAAAATGTTACTCACTTGCACGCCAGTTACCCGCCCCTAGATCGTGCACCGCATCGAGGAGCTCAGCATCTTCTTTAGCTGTCCATTGCTCCTTTTCACGAGGTAATCCAGCACCTGGACGCTGGGAGGAAGAGTTGCCTTTCTTTGGCTGTGGAAGCGCGAGGCCTTCCAGACAGAGGAACCTACGGAGGCAATGAATGGGTAATCTGTTTCCCTAATGAGGAACAATGTAAAAACGGCTACGCTTTGATATAAATCCAAATAGACGTACCCCTAGCTCTGTTGCAACTACCACCCAGTCTACCTCCCCTTGCTTGTAGTCTTTGTCGCCAACCAAGGATCGTAATTTGGTGTCTTCCTCGTCGTCCCATGATAGGTCTGTGGCATCGGCCGATTCCGGACGATCCGCTGCCATCCACTGGATTTTACATTCTTGAGCTGTTCGTTGCTCCGAATAATAATTCCGCTGGATCTATAAAAAGTGTATTAGGCCCAGAAAATGCCATTCTTCACACTAAGTGCTGGAGACGCCCATGAATGAACGAACCTGAGAGGCAATTCTGTCCCAATCCAACCCATCATGCGTTCGTTCAAGATCGGTAGCTGGTAATTGGCGAACTTGATCAAGAGCATCTGTAGCACCACTATAAGTTCAGACAGAACAAAGCTATGAACACATGCCGTTCCCAAGGAGGCGAATATCAATGGGCCTACCTTGATGCAAGCTCGCGGGCACGGAGTCGCATATTCTCGTTATGAACCGCAGATATCAGTGCGGAGCGTTCTTTGGGAGTAACTAAATCACACAGGACACGGAAGTGAGTTGTCCAATAAATCGAAAGAAATGAGATCTTCAGAAACCCACATGGTTTGGGAGTCGTCAAATCCCTATACCGTTTGTGCCTAATCGCATCATCATGGAAAGGTGAATCCTATAGGTATGCCCGATTGAACGTGCGTCATGTTTCTTATGCGATATAAGGACTCACATCTGCAAATATTTGTTTCCTCCCAATGACGGTCTTCATTCCGACCCATCCTTCCCTGATGAGAACTACGTGCTCTTTCGGCCATGTCCTTGGTACGGAATCGATGCCTTTTGAGGTGGCATTCCGCTCCACTGCTCCGAGGAGTTTCTCTGAATGGGCAAGCTCGGTCCGAAGGGACTGCGCAAGGGAGTTGAGAGATTGTTGGTACGATTGATTGGCAGCGAGTGCGCTGCGAGCTAGGGAAAGTGCCGAATGAGAATCCGAGGGTGAGTTCACAAATTTGATGGGTAGGGAGGAGGAGGATGCGGAATCTAGTGCGGAATCTGGTGGCTCAGCAACGGCTACAGCGTCGTTTTGGCCAGAAGCCTTGCCAGGCAAGGATGCTGGACTAGCTATTCCTGCTGGTACTTTCGACTTAGCCGCGGCAACCAGCATCACTAGATCTAAGAAAAGGAATAAGTCGAACATCACATGACACGCCAGCTATGAGCGCTCACCTGCGAAACTCTCCGGTCCTTTGTCGCCCCCATCCATGAAGGAACGGGGTCGAATGATTCAGCCCACTGATGATCTGTTGGACAGCCAGCGCGATCCTTTTCGGAAATATCCGAAGAGGCTGTGCGAGTCACGCGCACATGATAACCTCAGATCTTCACGGAGCGTGTCCACGCTCTTTATATACAGTAGTCGTGAAATGCATCAAACTCCAGCTATATAGCGAAAACTCACGGGGAGCATGATTGTAGGGTTTCATTAATCAGTGATAAGTGCCTCTAGTTATACTAGTTGTTGTTTGAGCAAGACATGACGACGTGCCGGTACGCATATCATGCCCATATCGGCTATCCGATATGATACCCTTTTACCATGTGTTTCGTGTTTCACTGTTGATTGCCTTCCACATGTAGCGCTGTCGCGTATCTCACTTTCTTATTACTTTTGTCTGATATTCGTGTTATTACTTTAACTACTTATACCGCTGTGCGGTTACAATATCAAGTTGGTTGTTCCCCGTTATCTGAGTGTCCCCGCTGAGAGCTACATAACAACAGGTTATGAGCCCAGCCTAGGGCTTAACCACCGTAACTCTAAACACTCGACGCTGCTTACATCTAAACCTCGCGCTCAACTTCTAGTCGACCTAACCCATGGCTGAAGACTTGGTATCCCTCGGCAAACGTCTCCCTATCTTGTCCGGGAAGGAAAACTACACTCAATGGAAAACCAGCATGGAGGATATACTGACTTACTCGGATCTATGGGCTTACGTTCAAACCGGTTACACGTTGCCCACCGACGCGACTCAGAAGGCCACAGCCGAGAAGGCACAGCGCAAGGCGCTTACGTTGATTCGTCTGCAAGTATCACCGTTCGTCCACACGTTTGTCGTTGATTCTCAGACCCCCGAGGCGGCCTGGAAGATCCTCAAAAGGGAATTTGAGGTGACCGGCGCCACATCCCGCATATTCCTTCGCCGGGAGTTATACACAACTCGCATGGCCGAAGATGACAACCTGGACACGCATGTCCAGAAGATGCGCACGATCTATAATAATCTGCGCATAGCCGGTGATAATATTCAAGACTCAGAGTTTGTAATGGCGTTACTTATCTCACTCCCCACCTCCTGGGATAGCTTCACCTCTACCATTGAACTCAAAGATCTCGACTCTACGGACACTGCTGTGAAGAGCGCCGCTGCTGATTACATCCTTAACAGGATTAAAGGCGAAGCCAATCGTCGTCAATCGCGCAATACAGAGCCGTCCAACTCCGCATTCAATTCCAAATCCGACCAACCAAACAAAGACAAACAGAAACCCGATCGATCCAACTCCGAGTGCCGCTACTGCCACAAGCATGGACATTGGGCCAAGGAGTGCCGGAAGCGGATAGCAGACGAGAAGAAGAAGAATTTGGCAAATGTCTCCTCTCAAGAGCAGGAGCCGAGCTTCTCCTTCGTCGCATCTGCCAATCCTGCTGTCCTGGCTGGTAGTCGATGGATTGGGGATACTGGTGCGGATGACCATGTTGTATCTGAGCGAGAAGCCTTCTTTGACTATGCAGAGACCCCTGGCCAGTTTGTGACTGGCGTAGGGGGAGCTAAGGTTCCCATCCGAGGACACGGGACTGTTGCAACGGTAATGCATGCTGGGGACTCTTCACGGATTGTCACTCTCCACAACTGTCTACACATTCCATCATCCCAACCCAACCTCCTATCCCTTTCCCGTCTCGACGATGTCGGTGGTACCATGCAAACACAGTCCGGCCAGATCAAACTTCTCACGCGTGATCGCACACCACTCTGTGATGGCCGAATTCAAGACCACCTCTACCGTCTCGACATGCAGACTGTCGTGGCCGATGCCCCTTCCATACTAGCTGCGATTTCAGGTGATTCTTCGCCCAAAAGTCGTACCTGGGAGGAGTGGCATCGGGCCCTCGGACATCTTAACCCGTCCTCGCTTAGGACGATGAGGGACATGGGAGTCGTTGAAGGCTTGGAGGTTACCCCCAATTCCACTCTGAATTTCACCTGTGAAGCCTGTATCCAAGCTAAGCAGACCTTGAGGCCTTTCCCCAAAGAGTCCAGAACTAAATATAAATCAGTTGGGGACTTAATCGTCACCGATGTCTGGGGTCCGGCTCAGGTTCTAGGCAAAGGCGGGTATCAGTACTTCATTTCATTCACCGATGTTGCCACCCGTTTTAGCGTCGTAGCATTCCTTCGTCAGAAATCCGAATCGGTTACTCAATATCGTCGATTTGCTGCTCGCATCCAGACTCAGTTCAATCGTAAAATCAAAGCCATCCGGTTTGATAGCGGCACCGAGTATCTCAACGATTCGATGAAGTCTTTTCTCGCTGAACAAGGAACTACGTACACGACAACCGCTCCCCATTCCTCCGCCCAAAATGGCATTGCCGAGCATCTGAACCGCACCGTTCTAGACCACTCGCGTGCCATGTTGTTCGATTCCCAACTCCCTAAGTCCCTCTGGCCCTATGCCGTATCATATGCCACTTTCCTGAAAAACCGTACCCCGACGCGCGCGCTTGATGGCCGAACTCCATACGAGTCCTTCTTTGGAAAGAAGCCAAGTGTCGCAGGCGTTCAAATATTTGGGTGCGATGTTTGGGTCCTAGACCAATCTGGTAAGAATGGGAAGTTAGATCCCCGTTCTAACAAGTTCAGGTTCTTAGGCAACTCAGAGGAGACCACCGCCTACTGGTATTACAAGTCCAGCGGGGAGGTTGCGAAGTCGCGGAACGTCATTTTCCCTAACCCCACCCCTGAGAGTCCACCTTCCCTCCCTCTTCCACTGCCATCGCCTGAGGGGGAGATTGCTGAAAGTGGACAGGCGACGCAGGAAGAGGGGGAGCACGCTACCCACAATCCCATTTCCCTTCCCAAACACTCTGAACCTCCTTCCAATCAGTCCAACCACCCCATCCGCCCATACCACACACGCCGTACTCCTCTGAACGAGCCTTTCCTCAAGGTTGTCTCCGACCGTGGTGCTGTTCAATCAACGGTACAGTACTCCCATTGCGGGGACTGTGACCCTGTTGCTCTTGCAGCTTTCACAGACGAGAAACCCGAGGTCAAGGACGCTCTTCAAGGACCTCATGCTGAGCACTGGCGGGCCGCGATGGATGCCGAAGTCGCACAGTTACTAAACCTGGACACTTTCGAACCCGTACGTGCACCTGCGGATCGGAAAGTTATTGGATGTCGATGGGTTCTAGCTACGAAGAAGGATGCTGAGGGGGAGATTGTGAAGTTTAAGGCCCGGTTGGTTGCGCAGGGTTTCGCGCAGGTTCCGGGGATGGATTATGGTGAGACTTTCTCACCAGTGATGCGGACTGAGTCGTTCAGGCTCCTGCTGGCACTTGCTGTGCAGCTAGACCTGGAGATTCACCAGATGGATGTCGTAGGGGCGTATCTTAATGGGGAATTGGAGGAAGAAATCTATATGAAGCAGATACCATGGTATGAGGATGGGACGGATAAGGTCTTGAGGCTGAAGAAGACGCTCTATGGCCTGAAACAGGCAGGCCGAGTCTGGAATAGACGTTTGCACGCTGCTCTTGTCGATCTGGGCTACACTCGTTTGTTCACGGACTCATGTGTCTACGTTCGGCGCTTAGACGACCAAATCTCTATGATTGCGTTCCACGTTGACGACTCCGCGATTTTCGCCAATGACGCTCACATGGACCAAGTCAAGGATGAACTTAAGTCTAAGTTCGACACACGCGACCTTGGTGAGCTACATCATTTCATTGGGATTAAAGTAACGCGAGATCGTACACGCGAGTCCATCACCATCTCCCAATCATCCTATACCCACGAAGTCCTCGAACGGGCTGGGATGGCCGACTGCAACGTCGAAGACCTACCCATGTCGCCCAAGAGGAAGCTTTCCCCATTCCCTGGCCCCCGTCCAAACTACCCTTACCTCACTATGGTCGGATCACTTATGTGGTTGGCTATTAACACCCGTCCCGACATCGCATTCGCCACTCAACATCTTGCCCAATTCAACACGACATACGGACCCGATCATGTTCATGGTGTCAAGCGTGTCTTACGTTACCTTAAAGGCACTGTCAATCGCGGGATCGTGTATAGGAAATCTGACTCTGGTTTCGCTGCCGAAGGTTTTGCTGATGCTGACTATGCAGAAGACTTCGATCGCCATTCCATTACCGGGGCCGTGTTTGTCATGTCTGGTGGACCGATTGCGTGGACGTCGAAGAAGCAGGGCACTATCGCCCTTTCTACGTTGGAGGCTGAATATGCTGCTATCAGCCATGCTGTTCGGCACATACTTTGGCATAATATGCTTATGGCGGAACTAGGTTTTGAGGCCCCGCGTCCATTCAGACTTAACAGCGATAATCGAGGAGCGATAGCGTTGTCGCGCGACCCTCAGTTCCATGGCCGCAGTAAGCATATCGATATCCGTCATCATTTTATTCGCGACCACGTCGAACGTGGAAACATTTCTATTTTTCACATCCGTTCTGAAGATAACTTGGCTGACATTTTTACTAAGCCGCTTCCAAACCCCGTTTTCACCAAATTTGTTTCTTCACTAACGGACGACGTCATGACTTGAGGGGGAGTGTTGTTTGAGCAAGACATGACGACGCGCCGGTACGCATATCATGCCCATATCGGCTATCCGATATGATACCCTTTTACCATGTGTTTCGTGTTTCACTGTTGATTGCCTTCCACATGTAGCGCTGTCGCGTATCTCACTTTCTTATTACTTTTGTCTGATATTCGTGTTATTACTTTAACTACTTATACCACTGTGCGGTTACAATATCAAGTTGGTTGTTCCCCGTTATCCGAGTGTCCCCGCTGAGAGCTACATAACAACACTAGTTGTACAAGTGCCCCAGACTCCTTCCCAGTCGCTCACATGATTTCTCCGAGGTTTAGCCGCAACTTACGTTGCCCTCCGAAATCTGTCGAGCGACTGGTACAACTTGCAACACGTGATGTTCCCACGCTAAGTTGTAATGAGTTGTACATAGGTTACGGAATATAATTTTTAGTATTTACACATGCGGTCATTGCACTCAACCCAACCCGTGAAGACTAAGGGAGCACATCCAAGGTTATGGAGTCAATATCGGGGTGTGCGCGAAGTTTAACAGTTTATATATTACTTAGTTGCTAGTCACTTGTTTGTGCCCGGTGGCATAAGTGGTATAGTGCGAGCTGAGGCTATGCAGTTTTTTTAAGTGGCACATGTTCGATTCTCACATAGGAAAACTTTTTTCGGGCCCTCCCATGGAATAATTGTGTGAAATGGTTGTTTTCTGTACACTAAGGAGTGAAGGGTATGAAAAAAAAAAGTTTCCTGAGTGAGAATCAAACATGTGCCACTTAAAAAAACTACATAGCCTCAGCTCACGCTATACCACTTATGCCACCGGGCACAAACAAGTGACTAGCAACTAAGTAATATATAAACTGTTAAACTTCGCGCACACCCCGATATTGACTCCATAACCTTGGATGTGCTCCCTTAGTCTTCACGGGTTGGGTTGAGTGCAATGACCGCATGTGTAAATACTAAAAATTATATTCCGTAACCTATGTACAACTCATTACAACTTAGCGTGGGAACATCACGTGTTGCAAGTTGTACCAGTCGCTCGACAGATTTCGGAGGGCAACGTAAGTTGCGGCTAAACCTCGGAGAAATCATGTGAGCGACTGGGAAGGAGTCTGCAAGTGCCCATGCATATAAGTTAGAAGGTGTTCGCCTCCGAGAAGTCGACTAAGTAGCTGCTTGCGCTAATATTGCTTATATTGCCTTCATCGACCCGAACGGACTTCGGAGTGCCAATACTTTATACCCTGTAACATATGTGTAGAAGAAGCTCTAGCTCTCGTAATGCGTGTGTATTATGTGTGGCAACGGTCAGTAATCAATAGTCCAGGATGATCAAGTGTTTATATATGACACAAGGAAGTTCGCTGACGCACGCCCGGTTTCACAAAGCACCAACCGTGTTTGTAACGTTGTACGTTGGTCGTTTCGGAACAAGACAAAAAACCCTGACGATATCGTGTTCGTCGTTGTTGTCAAGCGCCCGTTGGGTGATCAGTCGTGCATAATCTGGCAGGTAGACAGCATCCTTTGTTTTTCACTAGAGTAGTTACTGAATCCCCTTGCATGCATGCCATGGCGGCGGCCGCTGGATCGGCCAGTGCAAGTACAATAATAACTCGCGGGAAGATTGGGCCGGGCCGTTTTTTCTTTTTTGTTGGTGGGTTATGTATATGACGTTGGCAGTCATGCTGGGATTGCATGCCTATGCATAATAAAGGGTTGGGCTGAAGGCGCCAGATTCTTCGATATTACGAGCTACAGTAGTCTTCGGGTCAAGTATCAATAGTAAACGAGGAGCCCCGGGCCGAGCGCAAGTTGTACATGGGATCCGGGAGTAGTTACTCCCACTGGGCATGAAGATCATATGGGCTTGCATTGCCGTTGCACAGTGGGACCTATAGGTGCCGGAGCGGGATCCTTCTGTGTAATTTCCCACAGCACATTCCACGCAACGGCAGTAGCTGCCCGCAGGACTCGTAAGTATAAGCAAGGACTGGTCCATTGGCACAACGGCTAAACATTGTTAACTGAGGCTGGTCACCTGCCTAGCCTAGGCTAAAATATTGGTGTCACTGTCAGATGTTAACGTGCAGCCAATATATATAGTTTCTGTTTGAACCAGTGTGAACGTCGAGTAGCTTGTAACAGTACCCATGCTGCGCAGTGAACACATTCATCTTTCACACTGTGCAAAAAGCCACGTGTGTGCACACGTCCTCCGTGCATCTCACCTTGGCCGGTGGCAGGGGCAGTGTTTTGACAGATTTTTTTCTTTTTTAAAGATTTGGGGTGACAACGTAATGCGTCATCGTCGATGTCATTGGAGTCCGCCCAGAAAATTGGTCCGGAAGCAAATTCTCGAAATAAGCACAATATATTCGGCCAATTCCGCTACGTTCCAGCTGGGTTATTCGGATTGTCGATTTAACTCAACTCAAACTCGAGAAAAACCAACAAACCATAATTTAGCTCTCATTCAACCCCGGGTGCGCTGAGCCATTAGTGTTTTTTTGCTTTGTCTCAAAATTAGGCGCTTAACAACACGTTTGTTTCTGATGTTTGATTGATAGGGCGCTTCTTGCGTTTTTGGCGAGTAATTCTGATATCAAGCCGTGGAATCGAGTACAAGTTAAAACACGTAAGGGGGGAGGGAACGAACCTTACTGGTCTTATGATTCCTTGAGGAAATGCTGATGTTCTGAATCACAAGGAGGGGAATGATGAGTGGTGTGAAGCCGGGCCCCAGCTCTCATGAAACCCATGGCCCTATACCTGCGTTCGATCATCAACTGAAGACGTTGGGTGATTCCTACCTCTCGTTTATGACGGAGCGGGTTAGGATTGAGGATCAATAGTATGTTGCGCCTTTCTCTTTTTGAGGTTCGGGCGGCTGATTGTTTGCCCCGGGACGACGTGTTAACACTGCCTTAAACAATTCACCTCACCTCCCCCTCCCTCCTTTTGGGGTATTGGTCCATCCGTCTTAGCGTTGCGGCTCTCTCGCGACTTCATCGGAACATCCGAGCGGTAGACAACCTGCTCGACGACAGGGATCCTTCCTCCGTTCGCGTCACCTGGCGCGAACTTCGAGATAACGTCGAAAGGGAAGCAGAAGCGCGCACGGCTTTTGCGAATACGATTCGAACGGACGTTTTACCACCTCTCAAAGCTATGCGAGAGGAACAAGAACGGACGAGGAAGAGGATTTATGAAGATTTGAGAGTTGGCACGGCGGCGCATATTGATTATTTGGAGAACGGTCTTCCGAGGTTGAAGAGGCATTATTTGAAGAAGTGTCAAGAAGTTGAGGTTCGTCGGCTGTTCCCTATATCTTTTCGCTCCGTCTTCACCCCCCCTCGCTCCCTCGCCTTTTGCTGCCCATTTCTTGTTGTTTGATTACTGAATAGTCATCATTCTAAATACCCCAAAACAGGATTATCGAGCTGCGGAACGACCAACTGCTTCGACAACTAGCAACAACGCAAGTGGCGTTAACCCATCTTCCCAGCCCTCTCTACCCCCGGGGGCGATCCCAATACAACGAAGAGCATCATTCGGAGACCGGGAAAAACCTTACATCCAATCACCCACTCCTACATCAACACCCACACCCACACCCACACCCTCCGCTACAGCACTCATCCAATCCGTCTCTACCATCACTTTACCCCCATCGACTCATCAACCTGCGCCCAGAAACCGATCCCCTAGTTCTGCCAACATGAATCCTTTGTTCTCGGATTTGGCTCATCATGGGAAGAAAGGGTTGGGTCAATTGATCGGGTTTTTGGAGCCTGGGAGGGATAGGGAGAAAGATAGGGAGAGAGGGTTATCGACGTCGTTAAAGGAGAATGGTGAAAAACCTAATGGGTTGAAGGGCGTTAGGGCCAAGAGGGAGGCTGATGAAGCCGGTGAGTTGCGCTCATTGGTTTGCTGGGGTCGGTGCGATATGAGCCTGACGGTTTTTTTTTTGCGTGTAGATAAAGAATATCGGAAGGGCGTTCATTGGCTCGAAACCTTAAGATTACGGCGTGTGAAAAGATTGCAGGCTGGTGCGAACGTGAGTCTGATCCTTCCGTATGTGTGGTCTGTGTGTGTGTGTGTGTGTGTGTGTGTGTGTGTCTTAGCTGATTTGCTTTCAAATCTTGTATTCAGAGCCTTGAGACGTTTGTCAGTGAGTTTGGCGAGCTCATGAAGAAAGCGCTCACCATTTATGCCGATTGCGTATCGTAAGTACCTCACCTCCTTACGACCAATCGTTACATTCTGAGTCTTACGCTTTTTTTCTTCTTTTGGTAACTAGTTCAACCGCCTCCATATGTTCATCCGTAAGTACAGGCACTCCCCTTCCCCAAGCCGCAACTTGCTGTTTTCCTCCAATTCCCTAATGCATTCAACATGTTTTGCAATCGTCCGTCCCTCTCCCCTTCCAATTTTTTTTTTCAAGCTTGCCAACCATGGTCAAACCGCCCTCACCGGGATTTCCATCAAGACCGATTCGGAACGAGTCCACAACTTCGTCGAATATGCCTTCCTTCGATCGATCCCACCACAAGTTTATTATTGGAACTATCAAGTTGGGGAATGCAAAGATTTGATATTTGGATTTAGTTTGGTGGATTACGCTACGGATAGAGGGATCGTCAATTCGAACGAGGTCCCTTCGTTGATTTCCAAGTGTATTACGGAGATTGAGATGAGAGGAATGGACGTTGGGGGTATTTATAGGGTTTCGGGGAGACATGCTCTTCTTCAGGAGGTATTTTGTCCTTCCTTATTCTGGACGCTTTGAATAGGTGTGATTCTGATGGTTCGAACCCCCCCCTCTTTATAGTTCCTGCATAAGATTGAACGGGATGAACGGTCGTTTGAGTTTAAACCTACGGATGATATATTTGCGGTTTCTGGGTTATTAAAGGTGAGTGAAATGGTTGGCATTGCTATGCGTGCCTTGGCTGTGGGAGCGTAGGGTTAACAATGGATTTGTTTTGCTTTGGCAGATGTATCTTCGTGAACTTCCCGAGCCTGTGTTTCGGTTCCCACTTTTGGAGCGAGTGCAACATACGAAAGACCGAGGTATGGATGGCGTCTTTCTACGAGATGGCCATTGACGGATAATTCTTGATCTTAATTGATATCTTCATTAGAGGAACACATCGCAAGTGGTTTCCGAACGTTGAGGTCCAAGATTAGGCGGTTACCTTTTGTGCATCAAGTGACGTTAAGAGCGTTGCTTGAGCATCTCGCTCGTGTCGCGGCGAATTCGAACGTCAATAAGATGGACAGTAAGAATCTAGCGATCGTATTTGGTGCGGTGATCTTTGGTGAAGATGAGATGCCCAAAGGGGAGGATGTTCTTTCGGTCGTTGCTCTAAAGGTACGTTTGAACGTGTTCTCGCTTTTGCCCCCAGAATTTTTTTTTACGAACTACGACGCTTTCTTGGACTTCTAAATCGATTGTTATTATTATTATTTAGGACACCGTTATGGAGGATTTGATCACGTATGTTGGGTTGCTCTTCGAAGATCCAGTGAAGAGATCGCCGTCTGCCAATACCTCATCAATCACGCAATCGGAGCCACCATTGCCGAATCCACCTCCAGAGGAACCGTTAGCTGTTGAACCTGGCTCAGCTTACACAAAAGTGACTACGTTACCACCTCGAAAAGACCGGGAACGAGACACGCCGAGAAACAGTAGGGATGGAGAGGACTTTACACCTCGTCTACCTGCACAACCACAGCACTCCATTCATCCGTCTAGGGCTCGCTTGAACCTGAGCAACCCCCCAGTCACTACTACAACTACTCCTACTACTCAACAAATGCCACTGACATCATCTTCTGTTGAGAATGTGGACAGTGGGACTGGCAGTACTGAAGATGTTCACAGTCCACAGCAGCCCAAGCCACCATCGACCTCGTCGTTGTTGGAGGGTCCTGTTAATCAACCTGAAGAAGATGAAGATGAAGACGAAGACGAAGAAGAAGATGATGATGATGACTCCATTTTCGAACCCTACGACCCTCCTCCATCTGATGATAAGCTGTCACCGGGGGATACGAGCGACGGGAGGAAGGAGTTCATCAGTGCACCTTCGTCCCCGCCGTGAACTTTTTTTTTAACTTTCCTCTTCTCCGGGTTGGGATGTCTAGTTTTAGTGCATAGGCCCAAGAATCGTTATGATAATGGAATCACTTTGCTTTTTTTTCTTTTTTCCTTTTTCTCAGTTTTCCCTCAAAAACATTCGAACTGTATGATTAGGATATTTTTTTCTCGTTTCTCGTTCACCGTGAAATAATAAATACCCCCAGCTGCTCACTTTTCATTTCATTTCATTTTTCTTTCCGTCTCTTTTCGATTTCGTCTTCCTCTATCGCGCCATGGGGTGCACGGTAATCGACTGTAAAGTAACATCATGTCCCTGGTTCACTATAAGTATAATGTGCGAGATTTCGGAGTACGGGACTATTATTGAAGCCAAGCAATAATGTACAATAATAATTATGGCATGATGACGGAATGGATTCCGCAAGCACTAGGACTGGTAGCTATTGCGCGGGACGTGGCTCGATTGGTGTTTTTAGCATGCACGAGAGGGGACAGGAGAAAATAGTTCTCTGCCTTGGGAAGGACGCACGACAAGAATTTGAGATCGATCAAGATCAGGTAGCCGGAGAGCATGGCCAGGTCATGGATAAAAAGCGCGTGCGAGGTCGGAATCGGCCCCTTCGTCGAAGTTTGTCATGCACCCATCGACGGCATTTTCGCCCAACTCATCAAAAAGGCTACCGTCGTCGTCGTTGCCAGCCATATCGTCATCTCCGTCGGCCCCGTCGTCACCACTGCTGGGAACATCGGCCATGACATCACCCCTGTCGTCCTCGTTGCTACCACTACTACCACCTACAGCCTCATCCTCACCCTCATCAGCACTGTCGTTTCCTACCTCAAGCGTGTTATCAACATCCATTTGGCTTTCCCCTTCCTTGCCATTTTCCGACTCGTCATCATCCATGTCCTCATCAGCGTCCGTGTGGTTTTCTACCTCAATCTCGTTATCAGCATTCTGGTCGGGTTCTACCTCATCCTCGTTCTCTTCCGATGACGCTCTAGTGTGTACCACAGGCGATGGTTCCGCGGTGGAAATTGGGATTCGTTCAAGGCTGCTAACGGGAACGAGTCGTTTGCTGAATGCAATGACCCGTTGATCTGGGGCCCTGACTCTGATGTACGAGGGATATGATGAGTAAAGATCTTGTGGCAGCGGTTACCTTGTGACGTACACGCCAGGTTGGAAATTCAACACTTGCAAAGTCTCCAAACTTGTTGCTCTGGACAGAGCAACGTACGCTTTAAAAATGAGCGGATGGTCAATATCACGTCCGTACGAGGTCTTCGATCTTGAAACCTTACCTTGACCCTTTTCAAAGATGTTCCGCAAGTTGACTTTAACGCGGGGAAGTGTCTGGCCTTGGGATTTGTGGATACTAAGTGCCCAAGCGAGGATCAATGGTACCTAAGGATCCACTTTGTTTAGGGTTATTCAAGAATGGTGCCCAGCACCCTCACCTGATCTCTCTGAGCTTCGACCCGTCCAGCACTGTTCTCTACGGTGAAAGAAACGGGTACACAAAGCAAGGTCGGACCGCTTTCAAACTGTACAACAGGCCATTTGGTGGCCTGAGCCTGGCTATGTTCTGGGTTGGTACTTTGGGCGTTCTCCAGCTCGACACGATGAAGTAGGCGATCCTTGTCCTTCCGATTGTTGTCTTCTTTGGCTACTTCGAACTGTGACTTCCCTATTTCTTCGAACGCAATGACCCTTCCCACCGAGCCGTTTACGAGACGTCCTTGTTTCAGGTTTTTGATGAGCATAACTTGGGCCCCGATCTGGAAAATATGAATGAGTAGACGGAGAGTTAAAATTAGCTATTCAGCACCGACACGCAAAACCAGTTTCTCTACAGCCACTAGGCGGTCGAGTAACTGTTTGGTTTTGGTCATTGGAACCCTTTGGTGCTTCGAATCGAACCCCTGGCAGTTTGGTCAGTAGGCGAATCGGGGAAATTTCCGGCTGGACTCACGGGGAAGTCGAGGGCGACGAAGGTTTGCTGAGGAAGGGGCAATGCTCGAAGACGGTACATATTCGCATCTTCTGCTTGAGAACGGAGCGCGAAACTTCATCATCCCAATGGTCAACGCTCTCCAGGTTTGTAAGGTATTATACTTACAGTTCAGTCGGCTTCAAATCCTCCGCGTACGTAACTTCTCGAGACAGTTGTTTGAACATGTCGACGGTCGAGCTTGACAAATTTCCAACTCGCATTTCATTCAAGATGCTGACAAACCCTTCATTGATCATTATATGGATTAATAATGGATAGTACCACGAGGCACATGAATACCTACTCCCATCTTTCTGGCGGAATACCTTGGTGAGCGAAAGGAGGTTTGGCATGCACTTGTCCCAACATTCCGCTTCGAAGGCAAACGTTTTGGGTTGTTTCACTCCGTCAATAGTATCAGGAACAGGAGGGAGTTGATAGAAGTCGCCGCAGATCACCAACTGTAAAATGAGAGGGAAGCTTCCAAATCATCGGTGAGCCTTAATTGTGGGGGCATACCTGGATGCCTCCGAAAGGTGCATCATTGTCTCGAATCTTTCTTGCAATATGCTCCAGCTTGTCTAAAAAGACGCCATCGATCATCGAAACTGCAAATGAATCGCTATCAGAATGATTCAAGGATCGATTGAGTTTTTGCCTTACTCTCATCAATAATCAAAGTTTGCGTCTGCCTCCAACGGTGTCGAGCATCCTTTTGATTATAAACTTTCCAATAAAGTTTGTCTGTCGTCTCATTTCCGAGTCCCGCACCTGGTGAACGAATCCATATATGAATGGACAGGGATAACGGATCCAATATAAGCAACACACCTGCAAACGAATGGAGAGTGCAACCACCAATATGCACAGACGCGATACCCGTCGAAGCCGTTACTGCCACATGTTTCTGAAGATCTCGCAGTTTCCGAACCATTTCCCTTAGCAATACGGTCTTTCCAGTCCCTGTCATACCTTTCATCAGAACAGCCGTCTGAGGAAGCATCGGTGTGACTCGCCGGCGGATCCGGTGTAGAAGACGGATTTCCCTTGGACGACCAAGTCCAGTATTGTTTGCTGCTCATCGGAAAGAATGACCTCTACTTTGGGAGGTCGCGTTGCCTCCACTTCCATTGAATGATCGGCTTTTGGTGCCTCCGGGATCAGTGTGGAGGGTGGTGCCTGCGTATCACTTGGCACCGAGGTGTCTTCCATGTCTCCCATGTCTCCTGAGGGATGCTGTTCATCGTCAGATTGCGTGCGCGTCTCAGGCGCATTCTCCGCAACGCCAGGGGAAGAGAGTAATCCAGGTGACTGCTTTACTTCGTCCGATGTGGGGGGAAGTTGCTTCACGACGTCGGGGGTGCGAGGTGGCTCAGGTGCATTTACGGGGATTGTTGGGGGCGTCGTGGTATTGGAGGGGCAACCGACTGTGTTGGGCTTCATAGGGGCTTTAAAATATGACTATGTGAATCAACCTACCAATTTGTGGCATCACATCAGATATCCAGGCCTCTGCTTCAGCCACGGTCTGGAATCCTTTGAACCTGGCACCAGGGAAACCGTTCACCTGGAGAGTCAATAAATTAGCCGCTATCACGATATACCGTTTCCGTGGTAGCTACAGCTTTAGATGCCTGTGCGCATAAGAGGACATCAGAACTGCATGCACCAACGAGACTGATTGAAACCTATCCTACGGAATCCCAATCGTGGTAAATCATTGGGCCGTATCTTCCTATGCGCACAGCATAACATAACTAATTCCCGTAACAATAGAGATGTGAAAAGTCGTCATTCGTTTGGGGAGATCACGGCCAAAGTGTCAGTCAACGCCAAAATGGCGGCGCCTGTGATGGTTCGAATCAGGACAATCAAGTACCTTCCGCTTAGGCATTATTCCCCTTCAATCCCAGGTAGAGAATCCTTCTAAATCTTCAATCAACTGAAACTCGCGCTTTTATGGATTTGGAAACGCGATGAGATCTCCACTAGGCCAAGGGCGCTTGTTGAATTAGATGGATATACTTAGTAATTGACTTTGACATGCACGTGAGGAGGGATCGGGATTCAACAAGTTACCGCGTGACTTGCGGCCGGCGGCCGTTCGTCAGTTCGTCACCCTCAATCCCTCACATCTTCCTGGTTTTAGTGTTTAAACATCACTGTGGTAGCATCTGGATAGCCATTCACCGACCAGACATTCACTGGGGATACCTAAGAGATGCATCCTCTCCCTCAATCTCTTCCTAAGGTACGCAATCCACATTCGAGAAATTAGCATTTCAACACCTGATTATGCTTTGAACCCCATACACTGACAGGAATGCCACAAGGCCGAAAGAATCATGAGAGGGTTTATTGAGCCCAGTAGGAATGGTTTGGACGGGGCAAGTGTCGTTTTCACGATGCTCCGAATGTTAACGCTTTTGAGAGGACGACACTCACCTTGCTTTCTAAGGTTGTCCCCCGGCACGTGCTTTCCCAGGCCCTCGGATTCGTTATCTTTACTGTCATCAAAGCTGGATTCCTCTTCTCTGCTCGCGGTGGTTCTGGTGTTGTCATCGCTCGGCTTGCGGACGGAAGTAAGCGATGCGTGGCAGTGGGGTTAGACTTTCGCTTATTCATCAATTTATTTGTAGCTTGGTCAGCCCCTTCCGCAATAGGCACCGCTGGAATGGGCTTTGGGGGTCAGGCTGGCGCAGGTCAGAGATTGATGCATTGACGCGTGTTCAATTTTGCTGAAATGAGGATTTGCTCATTTATCATTCTTTTCGGGCACCACTCATTCTTGCCATTCCCTCACCGCCACCCACGAAGAAATTACCGAATTCCTCATTGTTCTCAATTCCCGTTCCGCTCTTCAGTCATTCATGGCTGCTGGTTCACTGACACTCGGAGGGAACTTGTCGGTCGCCGTAGGACCTCTTGGAAGGAATGGGGAATTATCTGGCTCCGTCAATACCAAGGGAAAAGTTGCTGCGATGTACTCGTATTCCAAGACAAAGGGATTATTCGGGGGTATCTCTCTCGAAGGGTCTGTCATCTTGGAACGACAGGACGCCAATTGCAAGGCGTACAATGACCACCGTGTCAGTGCTAAAATGCTCCTTTCCGGTCAAGTTCCGCCACCTCCCTGGGCTATGGGATTGATTGACACACTGGAGAAAAGTACTGGAAGCGTCAAAGGGTGGATCCAAGAGGAAGTAACACCTGAGTCGAATCTCAACTCATATGCATTTGGCTCTGGCATTCAAAGCCCGCCAAGCCAGTCGAGGAGTTCCAGCGAATCAAAAACCAAGTCTCAAGTCGAGAAGGAAAACGGAAAGTCTGTCGGTGGAGTATCGCAGAAAAATTCAACCGACTCATTTTTCTCATCGCGAAAGCTCAAGAAATTCAGGGGTGGGTTTAAATCTACTGAGGATGAGTGGGACAGTGATCTCCGAGAACACTACCGCTCCACGTCTCCTTTGGCCGATTCACCATTCCGCTCCACTCCAACCGTTGGATTTGGCGCCGACGATCTGGCCGCAAGAGATGACCCCTTGTTGTTCACCTCTATTCCGTCGAAACCATCCATCACAGCAAAGCAAGCACGCGATTCAACATCTCAATTTGAGACGCACTTCGAGTCCGATTTCGACCCGTTCCGCGATGTTGGTGAGACAACGCAGCCCGCCCATCGGCGAAATACACAAAGTCTTTCCTCGTCCTCGACGAACAACGACGCGAACGTACCAACGGGCCAAGGATCCGGCCACAGCTACACTGAGCCCTCATTCAGCCTCTATGATCATCCAACTCTTCACAAGGTCATGACGGGAGGTTATACTGGGTTCGGTTCGAACACATTTCGTACCTCTGTCGATGCGGAGCCGCCCCGCTATTCGGATGAGACACGAACGCCGCCGTTGACTACATCAATCGATTCCTCTGACACCTCGTCACCATCTCCCGTCTCCCAACGCGCATCCACTCCTTCACACAATCTGTCGTTTAAACGGGGTCTCAACAGTCATGAACGAGATGACGGATTGGAAAGAGCTGTAGCATTGTTTGATTACAATGCTCAAGAGGATGGCGACCTTTCTTTCAAGAAGGGTGACGTGATCACCATCGTGAAACGAACCGGGAGCACAGATGACTGGTGGACGGGCTCCTTCATTCACACTCGGGTGTTTTTCCCGCCAATTATGTTGAGGTTGTTTGATCTCAATTTTAACCCCAGGGGTCGCTTGCGTGTTTGCCCCTGGATGCCTTCTGGGCACCTGCAATTTCCATTTTCGAAATCTGTCCACTGCAATATCCTGATCGCTCATACCCATCTGCGACCAGCATGTATCGTATATCTACCATTCTTTTCCTCTAGATGTACCTTCGGCCCGTCCCTGTATCCACTACATTCCACGCTGCACATTGTATACAATGAGAAACTAATTTCGACTCGTTATCTCGTTTTTCATCCACCTCAATCCTGCGGGCATCGCACCCGCACCTTATGTGGGCGGGCGAAACCGCAAATCCTCGGTATTTTGGCTTGATCATTCTTTGAATTTTGGTGCGCTTGCATGCCCTAAGTACGAGGTTCAAAGACATGAAGTCCGTAATCAATAGTTGAGCACAAGTGAGTAGTGACATGGAGTGAGGGAAAAACTACATTGGAGTGAAGGTGGCGGAAGATAATCATACGAACACGAAATAGGCAGAGGATGTCATAAGGTTAATATTGAAGGATAAACTGAGCGATAAACAACTGCGACTGCCAATGACGGGCGGTATGATTAGGGAAGGGGGGAGGTAATGTGACGATGGGTTTGAGGATGAGAAAGAGGTTTAGGCAATGAATGAATAATTCAGGGAGAGCAATAAAGGAACCCAATGGTTCGATGGAAGAGAACGGACGGTGTGAGGATCCAAAGTCCGTCGAACAATTACCATTACTTATTTCCGTCCACACCTTGACATCCGGGTCCTGTAGGAAGCCAAGAGCCGGACAGCTCTGAAGTAGACAATGAAGTGTATGCCTGTGCAAGCGCTAGAACACGCAGAGAGAGGGTGAAAAGCAGGGACATGAGCTGGGGGATGGGTAGAGAAGTTGAACAGACGAGATGAAACACAGGAACAGAACAAGAGAAAGGGGATGGAGAATATTGGAACACGCAAACACGGAGACGGAAACGCATAGGACAATGATAAATTCAAGATCGCAAAACGATGCAGTCGGCCACGAAATCGAGCTCGCGAAACGGAGCGGGCCATTTTTGTTAATTAAGATCGTGCGTGCAAGTAGCCAGGCCCACTGCAATGCGTCTAGGCAGTAGGAGTTAGAGAGGAGTAAATAGATCGGAGAGGCTGATTAGTTTCGTCACGAGCGGAAATGGGAACATCACCGCCGGGAGCTGTGTTCCAGTTCAAATTCGCGCTGCTGCCACTGGCGGAGCGCTTGTGCCAAATGCTAGCATTCAGACTGCCATTGGTTGCAGCAGCAACGTCAGCTGCACCACCCAGAGACTGGGACGGATATTGCCTCGTAGGGGTGCCATTCGAACTACCGAAAGCCGGAGAAACGAGTGCATGGGCACTAGCAGAGTGCGAATGCCCAGGACGCTGTGGTAAGGTTGTTAGCGCCGTCTCGAGGGCCAAAGACATTCACACGTACGATAGCACTGGGGAAGGAGGTATCAGGCTCAGGAGGCCTGCCGTCCGACATAGAAGAGATATGACGACTGTGAGAAAGAGCAGGAGGTCCTCCAGAAAGGCGAGGAGCCTGAATGGAAAGGGTTGCAGATGTTCCATTCTGAGGAGCACATTGTCATTAGGACACACATTCACATATAATTGAGCAGCAAAACAAACCTCAGCACCTGCGCCTCTCTTCGCAGTGATGCGTGCAAGAATAGAAGAAGGTTGCTCGTTCACGTCACTGCCAGTGCTCGTAGACCTTGTGTGCACGGCATTGGGGCTGTCACCAGTGGGTGGGTTGGGCGTAGCAGTCGAAGTCACAGGGCCACTTCCATCACCAGAACGATTCTCCGCCCCGTTAGGCGGATTGGGGTTACCTGGAGCGCCAGGAGCGGGCAGTTCAGTATGAATGAAACAACAGCGCTTTCCGTATGGACACGAGCCCGAAACCCAGAAGGTCTGATCAGCATGAGTCAGTATTCCGAGACGAAAGGGGAAACATGAAGAGGCCCACTCTGCAAATCTCAGTCTTGTACTTGGGGTGCCTTGCAACCTTCCTGACCTCCTCCTCGCCGTGCGCAAACTGGCATTTGAGCCCATACCTGCAACTCCCTTTCTCTTCCCAACTCCTGCACAACTCGGTCTTGTACAAACCTAATTTACGGTTGTTTGCACTGGGGCCGGTACCCAAAATATCCAGCTGAGGTCCACCGAGGAGCATGTTGCGCATCCCAGCACCAATCATACCATGGTGATGTGGATGAGGGTGGTATGGGGCACCATGCGGCCCTCCATAGGGAGCCCCAACCCCGGCAGCAGGTCCGTGTCCATTCGCCGCATTCTGACCATGACCATTGGCATATCGGCCAAAGAGTGCTGGGTCCGCGGCGGGCGCATACATCTCAGGATAAAATGGCATGCCGTTTGTAGGGTGGGCACCCTGAGCCTGGCTTCCGTGATAACCTTCTGGCACTTGTCCACGCAAAGGCATCGGTCCAGCAGCGTAAGCCGCCGGATTCTGCGTAGGGGCCGGAGGCTGGCCCATGTACGGTTGCATTGGATGCTGGGCCAAGTGCTGGGCGTATGGGTTGTGAATGGGCGAGGGGCTGACAGGCAGAGGACTATAGGGCGGAACTCCGGCGCCAGCACCGATGCTCATCCCCAACCCTGCAACCCCATTGGCATCGGTTGAGCCAGTGTGAATAGCAGGAGGCCGATGGTGATGATAGCCATGGATAGGGCGTCCGGGCGCCGTCCCATTCGCCGGGGTATTCTCGGTCAGATTAGGCGAAAGGCCGAAGTCATACATGCTGGCTTGCGAAGGATGAGCATACGCATTATGCAGACCCGGTTGACCGTATGACGCGGCACCCATGTAGCCTGGCAAACCAACGGCGCTTCCACTGTATTGATGAGGGAGGATGCCACCAGCTCCAACGTAACCTCCAGGACCGGCAGGAGGGCGGCTAAATTGAGACTGAGAAAACAAGGCTTGATCATCGCTTCCTTTGCGGGCTGCTTTGGGCGCTTGATTAGAAGCGTTCCACTCCACAGTGGGCTCACCGAGGTATTGACGATCGGTGGGATAGAGACCACCAGAGGTTGGGTCGCCATAGGATTGGACGGAAGGGAACTGGGGGAAATTATTACGGAAACCAGGGAACCCGGGACGAAACTCGTTGACTGATGAATGTAAATTCGGGAAGGCAACATCGCCTGGCTCGAACTTCTTCACGTCGCCATTTTTCGCGCCTGCGTTAGAACCAACATTGAGCTTCTTGAAGGCGCTTGTGAGAGTGCCATCTGCGTCCAGTGACTTCTTATCATGTTCTGGACCACTGTCCAACTTGGCAGTGTGCACCTTGTCGGCTTTGCCATCGATAGACGAGACAGGGTTCATGGGAGCGACTGCAAATCGCGAATTTCGGTCAGACATAATAAGATGCCGGAATAGTGATACTGAAAACGGAGGGGTTGACTTGCCTCCTGGAGGAGAGTTTTTAAGAGACGAGCGGTGGACCACTTTGTTATTGTTAGCAAAAACTATGATCTCCTCATCAGCAGATTCAACAGATAAGGTGGTGTTCTTGTTGTCAGCAGCTTCTGCTGGCTGAGGTAAATAAGACTGTTGGGCATCCATTTCTGCATGTGGGGGGGAGGCAAAGATTGGTCAGTGGCTTGGATACGGAACACGCGCAGGAAACGGCGCGACGACAAAGACCAGTGACTGACAGAATACTGCGATAAAAGTTAAGGGGAAGGGAGACAGATGAGAGACGAGAGCGACGAAGGGGGAAAACCGTTGATAGTTAAAAAGAGGCAAGGAAGAGGAAGAGCTGTGAGATGACCAATCAGGTAAGGACTCGGCAGTTCAGGGTTTACGGATGCGTTTAAGGGACGTGACTCTGTTAGCAACGACACCGACGTCAGCGGACGTGATGGAGTAAAGGAAAAAATGGCAGGCACCTACCACTGGTTCAGAGGGCGTTAAAAAAATTGCGCAAGAATACGATAAGGGAGAGAAAAATTTAAAGAAGAAGGGCTGTTCAGGTCGAATGAAAAACCGACGCTGTTCAGCTCATAAATTACGGCCTAGGCCGAAGTTTTGTTTACCCCAGTCTAAACAGTCCCAGGACGAGCGCCTAGAACTGTGCGAGGGGTCGGAATAGATACCGTGAGGAACGTAGACGGCACTTCAGACGCTTGAGACGCGTCTTCAGTTGCAAACGCAACGAAACTCCAGGACAGAGAGCGACCCAGCCGCCGGATGCAAATATATCTCCCAAGCGCCGCTACGGGGAACACGTTTCTCAGTGATTAACTTTTTACTTCTCTCACACTTATTCCTGATATTTGCCCACGTTAGCTTTCGCTTGACATACTCTATGCAAGTAAAAAGCTACATGAACTACAGGTAGTTTCGTTGGAGCCTCGTCCCCCGTGACCATCCAAAGGCCAGGGAAGAGGAACCGGATAAGAAACTGAATTCTACACACTGCTTTCAGGGAAGCCAGCGCTGATTTTGACGAAATTGAGAAACAAAAACTAGCCCTGATGAGATCAGCCACAGGAGAGGGGATCCCACAACTCACACGCGCGGCACGTGCCCACTTGCCAACCAGAAATTAGCGCCGTCGATGATCCACGCCGTGCTTATTTGTGCGTCCGGCTCGCAACCAAGTTTCGATGGGGTGCAGCTCAAATTAATGCCTTTGAACTAGTTAACACGTCAGGCGTACCCCGCCTAACCAAGTATTACGTCCCCCCTTCATCATTCACACCTGTACAGAAAGCTGCCCTTCCAGGAAAGATCTTCCAGTTGATTTCAGCACGTTCTGCCACCCTGTGCAACTTCCTCGATGCTCCCAACCTCAATCTATTCCCCAATGCACAGAAAGACGGCGATGAGACGAGAATAGTGTACAGATGTTACGCAACACTTTATTTTGTATTCGTTGTGGATTCATCGGAGAGCGAACTCGGCGTTCTTGATCTTATTCAAGTGAGTTTCTCCACCTGTTGCCTCTGATATATCTCATCATCCAATATTGAGGTCTTTGTGGAAGCTCTTGACCAATCATTTGAAAATGTCTGCGAGCTCGATCTCGTTTTCCATTTTGACGATGTAGGAATTGGGCAATCGTCCATATCGTCCACTCACGCCCTGTCTAGGTCCATCATATCTTGGCGGAGATGATCCAAGGTGGGTTAGTCCTCGAGACAAACGTCCATGAGATTGCGCAATCAGGTGAGCCCCTATCCAAGGCTGTGGTAGCGATGGCTGCTCATTTCCCCTTTTGTGTTGCATTTATTCTAATATTTCCCGCAGTTCGCGAAGCTCGCAAAGCTCGAAAAGATTCATATGCTACGGCGAATCCTTTATCATTGGGAGGTAGTACGGCCGGGACAAGTCAACGCGGTGGCACGAGCATGACAACCCCTTTGGGTTGGTTGGCAGGGAAGATGACTGGGCTAGGCTCAAGATAGTGTTTGTTCCTACCTCGTGCAAGATCAAGGGCCACGTTTCACACTAGCTTCCCACGATCTTCCCACGATCTGATCTCGGATGATGTCAGCAATAACTGGTCGTGCTCTCCACACCTCCTTGTAACGTTATCTACTGTACGCGCGCGCCAGTTCGGCTTGATGGCTACGGGACGGCAGCAAAGTCCAGTGCCGTCCAATGAGTCCCCCTTTGTTACTATTCCAGATTGTGAAGCAAGCCAATTGGTTGGGGAAGATGTCATTTCGCTTGGCACCGGGGATCTCTCTCTGTATGCCGCACCATCTGTTGGTGAGAACTGCCTTAGCCTCACACTTGGTCCGAAGATTGCTTTCTCGCTTGACCCAACTTTAACCACGTTTTTCACCCACAATGAGAAGCCTCGATGGTACTTTTTTTCATTGCCACTCGCTACTGTGAGCCCTCGTTCATCAGTGGATGGAGAACATCCGATTTCTTCCCCCGGTCCTTTAGTCGCCACTTCTGCTATCATCACTCCGGCTACTCAGCCTCTAGCATCAAAGAGGCACATTGAAAACATTGGCTCCGGCTCATACATTCGACTCACGCTTCCTGAGGGTCCGCTACGCGATCCAACGCCTGGGAATTCTCTCAAGAAACTTCGGGATGAGTTTGAGGACGCGCTCATATCTCATGGCTTCTTAAAGGGCCAAGAAGCACGCACATACAGCGAAGACTTAGGGAGAATTATTAGAGAAGCTGCAGAAAACGCTGTCAACAGCGTGCGAAATAGAACAGCACTGTGCGTAACTCGCGTTTCTTATTTGACAGGCACGATAGGTACATACATTTCGTGATTTCACTAGACATGTCGTCAGAGACCTATCAGCATCAACACCCCAATCTTCCACTCAATTCTCCCCCACCACCCATTCCTTTATTGATGGTGCGGCGACTGCGACACATGCTTCGGCACTTCACGCTAATAAAGCAGCTGAAACGTTGGCTCAAATATCCACCATGGTAGGGGAACGTGTCGCGGGACTTTTTGGCATACAACACCCTAGCAACGGGGGAGGAAACGAGGGCGTTAGTCCCACCACAGGCGCCGAGTCTCGCTCCGCAACGCGCGTCGGTACTCCCCGCATGTCAATGACGGCGGTTCGCGATGAGGGGAATCTTAATCCACTTGGCGTCGGAACGGCAGATGAAGCAGATTGGGGATCCAAATCGGACGTCAATGAATCAGCGGAAAATTTAAACGACACGAACATGGTTGCTGCTGTCGCCAGTGTACGCAGTTCCGAGTTGAATGAAGTAGCAACAGATGATATTGCTGAGCTCGGAGCTACTGCTGGTAAGGTGACGAGGGCTAGCGAGCGTGCGGTTACTCCTCCTGAAGGTGTCTCTGAGGGGTGAGACTTGGCTTTATTTTTGGTTCGACTAAAATCGGAGAAAATCTAAGCGACGCCGGTTACACAGGGACAAAGAACTCGTTTCGGCGGTTGCGGAAACATCGCAAGGAATTGTCCAACACAATCATGGCGATGCGGCCGCAGGACTCGCATCGAAACTGGGAAATTTCATAACGGACGCGGGACGCCCTGGAGTTAACACACTTGGAGTCAGTTCTGGCCCCTCCCCCCTGAAACTTTGGATCTATCAATATTAATTCCATTCCACTTGCACTTTGCTTCTGATAGACTCCATCAGACGTTGCTATAGGAACTCCAGCGGCCACTTCATGATTTCCGACGAGACGAAACTGGGAGCGTGAAGCTTGTACCCTTCCTTCCCGGAGCACGAATCGAAGGGATCACCGGAGACTTTGTCTTTATTGATTCTATGTTCTAGCGGGACGCAGTTGTTACAAGCACAGCAGCATTTATACACACCCTTTATTAAAATATGCCCAATTCTAACTCCCCAGAACACAGCGAAGCATGCACGTTACAATTTGCCAACAGATTACCTGGCACATTGTACGAGAAACAATCCCTTGCGGTAAGTATTGGAGGAAGCAGAAGCACCGCTCGTTGGGCCCAGATGCCAGCCGCATCATTCAAACAGAACCGCAATAACCCTGTGTTCTTCTATTTGGCGACGCCGGATTGAGCGATTCCAGTCATTGTGTTGCACGCGCGTCCTTAGATCTGAGTGTACTAACCGTCCACGTCTGTTCCGAGCCCCCCCACAGCGGCCAATCTACCCAAAACAAAAATGGATCCGTGCAACTGAACCAGCCGTAGCTCAGGAGGTGTCTCAGATTGCTGCACACAAGATCCTCATACGAAATGGAGTTGATCCTAATGGGGGACACGATGCGGCGCTCACGGGAGTCAGCGGGTCCATCACAGTTGCCCACGCGATCCGGGGGCACCATCAGAGAGTGCCGATGTCATACTGATAGAAACAGGGGCTGCGAAGTTGACGACAAAGGGCGGCCGAACTCCCGAATAGGATTTCCTGCCAAGCGACGCCGGGCCGCCCATTTACCCCTATCTCGAGGTCAAGCCAATCCAGGCAGTGACAAGGTGGACATACTCAGAAGTATAACCCTTGAAACCTAAATACTGGACTGAAGCGTAAGCCAGTCGACGTGCCAAACTGGGCCCTCAAAGAGCAATACTTTGGAGTCTGGTAGCCAATGCGAGCATTGCTGCATTTCAACACTCAAGGCTAACCCAACCTGCGCATAGTCCTCATTGCTCAGCCGACGGGCGCTTGGGGGAATGGAATTCAAAATTCCACAATTGAATTCCGATAAATTGAAACACGGCAGCGCGCCTTGCTCATCCCGGGTCAATGCCGTCGCGAGTAAGGTAACGAGGACCCACGATCAACACCAACCGCTATTCAGACATTAGGCTGTACTTAACCGGCTACATATTGAAATATTGTTGCATCAAGTACCGCTCCCTTTGTGAGCGTGACCTTTGTGGGCAAGCGCAGCTTCCATGATCTTATAAATATAGAGGCTTCGCAATCTCTTTCTTTGTTTAGCCTCCAGAACACGTCCCCACCTATGCAGAAACTGCAGGGCATTTTGAAGAGGTCGCCAAAATCTTCTCCTAAGATCATCACAGGGAATGGACAACATTCGCCTCTGCCTGCGGGCTCTCCTGGGCGAGTGACAGAGGGTTCTGGCAATACATCAACACAAACGCCGAATTCGTTAGGATTGGCACTGAGTGGGGTGCCTGATGACCCCGTAATCAGTTCTTCTAAGGAAGAGAACATCGCGAATGTTCTCATATCATCCAAGGCAGAACAGTAAGTCTTCGTTGTGCTGTTGTTCGGTATCGTTGTGAGACTGATCATCCACCATAGTAGCCCCCTTCCAGAAGATCCGGCTGCTAATTGGTATGGGTCTCCAAAATCGCCCACTGCCTCAGCGTTGCCCAGTCTCGGCTTTGTATCGTATCCCGGCATCTCAGCTGAGGACAGCGCTAAACCTCCGGCGCCCGAACAAGCTGTTGCTGTCTCTAGAACAAGAGACATGATCAGGAAGGCATTGGGAAAAAGATCAGAGTCGCGCGCCTCGAATCGTTCTCCAAAAAGCTCCCCAAAACATCAAGCACGCAGCTTAAGCCCAGAAGGAACGAAGGGAGCTGCACTGACAGTTGCTCATGATATCCTCGATATTTCTGTGGACCTTGTCGGCTTCGCCCCAATCCCCGGTCTTCGAGAGGCCGCAAATAGCCTGCTTAAAATTTGGTCCCTTGTTCAGGCTGTTGAAGTGAGTTGTATCCTCGGATGTTATTTCGACAACCCCAAAATCTCAATCACGCTCCTATAGTCTAATAAGATGGCTTGCTTGCATCTAGCTGAGAGATGTGCCTCAATTCTAGCATCTGTGAGAGCCGAAGTAGAAGGGGCTGGGCCGGATGTCCAGCGGACATTAGAGGAGCCGCTGACTAAGCTGAATGTTACATACCATGAAATTGAAGATCTCATGCAGAAGTACAAACATTTTCTTTCATCTACATACGAATATGCTCATGATATTTGTATAGACAAGTCGAGCGCCCGTTCATCAAGAGGTACTTGAAACGCGATGAAGTACTGGGGATCATTCAAGACTGTCATGAGAAACTGACTGACAACCTCGGCGCTTTCGGTGTAAGAGTGCCTCCTAATAAAAACGCGCATCATAAATTCTAATCGCGAGGCCTGTAGTTGGCTGTTCAAATCCGCATTTTGCGAGAAATAAAGGCACAGCAGGCGACTGGAAATGAAATTCAGGAGCCTTCCAGTCAACCCATAGCTTCCCCCCCGCCTGCTTATTCTGTAGCTCCTACTACTGCAGGAAGCACACTCGAACAAAGCCACATCAGTATCCCTTCCGACCCCTCGGCTGTTCTTCCTCAAATTGCTTCACATCATCAAGCAAGGTTTATTCAAGATTATCATGTCGATTCAGCGGACCTTACGCACATCATTCGAGAAGTACTGGGTTCTGGGTCAGAAGCGCGCTTGATCGAGGTATGGTAGCCCTCTGATGCGTCTTAGTAATTGATGATTGATCGCCTTTCCACAGGTTCTCCAAATCCAACGACCCGACATCGCAGAAGCCGTGAAGACGTTGCAGAGGGCTCTAGAGGTCTCGTTGTACCGCTTGAAGGAAGAAATGTAGAATTAACAGAACGTCTGCTGGCAGGATCCCTACTTGTCCACTCCTCCCTCTAGGAGGTCGTCCAGGTCAAGCCACGAACACGAGTCGAAGACCACAACAACTGTTGAGCAGCTTTCCTTGGATGACAAGGGTGACATGACTGTCCATCGCGAGTTCATCGAAGAAGGGATTGAGGCTCTACGAAACATGGGCACCGACGTGGGAACCATACCGCCTGTGAGAAGTCATTTCGATTTATCCTTACCCGGCTCACTCGCATAATCAGTGGACAATTACACGATGGGAAGTAGATCGTCACAAAGTCATAGGTGAAGGTCACTTCAGCAAAGTTTTTAAGGGTGGTTGGAAGGGAAGAACTGTAGCGATAAAGGTATGATACCTAGGAAATTGCCGGGGAAAAAACAACGGCTAATATCAAGTTCAGGTTGTTGCACGCATCACACCTGCTCATCTATTTGTCCATGAAGCAGAGATATGGAAGTCTCTCAAGGTAGCGCACGGTCATCGCAACTCCGTGTTCATGCTTTGTCCAACACCCCTCTGCCACAGCATCCGAACGTGCTTGAGCTGTTGGGTGCTTCGAGCGCCTCCAGCAATCCTCCTTGGTTCTTTGTTTCTCCCTACATGGAAAATGGCAATCTCGTTAGGTTCCTTCAGCAACATCCTAATCATGGTCGGGCTCTGCAATTCGTGAGTCCAAAGAAGCTTAAGTTCGACGATTGTGTTAAGAAACTGTGCAGATCCATGAAATTGCTGTGGGCATGGCGTATTTGCATGGGAATAATGTACTTCACGGGGATTTGAAGGTAAGTCGCCACCTTGTTGCTTAATTATCGACACTCGATCTTCCCCCGCCCCTAGGCTAGCAATGTGCTCATTGATGATGTATGTCATATCGTCTGTGGCTGGAGGGTTAAACTAAACCTTTCCGCTTGCGATCCAGAACTTCCGCTGCGTCATTACGGACTTCGGACAGTCCAAGTTAAAATCTGAAGCCTATCGAATAAGCGGAACTTCGATGCCAAGTACGTTTGGTGTTTTTTTTTTTTGATGATTCTCTTGGTCCTTGCTCAGCCACCAAAGTCCAAGGAACTTTGCGATGGCTCGCTCCCGAAGCCATGGATGCCGCAGCACACCTCACCTTTGAGCGAGACGTTTACGCTTTTGCAATCTGTTGCGTTGAGGTCGGTGCCGATTATCAATGTTCAAAATCTGCAATGTAACTCATTACACTTGTTCAGATTCTGGGAGATGGCGCCTTACCTTGGGCTAATCTTGACAACTTCGTGAGGCGGTGCCTTTTATTTTAAAGGCCATAGATACTGACCATCGTGAAAGCTGGTTCGAACATTGGTGCTAGGTGCATCCTGAAATCCCTCTCTATTGTCTCATATCACTAACTGATCCGTCACAAAAATAGAAAGAGACCAGAGGCCTGAAATTCCAAACAGTCCCGATGCCACAGAAAGGATGCAGGGGTTGATACGTGCATGCTGGGATCATAATCCAGCGGTGAGGCCGTCATTTGATGCTATCGTCACTCGCACATCAGAGTTGCTACATGACCAAAACTGGAGCGGACAAGATATAACCCCCCAGCCAGGGTTGCTTCCCCTTCATGACGAGTCTCGCTCTCCTTCATTGAATCCAAAAAGTCCTTCCCTTGCACCACAGCGTGGTGAAGGACTTGAGCCTGCAAGTAAGCACCGTTCCCTGCGTCGTGTGATTGGTATTGATGATGATCGCAGGTCCATGGGATGATGAAGACCCCCATTATGACTCACCCGTATCCATCACATCTGAAGACTCCTTCAAGTCTATTCATGATACCGACCCGCCCGCACACCAAGCTGAAACATCTCCACCCACGAGGATGGGAACTAAGGAGAGCTCTGTCTATTCGGGTCCTATGGAGCACTCGCATCTGATTTCCAGAGATGATGCCCCAAGAGATGGATATGTGTCTCCGGTACCATGCGACGAGAATGTTGCTGAACGAAAGGACGAGAGGAGATATCGTCTAAATCTGAACCACCCCTATCACGAATCATTGAAGCTGCCATGTAAGCCAAAGACTCTAACGAGGAAACATCTTCACTCAAACCCTCATTAGTATGGACACCATCTCAGGTATACATCGGGGACGTTGGTTATCACAAACGACCGCACGGATCCTTTGTCCGACTCTTCAGCGCGTTCGATCCCGATGGCACTTTTGTGACCCATGGACAGCATCCTCCCGCGCTTAAGCCCGTCCCGACAGGAACATTGGTTCACGACAAACGTAACATTCTCCAAAGAGGTCTCCAGTGGTTCGGGAGTATCCTTCGGCCGACCACAGGCCAAACCGATACACCGAGGACCATAGCGAGACAGTACAGCTTCTTGCTGCGTGCAGAACATCACAGATCGATGATCGTAGCGGAGTCGACGACCTACGTAAGTCTTCGTTTCGAGCATCGAAGTTGCACTCCTTGGTAATAGAATATCGCAGAGATATATGCACTCGATAGAATCATCCAAGAGATGGTTTGCGGAACATCAAGAAACGATCCTCAAGCTTTACGGTCGCAAGCATCATCTTCAGAAGGAGGACCTTCTGATGGGTGAGTTTTGTAATCCGCTTATAAACTGCATCATCCCTAAGCCCCCTCCGCCCTCTCAGTAATTGGAACACTGGACACACGGGATTATGCTCTATGTAGGTTCTAAAATTCAGTCGTGTCCGTCAAATTGCTAATTATCGTGTGTCAGTCGTGAACCATTATCATCCAGATGGACACGCTCACTTTAATGTGTGAGTATTTACCCTCAACTGCTGTTGTGGAGACACTTCACCAACGTTCCTTACCAGTTATAGCGAGCGATGGGAAGGAGAACCATTCGGTGAATGGACTACAGGTATGTGAGCCCCTTCCGACCGAAAAGTTTTACCCAATGAGTCGATTTCAAGACACTATGACTACCCCTGGTGGGCCTCACTACGATGAGGATACCCTGTCCAATGTGCACTCGGCGAACAAAGTATCAAAGGTCCGCTCTAATCCGTAAGCGCATATCTTTCTTGACATTTCCGACCCGCATCTCATGGAAGGCTCAAAAAGCGAGCCCACCTATACGGTTCTTCTTGCGCGACTGCGCTTCAAGCCCGATTCAATGCAACCCACTTCACTATGAGCCATTGTGTGTATCGCAAGTGCAGAGCACTGTATGACATTTATTTAGCAGGACTCATTGCAACGCCATTGCATGGACATTTAATATCCCACTGATGTAAATATCGACTTGGACACTTGTAATACCACCACGGCAAGAGCTACTCGATCCATATTCGGACGAGGGTTCTTCCCTTATCTTCGTTACTTCGAGAGGGCATGCAGGGGCCAGCTAGGGACCAACTTCTAGACCTCTGATGGTGTGGATATTGTATGAATCATGCATGCCGTGCGGTGCTCGGTCGTCGATCTGCAGGTATAAGCTGATGGGTAAAACGTGTACGATAATATATGTATGCATGCATATGTGCATCCCCAATTGATTCTCGTCAGGATCGACTCAGGAGTGCGATAAAGAAAACTAAGTAGTCCGTAAGATGATTGCATGGTCCGAGTAAAGGATGGGAGGATTTTGTATGGCCGCGCGCAGCTTCTGGTCCGACTTGGTGGGTACACTTTTGGCCTCTCTCTCTCTCCTTCCTCCAAAAATTGCACCTAGTAAATGCAGCGGGATCGGTTCCGGTTCCGTTGGCTGTGACGCGTAACGTAACGCGTCCTTTCCCCAAGCCAACCCACTTACATACTCCGAATTCTTGTTCGAGCCCTCAGGCTTCTCGCCATTCCACCACAATTCGCTTATAACTTGGAAGCATGTCTTGGAGTACGTCTTCTTTATTGACACCACGTTTTCTATCGGATGTCATATCCAAGAACCTTCTCCCTTCTCTCTCACCAAATCAAGTCACTACGTCAGTACTTCCTCTCATACACACGTACCGGTATATCGGCGTTGCAACAACTGCTGCAGGCTTTTTCGAGTTGACGCGGTACAAGTGCTGTACCGTACTGTTTTGAGTCTTACTACATGCCAATTTTGGCATGGGTTTACTGTTTACCGTTAGACCCGAGGTTCGGCAAAGTGTGGGCGGCTCGGGGCCAAAATCACTCAGGGTATTTTTTGACTACTCTGCATAGATGGCATTGGTCCTATCAATGCATATAAACACATCTTTGAAATGATTGACGACGGATCGTTGTCCTGGAGGGGGGGGAAGGGGAGGGATCGCGGAGTCTCTCCGGATCTGCGAATAGCTTATCGGGATGACTTCACTATATTGTTTCGATCAATGATGGTGGCTTTGGGGGAAGTATTTGGCGAAGCTTTCTGTGAGAAAAGATGGTCTAACTTTTTTTTTTGCATCTTTTGGCACATACAATTGGAGGGCTGATTGCACCGCTGTTGAGATCTGAGACTTCTCACTGACCGCAAGTCCACATACCATATAGGCTTGATGACGTGGGACGGTTGTATGGAGGTATTTCTGCGTGGGTACTAATCAGATCTCCCAGGGCTTCGGAGCAAGAACTGGTGGATGCAGATAGGTCTCACTATGAACAATGGGACGAAGCGAGACGATGTATGTATGGCGACGCAAATCTGGCGAGCTTTTTCTGCTACAGCATGATTCATGCCTAGCTCTGCGTGCGGGTTGGGCAGGAACTGCTATTTTCATCGCGGAAATACCCCTTTAGGCAGAGCCTAGAATTGCTATGCAGACAGGTAGCGCTGGTGTACATGCTGTGTGGGACCGTTTAGGGCACCTCTAACGCGCGCGCGCGGGCGATGCACATCATGGTAAGAGCGGCTATATTGCAAGATGCAATTCTCGGTCAGGGATACCACATATGCCGGGTGACGTCATGCATTCATGTGAGAGATATGGGGGGAGAGGCTAGTAAAGTCCCCAGTTAGGGCTTGTTCTCCCTTCGTGCTGTCAAAACAAAAGGTCCGAACTGCTTTGCATGCACGCCCTGCACGTGAAGAGTAATTGGCGATAACACGCCACTAACTAGCCCTAGATTTAGTTCTGGAAGGTGCAGGGTGGAATGGAGGGATAGAGGGGTCCAGGCATGATAGGAACTCATCTATCCAGCCATCCATCCATCCATCCATCAAACTTGTTACCAACTAGAGATCGTGTGTGCCCTGAATTGGGATCACGCGTGTGAATAAATCACGCAGGGCAATATTGGCCGTGCGCGCTCAGGTGAGCTGAAGCCATTCAGTTGTTATGGTTGGTTGCTTCATGTGAGTGATCACCTGAGATGTGGCCTCTTCTCGTGACGGCGGAGATGAGAGTTATCACAGCGGCGTGGGGGTGCCTGATAGGCTTTTTGTCCTGATAACGCCGGCGCGGCCGTGAGATAACCTACAATAGGGGTGCACAGACATCTCCAATTTATACTAAAATGGAGAAGATAACCAGCCAAAGGCTCGCTGCACTAGGGTTCCGTATTCAGGGACCGGTTTTTACCCGGATGGATATTCCTGACGATATGCTAGCTCCTACTAGCACGCTTTGCCGGTATGATACGCTCGGAATCCAATTCCTTGATGGCTGTTATTACACCCCCTTCCTTAGCGTGTACACCCCGTGCCAGGGGGTGTAATCGCTAGTAATTAAAATTCCCACACGCCCATTTCAGTGCAGTTCTCTTCTCACTCAGCATGTACAAGGCACTTATCGATTCACGATATTCACGCCAAAACACTTGTTCACGTTGTCTGAGGATCAATCCTTTTTTGGTCGGACATTTAGTTAACACGACTGTTATCTGTAGAGCAAAAAAGGATCAATTTCCTTCAATCGGCAAACTCTGAAAAGTTGCTCAGTAAAAACAAAAAAGGGGGAAAACAAGACATCCAGCGATCTTCCATAGAATGTGTGAGGCTTGATCCTAGTCCTAGGATCGGTGGCCTAGTCGGCGATCGCAGCCAACATACGTTCCGATTAACACCCCACCCCCCTTCGTTTGGACGACCCTTCGTCAAAGAAAAACATGCCCACAACTAGTGTAATGGGGGTGTGAAGGGAAAACAAAAGTTATCTCTCGATCAATTCAATTAGGGTCGGGTTGGCGAGTCAGGGCACTAATATTGAATCGTACTCAAGTTCTTGCTCAGCTGACATGGAAGGAGGGCACCTATCAGCGTCCGACGGACCGGAAGGAGTAGTTTTAGGCAAAAGGGCGACGGCTTGCGACTTTCAAGTTGACCACCTGGTTTCATTTCAGCTTCCTATATATTGAGCAAAAATGTATCAAAGCGAAGGGTAATTATTGTTTTTCGCACGCGTTTACTGTTAAATTTGGGATGGGATGGTCATGTGTGGATTTGCCGAGGGGCCCCTGATAATAGAGAGAAGGATGGAAGGATGGGAAAGAGAGTAGGGTCGCGCTTTAAGCGTGGTCTTGATCTTGGTACCCACCCACATTACTCATCCCAGTATGGAGAAAGAGAGAAAGAGGGACACACCATGCGGCTGGGGGTTCCGTGTGGGAGGGCTGGACTGCAGGGGCCTGATTGACTGATGGTTTACCGAGTGGTGGGGGTACCCTTGGGAGGTCCGTTGAACACGAGAGAACTCGATAAATTCCACGGTCGGGGGGGGAGGGGGAAATGTTTAATTCTGGTTGTATTCTTCGTCAATGGCTTAAGATGTGTGTCAGATTCGGGCAATTGGCTGATTTTTTGGTTTGCGAACTCGAAACTCCGTGGAAGCTGTATCATGTGCTTACCTAAGCGGATTTGAATTACATTACCGGTAAAGAACCAGCGACATTCTCCGTTTGAAAGTTCAGTCCTCCTATATTTTTTTTCCCCTTTTTTTTTCTTGTTTTTTTATTCTTTCCCCTTCCTCCATCTATAAAAGTGCGCTTTAGATTTCCTCTCTTTCCCCGCCTTCACATTCCTCACCCTCTTCCCTCAAAGTTGATATCCGGCACCGGTCCATCCCGACTTTACACACCCGCACTACATAAGTCATGTCGTCTTCTGCCACAAACTCTCCTACCGTTGGCCCAGCCAGCACCGCCAGCTTGAGCCGCTTTGATCCATTTGCCGTTCATCCTTTCACCTGTATCCAATCCGATTCACGCTCCTCGGCAGCTAATGCCCAACAACCTACCTCCCGCCCAAGCACTCCCGAATTCGTGCTACTCAACAAATCCCGCTTGAACAATGCCCCTAACAGCTACAACGTACTTTATGCGCGAGCCGCCAAAGCTGCTGCGTTTCCTGAGGAGACTGGCACTGAGCGTCAACGCTCGCATGAAACGACGCTGGATGCTGCCCCTGTAACCTTGCCACTGTCAGCGGCAGCGCTCCAAGTGACGCAAAACTACTCAGTGACAACATATCCTACCCAAGTTGCTTCTCGAACGTCTAACGGCGGCAATAATAATAATAATCATTCGTCGTCGCGTAACCTTCACTTGAATGGGTATAATGACGTACGGGCGGAATCGGAGAGGCGACGACGTGCACAGGAACTCATTCTCCGTGCGGGGTTGGGTTCACCTAAACATGATGATGAGTTACCTATTCTCAAGAGGAAGAAGGAGTATGTCCTTGATGGGTTCTGATATCGCCTAACCCTGTAAGCGATCTCAGTGGTCGTGGTTCCAGTAGTCTCGTGCTACATTTGTCGCGTGAGTTTTTCTTTTCTTTTCTCAATTCCAGCTGAAAGTCTGATCTACGTTTTTCTTTGATCATTACAAGACGTCCGTGAACTTGTTGTTCGAACCGACCACTTCTTTATCATACTCGATGACCGCCTTGTGCACCTTCTCCCTCTCCCTCCCTCCCTCTCTCTCTGTTCAGCACTTGGCGAGCCATTCTGTAACCATCATGATGACGATCATTAATTATTCGCCGATCCGAGTCTCATGTTTCAGTTTTTTCCTTCCTTCTTTCTTTCTTTTTCGTATGCATATGGCAGTATATCTCACATTTACCCCGCGAACCTCTTTGACCATTTGTCCATGCAACTATTGGGTAGTTATTTCACCGCTATATTACATGTCGAATATTTAGGGTTTTCGAAGAATGAGTTGAGATTGATCATGCTATCGGATATCAAGGTTATACATGCTATTGAACGGAAAAGTACCACGCTTGTGTGTGGGGGAGGAAGGGGCTGTGAGTGACGTAGTGTGTATGTTGTTGTTTGCACGCGCTTGAGATCTGTTACATAATTTGGAACATGGGCTGAGTACGGTTCTGTTTCACAACTACTAGTTATGCTTGTGCTTGCTTAGCATCCCAGGGAAGCAATAGTGAACTGGAGGGGTACAACTGCTTTATGTCAGTCTGGTAGTTGGGTCGATCCGGCCTGGGAACACGTCTCGCCGCTGAACTGATGATCAAAGCGTCGAAGTTTGAATTTTAAGATTGAAGGGGTGGACCGTTATACCGAACTGTGGTGTGAAGCAGTCTCGGGTAAGGGTCCAATGAGCTAGGGGATTGGAAAGTGAGCATTTTAAGGCTTTGACGAGCCGCTCGGGATCGGAGGCGCGTTACCGGGATGTCCTTCTCTCCAGTGTTGGGCAGACATGGTCCCAAATGGTCGCATGGTCCGAAGTCCGAAGGTCTGATTCAGTAGACAACGTCTTTCCCATGGTCCGAATTGTCCCATCAGTTGTCTGTCGGCTAAAGCCGGGACCTCGCTAGTTCAATGTCGGCAGTGTCGGCAACGAGTTTCGCGGAAATAGCCGCAAGGTGATCACATGAGGCTCGGGTTATCCCTCGTCTGGTTGGAAATCGGCTACTTCCGTATTTCGGACCTTGAGACAATGGACCCTTGTCGGAAGCACAATCAGACCAAAAATGGTCTGATTGGTGGTCTGATCGTGTCAATGCCAACACTGCAGTTCTCTCGGTAAGTACCCCCTTTTGCTCAGTGTTATAACCAATGATTGATTTGGGCGTCAGAGATGCTTTGGCCGAGCAAGGAAAGGCGGCCCAAGTGCCCCGATTCCAACCAGTGCTTGAGCTGTGCGAGAGTGCGACAACCCCTGTCGTGGACAGGAATCCGTAGCTCGTCTTCATTCGTGTAGAACGTACCATCGGAAGCGGCCGGTAAAGGAGGGTGATTTCATGGCTGCTGTTTCTGACGTTAATGCGTGAGCATGCTGCTGGGGCTATTTTAGGAGCCACCAAGCGCCACTGATCCGACGTCCTTTTTTGCGCTTGACCAAGAACGAAGAAACTGCACATCACAGGCAAGTACAAGCACGGAATGGATTATGGTGCCTGTTGGGACTCACATCTTCCTTGAATAGGTGTCGCAGCGAATGGGTTATCGAAGCGCGATGCCCTCGAGTTCCCAGACCCATTCGCTGTCATAACTGTAGACGCACAACAGACTGCCACTACCAGTACAATCAAAAGGACTCTCGATCCGTACTGGAACGAAGGTTTCGATGTGCGAGTATCAATCCACGGCTCCGTCATGTTGCGATACATGCTGACCGAGTTCCGGATCCACACAGAAACGTCAAGGAATCATCTGTCATCGCAATTCAAGTACTTGATCAGGGAAAAATCGAAGAGCCGGATCAGGGGTTCCTTGGAGCTGTCAATATTTGTGTCCGGGATCACATCGATATCCACAGTGAAGGGCGAGGTATGACCGATAGCAGTGTTCAACCAGTCTAATGGCCAACTGAGCGTGGGGTAAACTCTTTAGAAATGCTCACCTTGAACCTCGAGGGGTCAAACGATAACTTCGTAGTACATGGAAAGCTCACGGTCTGTTTATCCACGGATACGAACATGCCTAATCCAAATCTTGGTGTGTCCCAAGCGGTGGCTGCGTTGGAAGGTCTTGACCTGTCTGCCTCCACAAGCACCATTGGGGATACCCGTTCCATCGGTGATACTTCTGATATTCTGTCCCCCGCTTCTGCATCGGTATCGAGCCCTCCAGCAGCCTCAACTCTCGAGCACTCCGATTCCCTTCGTAGTAGTCACCCTGCTAACGCCACCTCCCCAGCGATTACTAACCTGAACAGTATCTCATCACCAGCTACAAACGCGGCGACGGACGCAGCTGCCACTTCCGCAAATGCTCAAGCAGTGAATGACACGCGGAAGTTCAATCCCTACGAGGATCAACATGGCCCGTTGCCCCCTGGATGGGGACGCTGGATTGATCATCTTGGTCGCACTTACTACGTCGATCACAATACCCAAACTACGACATGGGACAGACCTTCTAACAACCAGACGGCGAACACTCAAGCGCAGCAGGATACTGATACTGCCAATCGTCGCATTCCGGCGGATGACCTTTTGGGGACTGCAAGCAGTTCACGTTCAGGAGGTGCCACTCCTGCCACTGGTGGTGCCACCGCTGTTGTAGGTGCAAATGGTCCGCAGACAACCACTGGAAGTGGGCCTCTGCCCGCTGGATGGGAAGAAAGGCATTCACTTGAAGGTCGCCCTTACTATGTTGACCACAACACCAGAACGACTACTTGGGTGGATCCCCGTCGTCAGGCACTTGTCCGAACGCTTGGACCTGATGGGAATGAGGTCACGGTGCAACGTCAGCCTATCTCCCAGCTTGGTCCCTTGCCCTCTGGGTGGGAGATGCGCCTCACGTCTACTGCTCGTGTTTACTTCGTTGATCATAACACAAAGACTACGACCTGGGATGATCCTCGTCTGCCATCATCGCTCGACCAGAGCGTACCGCAATCCAAGCGTGACTTCTATCGCAAGCTCATCTATTTCCGTTCTCAACGTGAAATGAGAAGCCAACCGGGTAACTGCCAAATTAAGGTTCGACGAAACCACATTTTCAAGGACAGTTACGCGGATATCATGCGTCAGCCTCCAAGTGATCTGAAGCAGCGTGTGATGATCGTGTTCGATGGCGAAGATGGTCTTGGTCTTTCTCGGTCAGTGGAGACTATTTGTCTATTGTTGAGTTTGTCCCCTTATCCTTCCAAGTTGTGTAGTGAATCCTTCATGTTGCTTTCTCACGAGATATTCCGACCATCCCACTCTCTGTTCGAGTACTCGGCAGCGGACAGCAATACTCTTCAGATCAACCCTTCCTCTGCCATGAACCCCGAACATTTGGACCATTTCAAGTTTATTGGAAGGGTCATAGGTCTCGCCATCTTCCATCGCCAATTCCTAGACGCCAACTTCACCACTGGATTCTACAAAATGATTCTCAAGAGGAAGACTACCCTCAGTGACTTGGAAAGCGTTGATGCCGAACTCCAACGTCATATGACTTGGATTTTGTAAGTGTGCACTACCCCGATAGGCGCGGCTCTTATTGCCAAACGGTTTAAAACAGGGAGAATAACATTACGAATATTGTCAATGAGACGTTCACCATGACGGAAGACCGTTCCGGCGAGATTGTGACGATCGATCTCAAGCCTAATGGTGCCGACATCCCCGTGACGGAGGAAAATAAGAAGGAATACGTGGAGTAAGTATTACTGATTATCTCATACACCTGCTCAACCTCTGGTTCGATTATACAGGGCGGTGATCGAGCACCGTATTGTTCGTCGTGTGAAAGAACAGTTCGACGCTCTCATGTCTGGTTTTAGCGAAATAATCCCTCAAGAACTCATCAGTGTGTTCAACGAGCGGGAACTTGAGGTCAGTGTTCAACAAATTTAATATCTGGAAGTATCAGTCTCCAATCCCTTTCCATAGCTTCTCATTGGAGGCATATCCGAGATCGATGTGTATGTTGCTCAGTTCAATGGGAAGTTGTTGGGCTATATGTGCTCATCGTCTACGATTCCAGTGATAATTGGGAAGAGCACACACTTTATCGTGGCTACGAGAGGAACGATGAAGTCATTCGGTGGTTCTGGCAAATCATTCGAAGCTGGCCGACTGAGCGGAGGTCTCGCTTGCTCCAGTTTGCTACTGGAATGTCACGTATCCCCTTCGGTGGGTTCAAGGCTCTCCGAAGTCCAAGCGGTCCTCAACGGTTCACGATCGGAGGAACTGGAGGCCCTAGTAAATCATTGCCGACGAGTTATCCCCCTTTCCATCGCGTATGCACTCATCGTCATTTGTCGTTTCGTTTTTGATCATCGATCTGAGCGGAGCATTCATTTTCTTATTCTTTGTAGATTGATTTTCCCCCTTACGAAGATTACGATACCTTGGAGCGCCAGCTGCTTGTTGCCATAGGGGGAGCCTCAACACGGAAGTGAAAAAAAATGCGAACTCGGAGACATCTAATTGCCGCTGTGGAATCACGCTATGCTTATAGGCCCCTGCCGGGTTGAACTGGGGTCGGTAGTATGCATGGCCTCATTTTTATTCCTCTGGCTGCCCTCTTTTCTTCTTCATGTTTCCTGTGACTGAACGACATTTGAAACCTTGCCCAAACCATCATATGCAGTGTGTCTAAGTTGCTGCTGACTGCCGCCTCAACAACATTTGCCCTTCTCTACTTGCTGTAAGTCGACATGTCGCCAATTTTTGTCACCGCACTCCTTCGCCCTGCGCAGAGACTCCATCTTGGTATACTGATTTTTCTCGTGTATGCGCATCCCACACCCTTGCTACATCTCCGATTCCCAGTTCCATTTACCGTGTCCCGTGCCTGAAACCTGGCTCTGCACCCCATTTCTCCATGTCCAATGTCTTGTGTTCCATCTCTTTTGCGTCCACATGTAATAGATTGCATCCCTTCACGCGATGCACTTACGTATGTCACTGACTGTTTGCGTGTACATTTCTTATTAGCAAGGGCCGCCCTCGCTCAGTGTCGTTAGCGCTAGCTGGCGCGTCAGCAACGCGGAGGACCAGTCCTGTTGGGAATACGTAGCACGAGGCCGTATGCTTTCGGTCTAGGCGCCGTGCCAACGCACAAGTGCACATCTCACATTTACTCCGCGAACCTTTTTGACTGTTCGTCCGGCCATGCAACTATTGTGTACTTTACTCATGGTTATTTTCAGCCGCTATATTACATGTAGAATATTGAGGGTTTTGGGAGGGGCTGTGACGTAGTGTGTATGTCCTTGTTTGCACGCGCTTGAGATCTGCTAATTTGGAACATGGGAAATCACCCTGATACGGTTCTATTTCACAACTACCAGTTGTGCTTGTGCTTGCTTAGCAAGAGATGAGGCATTCCAGAGCTCGGATTCCGGGGAAGCACAGCTGCTTTATGTCAGTCTGGTGGTTGGGCCCGGCCTGGGAACACGTCTCGCCGCTGAACTGATGATCAAAGCGTCGATGCTTGAATTTTGGGGTGGACCGTTATACCGAACTGTTGGTGTGAAGCGGTCTCGGGTAAAAGGAAGGGTCTAATGCGCTAAGGGATAGGGAAGTGACCGTTTTGAGGGGGATGGGAGGCGCCTCACCGGGGATTGTGCTTCTCCCGGCAAGTACCCCTTTTGCTCAGTATTAATGATTAATTTGGGCGTCAGAAATCCTTTAGCCGAGCAAGGAAAGACAAGGCGGCGCAAGTGCCTCAACTCCCAACCATGGTATTTGAGATGTGCGAGAGCGCGACAACCCCTGTCGTGGACAGGAATCTGTAGCTCGTCTTCATTGGTGTAGAACGTACATCGAAAGCGGCCGGTAGGAAAGGGAAAAGGAGGGTGATTTCATGGCTGCTGTTTCTAACATTGCGTGAGCATGGCTGCTGGGCTATTTTGGAGCCACCAAGCGCCACTGATCCGACCTCCTTTTTTGCGCTCGACCAGAACAAAGAAACTGCGCATCACAGGCAAGTGCAAGCACGGAATGGGTTGTGGTGCCTGTTGGGATTCACACCTTCCTAGCTGTCGCCGCAAATGGACTATCGAAGCGCGATGCCTTCGAGTTCCCAGACCCCTTCGCTGTCATAACTGTAGACGCAGAACAGACTGCCACTACTAGTATAATCAAAAAGACTCTCGATCCGTACTGGAACGAAAGTTTCGATGTGCAAGTATCAATCCACGGCTCCATCATGTTGCGATACATGCTGACTGAGTTCCGGATCCACACAGAAACGTCAAGGAATCATCTGTCCTCGCAATTCAAGTTCTCGATCGGGGAAAAATTGAAGAGCCGGATCAGGGGTTCCTTGGAGTCGTCAATATCTGTGTGCGGGATCACATCGATATCCATAGTGAAGGGCGAGGTATGACCGATAGCAGTATTCAACCAGTCTAATGACCAACTGAGCGTGGGCGAACTCTTTAGAAATGTTAACTCTAAACCTCGAGCGGCCAGGTGATAACTCTGTAGTACATGGAAAGCTCAGAGTCTATTTATCCACAGATACGAACATGCCTAATCCAAATCCTGGTATGTCCCAAGCGGTGGCTGCGTTGGAGAGTCTTGACCTGTCTGCCTCCACAAGCACCATTGGGGATACCCGTCTCGAGCACTCCGATTCCCTTCGTAGTAGTCACCCTGATAACGCCACCTCCCCAGCGATCAGCTCGAACAGTATTTCATCACCAGCTACAAACGCGGCGACGGACACAGCTGCCACTTCCGCAAATGCTCAAGCAGTGAATGACATGCGAAACCTCGATCTTCACGAAGATCAGCATGGCCCGTTGCCCCCTGGATGGGAATGGCGAGTTGATCATCTTGGTCGCACTTACTACATCGATCACTACACACGAACCACGACGTGGACCAGACCTTCCTACACTCCAGGCCAGACGTCGAACACTCAGGCGCAGATAACCGCTAGAGGTGCCAAGGAGGCTCTGCCCGTTGGATGGGAAAAAAGACGCACACCTGAGGGCCGTTTTCTCTATGTTGACCACAACACACGTACCACCACTTGGCTGGATCCTCGTCATGCACTTCTCCGAATGCTTGAACGTGATGGGGATGAGACCATGGTGCAGCCTCAGCGCGTTTCCCAGCTTTCCCCCTTGCCCTCTGGGTGGGAGATGAGGCTTACGTCTACAGAGCGCGTTTACTTCGTTGATCATAACACCAGGGCAACGACCTGGGATGATCCTCGTTTGCCATCACCGCTCGACCAAAACGTACCCCAATACAAGCATGACTTCCGTCGCAAGCAGGTTTACCTCTTCTCTCAAGATGCAATGAGGATCCAACCGGGTAACTGTCACATCAAGGTTCGACGAAACCACATCTTTGAGGATAGTTACGCGGATATCATGCGTCAAACTCCAAGTGATTTGAAGAAGCATTTGATGATCGTGTTCGATGGGGAAGATGGTCTTGGTCTTGATGACGGTGGTCTTTCTCGGTCAGTGGAGATTATCAGTCTGTTGTTGAGTTTGTCCGTTTACCCTTCCAAGTTGTGTAGTGAATTCTTCTTCTTGCTCTCTCACGAGATGTTTCGATCATCCCACTCTCTGTTCGAGTACTCGGCAGCGGACAGCTATACTCTTCAGATCAACCCTTCCTCTGCCATGAACCCCGAACATCTGAACTATTTCAAGTTTATTGGAAAGGTCATAGGTCTCGCCATCTTCCATCGCCAATTCCTAGATGCCAACTTCACCACTGGATTCTACAAAATGATTCTCAGGAGGAAGATCACCCTCAGTGACTTGGAAAGCGTTGATGCCGAACTCCAACGTCATATGACTTGGATTTTGTAAGTATGCAGCTGTCTTACCCCGATAGGCGCGGCTCTTATTGCCAAACGGTTTAAACAGGGAGAATAACATTACGAATATCGTCAATGAGACGTTCAATATGACGGTGTTGGAATATCAACAATCGGTTCCGACGACGGAGTGGCGAGGACGGTGTTGATTGTTGGTGGCGGAAGTGAAGTTTTGGGGCACGTCTTTTGCACCCCATTTTTCTTCTTTGTGCGACGGGCTCGCCACTGGTGTAGTTCGCGTATAAGAAGGGAGTTTTTTGGACTCCCTCTCCCTCAGATCTCTAACACGAGTCTGAGGTGAGATAGATTTTATTATTCTTTACAAAAATTGTCTAACTGTTGGCGCAGACACTTACGCACCATAGGTACATACAATTTATAGATCTCTAACACGAGTCTGAGACACTTACGTGCCATAGCCTTATATTTAAAAGACGGAAGACCGTTTCGGCGAGATTGTGACGATCGATCTCAAGCCTAATGGTGCTGACATCCCCGTGACGGAGGAAAATAAGAAGGAATACGTGGAGTAAGTATTGCTGATTATCTTATACACCTGCTCAACCTTTGGATCTATTATACAGGGCGGTGATTGAGCACCATATTGTTCGTCGTGTGAAAGAACAGTTCAACGCTCTCATGTCTGGTTTTATCGAAATGATCCCTCAAGAACTCATCAGTGTGTTCAACGAGCGGGAACTTGAGGTCAGTGTTCAACAAATTTAATATCTGGAAGTATCAGTCTCCAATCCCTTTCCATAGCTTCTCATTGGAGGCATATCCGATATCGATGTGTATGTTGCTCAGTTCAATGGGTTGTTGGGCTATATGTGCTCATTTTCTATGATTCCAGTGATGATTGGGAAGAGCACACGGTTTATCGTGGCTACGAGAGGAACGATGAAGTCATTCGGTGGTTCTGGCAAATCATTCGAAGCTGGCCGACTGAGCGGAGGTCTCGCTTGCTCCAGTTTGCTACTGGGACGTCACGTATCCCCGTCGGCGGGTTCAAGGATCTCCGAAGTCCAAGCGGTCCTCGACAGTTCACGATCGAAGAAACTGGAGACCCTAGTCAATTATTGCCGACGAGTTGTCCCCCTTTCAATCGCGTATGCACTCATCGTCATTTGTCGTTTCGTTTTTGATCATTGATGCCATTCATTTTCTTATTCTTTGTAGATTGATTTTCCCCCTTACGAAGATTACGATACCTTGGAGGGTCAGCTGCTTGTTGCCATTGGGGGGGGAGACTCAACATGAACCACGGATGTGAAAGAAATGCGAACTCGGAAACGCGACTCATCTAATTGCCGCTGCAGAATCACGCTATGCTTATGGCCCCTGCCGGGCTGAACTGGGGTCGGTAGTTACTAAGTTACCCATGGCCTCATATTTATTCCTCTGGCTGCCCTCTTTGCTTTATGTTCCTGTTAGTGAACAACATTTGCAAACCATCATATGCAGTGTGTCTAAGTTGCTGCTCACTGCCACCTCACCAACATTTGCCCTTCTCTACTTGCTGTAAATCGACACGTCGCCAATTTTTGTCAATCGCACTCCTTCGCCCCGGCCTGTGCAGAGACTTCATCCTTGATATACATACTGATTTTTCTCGTGTAAGCGCCTCCCACACCCCGTTCTCTTGCCACATCTCTGAATCCCAGTTCCATTTACCGTGTCCCGTGCCTGAAACCTGGTCAGGTAAGATCTGACTATAAAACCAACCAGAAAAACCTCCATGGAAACTCTTTCCCATGCCCACACACATAGCTAAGGCTGGAAGTACCACAGAACAAGGATTCCATAGGAACCGATGAAAACCTCTATAAGACGAAATGTTGGACTAGCGAGTTTATCGCTCAGTCCCGTTGTACGTGAACTAGAATAGATTAAAAAGTAATCACCTAGCGAGTTTATCGCTGGTGGACTAATGTTTAGTACATGATTTAAACATGATATAACCAACATACCTCAGTCCCGTTGTACGTGAACTGAGGGAAGGTTGGGTTGTCCAAAAATTGGGGTTTTATAGTCAGGCGCTATGAATGTGCACTGACTTTGGCACGGACGCCACCAAGAAAGGCAATAGGTGTAAATCTAAACGCCACACGACTCAACATCACCAAACGTGAGTTGGTCATAGCAAACACCATAATACCAAGAATTCTAACACGCCCACTCGCTAGATCTACTCATGTAATCCCATCGCAGTACGGAACTTCGAATGTTTTTCATGCGCCAGAGCCTTTGTAAGGACGTCGGCTACTTGGTCGTTCGTCGAAATGTAATCGAGTGTGATGTCGTTGTGTTCAACGTGTTCGCGAATAAAATGATGTCGAACGCCAATGTGTTTCGTACGAGCGTGGAAGGTGGGATTTGACGCCAGCGCGATAGCGCCCTGATTATCGACGAGTAAGGAAGTGGAATGGGCGAGAGGGAAGTGTATGTCACGAAGGAACTGTTGGATCCAAAGTGCTTCTTTAGTAGCATGAGTCATTGCCATGTACTCGCCTTCTGTACTCGAGAGCGCAATAGATGTCTGCTTCTTCGAGCTCCAGCTAATAGCCACGCCAGCCATTATAAAAACGAAACCAGATATGGAACGAAAGTCTCTTGGGTCTCCAGCCCAATCCGAATCGGAATATCCAGTGTGATCGTCGTATTTTGACTTTCCGTCGTAGACCAATTTGTAGTCTTTGGTGGCGTTGAGATAGCGAAGAAGTCGATTGATGGCGATCCAATGTTCTTCCCCTGGATTCGATGAGTACTGACTCAGTGTGGTGACGGCGTAGCCAATGTCCGGTCGGGTACCGAGCATCGCGTACATAACGGAGCCTATTCGTGATTGGTACTCGCGGGTGTTGATCTCAGGATCGGGTTGATCGTGGCGAAGGAGTTTAAGGTTAGGGGTCATGGGAGTTGAAATACTGCGAGAATTAGTAAAGCCAAATCTTTCGACAATGTCAGACACGTATCGTGATTGGGAAACGGTAATTAAGCGCCGTGCGCGATCGCGAGTAATCTCCAGTCCAAGAAACCAATGAACTTCGCCCAAGTCTTTCATTTTGAACGCAGAACGCAGCTGCCTCTTCTTCTTTCGAAGTAAGTTGAGATCATTTGAAGCGATGAGGAGGTCGTCGACATATAAAGCGACGATGCAGAATTTGGCGTGGGAGGAATAAATGAATACTGCGTGGTCGGATTCACAGCACGTGAAGTAGAGTTTGTTGAGTTCGGCTTTCGCCTTCTTGTACCAGGCGCGTGACGCCTGTTTGAGTCCGTAGAGGCTCTTCTGCAACTTCCACACAATATCGGGCCACCCATAATCATCGCATCCAGGAGGGGGATCCATGTAGATTTCGTGCTCTAGATCGCCGTTGAGGAAGGCGGTTTTTACATCCATTTGATGAAGTTCGAGATCGAGACGGGCGGATAGGGCTAGGAGTATTCGAATGGAGGTCCATTTGACCACAGGTGCGAAGGTCTCGTCGTAATCGATCGCGTGGACCTGACTAAAACCTTTTGCAACCACGCGCGCTTTATAGCGCTCCACTTCTCCGTTAGCATTTCTCTTTATCGCAAATACCCATCTCGAACCAACCACATTCTGAGCATCGACGTCTCGCTTTCGCACTGAGACGTAAGTTCCCGTCTCCCTTAATGCTGATAATTCTTCCACACAAGCCTCGAGCCATGAACCCGCGTCGTGACGGTCCATCGCCTGTTTGTAAGTCCGTGGTATTTCCACATTCGCGTTTAACGCCCAACTAACGCCCACTGTTTCAGGGGCTCTCGTCGAACGATTGTAAGAAGAAACGGAGTATCGAGCGTCGTCGTCAGGGATGGGGGCACGATGGATACGTCCTGAGCGTCGTGGTTCAGGGGGCCTGGATTCAGGTTTAACAGGTATGTCTCCTCCATCTACCTTCTCCTCGTCATCGCTCTCACTTCCCCTTTCCTCTCGATCTTCGTGATCACCATCACCATCACCGTCACCATCTTCATCTCCCATTTCCCTAACCTCTCCTTCATCACTCTTCGCGGGGACAACGACGTGCATCGGGGAATCTTGTGATTCAACCTCGATCGTCACCCGCTCCGATTCTCCATCCATTCCCTCAAAAAAGTGAACGTCCCTGGACTCGTGGAGTTTACGAGTCTTGGGATCGAAGACAACAAAGGCCTTCTTGCCTTGCGCCATGCCAAGATGGATTCCAAGAATTGAGCGATTATCGAGTTTTCGACGAAGATCGCGGTGGATGTGGAGGGTGGCTTTACAGCCAAAGGTACGTATCATGGTAACACTTGGCTTATTGCCAGTGTATCGTTCGTAGGGGGAGAGATTGTGAGGAAGTGCGGAGTGGGGGGATACGTTTTTGATTAGTGCCGCATGTCGCAGCGCGTACGGCCAAGCAGTGCGGTCGACTTTCGACTCGAGCATAGCGATAGTCATGGTGACTAGAGTCCGGTTGACTCTCTCAGCTACACCGTTCTCCTGCGGTGTTCGCGGATTTGTACGCTCATGAACGATTCCGATTCCTTTTAGGTACGACGAGAACTCATCCGAGAAATATTCGCCACCACCATCAGTGCGGAGGATCTTGAGTTTAGACCCCGTCTGGCGTTCCGCTTCGGCAAGATACTCTTTGAATCTGTCGAGCGCGTCGGACTTCTTCTTCATCGGGTAAACGGTAAGATAGCGGCTGAAGTCGTCAACGAAGGTGATGAAATACTTAAAACCTTCTCGCGTTACAGTTTTGGTCTCACATACGTCGGAGAAAACTCTGCCAAGGACTTGATCGGTGCGAGTATGAGTTTCGGAGGGGATAGGATTACGATGGTGTGAGGACGCCTCGCATTCTGCGCAATATTTTGGTTCGTCCTGCGTTTCACTCCCAATCAGATCCATGCCCTTTACCATCCCGCTTCTGATCATTTTGAGGATAGATTCTTTCGAGATATGACCAAGGCGTTTGTGCCACACATCCAATGATGCGCTGGCGGTAATCGATCGTGCGATATTGGAGGAGTAGGAGTTGGCAGCGTGGGAGGAGGTGATATAAGCCTTCTCCAAGGCTATGACCGTAACAGGTAATCGGTATAAACCGTTCTCGGCGTTGGCAACAGCAATGAGCTGGTCCGCTGAGTCAAAGATCTCACACTTTCCGCTTAGGAACGTTGCATATGCGCCAGATGAATTGAGTTGGATGACGGATAAAAGGTTATGGGCGATCTTCAGGCAATAGAGGACGTTGCGAATGATGGTGTTTCCAGGTGAGTTTCCAGTAAGAAAAGTCACTTTCACCTGTCCAATGCCCGGCGCTAAAATTACCTTTTTGTTACCTAGGACGATCTTTCGAGGAGGATCAAGGGGACGATAGGAGATGAACCACTCGCGATTACCACATAAGTGCGCGGTGGCTCCAGAATCGACTATCCACTCGGAGCGTCAACGTTCATTACCAGTGAGTGTTGCACTTAGTAAGTCTGAAGCTCCGGCGACTAAGACTTTGTCTTTTTCATCAGGAGAGGTTGCGACTTTGGCCGACTCCTTCGGCGTCGTCAACTTTGACTTGCCCTTCCCCCTTCCGTGTCTCGATCTCTTCCCTTCCGACCCTCCACCTTCCGACCAACATTGTTCTATTGTATGACCTAGTGCTCCACACTTAGGATTCGAGCAACGAACCACCGGTTTGGCAGTATTCGTTGTCGAGCCACTCGACTTTTTCTTTTCACGACGGCCAGACTTTCCACCGTTGGTGAACATGGCGGCGATCTCAGGGTCGTTATTCCTGAGTTTCTCTTCTTGGAGTATGTGTCGGATTAGGCTTGTGGAGGTTACGGTGTTGACATCGTCGACGTGGACGATGACGTAGGTCTTTATGGCGTGATACGTAGCGGGGAGTGCTTTGGCAAGAGCTATGACGAAGTCACCTTCATCAACCTTCCGGCCCATTTCGGATAGTTGGGCGCGGAGTTGTCGCATTTCATTGATCTGTGGCTCCAGCGGCTTAGAGTCGTCCATGTGGAAAGTATACAGATCACCGTGGATAATCATGGCATCGTGTGCACCACGACCGTTGTAGCGATTAGAAAGGAGTTTCCATGCTTCGCGAGCATGGGGTGCTTCATCAATTAGCATGATAGGTTCGTCACCTATATAGCACTTGATATACGTTAACGCCTTCATATCCTTCTTCAACCAGTCCGTGAGGTCTTGGCCTGGTTGCGTTGGCATGGCAACGCCGCCTGTTGACGTGTCTTGCACGACCTCCCAAACCTCTCCTATCTGAAGTATCGACTTCATCCTAGACGCCCACGTACGGTAATTCTTGCCCTCATTGTCTAAGACTTTAATGGGGAACCGGGAGCTGTCTGGGGAGATGGTTGTTGTTGAGGAACTGGCAGCTGCACTAGCGGTTGCAGTGGTGTTGGACATTGGGAAGGAAGGGGATATGGAGTTCACAAGGTAGGACGAAGTTCAGAGTGAACGGGGCTCGTAACCTATAAGACGAAATGTTGGACTAGCGAGTTTATCGCTCAGTCCCGTTGTACGTGAACTAGAATAGATTAAAAAGTAATCACCTAGCGAGTTTATCGCTGGTGGACTAATGTTTAGTACATGATTTAAACATGATATAACCAACATACCTCAGTCCCGTTGTATGTGAACTGAGGGAAGGTTGGGTTGTCCAAAAATTGGGGTTTTATAGTCAGGCGCTATGAATGCGCACTGACTTTGGCACGGACGCCACCAAGAAAGGCAATAGGTGTAAATCTAAACGCCACACGACTCAACATCACCAAACGTGAGTTGGTCATAGCGAACACCATAATACCAAGAATTCTAACAACCTCATGTAGATGCCTTTTAGATAAACTCAATAAAAGTAATTTCAGGGAAAACTACCAATAGACAATGGAGAAATGGCTGAAATTTGCAGGAAATGAGGACAACGTTTAAAAGGAAAGCACGACAGATAACATTTTTCCTGTCGTCTTTCATATCTGATGTCTTGTGTTCCATTTCTTTTACGTCCACATTCCATCCCCCACATTCACGCGATGCACTTACACGTTACCGCCTAGCTTGCCCCCGCGTTCCTATTGTCATCCTCCGCCGCGCATGGGAGTTCTTGATTAATAATGACATTGATGCACGGGATATCAAGGTTAACGCAGAGCAAAAAAGTACTAGAGGGTCTAAGCATGCCGTAGCATGGGCCAAGTATATTTGCATGCGCTTAAACTGTTGTTTAGCTGTGAAATCTTCGAGATCTGCCAATTTAGAACATGGAAAATCACCATGATACAGTTCTATGTCATAGTGCCAGTGCTTGCACTGTACTCGGCAAGAGATGAGTCGGATTCTAGGGAAGCAATAGTATGGGGGGAAGGCACTGTTTTATGACCAATAGTGGCGCAAATTGATTGTGGTGTGAAGCACGCGATGGGTGGCTGAGAATCAAGGCTCGAATTTGAATGTGAAGGTTCTCTGGCTGTACAGTGTGCATGTCGTCTCAGGTGTGGGTGCATCGCATGGGATATGGAAGTGAGACATATGCGCCTTCCAGGAGGCGCGCCGCCAAAATGGGCTCACTAACTGTTTGTGTGCGCATGCAAGTGCCGCCCTCGCTCAGTGTCGTTAGCGCTAGCTGGCGCGTCAGCAACGCGGAAGATCAGTCCTGTTGGGAATACGTAGCACGAGGCCGTATGCTTTCGGTCTGGGCGCCAACGCACAAGTGCACAGCCCTTCCTCGGCTCCGTCGGTTTTTTTCCGCATTTTATCTTGGCGGAGTGAAGAAAGCCTCGGGGCGGTACAATTTGCAAATCTCAACAGGTGTCCGGTATTTAAGCGCGATGAAGTGCCGTGGGCTGGAGTCCGTGACAGCCCTCCACTTCGTCGTAGAACAAGCATCGAAGGCGGCTAGTACTAGATTATTTATAAAAGGGATAAGGGCAAATTCATGACTACTGCGTCTAACCTTGCGTGGGTATTTCTTGGGTTGTCACGATGTCAGTCATTAAGCGTCACTAATTCGATATCATCAATCAGAATAAAGAAATTGCACATCACAAGTAAGTGCAAGCACGGGAAGGGTGAAAGCGCTTAGTATCGGTACTCACTTTCTTTGGACAGTTGTCGCGGCAGATGGTTTGTCGAAGCCCCGTATCTTCAGGACCCCCAACCCCTCTGCTGTGATAGCTGTAGATACGGAGCAAACGCATACAACCAGCACCATCAAAGGAACTCGTAATCCGTACTGGAACGAAGGTTTCGACGTGCAAGTATCGATGCACGCCCCCCTGCGCTACGTGCTGACCTAGACCCTCACACAGTAACGTCAATGAGTCGTCTGTCATCGCCGTGAAAATATTTGATCAGAGGAAATCTAAGAAGCAGGATCGAGTGCTCCTCGGAGCCGTCGATTTCTGCTTGCGGGATTGGATCGATATCCATAGCCAAGTGCGAGGTATGGCTGGCAGGGTACTCACACGGTCTAATGGTTAGCTGAGCGCGATGTTCTCTTAGAAACGCTCACCCTTGACCTTAGGAGGTCAAATGACGACCGCGCAGTTCATGGAAAGCTTACAGTCTATTTGTCCACGGATATGAACATGCCTGTTCCAAATCTTGATTCACCTCAGCCAGGTGGAAACCTCTTTGCCGTGTCGGGACACCTTAACCTGTCCACTTCCACAAACACCCTTGGGAATACCTCTCCGGTTGGTAATGCCCTCGAGGTTCTGTTCCCGATCTCGGCATCGGCACCCATCTCTCCAGCAGCCTCGACTCTTGAGCACTCCAACTCCTTTCGGAGTCACCCCGCTAGCACGACCACCTCTCCAGCAACTGACCCGGAAAGTATTCCGTTTCCAGTTCCAAACACGGCTACAGAAGCACCTGCCACTTCCCCGAATGCTCAAACAACGAACGACGCGCCAGACTTCAGTCCTTGCGAAGGCCAACATGCCCTGCTTCCCCCTGGGTGGGAACGCCGGGTGGATCCTCTTGGTCATGCTTACTACGTCGATCACAATACACGAACTACGACATGGGACAGACCTTCCAACAGCCAGACGGCGAACACCCAAGCGCAGACGACCACTGGAAGTGAGGCTCTTCCCGCTGGATGGGAAGAAAGGCACACACCTGAAGGTCGCCCTTACTACGTGGAAGATAACACACAAACCAACACTTTGGTGGATCCTCGTAGTCAGATTCATATCCAAACACTTGAACGTGATGTTAGCCCTTTGCCCTCTGGATGGGAGATGCGTCTTACGTCTACCGCTCGGGTTTACTTCGTTGATCATAATTCCAAGACGACGAGCTGGGATGATCCCCGTTTTCCATCACCGCTCGATCAGAACGTACCACAGCACGAGCGTGACTTCCATCGCAAGCTTATCTATTTCCATTCTCAACCTGCGATGAGGAACCAGCCAGGTGATTGCCAAATTGAGATTCGGCGAAACTACATCTTTGAGGATAGTTACGTAAATATCATGCGTCAGACTCCAAGCGATTTGAAGAGGCGCTTGATGATCACGTTCGACGGCGAAGATGGTCCTCCTAGGTCAGTGTGGGTCATTGATCTATTGTCGAGTCAGCTGCTTATTCTTGCATTAGTGAATTCTTTTTCTTGCTCTCTCACGAGATGTTTAAACCATTTTACTGTCTGTTCGAGTACTCGGGAGCAGACAACCACACCCTCCAGATCAGCCCTGCCTCTGGAGTGCACTCCGACCATCTGAACTATTTCAAATTTATCGGAAGAATCATGGGTCTTGCCATCCTGCACCGTCGATTCCTGGACGCCAACTTCGTCGCCGGTTTCTACAAGATGATTCTGAAAAAGAAGATTACCCTCGATGACTTGCAAAGCGTCGATGGTGAACTGTATCACCATATGACTTGGATGCTGTAAGTGTATATTTCCGTCTTATCTTGACAAGAGTGGCTCTTATTGGACGGTAAACAGGGAGAATGATATTACGGATGCTATCGACGAGACGTTCACCACCAAGGAAGATCGTTTCGGCGAGATTTTAACGATAGATCTCAAGCCTGGTGGTGCTGAAATCCATGTGACGGAGGAGAATAAGAGAGAATACGTCGAGTGAGTCCACTGATTATCACATATTTTTGACTTTCTCAGCCTCCGGTTCAATTGTGCAGGACCGTCATCGAGTATCGTATTGTTCGTCGTGTGAAGGAACAGTTCGACGCTTTCATGTCTGGTTTCAACGAACTGATCCCTCAAGAACTCATTAATGTGTTCGACGAGCGTGAACTTGGGGTTAGTGTTCAACAAACTCAATATCTAGGGCCCATCAGTTACTAATCCCTTTCCATAGCTTCTCATCGGAGGCATATCGGATATCGATGTGTATGTGACTCGGTTAGATGAGCCATTCAACCATATATGCTCATTGTCCACGTTTGTAGTGATGATTGGGCGGAGCATACGGATTATCGTGGTTACAAGGCGAACGATGAAGCCATTCAGTGGTTCTGGAAAATTATTCGAGGCTGGTCGACCGAGCGGAGGTCTTGCTTGCTTCAGTTCGCTACTGGAACATCGCGTATACCCATCAACGGGTTCAAGGCTCTCCGAGGTCCATGTGGTCCTCAACGGTTCACAGTTGAAAAAGCTGGAGACCCTAGCCAGTTGCCGATGAGTTACCCCTCTCTCAATCGTGTATGCATCACCGTCGTTCGTCGTTTCGTTTTGATACCTGACCTGAGTCTTCCATTCTCCGCAGATCGATTTGCCCCCTTACAGGGATTACGGCACCTTGGAGCGTAAGTTGACTCTTGCCGTGGAGGAGACCGTTGGTCCGTGGTCTGTGGTTTCCTTCTTTCTGAATGATCCAACGGCCTCTGACACCCTTCACAGGCAAAAATAAGCAAGACTCACTATGCCAGAAGTTTCCATTCTGTTGGTGCTCAATACCACTATTTCACAAGACTGATCGGGGGATGACGCTTACATCGATTCGACATGCGCGTACCTCGACTCACTCGCCCGTGAAGGTTGCATCCACCCTGTTTTTTATGATCGTTTGCATGTGTTTGTGCCTTTTCCATGAGATTTCTCGCTTATGCCCGACCTGGACCGCATGCTCTCCCAGCTCAACACGGATGTGAAGAAATGCCGAACTCAGCGGAGATACAACCTAGGTCATCTAGCCATGAATTACGCTACGCCCGTAATTCACGCCGGGAACTAGACCGGTGTGCTTAGCCTCCCCATTTCCTTATGCCTCGCTTGGACTACCAATGTCCCCTTTTTCGTTCTGAGTGAAAATTTCGCGAATTCCAAACCACCGTAGAGTCATACAGTGTCTGCTGATATCGCCGCTTTGACGACATTTGCACTCCCTACTTGATGTGTGTCGACACGTCATTGATGTTGCCACTCCACCCACACCCGACTTTTTCCTCTATACAATACATTCCCCTACTCTGCCTGTAGCAATATGTGTATAATTTCGATCGTTTACGGCTGATGCACTGCCCCGAGATACTCTCCGGCTGAGAAACACCCCTCATAGTACGACTAGCAATATAGCGTCACATTTTAATTGCGAGGACAACCGTGCGGCCCTTGCAACAATACTAGTACAATCATAAACAACAAATTTCAGGGGCAGCAAGGAGCCCTGAGCCGTAGCTGCTCAACAGCAATGTACAGCTGAAGCTTGTGGTGCAACGGTGGTCGCCAGCTGTCAGTTCAAATCACAGGGCGTGCACCAGGGCAGCAAGCGCTTGGAAGCCAGCAAAAGACGCATCGTCGTGAGTAGTGTGGTGCCACTCGATGAGGGGCGTAAGACTGCGGGTGGGGCCGTCATCCTGTCCGTCGTCCTCCTTCACCCCATATCGCCAGTGCGGACCGACTACTGCGACCCAGTACAATTTGTTGCGCGCGGAACCCCCGAACGCGTAGTCAATTTGGTGATTGAGTTGCTGAAGAAAACGGTCGACGATGTCCGGCCAATGATGGGAGTTTTTGATTTCAACGATGAGCACAGTGCGCACATCAAGATCTGACCCTTCGATCCTCGCAACTTCCAAAACGAAGTTAGGCATGCGACTGGTAATTCCATCTTCATCATAAAGTTTGCGTTGTGGGGTAACAATGTAACCCTCGTCGGGTGGGAAGAGTGTCGTGAGAATGGTTGGTCCAAGGGCCGTACCACACGTCCTCAGTTCTCGGACGATGTGCGGTATAGTACGCCAACAGGTCACGGGTGATTTGGTTAAACGGCATGCTAGTCAAGTCTAAGAACTAGCTCTACAAAGGTCACTGGGGCTCACTTTTTCTGGATGGATGGATGGGTAGATGATCTTACTGCGAAAAACGGAAAAGTTGTGCGAGCAAGAATCCTGTCAAAAAGGACCTCGCGGCATTTACGTACTCCGACGCATTGAGTTCTCAATGAGGAAAGCGCAGCACTTCCTGCCAACAACATGTCAACAGAGGAGTAGGAGCCTGTTAGAGTCAGCATTCTGTTGGAATTTCAAGCTTGAACCATATTTTGCGTCAATAATTCCACTTGAGCGGTACGGTCTATATACTATCATCTGGTCCGACCCCGGCCCCATTGTGGCATAACCCTATAGATTCAGTGGTCGCAGGAGGTGTTAGGGTCATTGCATGTGTCCTTCATTCACGCGCGAGGGATTTTGAACCTACGTACGTGAGCGTGAGTTAGGAGTACGTCGAGTCTCGAGATGGCATAAGGCATAGGGAATGTTGGGCGGTACCAGACTCAAAACTATTGTCTTTCCCCAAATTCCCCCTTCCAGTTGCCTACTTACATGCAGACCAACTTCCAACTAACTGCACGCATGGGCAGCCCACCAATGAAGCGAGGGGCATGTTGTTGGTCATTGTTTGTATTCAACTCGGTAAGCGATATGCCTCCTAATCCATAGAAACACTGGCAGCAACTTTTCCCCGATATTTCGTTTTTCGCAATAAAGTGCATATCGACTAAACCTAATAACGCCCCTTAGTGATGTCGGAAAACCCAGAATTTCGTTTTACTACGAAAAACGAAATCTCGGGGAAACGTTGTGCAAGCACCACCCTCAGATCGGCAAAAGGAGTTACCTTGCGCTAGCACGGCATTTACATACTCCCAAGCATTGGGTCATCAATGAGGAAAGCGCAGCACTTCCTGTCAACAACATGTCAATAGAGATGCATGAGGAATTCACGAAGGATGTTGAATCTGCGTGAGCGTGAGTTAGGAGTTTGTTGAATCTCAGAATGTCCTAGTGTTTTCTGCATTAGCGAGATGGCCAATAGATGGATAGGCAGCAACGAACAGATTGATTATGAAATTGGAGAAGGCATAGAGAATGTTGGGGCCGTACCAGACTCGAAACTGTTGTCTTTTCCCAGATTCCCCCTTCGAGTTGAAACGAGGGGCACGTTGGTGGGAGTTAGGAGGAATATTTGTGCTCAGCTGGGGCGAGCGATGTGTACGTAAATTTGCGTAAAATTTCAAATAGTGGTCCGATCTGATAATGCCTCCTACTCCTCCTACTCCACAAGAACACTGGCAGGGCTCTAGCTCGCACAACTTTTCCCCGATATTTCGTTTTTCGGTAAGAGGCTCTCAACGCATTTCGACGCTTTGTTAAGTAATACGTTCCAACGCTTTATCAGTCCGTTCAAATGCTGCAAAAATCAAATTGTAAACACTCAGACACACTAGCTACATGCAACGTGTACAGTGTTATAAACATATTACATAAGTAAATCGTTGCAGTCTCATCCGTATTCACCAATAACCATTTCACAAGCAGTTCCTGGGCTCGCACCATCTTTACAGATGACTCGCTAGCCCCAGGCAAACTCTGACTAGGAACAATCTTGTGCCAGTACTGCTGCAACCTCACACGGGTGCTGCGCGCGCAAATCAGCATCAAATATTATTTCATTAGAATTCCATCATATCTTTGTCCTGGCCTCGGTAACCTTGGGATGCGCTTAGATACTGACTTCCAAAATTTTGCGTGAGATGAGATCGCAACCTCCAGCAAAGCCATGGCGACAGTCTGCCAAATGACATGATTAAAATCCTGCTCCACTCGACCTCCAGCAAGCCCGAAGTGACAGTTTGTGAAATGACACAATAGCCGACAAAATCCTGCTTCCAATAATCCTAGGGTGGTGTAAGATTTTTCATGAAATCTTGTCATATTGTCATGGAATTACTTTTCTCAGTGGACGATTCTTAGCGCTGCATAGTGTCTTCTCAGGGTGTCCCCATCACCACAACGCGGATCAACAGATCATCCGCTGTATGCATATTCTACCGGCGTTCAGAGAGAAGGTCCCGCGAAAGTCCGTTCTTGAAACAGCTATAAGTGGTGGTGAATCAGATAAGTGCCCAGTAGTTCTCCATCCACTGTGTATCAGATAAAGTTCGCCTCTTCCTTCACTTCGCTCGGGTTCTGTAATGGACAAACCGAAAATCGCTGATGTCGATTCGGAGGACAAACGGAAGCTCGACTTTAGTGACACGAGTCATCTCGACAGCAGTTCAAGTGATGCTGCCCCCCTTGAGGGTAGCATTGATCTAGCTGCGGCTCGACGAGCCCGTACTAAAATCGACCTTATTGTTCTTACGACGTCGACCATTGTTTGTAAGCCACTCCGCAAAGAAGATGAGCCTCGATTTGAATAGTTTCCTGTCAGTGTTCCTGAATTTCCTCGTGAGCTGGAGCTTTCACGCATCTCGTGACACCCCTTCCAATCTATCATTTTGCATTCAAGGATAAAACGAACATAGGTGAGTACCAAACGTGTCGTGCTGGCCCTAGTCTTCGACTGACGATTACTCCCTCAATCAGGGAATGCTGCAAAGGCGGGACTTTTAAAAGATCTTCACATGTCTTCGTATAGACTTTCCGTCGTTCTGAGCCTCTTCTTCAGTAAGTCACTTCGAGCAAGATTCCCCATACAATCGCTGATATTCAATCCCACCAGTACCATATTTACTCGTAGAGCTAATTTCCAACTTTTTGTTCAAGAGGATTGGTGCCCATATATTTATACCTGGCCTCGTGGTCGCATGGGGCATAGTAGAGACATCCCAAGGTATAAAAATGAAATCCCCACATAGAAATCAGGGCCTGATCTTGATTTTCACAGGTTTCGTCACATCCTATCATGGATTACTCATTTGCCGTCTGTTCCTAGGACTGACTGAAGGTAAGATAGTTTTGATAGCCTCACGGTCTACCTCCACTGCGTTTTAGGGCCCCTGGTTCCGGCGCTCCTCCTATATCTGTCGGAGCTTTACAAACGGCACGAGTTGCAAAAACGAATAGCTATGTTGTTCAGTGCCTCGAGCCTTGCAGGACATTTTCTGGGCTTTTGGCTTACGCTATCGTTCATATTGACGGTAAAGCTGGTAGACCGAGCTGGAGGTACGTTCGCCGTCATTTCGCTCAACTATGCTGAATCTTGGCACATAGTTGGATCTTCTTCCTAGTTCGTCCTCAGGGCATCAAGTAGATCTATCCATTAATTGAACCGTTCCTTCGATACAGGAGGGGATCTTTACCGTCATATTTGGTGTCACTTCGTACTTTTGGCTACCGGAGGATATTGCGAGTGCCACCTTCATGACAGAGAAAGAACAATCCGCATACATAAATGCAATTCAAGAAGACACTGCCCTCGACAGAGTCGACGATGCATTCCAGTTTTCGATCGTATGGTCGTCTCTCACGACGCCACATGTTGTACTCCTAGGTACTGCCGGATTCTTTGCTGGTACGTTGAGTTTGTTCTCCCGTACTGCGCTACTGCTTTGTCACAAGTATCCCCCAGGTTACCTCTCCAATGGACTGGGATATTTGTAAGATTATTGTCACTTTGCGAATCACTGTCACAGCCGTTGACTAATGATGGAATAGCATCCCAACTGTAGTGGGGAGCCTAGGTTACTCGCCCACCGAAACCCAGCTATATGGAGTCCCCCCCTTCGCCTGCGCGTTTGTCTGTGCGTCATTCCTTTAAGAAGTTTGGATTTCATTCTTAGTATTCGATTCAGTGAGCATGATGGCCGCCTACTTCAGTGACAAATATCGTTGCAGAGGGCTAATTGCCCTTGGCGCAAGCTTCACCGCTCTTGCAGGTTACATCGTGATGTATTGTCCGTATAAATTATTTACCAGGGACAAACACGGAGTTGACTCGAAGCCTTATAGATAGCACCAATGTCCACGTGAGGTATGGCTCGATATTCGCCCAAACGATTGGCACGTCCATCATTTCTCCTTGCGCACTTACGTTGATCGCGAAGTAAGATGATTGCGATTTTGGTTCTTGTTAATTTTATGGACTTTTCTCATACAGCAACGTCTATCCTCACTATCGTCGTGCCACAGCTATCGCATTTGGTAACGCCAACATCATCCTACGAAGCCTTCTGAATTATGCTTACTGCGTCCCGGTCTTAGGAATCGTCAATAGCAGCGCTGGAGGAATTTTGGCGATGTGGATGTATCACGATGCCCCTCGGTTCCATAAAACGACGAAGCTTAATATTAGCTGCACTATTGGTAAGCATATACTCTTATGTGATGACTTAGAATAACAATATCTGGTCACTCAGTGTTCATCCTACACATGTGCCTGATACTTGGCTATCTTTATTACAAGAACTTGCAGAAGGCCAAAGAGCGCGGGCTATACAATAACATTCCAGACGATAACGTTGAAGAGAAGCGGAGGCTGGGTGATGGACACCGAGACTTCATATACACTCTTTGATCTAGGTCTGGTTCGGGAAATCAACGTTCTCACACGCGTGTAGTTTTACAGTTGTAATCAGTGACTTGTAAAGGAGTGCCTTAAGCCTGGAAGTATGCTTTGGGAAATACGGAGGCTCAATGATGGTGAAAATCGATTGGACTCGGAGCCTAACCACGTAAGCTCATTGGATCACCCCAACCGTCCCAATCAACCGGAGATTTTATGAAGAAATACAGTTGATTCCGTCGATACTCATTGGCGTGATTAGAAGGCTAAGATGATCTCAATCAGCTCAATCGAGCTCGGAGGTTTCTTGATGCCTCGCCGTGCTACAACTATCGCACCGCTTGGTAATGCTCGCATCATCCTGCGACGCCTCAGATTGTACTCACTGCATCCTGGCGTCGTTCTTCCCAAATTCTCGTCTCGGCCGCCAATTTTGGCAAGGAACGCACTTGGCGTCCAGGCTCGATCAATCCAGACATCGCACACAGGAAATAACGTAAATAGTTTGTCGCTGAGCTCATCCAAATGCTCGGAAAGCACTTTAGATGGGTCGAAAGGGATGTGCTCCTGGTTTGTAACCAGGGGAGTAGGGCTAAGTTCGTAATCATTGCAGCCCACAGGAATTTCGCAGTTCCGAACGCAGAACCGTCTATGCAGGAGCGGGGTCCGTTCCTGATAACGAAGGGATAGTTCTGGGAGATATGGAAATAGTGAAAGGATATGCGCCGAGTGATCGCTAGATCCTGGTTTACTCGAAGACGACCCTAGCTTCTCCCTTGGATCCGCTTGTAGCTGCATCCTCGTCGCCCGAAACAATGGGCTTCTTCGACTGGATTAAAACTACGCGCAACAGCTCTGGTTGATTAAGGAATGTATGGAGTAGTACGAATTTATCATTGGACGGAACATTCCCTGAAACAGAAAGTTTCTGCGGAAGTTGCAGAGGGCGTATCGTTCTGCTTCGGTGGGACACAGCCGACTACATACATCGGGGTAGGCCGTGGTCTTATATTTATGCATGTGGTGGGGCACGCAGTTGGAGGCTACCTCCAACAGGTGCTCATTTCGAGTGTCTCCGAATGGTGGCATTTCCTAGGAAGGTGCCTGGCAGTGGCAAGTTTTATCCTTGCGTGATGAACAAGTTGTGAGACAAGTACGTTTACCGGGCTGGGCGTTGAGAGATCGAGACAGAAATCGAGGATGCCCATGCTGGGGTTAGTAACAATTGTTGAAGGACCGGGCGTAAATTGATTGGCGTTCACAACACCCTTGAGCATCCTTCCTCAGCCCAAGAGGTGAGAGCTTTTTCGTCAGGGACTACTCGACCCTTGTTCTCCTATACAAATGCTTGTCTACGCCCTTCGTACTGATGGGATTACTGCCCATTAACTCAGCGGGTTCCCATCTGAAAACATGGGCAATCCGATCTGGGTCTCGCCGAATTGTTTCAACCTCGTATCCCAACGGTCCCTCAATGTCATGTATGCTAAGCCAATCTTGGGACATTGGATTCACCAGATGCAGGGGACGGGCTTGAAGTAAAGACTGGAGCACGACGTTATGGAAAGTGATGGGTATACTTTGTTAACTGATAAATCGATTAAGCAACCAGAAGCAGACATAAACGTTGCACCGCAATGTTTCGAGAAATGTTGTGCTAAGGTTGACTGAGATTTCAGGGAACATCAGCATGTTCCTTGCCTAATTTCGCGTCTGACCATTGGTGTCAATGGTAATCTATTGGCATGACGGAAAACTTCAGCGCAGCAGCCGCTGAAGCAGAAGCTAGGCAGCGACATCAGTAATCGTGGCCTCCTGGCTACACACAGCTAAGGGATTGCACGTCTTGATTCCCGATGCAACTCCATTCTACGAGAATATGAATACGGTTCATGGTTTGATGGCTAGTCAGCATAGCATAAACCACATCTCACACTGAATAAAGGTCAAGCAACCGAGTTCATGGCATAACCAAGTGTGGCAATTCACACAAGCAGCTGATGCGGTTTCCGAATGACCTTCGTATTTGTATTTTCCGAAAAGTATTATAGTGCCAGCCTCAAAAAACCAGTGGCCCCCTTCGACTAAAGCGTTCAACATCTAAACAAATGCAGTTTGCGACGGTCCTGCAGGATGACCAAGCAGCCCTGAGAACACATGATATCGTTCCTGGAGTCCAAGCGACGTGCGCTGCTACCCGCGCGCATCGAGGTAGATTACGAGGGGCCCCGGGGCAACCAGGTTGGACACTGACGACAGATATGCGTCTTCCAAAGCATGGTCGGCATCATGCAATGTCGCACGGCGACTTTTTTTTTCGTCCGCTTTGGCACACACAAGCACCAACACACCACAACACATCAATTCGATGCCCATGGTCGATCGATCTAAACATGGCTTTTTTTTTTCCAATCATTGCAGACGTGGACTTGTTCCCCTTTTTTTGATGCCCGACAATCGCCTCTTTCTCACGCGTTCGGACGTTCGTAACCAGCATGAATATCACTTTTTTTTCGCAATCATGTTGCTTCTCACATCGGCCGATTTGCTTTTGTTGAAATGTTTATTTCACGACAAACCACGCATGTGTTCGCAGAAGTAGCCTCTCTCTCAAGGTCAGCGACACGCCACTGCTCATTTTAAACCTCCACTTTCACGTCCCTTCCAGCTTTCGGGCCCGCAAAAAAATAGCCGCCCAAGGTCATTCTCTCCCACACATAATTAGGGTTCTTGAAGAATGATGCTGATGTGTCGGATATCAAAGCTAGAACGAAAACTAGTACAATGGAGAGCCTATATATAACGTGCGTGATGCGGCCAGGGTCAAGCGTGTTTGGACACGCTTTACTGTAACTGCCGTTTGCCTTGAGATCTACTAGTTTGGAACTTGGGAAATGCATGCTTCATTACGGTATGATCATACTTTGTGGTACTGATACTAGTACTGTATTTGGAAAGAGATGTGTCCAGCTCTTGGGAAGCAGTGGTAGGCCGTAGGGCCACTGTTTTATGCTTGAACCAAGTCGTGGGTTGGGAACGGATCTGCTTGGTCTGAAGACCAAAGAGTCGAAACTTGGATTTGAAGTAGCGCGAGGCCGTACAGAGGACGATGTCTGGTTCAGTGTCTTCTATGGAATTCTGTGACCGTGGTCGCATGCGTGTATTCGGGCTTCGTGCCTTGTGGTGAGGGTCAGGATGGAAAGGGTTATGCATGTGATGCAATTTGACGACCTCGCGGAGGCACGCCTGCAAGGTTGGTAATGGATCGATGAGGTCAGCAAGAGCGCAGCCGTTCCGTAGCAGTGATCGGGCGATGGAGTTAATATGTTGATGGTGAATGGTCACGCCTCACTGTGATGTGCCCAGTCTTGGGCAAGGTGCATCGCACTAAGGAACAGGAAAGTGACCGTTTGAGGTATATTTGAAAAATGCGTCACTCAGGGGTAGGCAAGCAACTGTTGCAATCATGCATCTGCTTTTCTTGGCAAGTACCACTCCCATTCAACATGATGGGCAATGATCGGGGTATCAGCTACACGGGGCATCAGTTCTGTGTGGCGCGAGTCCGTATTCGCGCGTTCACCAGTCTTGGTTGTCATGTTGGTAGAAAATAAATGTTACGGAGGAAAGCACCGCTCTAAGTCTTGTTGGTTGCCTCTGCGGCAGTCATTGGAAAGCTAAGGTTTGGCAGAGTTAGGGGAGGCTCAGGGCGGTGTAATTTCCGGTGGTAATAGTGACAATGGAGATAGCGTAAATATGTGATTTCTAGGTCTTGCTTTGGGAAGTAAATGATTTGTCGGCGATGGAGAGCGAGAGCCATTGACGGCGAGCGCACTGGTTTCGCCGGTGCGGAGATTGCCGGCTTACGAAACCATTTTGGGTCCACCATCGTAAACCAAGTCCCACCCGTCGTGGCCACCCTTCATTCGCGTGAAACGTACATCGGTCAGTGCTAAAAGATAAAAAAAGGCAGTTTCATGACTACTGCTGCCAACCCGAATAACTCTGTGTGAGTGCTGCTGTGTTGTGAGGTCAGCCATTAGGCGCGACTAATCCAACTCCTTTTACACTCGATCAGAACGAAGAAACTGCGCATCACAGGTGGGTGCAAGAGCGAGAAGGACTCGGGTGCGTATTTGTACTCACTTTCCTTGGATAGTCGTCGCCGCAGATGGATTGTCGAAGCGCGATGTCTTCAGGTTCCCAGACCCCTTTGCTGTTATAACTGTTGATGCAGAACAGACGCACACTACCAGCATAATCAAAAAGACTCTTAATCCGTATTGGAATGAAGGTTTTGATGTGCAAGTATCAAAGCATGACCCCCTCGCGTTGCGATACACGCTGACCTCAGCATCCCCTCAGTAACGTCAAGGAATCGTCTGTCATCGCCGTGCAAATATTTGATCAAAGAAAATTCAAAAGGCGGGACCAAGGATTCCTTGGAGTTGTCAATGTCTGTGTGCGGGATCATATCGATATCCATAGCGAAGGGCGAGGTACGATTGATAGGATTTCACAGAGTATAATGGTTATCTGAGTGTGAGGTACTCTTAGAAATGCTGACTCTGGACCTCAAGAAGTCAAATGACAACCTGGTAGTACATGGAAAACTTGTAGTCTATTTATCCACAGATACAAACACGCCTATCCCGAATCCTGGTCCACCTCAAACAGGTGGAAACATCTTGGCTGCGTTGGAAGGTCTTAACCCATCTACTTCCGAGCTTGTTCCTTCCACTTCCACAAACACTATTGGGAATACCCGCCCTATCGGTAACACTCTTGAGGTTCCGACCCCTATTCCAGCATCGGCAACTAGCTCACCAGCCACATCAACTCTTGAGCACTCCAACTCCCTTCGCAGTCGCCCCACTAGTGCGACCACGTCCCCAGCTACCAATCCTGCCAGCATTCCATCACCAGTTACGAACACGGCGGCAAACGTAGTTGTGACTTCCGCAAATGCTCAAGCAGTGAATGCCATGCGGAACTTCAATCCCCACGAGGACCAACATGGCCCGTTGCCCCCTGGATGGGAACGCCGGGTTGATCATCTTGGTCGCACTTACTACGTCGATCACAATACACGAACTACGACATGGAACAGGCCTTCTAACAACCAGACGGCGAACACTCAAGCGCAGCAGGATACTGATACTGCCCGAGCAGGTCACAATCGTCGCATCCTGGCCGATGACCTTTTGGGGACTGCAAGCAGTTCACGTTCAGGAGGTGCCACTCCTGCCACTGGTGGTGCCACCGCCGTTGTAGGCGCAAATGGTCCGCAGACAACCGCCGGAAGTGGGGCTCTGCCCGCTGGATGGGAAGAAAGGCATACACCTGAAGGTCGCCCTTACTATGTTGACCACAACACACGAACGACCACTTGGGTGGATCCTCGTCGTCAGACACTCGTCCGAATGCTTGGACGTGATGGGAATCAGGTCACGGTGCAACCTCAGCCTGTTTCCCAGCTTGGCCCCTTGCCTTCTGGGTGGGAGATGCGCCTCACGTCTACTGCTCGTGTTTACTTCGTTGATCATAACACCAAGACTACGACCTGGGATGATCCTCGTCTGCCATCATCGCTCGACCAGAACGTACCGCAATACAAGCGTGACTTCCGTCGCAAGCTCATCTATTTCCGTTCTCAACCTGCAATGAGGAGCCAACCGGGTAATTGCCAAATTAAGGTTCGACGAAACCACATCTTCGAGGACAGTTACGCGGATATCATGCGCCAAACTCCAAGCGATTTGAAGAAGCGCTTGATGATCAAGTTCGATGGCGAAGATGGTCTTGATTACGGTGGTCTTTCTCGGTTAGTGTGGATTATTCGATTATTGTTGGGTTGGTCGTTTACTCTTGCATTATGTAGTGAATTCTTCTTCTTGCTCTCCCATGAGATGTTTAACCCATTCTACTGTCTGTTCGAGTACTCAGCAACAGATAACTACACGCTCCAGATCAACCCTGCCTCTGGCGTGAACCCTGAACATCTGAACTACTTCAAGTTTATCGGAAGAGTCATGGGTCTTGCCATCTTCCATCGTCGATTCCTAGATGCCTATTTCATCACCAGTTTCTACAAGATGATTCTTAAGAAGAAAATTACTCTCGCTGATTTGGAAAGTGTCGATGCTGAACTGCATCGTGGCATGACTTGGATCCTGTGAGCGTCCACTTCTGTTTTATTTCGATAGGGGTGGCTTATGTTTGATGGTACACAGGGAGAACGACATTACGGATGTTATCGATGAGACCTTCACCACAACAGAAGATCGTTTCGGCGAGCTTGTGACGATCGAACTCAAGCCTGGTGGTGCTGACGTCCCTGTGACGGAGGAGAATAAGAAAGAATACGTCGAGTAAGTTTGCTTACTATTGCATACTTTTGGCCTGCTCAACCTTTGGATCAATTATGCAGAACCGTCATCGAGTATCGTATCGTTCGTCGTGTGAAAGAACAGTTCGACGCCTTCATGTCTGGCTTCAGTGAACTGATCCCTCAAGAGCTCATTAACGTGTTCGACGAGCGGGAACTCGAGGTCAGTGCTCAGCAGATTTAATAGCCGGGATTGTCGTTGATAATATCCTTCCATAGCTTCTCATTGGAGGCATGTCCGATATCGATGTGTATGTGGCTCGGTTCAATGCAATGTTTGGCCACATGTGCTCATCGTCCACCTTTGTAGTGATGACTGGACCAAGTACACGGATTATCGTGGCTACGAGATGAACGATGAAGTTATTCAGTGGTTCTGGCAAATTATTCGAAGCTGGCCGACCGAACGCAAGTCTCGCCTGCTGCAGTTCGCTACTGGAACGTCGCGTATCCCCGTCAACGGGTTCAAGGATCTTCAAGGATCAGATGGTCCTCGACGGTTCACGATCGAAAAAGCTGGAGACCCCAGTCAGTTGCCGAAGAGTCACACCTGTTTTAATCGCGTATGTACTACCCGTCATTGTGGTTCTGTTTTGATCCTCATTGATTTTTTGCAGATCGACTTGCCCCCTTATAAAGACTACAACACCTTGGAGCACAAGTTGACTCTTGCCGTGGAGGAGACTGTTGGTTTTGGGTTTGTGTTTCCTTCTCAAAGATCGAATGGCCTTTAACGGACATACTTTCACAGACAAGAATAACTGAATCCACTATACCCGAAGTTCCCATTTTATTGGCCGCGATTGTTACGACCTTTTTTTTTCAGTATTTTGCCCTATTTCGCATCTACCTGTAGCAATATATAGATCATTATCAGAACCCCAGCACTCCTTGCATAATTCCGCGTTCTTTTGTGGTTGATCCTTGTTTGATGTTAATAATAATGGATTGGCATGATGGGAACCTGAGGGTGAAGGAGGGATTGTGCAACGATGCTGATAATTGCGACTTGATTGCTGGACATAGCTGAGCAACTGTAAATTCGATAGTTTCACAATGGCTTGTCAAGGCAGTACAAAATCGCGTCCATTCGACCACAAAAAGTCAAGGCGAGCGCTCATGATCAGCAGCATCAACTTCCGATCCGACTGGCAAGGAAGCCAAGACGAACACATTATTTGGTAGTCGGAGAATTAAGGGGGAATGATGATGTTGGCGCTCATAGTCATCGGCCAAGCTATGCCCGTGAACTCGCAATCGTAAAACTCGAACCAACTGTGCCTTGCTTGGCTCCTCTAGTACTTGTCGGCCGCTGGTTTCACCACACCTACATAAAATCATTCAGTAATCACAAGACCCAAGTCAGGCGCGCTGAAAGCAGACATGCTGATGGGCTTTTCCGACGACTTCCATATTTGTGTTTGCAGAAAATGTTGCTAGTAGTATCCCGGCCTTAACCAGTGCCCTCGATCGTTCGGCTTAAGTATTCAAATCCCAAATAGAGGCAGCTGCGATCAGTCTGCGCAGGAAGACTAGCGGTCCCGAGAACGCTTCACTTCCCATAGAGCCTCAGCGACGCGGCGCGCATTGAAGTACACATGGGTAAAATAAAATCATGAGTCTCGGGGTAACTAGGGTAGACATTGACGACTACACGCAGTATAGTCAGGGGGCAGTGTTGCACGTTGTACCAAATATAATCGCCAGCCAGTATCACAGCAGCCGGCGATTTAATAAAGCACCAAAAGCTCACGGGCGTGTTTGTTTTTTTTGGGCATACCACATGTTCATATAGCCGGAGGCGATGACCTGAACTGCGCTAATTCATCCAGTAAACAACACTTTGGGGAGGGTTCACTGATAGGCACCTTATGCCGGCTTGACAGCATAAACCATTCCGTTGGTTGAGGGACAAAGCCCGTCTTGTGAAACACAGAATCTCGGAGTCTAGTTACTAGCCAAAAATGCTAGATGTGTCTGTTTGTTTAGTGATTGGTTCGAGGAGCTACGCAATCCGTATCGCAGCTGCGAACGTTCAGGGTTTGGATGGGGGCCCCACAACACCGACATCAACCGCATTGTCATTGTATGCACCTTCTTCGAGAATAGGATACACCGGTAGCTGAGTCCCGCTTCAATAGAATAGTTATATCGCCTAGGTATCCCAGGATGCTAAGTATACATCCGTCAAAGACCCCTGATACATATCGCGTCGTTCGCTGGTCATAAACACCTCAACAAGCCGTCTCACGATAGCTAGGCCATAATGACGCCAATCCAGGAGAAAGATTCATGGATCAATCCGTAATGATGCATCGAGAAACCCTAAGCACTGTGGTGGGGTGATGCCCTGCTGCTTTCGGGGCGTCCAGGGATGACACTGTGTGCCCTGGAATAAGGTACACGGCAATAAGGACATAATGGGGTTACATGCTTCCGTTCAGCATATTCCAAGATGTGAATGTGACACAGGGAACATAGTGAGTGCTGGCATGGCTCCGGCTTGATCGCAGGCATCATAACACTGTACTCCTCATAACAGATCGGACACGCGGTCGATATAGTTTCTTGCTTGAGGAGCAACAGGGACGCAATGCAGTTGGCTTGGGAGTTGGGATCCCAGCCACGGATCAATGGGGGATGAGACGGGATTGGCGGCAACAAAGGGGGTAGATGATCAGTCAGTCCTGGCGCCCTTGCGTGTCTTACGTTGGGAGGTCGGCGCAGTTGCGATGGTTGGACAACTCTTTCGTTATTCTGGCGCCATCGGATATCGAGAACCCGCGCAGCGATATACACTGCAATCAGGACAATTAGAGACAGAATTAGGATGCCCACTATGACCACCGCATTCCTGAAACACTCGGTTAGCTGGAAGCTCCGCAGAGAAGCCAAGGTGACTCACATGATGTGCGAACAAGTCGCTATCGGGGTTCCAGGATATTGGCTGGCGTGAATGTACTTAAGCCTCCTTTCTTCTACTACTCGAAATTAGGGTCTGGCTATCGCAAGTTCTACGGCTGACCCTCTGCAGAACTGGATGGAAAGTTCGAAGTGGTGCAGTTCGCTTGCCTTGCACCAGGCCAGGAATATATGTTCCTAGGGGCAGCAGGAAAGCGTAGCCGACTTGGTAAGGTGGTGGGATCAGAGGGGTCTAATGTCACGTCGCCTAAGAGCAGCATGCTAAGGCGGGCGAGCCGCCAGAAACGGACATTCCACGCAAATGAAGAGTCACTGCCACCTGGACGCGCGCCTGTTTGTTTAAAACCCCACGTTGCCAAGGGAGAACACAGAACTACAAGCTTGCACATGGTCACTAGCCATCATGCAATAGGGAAAAAGCCGCAATGCATCACCAACGTGTTGTCGTCCACAACAATGCAGTACGAGAGCCAATTACTCAGGGAGATTTAAACTTGCGTGAGGAATCCGAGTCCTTTACTAGGACGGCCATAAGGGTTTGCTTGCGACGACGTTCGCGCGAGGGACACTATACCACGACGCAAGTCACACAACCTGCGCGAAGAAATAATACATCAAAGGCAAAGAAGCAGAACACAACAGATTTTGAGCCAACTGAGGGATTGACAGTGTTGTAAATGTAAATATCACCGCCTGTCAAAGCAACCCGAGATTCCACGTTGAAGAATTGAGCGCATGAACGGGACTAAATCACTCGCTGCTAGTTGGGATCCATATCAAAGTCGGGTGAGCAGCGCACGGTAGGGGTAGAACTACCCGACTTGGGTGGCCTCATCAATTTGGGCCATTCACAGGGTCAGACCAACCGAAAGTTTTGGTGCGCGGTTATTCCCGACCGACCTGTTTAGGCGGCTAATTTGTGTTCAGGTCTCGATAAGGTGTAGTCTTGCCGCGCATTGATTTGCGTCAGCTCCACTGTCGGTGAGAAGCTCCAAAGAATGCCTCCTAAAGCTTCGAAAGACAAAATCCATGCGTCGGAACAAGATGAAGATATTTTGCAGGCTGTCATTCTTGCAGACAGCTTCAATTCACGGTTTCAGCCCCTCAGCATGACCAAACCAAGGGTATTATCCTGCAGGTCTCCTACGTCCATTCCAATTCCCCTGACATGCCGAATGGATCAAACAGACATTGTTGCCTCTTTGCAATATTCCTTTACTTAACTGGACTTTGGAAGCGTTGATCGGCTCCGGTGTCCAACAGATATTCGTTTTCTGTTGTTCGCATGCCGATCTAATCAAAGAAGCTATTAGGCAAGTAAACAGCGCGCCGGACACGTTTCAGGTTTCTAAGGCGATTGGCATCTAGCCAATCACGATGGTCGCTTCCCAATTCTGGGGTTAAGATAACTCCAATTGTAACGCCTGAAGCTCTCTCTACAGGCGATGTCATGAGGGAACTTGATTCCAAGCAAATAATTGCGTCGGACTTCATTCTTATATCCGGGGACGTAGTCAGCACCATACCATTGCAAGAAGTAGTCCGTGAACACAGAGAACGGCGAAAAGTCAACAAATCCTGCATTATGACTATGGTCTGGAAACCGCTGGGAACGCGCAATCGTCCTTTGTGCGTCGCTAGTCTTGCCCTTTTTGGAAGCGTGCTTCAATCTAATACGAGCACATTTGTAGACCTGGTCTTGACCTACCTGTTCTTCTCCTTGACGCTGGGACTCGCGAATGCCTGCACTACGAATATGTGAAAGAGGGAGAACCTCGAGTCGCTTTACCACGCGAGAAGATGACCGGCCACCGCGAGTTGGAAATCCGGACCGACCTCGTTGATTGCGCCATTGACGTATGCTCAGTGGATGTCCCTGCACTATTTTCTGAGAACTTCGACTACCAAGATCTCCGCACCGACTTCGTTCACGGAGTCCTGACTTCTGACCTACTGGGGAAGCAAATATTTTGTCATATCCCGAAGCGTGGTTATGCCGCTCGTGTTGGGGATACGCGGTCATATGCAGAAATCAGGTAGACTCCAGAATTGTTGAAGTCAGTTCATCTTGCTAATGCTCAACTACCGTTAGTCGTGACGTCCTCTCCAGGAGGACGTTCCCATTAGTTCCTGACGATACACCCGCGTATAAATTGAAACATGGATTTGTATACATCGGAGAATCTGTCTCATTATCGAGGTTTGTTCCCGCCCTGGAGACCCCCTTGCTCTTGCTGACAACTCTTCAGAACGTGTACTCTTGGATCACACTCACAAGTAGGACATCGGAGCTATGTGGATGATGATGCGATTATTGAAGGCTCTGTGATTGGCCCTGGATGTCATATCGGGCCGTACGTCAAGATTTCGAACAGCTTCTTGATGGAGGGTAGCTCTATCGGTGCAAACTCTGTCGTAACGCAGAGCATCGTTGCGTGCGGTGTGCAAATAGGTCCAAACAGCAATATTGACCGTGGGTGCATGATAGGCGATGGCGCGATCCTAGGATCAGGTGCTCAAATCCCGCCTTTCAGCAAAGTAAGTGGGACGTTGCCTCCCCAGGATGACGAGTGGGACGAGGACGGTCAGGACGCCGACCAGAAGCTGAAAGTTATGACCAACCGTGAGTAGCCTTATAGATTCCAGAAGCAATGCTAATGTCGGGTAATAGCCGCCATCCTCGGTCAAGATGCGAAAGCATATATATGGCCGGCCCACAAGGTCCCGAGAGATGAACTCTCAGATGATAGTAGTGAAGCGGAGACTCCAACTCGAACATTTCACCAACTAGGTGTGCATGTCTTCCCTCGGAGATAATTCTTATTAATCCATCACCCAAGGTTATACCACGCAGATTGAGTATCCGGAGTCAACCGCGTCCTCCACTCCTGCATCTTCTGTGGTGTCCAGCCCAGCATCTCACGCTACCTCCCTAGATGGAGATATATCAAATCTCAAGTTGAGTGATTCAGCCGAGTTCCGATCGGAATGCACACAGTCCCTCGAGCGCGCATTTGTTGAGGGCCACACAGTCGAGAATGCGGCCATTGAACTCAAGACTTTACGAATGGCGAGCAACGTCCCACTAAAATCCGTCAAAGAAGTAGCTATCAGTTTCCTTGTCTCTAAAATATCACTTTCGGGAGCGCCGGCACAGCAAAAACAAGCGGTTAATGAGACAATTGAACGCTGGGGGCCATTATTACCGGCTATTGGTGGTGAGGACCCGATTGAGAACATACTCCTGTTGCAGGTCAGTCAGTTCTCCGTGTCCGTCTGCACGTTGAGCCTTAGCGTTATCCTAGGATCATTGCGCATCTTCACCAAGTCACTTGAAACTTTTCGGCAACGTTCTGGCCGCCTTCTACAATAACGACATTGTCGAGGACGAAGACATCAAGGGTTGGATACTTGATTCTCGTTCGAAATATGAGGCAGATTCACTAGGGGATGTCTGTCGAAAACAAGGTCTCGTTCTCCTGAAAGCCATTCAAGCCCAGTCCAGCGACGAGGACGAAAGCGATTGACGCAGCAAATGGTCGTGGAGTCATCCGCTGACAGCAATTTAATGATCCAGCATCGTTCATGCTTTGTATCTTCACCGTAGGTTGAAAGTGACATGATCTCAGACGTTCAAGGCGGTGACCATTCGAGGAACAGCGTTGTGGCGCTTGAGCTTTTTGCGAGTTGGCTTTCAAACTATATTTATCATCTGTAAACTTGCATCTGTTAACTAGAAACCCAAGATAGAATAAATAAACATAAAGATTAAGCATCTACTGGCTGCGACGTCGAAGGACGTAGGGATCTACTTCTGGTGCATTAATGATATCCTTCCATAGACGTCTCCATTCCGTTGGATTTCCCTGCGACAACGAATTGATTGGGGAGTCAATTAATTCGTAAAAGATATATACACTTACCTGTTCCCTTCTCATTACACAACGGCTTCCCTCGCTGTCGTTCCAGATGAACTGTTCAACCTCAATAACACCCTTGAAAACCTCCTTTCGACGATCGTGGCCGCCGACTCGTACAGCACAGCCAGAGCTTCTCATCCTATATTTGATGCCAAACCTATCAATCGCAGTTATAATGAAAGACAGTAGATCTTGAGGGGGAACAGAAGCGTAGAAGCGAGTGAGATGGGGATCGTAACGTGCCCCATTTTGAGTTTGGGTCTGAGGCATATTGTCACTTTCTGAATGAAACAGCTTCCGGACACACGCACGAATAATTGTAATGTTTGAGTGAATTGGGTCATATTCGCCGTTAGCATCACTTGATCCTCGTCCACGGGTCGAGACCTGGATGTGAAAGTTGGTGCATTCAGCATCATGCAGCAAATGCCGCAGAAAAGCTCTAACAAATCGACCATGTCTGGCTCAGCGATAGCCAGATCCCCCGTCCGTCGAAGCGAATCCGCCAGCCGATCCGCAAGGTCGCCCGGACGATCTCGTGTTAAATGATTTGCTCTGCTCAGATGGAGCTAAGCAAACGGCAACGACAGACACAGCTACAATTACCTCTGACTCCACGGATGTGAAGATGCTTCATCAAGAGATATGCGCCTGTTTGGATCAATGACCAACATTTTCATGAGGAGTGCTGGGAGGTAGTAAGGAACATTATCAAAGACAAGGAGTGAGTTATATCGTACACAATGGCTCTCTTGGAATGCGATTCCAAGGATCCGTATGGAGTATCTCCCCAGATAGGAACGCCACATACTCTGAGCTACTGGTGGAGGGCTCGTCCCAAGGTGTATCTTATCGAAGTTCGTCAGAATACTAAAAGGACCAAGTGAAGGAACAGAGCTCACTTCCGACAAGAAGCGTAAAAAGTATCACTCCTGCTCCCCACACATCTATAGGTTCTCCTCTATACGGTTGGTTTGTGTTCTTCAACTGCAAGAAATCGACTCCCCTGACAATCAATAACTAGGTTGAGACACTTGCCTCTGGTGCGACGTATGGAAGGGAACCACATCGCTCGGAGAGCGTCCTTTCGTTTCCCTTATGTTTGTAAACTGAACACAACCCGAAGTCGGATAACTTGAGCATCCCAAGAGCATCGAGGAGGATATTCTCTGGTTTCAGGTCGCGGTGACAAACACCAATGCCGTGTATGTATTCCTGAAGGACATATCATGTAACCTCTGAGCACAAAGAGAACGTAACATGAAAAACACGGACCAGAGCATCAATGAGTTGGTTGAAGTAGAAATGAGCCAAGTCCTCTTCCACGCCATAATCGGGTGCTATGCAATGAGAGCAACGAGATAAGGACACATATACCCAGGCAACTAATATACACACCTATCTTATCGAATAGGTCGCCCCCGCTGGCGAATTCCAGAACCATATACACGGCTGGCACGTAAGGCGACGTGCCATCATCCTCGATAACCAACGATGCAATGAAGCTCAAGATGTTATCATGCCTCAGTTGAGAATGAACTTTGATCTCTTTATGTAGCTCCTTCCTATGACCTTGACTTGTCGAACTGTTGAGCGAGACCACTTTGCACGCAGCAACCATGCCAATGGAATAGTCGATAGCTCTGAAGACTCTGCATTTTTGTTTCATATGAGATGTAAACACCTAAATCTAGACCCTACGGGGCACATACTTTGAAAAGCCCCCCTCGCCGATAACTTCTTGCAGTTCAAATCCTGATGACTCGAAGATCAGACTTGAAGCAAAGGTGGCGAAATGCTCGTCACTCACCTCGAACTTCCGGATAAACGAGATCCTTTTTGGACATTACTGTTATAACTTTGAAATCAAGCAAGCAAGCGACAGGAAAGGGAAACAAGAACTGTAATTGTGCTAATTGGCCAAGACGCGTACCGCGTTCTTGCAAACAAGTACCAACAAACGTGTTCATTTTTTCATGAAATAAACTGGAATTACAACATCACGACACTATTGTCACAGCGGGGAATATTAAGACGTGGCCTGCTTTGAACGTGGAAGAGGCTCGATCTTCCGATTAGCATCCATGAATGCATTAACATCTGCGTCTGTCAGCCTCGTTCTCCTCTGTGATGAATTCATCTAGAGCTACACCAGGCAAGACTTTACGAACACCCACCTCCTGGAATTCCTTTACGACGCCCTGGAGGATTTTAATACATTTAGCCTTCAGCTCCCCGGTAAGCAGTTCTCCTGATCGGTAATCCTGTTACAGAGGTTTCGCGTCCGCCACTGGTCTCAAAGAGTTAGGGCACTTACGGCTTCGATCTTGGCGATGAGCTCATCATCGTGCTCAAAGAACTTAAGATACTGGAAAGCCACGTCCACATCCGGATTTCCGCCGAATTTCCGGTGTTCCTCTTCAGTATCCCGGCCACCACTGAACCCGTGCTTATTAATTTTGTTCTTAATCTGGTTTGGCGTGTCGGTCATGTAAATCGTAGAATTTGGATCTGAGGCAGACATCTTGGTCTGTGGGCCCTGAAGTGCAGGAAAGAACTTCGCGTGAATCAAACATGGTTTGGGGTATTTGAGTCGGGCGGCAACGTCTCGTGTCAATCTAAAATATGGGTCCTTGCGAAAGCTCATGGAAAGGAGTGAGTGGGATGACGAGCACAAGCTTACCTGGTCGATGGCACAGGGAATTAGTGATGGAACGTCTGACTTATCTCCAAAGATTTGAGGGAATGAATTTGAGAACGAAGCGGCAGCTTGTATCGCGACGAAATGCAGTTTTCCAATGTTATCCCTTGTTGATGAGGTCTTGGGTGCGAGCCGATCGATGATGCATTTTATGACTCACGCATCTTGGAAGCCGAAGGTTGCCTTCGATTGATTGACGGTGATGCACCGCGATATTTTCACAACATTCTTGTAGAAAGCACCGCTGAAAAGACAGAAATGTTGAATGCTGAAATCGCAAGAGTTGCATGCAGAATTAAACTAACTCACGAGACATAATCAAAATTGCTGAAAATGAATGTCCGCTCAAGATCGAAGCCGCAGGCAATGATGTCTTTGCTGTTATCCCTTGCGAATTGCTGGGTCTGCTCTACTTTCAAATCCTGTTTGAACAGGAATTTTTCGTCATCTGCGGATACCCGTAGGTAAGCTTCAAAGATCTCAGCCTCCTGCTACCCACCTGTGAGCTGGATTACTAGCGGGACGTCAAAAACGTCTTGTAACCACCTAGTGTGGGGGATAAATCATGAGCAAATTATTGAGGGAATCCACATACTTTGTGAACATGAACGGAATAAGATGTCCTAGATGCATACTATTGCTACTCGGACCTCTCCCTGTGTACAAAAAGAATGGCTTCCCTTTCTCGCGCAGGTCAAGAATGCGCCCGAATTCACTGAAATGCGACAATGCGATGGACTAATGTCAGTACACTTCATCCTGGGCGTAGCTTTAAATTTACCGGTGCGAGAAAAACATCCCTCTTTTCAATAGTGGATGAGGTTTAGCGCCGGTGAGCTTCTCAAAGCGGGCAAGCAACGCATCGTCAATTCTTCGGGTACCAAACTGATCGATGAGAAGGTCGTAGTTGATAGCCAATTGTTTTCCGTCTTGTGTTATTTGTCCTTGGACCTCCCAGGGTGTCACAACTTGCTGATCCGGTGGGGAAGACGTCTTTGGGACTGATGCTGTGGGTGGTCTAATTGGTAAGTGGTACAGCTTTAGCATGATGGATCGAATGAGCACAAGCGAGATCGACAGAACGTACTCTTGAACCCCGGTTTTTCCAACATCCTGTATGACTTCTTCAACGGTCGATTCTGCCATTTTTTTGCTTGCAGAAAAACAGTGGATTAACTCTGTCTCACACGATATTCCCACGCTGACCTCGTCAGCTTCTGAATCTTGGGGCGCTGTTCTTGCGTCTTCTTACCCCGTCGCGGTCAGTACTACAGGACGGGTTAGCGGCCGACGGTATACCGTATTTCTATTGTTGTGAGCGATGGCTAAGCACTGCGACTTGCCTCACCAATCTAATCAAGAATTGGCAGCCAAGTTCATAGTCATGCCTCCAATCCACGAGGTTGCCGTGGCAGGTTTTGCGGAAGGCACAAACGATTTATATGACAAGTAACTGTGGTGCCTTTCAATTTCGATGGCAGCGTTAACATGATATGTGCAGAGCTCGGCCTTCTTATCCTGATGAAACACTGGACGCATTGTTCGCCTCGCTTCCGTCGAAAGACAGCCTGAATGTCCTTGAGTGAGTTGCGTTGTATTACCCAGATATCATTTGGCCACACATCTAGGTCTAAGGCTTGGCAGTGGAACTGGGATATTCACTCGGGCTTTGCTCACTCATCGTTCTTTCGGCCCTGCAGTGAGGGAATTGAAAGCTGTAGAGCCCAGCAGGGGGATGCGGGAAGCATTCTTAAAGGCAGTATCAGATCCCCGGGTATCAACGTACGAAGGTTCTTTTGAATTGACAAGGGTGCCGGACGGATGGGCCGACCTCATCGTAATTGCCCAAGTGAGTCCTGATACCCTTGTCTGATCGACTTAGTCGTTGTTATCTACGCAGGCCTGGCACTGGTGCCCAGATTTTAACAAAGCTATGGTAAGTTGTCCCCGCCCACGTTTGATACAGTTGGTGGAGCATCTCCATCCCAAGTTCGAATTCAGTCGTTCTCTAAAGCCGGAAGGCGTTGTTGCCTTCATATGGAATATGGAAGATAGGTGATCATTGCCTCGATGCTCCCGTGTCCATCGTTGAAGATGTAGGCCTGTCATTTAGGGACTCGGCGCAATGGGTCGCACAAGTCCGGGACTTGTATGAAGCGGAAGAGATGGGCACCCCACAATATCGCTTGGGCTTGTGGCGCCAAACTTTTGACACCGAAGGGTACAAAAAACATTTCGCAACTAAGGAAGAGCTCTGGCTCAAGCGCAACCTTCCAACGACCGATGTCGGTGTGATCGACCGTGTTCTGAGCAAAAGTCATATCGCCGTCCTCGCCGATGAACGAAAGCATGAAATCAGGACCCGTATACAGGCAATTTTGACTCGGGGGAATGACAAAGTTTGGATAAATGAAGCAGGGGCGGTATTTGAATATCCTTACACGACGCACCTGGTTATCATTAAGCATAAATCTGCGTCAGGCAGCGATGATTGAAAAGGATTCTGTTACCTTGTCTTGCAGACCACGCCATTCCCTACTCTATTTCGTCCATGGGGCCGTAGTAATTGCGCAAGTTTTCGCTCGCCTTTCATTGTGGAATAGTCCCAGCAATCTGCAGTTACAGTCCTTCGCTTCCACCAACGGGCAGAAGAACAAGTGACATTCAAACGAGTACAAAACTACAGAATAAGACGAAACAATAACATATAAAGAAACTAGCCAATAACAACGGAGGGATAAGGACCACACGGCCGTTGCGGGAACCATATCTACCAACAGCTACTTTCCTTGTGATGATGTGAACTTGGTTACCGACTTCGTGCCCCTGTATGCGTAAGGCTCAGTACTGATGTGAGCCTTCCATGGCGGTGGGACTCACTCTGAAATGGCATGTTTCGCGAGTTCACCTGGCAAGATAAGTCGGACCGCCGTTTGGATCTCACGTGACGAGATCGTGCTCTTCCTGCTATATAACGCAAGCTCTGAAGTAGTCATGTTAACGTCTACATGGGTACTGGGAGGAGTGACCTTACTGGAAGACTCAGATGCGATACGTTCGAAGATATCATTGACAAATGAGTTCAGGATGGCCATGGCCTTGTTGGAGACACCAGTGTCGGGATGAACCTGCTTGAGGACTACACATACAGCAGAGTCAGAATCAGTCAAGATAAAGGGCAAATACACTACCGACCTCTGTAGATGTACGTGGAATAGGTTTCCTTGCGTAGCTTTCTACGTTTCTTCTTATCGCCATCCACCGCAGGGGCTGTTGACTTCTTCGCAGCTGGGGACTTCTTTGCTTCGGTGGTAGCTAAATAAATCGCGTCAATCATGGCCGCCAATGGCAAAGACCATAAAACTAACTTTTGGATGCAGGGGCCTTGGTGGGGGAGACAGCCATTGTTGAGTATGGGGACTTGGATGAATGCGAGAAAGGCCACCATCGTGAACTTAAGTAGCTTGGATGCTTATGTCAGCAGTAAACAAACCGGATGTAAATCGCAAGTCATCTGGGTGGCTCCTCGATCACAACAAACAAACAAATCCACAATTGCGCCAAGGATGAATGCGGAGAAGAGTTGGCCTCACAAGTCGGCTGCGGAACTCGCTCAGATTATCACTACTGCATGGGATGTCCCCATTATTGAACATGACCTTGTCAAACCCACGCCTGAACTCGTTCAACGCATTTACTCGGCGATATTGCTTGACGTGCTTTCACTTGATGTACAGAAGTTTGATCGCGACAGGCAAATGGTTCTCTCAGAGTCTGGTACAGAGTATACTGTATGTTGTTTTTGGCGCGCCCTCGACGTAGAGGCAGCTTTTTATGCTCTTCTACAGGAGTATTATTATGAATCTACAACGATGCAAATGCTCCTTTACCAATTGTCGGTCCTCCCACTCCCTCTTTTTGGCCCCCCGCCAATGTCTCTTTTTATAGGGGACGGGTTGCAAAGGTTGCCAAAGTCAAGACTTTCACTATGCGAGACTTGACTCGACCAGACCCTGTCCGCATCAATCGCATTCTCAGTGCAATCGTCAATTTCATGGCCTTCGGGGACTCTCGAGGCTTCCCTGAGTTTCTGGAAAACCTTTATCGACGAGCTGAGACTACGCGGGAACGATACGAAGATCGGAGAGAGGAGCAGGATACTTTACAACAGGAGTACGCTGAAGAAAGGCACGCTGGTCTCCATTCCAGCACTCTACAGGCTCTCATTCCCCACGCTGTAGACAACAATTTGAAGAAGAAAAGCAGTCAGCAAGAGGGATTATGCTCGAGATCCAGGAGCTGGAGAGTGAATTGAATGGCCTGATCGCTGAAGCACGCCAGCTCAACGAGAATGTCCATGCACTTAAGGCACGGAAAAAAGAGCGCTCGGATACCCTGGTACTGTCCTCCCATTGTGACTATATCCAGCATTGTCTGATTACCTGGAATAGCAACAACTGACGACAGAACGAGAGAATCTCGTTAGGTCCAATGCTGCTGACAAAGGTCGTATTGTCAAATCGCCGGAGCGTGTAAAACAGAAGAATGCCAATCTTGCTGAATCCGCCGAGGCACTCAAGCCTCAACTCGGGGGTGTTGAGGCGTCCGTGAAGAGCAACCAGGCGAAGATACATGCCCTCCACGATGTCCAAAACGTCCGTAACCATGCTTCATGTGCGTCTCGCCTCCTTACTGCTTACTTGTGTGCCGCAGGACGTGAAAGATGCCACGAAGGACCTACAACTTCTTGAGAAGGACCTGGGGAACCTTCGTATCAGAGACCAGTATCACCATGAGAGACGCAGCAATCTGTCTGAGAAGAAGGAGGAGCTTAAATCTGCGGGAACGAAATTTCAGGTTTAGCTTTTGCATGTTATGATAATGCTTTCATTGCTAAGGTACTTCCTACAGCATGCGGAGAGGCAGCGCCAATACACTCTAGATAAATTGCAGGTCCGTTTACCATCCTATCCGTCCTAGTTCTAACGTTTACTCGTCATCAACCCAGCGTATACGTGGGACACATGAGGAGAAGCAAGAAATCGCTCGTCGGAAGCACGAGGATTTGCAAGTACGTCATCAGAGGCTGGTAAAGCTTCGCGACGAACGACATGTCGAGCATCACACCCAGAAAGAGGACATGGACAGAATGGCAAAGGAGGTATGCAAATTCATCCTGCACCATGCCGCACAATCTGATGCTAAGGTGTGGGATGCAGCAAGACGCATTCGTCACGGAAAATCAAAGTGTGTCACAGCACGGTAGTCTAGCCACTGGCACTGAGTCCCCGATCCCCCCCTACAGCCGAAGTGGACGCCCTTTCTACGGAATACTACAAGATGGCACGCATGATCGGTACGTCTAGCTATGGAGGTGTTTCTACTCAATTTTCCGACATTGATTCTGGAAATCATAGCAAATTACATGTTCGATCTTGATAAAGAGCTGGATCTCCAAGTCTTCAGTAATAAGCATGTCCTCACCACGGATGACCATAAAAAACATAAGAAAAAAAAGAAGGTCAAGGTGGCTCCAGCCCCGGATCAAGAGGAGTAACATGGGAATCTACTTTGTGTTGCAATGGTTCTAAGTCCTTGTATCCCTATTAATTGCCTGCATCTCAACATCATTGCCTTGTATGTATACTTAGATTTCATCCGTGACCCTGATGCGCTGGCCTCAAACAAATGGAACTATAAAATAAACTACTACGCGCCAATTAATCTTTCTTAACTACTTTTGAAATGTTGTTTCCCTAAAATCTTGAATGAAGTCCCCGTGTAAGCTAAGAGTGGTGAATAATGCTTTGTGCGGCTCGATGTAAAGCGGTTCCCAAGGAAACTTTTCACCATCGATAGAGAAGAGCGACTTTTTGGAGGAACTAATTGGCTCTACTCGAAGCGCTTTCACTTTGAAGTAGTGTTGCTGTGAGAATGACATGGCACCGTCAGTCTTGCATGTCCCGACCAGAATATCAAAAGAAGGGGCTCACAGTCTTCATAAAGAAGGCATGACCATACTCTGCACCGTTCAGAGCTCCCAATAGTGATGCCCGGTCAGTCTACGGTATTGGTGGAGTCAGAAAGCGAGCGAGCGAAAAAAACAGAGGAAGGATGCTCGCCACTTCTTGTATGACCACATCAAGTAATCCATCTGCCGGTCTAGCGGCAGGGAATTGCAACAAGTCGCGCGCGACGTAGGGTTGTGTACCAGAACTAAACAAAATTGCGCGAACCAAATCCCATCCCGGTTTATATCACCCTCATTCGCGGTTCTGAGTGAATGACTTACTAAAGATAGAGAATAGGCTTGTCGAATACTACCCAGTCAGAGTGACCTCCATCTGGACTTTCATTGGCGTACTTGTCCTCCGGCAACGATGACAATGATAACGATGGGGGATCCTCTGTGGGTTGTTCAACATCAACTGGCCTAGTGCCCATTTTGTGTTCTCGAATCCTTTCCAAGAGTTTCTGCTTGTCAGATTCAACGACTTTCATCGAGACTTTGATGGGACATGGTTTCTTAGCAATCACTATGGATTGGTCTCAGGATGAGAAATCGTGCAAAGGGACATCGTCAAGAGAGTGCGTTTTGGAACTCTTACATCCGCGCAGATACCCGTAGATGAATCGGCTGTCTCCCATCCATCTTAAGTGTTCCGTCCCTGCGAAAATCGCGATCAGAACCGGGTCAGTCGAAAGTCCATTTGCCGCGAGGCACTGAGACTTACCAACGTCCAGGTCGGACATGAGTCCCGCAGCTTGCGTGAAAAACGACCAACTACGCTTCGTTCCTTGTGTGACCGAACACATGTCTAGATGCATCGGCTTCCCTATAAAATATGAATTCGACTCTAGTGCCGATTTCCAATAACTTTACCTTACCTTTGATCACATTCAATGCCGCCAATCCAACATCAAAGCAACCCTAACAGTGTAGAAATCCCGCAGTTCATCCTGTCGCCTGTGTCTCCCACAGTTTCGCAAACGCACCTTCATCCCTTGTAAATTCAAATTAAACCCATTCGCAGATCCAGTAGGAATCGGTACTACTGGTACAGTTCGCAATGCGTGGACAGAGTCATCCGTCCTAGATGCAATCCCATTGATGATTTCGTGTGGGAGACCATCACCAGAAAGTGAAGCGATGGCGTCGTAGTCCAGGGACATCGACGCTGCTATTTCCTGCGCATGGAAGCGTTTCGTTGTGTCTGTTTTACATTTTCGATACGACCAAATGGTGAGTTGACATAGCATATAATGACCCAGGGACTAAGAACTGAAGAAGATGACGCACATTGAACGTCCAAAAGGCATTTCGCCGCATCGAAAATAGGCTTGACTCGTTTCTCGAATGCCTGCTTTGCCTTTCCCTGTATGATAGAACCAAGAGTCTTACTCAGCAACTCGTACAAGATGAACGAATGCAACGTACCGGCCCACCCTTAGGGTTAATGAGGACTTTGACCCTTCTATGTGGCCGTACACCTTTCATACCCGTCTAATAAGTGGGTCTGCATGCAAACAAACTAGCCACTAAAGGAAAAGAAAAAAACTGACCAGCGTAAGCTAATTCCACCAATCTCGTGCACCATTCCATTGCCACCTCCGCACCCACACTGAACACACCCACAACCTTCACAAGCACAAGTCTTCCCTTGTCACTTGCGAGCGTTGAAACTGTCACAACATTCCTTTCAACTTCTGAGGTTGACACTTCCGCCCAGAGGACATGGCGAACATCTGTTTGAAGAGCTGGTTTCTCGGAGTACGGCCCTGTGATAAAAAAAAAACAGTGAAAATTGCCCCACGTAAACTCAGCTAGTAATTTGAACCAAAGCTCACCCTTCGGAGTGTCATGCAAAACCAAGAATTGCATATCCGAGAATTTGAGCACGCTGGGCTTTCCTTCAATGGTGACAGGCAGAAACGTGTTGGCATCGTCCTCATTCATCGTGGACATGAATAGTTGCTTGTTATATGTCGCACGGCGGTTACGCGACGCGTATGTGGAGAAACTTTGCAAATCAACGATCACAACTTTATTTAGGAATTCAATGCCAAAATAGGCAATCTGGATGTGAAAAGAGAGATACATTGTACAGCATAATACACGACGTGTCGCAAATATTCAGTCGCAAGTTATCCTGCAGATCCTGGTCAGATCTTGGGGTGTTATAATCACGGCATCGCAGCCCAACACTCTGAGCACGATATCACATTGTCATTAGGTATCGCACTCAGCTCACACATCTGTGTGGCGCAAAGGAACAAAGCGACAACAAAGGGTATTGGAATGCCACTTCAACATGGGGAGTGTTAAAAATCAGTTCTTGGATTTAGCATTCCGAGAGGGGCGCCCATCTTGGTTAATCATCAGGCACAAGAACCTAAGAGCAGATGCCTACGGCTATAGGACTCAGAAAACGCCGCATCCCGTCTGATCTGCGAAGTTAAGCTGAGTGCCGCTCAGTTAGTACTATGGTGGGGGACTACATGGGAATCCTGAGTGCTGTGGGTAGTGGTTTTTTTTTTTCCTTCCTTCCTTCTTTCTTTCTTTCTCTTTACACTTTCACATTATGATCGATCAGATTGGTCGAGTTGGTTATTGTAAACCAAGACCAATGTTTACACTGCATCCAGGGACTACGAGCTAATGAATACAAGAACGTGCACAGCAAACACCGCTGGAATGTATGTGGTAAACAAAGGAACAAAGGAGTGTAGGAAAATGATCGGTTCGATCTGGACTCAATACGATAACAATTGCGCGCGGATCGCTCTCGAGGGAAGAACAGAAGCACCTTCAAATCTGGGATTTGCTGTGTCGGATCTCGATCTCGCTTGCCTACGGATCCATCCAAATAGCGCAATTCCGCCTGGGCTGCTCGCGGGAGCGCCCTTCAACGCTTCAACAATAGGTTAGCAAGTTCCGAGATCCCACTGGAGGTATATGCAAGACGCATTGTCGATGAATATGCAAAAATCACCCACAAATTGTATTCCACTGTTAGTATGGATACACATGTATGACACAAAGTCCATTAAAAGAAAGTAGAAGGGATGGTAGAAAGATTAGTGAAGATGATGAATAGCTAGGATCGGTGGGGGCGTCTCCTCCAGAGCAGACGCAAATCTGATATTGAAAGCCGACGACGGGAGTTGGGCCACGTCGATTGACCAGGTATCGAGATTAATGGTAGATCCAGGTGAGAGGCCCCAGTAGCCCGAGACATCATATGCGGTTGCCGCTGTTGGGAGGTTCGTGGTAAAGCCAGAGATTGGGAACGAAGGAAGGGATAACCGTTAGGTTCGAACATTTCGCATCTAGTGTAAGGGGGGAGTTCTTCGTAGGCGAACGTGTCAGCGTCGGTTCTCGCACCCTCGCTACCAATGTCCGGACGATAATAGGGACTGGTCCACGTTGTGATCGGTGTGTTGTGATTGATATAGAAGACACGACCAAAGCGATCAACGGCACGCTCCCATCCGTCCCATTCATAAGGCAGACCTTCAACCGAGAGCCCGCGGCCACTGATATCGCGCACATTGTCCATGTCCGTAGCATTTGGCCAAGCTGCAGGAGAGGGGGAACGACTACTGGAGGCGATGTGGGTGTCAGTAACGGCTTCAAGGACAGGGGGCACAGTCCATAGTCGCGAGCCAACAGAATCAGTTGCAAAGGGAGAGCTGGCGATTGAAGGGAGATTGCGGAGGACGCCTGGCTGCCCATTATTATTCAAGTTCGAACGCACTCGGTTGGCCACCGGCAGAGCAGGGGATGAGGAGGGAGAGGATGCTTCGAATGAATTGCTCCTTCTGGGACGGCTGGGCTCGATGACGGCGGATGGAAGGAGGCTCTCGGGGCCCAAGGCATGAGCAACTCTTGATTGAGGACGTTCAAGACAGTTTGAATTGTAAGAGATGTTGTGCATAGACAAACGAACGATGAGCTCTCCTCTCGCAGAGAGGTTGTCACTTGATTTTCTAAGCTTTAAGTGAAAGAGCTCTAAAAACCAGAGTAAGAACCAGTTGCGCATTGAAATTTGAACCCGTCCTCAATACCTTTCTTTAATCGTCCAGCGCGAGCATTCATATAGTCTTCAACATGAAGATCAACGAGCCCAAGGAATCCGCTATCTTGCTTCTTCATTCTTTTTTGATCAAAAATCCTAATCGTGATAACAGATTCTTCCTGAATATTACTGTGGTCAAAAGGGCCGGAATTAATATCAGTGCAGACAAGACAGAATAATAAGTACCCACATATCGAACGACTCGTTCCAGTACGGGTTAAGGGTATCTTGCAATACGCTCGTGGTAAAGGTCTCGACCGAATCAACGGTCATGAAAGCAAAAGGGTCGGGGAGTTTAAAAACGTCGCGCTGTAATAAACGATCGGCCGCAACAACTGTTCAACATCGATTGATGAGTAAATTGCAAGGGGGGCACCGATCTGGCAAGGTCTTCTTGCCTGTGATGCCTATCGCAATAGTCCTAAGAAAGTAAATTGAAGTGAAATGTTCATGATTTCGTGCTTGTTGATTACTCACGTAGATGAAATATTAGTATGGCTGCCCATGAAAGTGTAAGTGTCTAATTTTTACGTCTTCGGTAGAAGGGGAGAGGGGGAGGCTGAGGTGGAGAGGAGACGAAGAACTATGGGCGCTGTAAATAGCTCTCCACGAACAGATGTACTCGCGAGTCCAATACGGTGCGTTCATATCTTGCATAGCATTGCTCCCAGGCGGGACCGAAGCCGCATCGTTCGCGTATCCAGGTAGCGCCTTTGATCCGACACGAAAACCTTTGTGCTGTTGCAATAGGCAGTACGGTGGCTTACAAAATTTGGAACACCCTCCTCTATCCGATCGGCTGTCCTGTTGGGTGCTAACCAGACACTAGCGATGAAAAATTTGAGCCATTACCCATGGCGAGCCTAAGATTAAGGTTGATCCACGCACCGCCTCGCCATTGTATGATTCGCATCATTTGAGGCAATCCTTACTCAATTGGATCAGATATGGCAGTCCTGCGCCACACTTTTCGTTTAGAAACGCACAGACTTGGCCACCGAGTACTGTGGAAGCATTGGTCTCGTTCCCTGATAGGCGCCCGCCGACAGGGGTCTGTTCGTTCTGAGCAATTAAATAACACACAATAAATTCGGCCAACTCCGCTACAATATTGAGTCACGATCAACCACACGTGATATGTAGACAGTACCTTTTTTCATCAGTCACTCCCGCTAGACACGGGCAATCTAATAGCATGCCCTTCGGTTTCGCGGCATTTGGATCAAACACGAACATGAAGCTATGCTCTCCCTTTCGAATCCCGGAGATTCTAGGGAGATTCTGCAACAAGGATCAAACTTGAAGCTCAATGCTGTGCGGGGAAACTGATGTGATGGTGTTTCTACGGGTGTATACTATCATATCTACCTGATGCCAGCCCGGCGCTTTCATGGTCCGAATGCAGCGCGTGCGTCATCGGTTGCACACACACAACTGGTGACTGGCGACACAAAACGATGCTGCCTGGGGTGTTTACAATCTCATGGTCGCATCTCATGCACAGTCAAATGCGATTTATAACTCTGTTATGCGAGGGGGGGAGGGCTGTCTCAGATGACAATTGATACATATCAGACGTCGACGATAAATTTTGGTCAGAGTTGGAAAAAAAAAATTCAGAAATTTCGTCTCTACGTACACCGGCGCCGGCAACCGCATTGCATACATAATGAACGATACATGTACATGATGATGGACGCCGATATCGACGGTCCATCCGGGATACCGTCATGCATATTTAAGTAACATAGACGTGCATCAATTATTTATTTATCAATGTTCGTCAACCTGGGACACCGGGAACGTCTGCACATTAATTACAATGTTGATCGACGGGGGCCGACGCACAGGCACAAATTTGACATAGGCTTGATCGACGCAATATTGCGACGACTGCTCTCCAACAATCCAATCGATACCAACAATGTCAACGTAGTCTCTTAGCCTTCCCAATGTCTATATCTCACTCGCTCCATCTCCCACCAATTCGGAAGAACAAATGTCCAACCATCCTTAAATACGCAGCAACATCTGACGCCGTGCATGGAGCACTATCATTCGTATCATTCGACGAGTCCAACTGTTACCACTTAGAGAGGTGAGACTGGACGAGATGATTTGACAACTTCAAAAACAAGCTAGAACACACGTCTTCAGCGCTCATCAACAAAAACCGAGTTGAAAACACGGGGCAAAGTACAAAAAACTTTGACAAATTTGTTCAGTATGTAAAGCGAAAAGTCATGAATGGAGTTAAAAGATTACTTAAAGTTTGGAAGCCCTACACACCCATCTTGAGATACGGCAAAAAAGGCTGGGTGGCGAGGCCCCTAAATGGAAGGAAAAAAAAAAAAAACAAGGCCCATTCGTGATCCTGCCTGAGATCCAAGGCGTTAACTCTGAAAACGCCACAAAATGGGGGAAGTGGGTATTTGGTATACGTATTTGTTGATTTGTTAAAACCAGAGGCAGTGATGGGTTGGGAAAAGGAGCGTCGAGAAAGGGAAGTAAAAGAGAAGAAAGAAGAGAAGAAGAGACCGGCACGGGAAGTGCGCGTGGGGAGAAGAGAATGATGAGCCTATTGTTTGAAAATCATACCGAGTCCCAAAGAATGGAGAGAGGTTAGAGAAGGATTTCGTGTAGAAATGATCAGAGCAACTGCCAGGGCTCGGGATGTTGGAAGCGGGATGGGTGGAGTGTTGATGCAGAACGGGGGTGTGGAAACGTAGCTATCGTCGAGAACAGGGAATGTCCTAACGAAAAATAAAAGACAAGAAATTCCTTAGTCCTCCTTTCCCGCTGTTTGGACGTTCCTTCTCTATACCCAAGTGCCTTCAACGTACGCGCGGCCCAAACTATTCAGAGTCGATGGGCCAGAAAGCATACGAGCATTCTCCGAGACACCCCACAGGCTTCCATCCGTAATACCTATACACATATGCGAGAATCAAGGAATCAGGGAAGGGTACCAACCATGTCAGCAAGCTCGAAGAAGGAAAGAAGAGTTGGGGGAAAAAAAAATAAGAGTGTACGAACCGAAGGCACAATAACCAGTAATCCATGAAGTGCTCTCCATCCAGCTGATAACACCCGCCATGAAGGCACGAACTTGAGCCGGGCTGGGATGAACCCTTCCAGAGAAATCCTGTTCAAGTCATCGCACAGGTTCATTTAAGAAGAAAGGAATATGTACAAAGGGCGACAGGACGTACCGTGCAAGCGAACTCGGTGACCATGATAGGGAGATGGAATTTGTTGTAGAATTTAGTCATGTAACTGATAAAATCCTGGACGTTCGTTCCATAGTAGTGCAAGTTTATCATGGAGACCTATGCCAAGCAAAATAACAAAAAACCAGACCCAAATCAGATTGGCACCCGGCGGATGTGATTGAACGTGCACATACGCCACAGTGAGGGCCATTTGCATTGCCGCATGCATTGAAAAAGTCGATCATCCACTGGAATCCATTCGGAGCGGTAGTGACAGAGGGCCCCACAAGAACGACTCCTTTCTTCGCCAACCAGCCCACTTCCTGGTTCCAGATTCGAGCCGCGTCAGTTGGAGACAAGTTTGCTTGGGAACCCAAGTTACATCTGTATGTTGTTCATAAGCATCAAGTAATGAAAGGAGAGGATAGGAAATGATGGAGGAAAGATGGAACCGATAAGGGGGAAATGTAAAAGGACGAAGGAAGAACCACACTGACTCGTTAAACCCGATGATACATTGGTAATTCCCTCGTACCTGTCGGAATTGCTGGATAGATTTCGTGCCCCAGATGGTTGAACAGGGCATGAAGCCGACTTGTTTAACAACATCAGAGACAGCTGGTTTCCAGTTGTAGAAACTAAATGCATGTGCCCCATTTTATTGTTGGTTGAAGACGACGGAGAGATTAAATACCAAAGCACGGTCAGCAAAACAATAAAAAGAGACGTTGGGAAAGAACAACGTACTAGCGGGTCTTCGATGTCTTCAGAGCCTGGAGGAGGGGCTTTGATTGGCCCGTGTAAACAATGCAGACTTTTCCCCCTCCTCGTTCTTCGAGATCCGAAACGCCGGAATCTCTGGGAATAGTCAAGTTACGAGGTTGGTTATGACGAGCGACGGCAGCATCATGTTCACCACCATGACCGTGACCGTGTCGAATGGAGAGAGCGTTGGTAAGCGTAGCGAGAGTGAGTGCGGAAGCGACGATTGTGCGGAAGAACATCATTCTGGACTAGGAGTGATGGAGAGAGAGATAGGGAAGTGATGTGATGTGAGCTTGGGGTGAGAGTGGTCGAGACAAGAATCGGGGGGGTGGTCGCACCTCGTGGGAGGGTGGTTCTGATCCTCAAAGGTGTAAGTGCAAGTCTTGAGAAGGAGAGCACAGCACTGGAGGGAGCGGTCGCTGACGCTGGGATATATAAGGAGTGGCTGGTTTGTTTTTTTATGAAATTTTCGCTGAGGAAGCGTTCGAAGACGGGGAGGAGCAAAACAGGTTGTGATGGTTTGTTGGTGAGAAAGAGAAAAAAGAGGACTAAGAACTTGTCAAACGCGGCCACTCCAATTGGAAATAACATTTTGTTGCCATTTAAAGTAATGCATTTTTGTCTTATTCTTTCTATTGCCAATTAGTTTACCAATTTAATATTACCTTTTTCGGAACAATAGTTAATTAATTATTGTCATTTTTTTCCCGTACACGTGCCCTGTGCTTGGTCCCGTCGGAGACCATTTTGCGGTTACGATGTGATGTAACCATCACCGGTCGTCTACTACCCCAGAATACCGAGCACACTCAGGCTCGATAATACCTTCCTTCCTTTCACCCCGATTGCGGCGTACACATCCTATCACAACGTACAACACCGAAGATGCACGAATGAGTTCTTCCGTTTGGCGGCCACACACATGCCACTCTCGCAGTGATTCCGCAGCTTGGAAACTAATGGGTACCTGAGGGTACACTATACTTGGGTAGAATCGAAAAACCGGTCCACGGACCATGGAATCACTATCCTCAGGGCATCCGCGGAATGCCAGATGAGGTTGCGTGCATAACGAGACTGCGGATGGGCAACCCGGATGAATGAGTGGAGGGGAGGGGAGGAACGAAAGCAAAAGATGGGCACAGGTTTTCATTGAAAGTCGCCTTTGGTCAGTGCACAACCGCAGCTCCGATATTTTTTCCGCTCTGATGCTATATAGCGCCCACTTCCCTGTGAGAATACACTCCATGCCACTCAGGGTATACTACCCTATGTGCGATTGGTATGGTATCGGATCCGGCACCTTCGCACCGTACGGTCGCCCAAACTAAGCACCGTTTAAGACATAGAGAGTCAAAAGGCGCAGGAGTACCGGTTCAACTATCGCCGTTCATTCTTTCTGCGCCGCTCCACGCAGACGACACGATGTTGCACAGAGTCGGCCTTCGAGGTCATTAATATGATCGAGGTTCGAAAGGGTACGGAAAGAAGAAGGGGGTTCGGAACGACTTTTGAATGGAATGGCCGCCACTGAGCAAGAGCTCAGTGGTCCAAGACCGAAATGGCTGCAGTGGTGCAAGTGGAGGTTCAAGTTGTTCGAAGCGATGCGATGTTCGTGGCTTCGACTTCCATGGCCAAGCGCAGATGTCGGTGGCGCCATCCGAGAACCAACAGCAGCTTACCGCGGCTTGGTTCACTTCCACCGATGGTTTTTTTCCTCCACATGATGCGTCTGCAAGCTATCGGTGGTTATCCATATGTACACAAACGCATGTACTGAGCTCCTTGTGCACAGCGCACTGGCCATCGAAGTGCAGAGCAGATCGAGCAGAACACCAGTGAAGCCACTAACCATCGCTCATGAAGCATCGCAAGGCACGGACCCCTAAGAGGCTGTCGAAGCTGCCTGTATAATGGTGCTTCCGAATAATGGTGTTGCCACACATGTGTCAGCCATGTCCGAATGCCTATGCCAAAACAAAAAAAAAAACGATGTAGGAATTCAAGTTCATGCCCTGATTGTCCTTCTAAAGCTCTTTAGACTTGGCCAGAGCCCCCCAAAGGTAGAGTGAGAGTTGTCGCACATGTGCCTCATAGAGCTGTCTGCAGCACTGCACGAATGCCAAAGTACCTGGGTGAACCCTAAAGTATGCAAATCAAACTCAGCAGGGCCAATGATTCCCCAACAGTCGACGGTGGTCGGGCAAAAAGGTTGAATTTGCAGAATGAAGAGTTCAAACACAGCGCCCCACGTTGCTGAAACTCGACCAATCCTCAGGTGCGGGTTGTTGCGGACGTATGTCACCATATGTGTGATTGAATGGGGTTCTCCTCGCGGGAGCGTTGGTGTACGGCCAGATTACATACGCTAGATCTCTAGAACAACTGCTGGTGCATCGTTCGTTCGCTGTGGTGATTATCCAATGGATATCGAGTGCTCGCTCGCCTACCTCTCTTGGATGGATGGATGGATGGATTCATTTTAGAGTACGTAACCGTGCCTATCGGCATATGCCGTACTATAGTGACTCGGATGAAAAAAGTGTGGAGAACATAAGGATGTGAAGAAGGAATTTGTTTGACCTAGGAAGTATGAGACATCGAGTAATCAATGGTGTGAAGGAGAATAAAGTGAGATGAAGCAATAACACATAAAGGGGCATGCGACCCCTGCACTGAGATTGAACAACGGGTGAGGGAGAATGAAGGTGGAAAGAGATTGGATAGAGAAAAGGACACGCGACCCCCAGTGTTGGGGTCGCATGTTTTGCTGCTGTGTGCCTATGGTTAAGTCAATGGTTGAGTGCGCGGTTCTTGCGGGTGGGTGAGTTGGAGGGTGCTTTCACGGGTTTATGTCACGGTAGGCTGGTGAATGTTCCAGTGGCAGCGAAAGGCGATGGGTGTTGGTGGCATCTTGCTCATGCTTGTTGAATAAAGGCATGTGGCAGATAGGCCTTTGGTAGAAGGGGTAGTGGAGAGAAATGAAAGTGTTGGGGTGACGGCAGGACTTGAACCTGCATTCCTTGCAGTCAACTTTTTGTCGGCATATGGGGCTATCGTTGGCGCTACCACTATCGCGCCTCGTCACGAAGAGGTAGTGGAGAGAAAGATGAATCGGAAGGGTGTTGGGGTGATGGCATGACTTGAACCTGCACTCCTCCGGCCTGCCCATGGACTTATGGAGGCTACCATTGGCGCTACCACGATTGCACCTCACCATCCCAAAAGGTAGTGGAGAAGAGAAAAAGAAGGAAGGGTTGGGGTGACGGTGGGACTTGAACCCACAGTCCTCTGGCCAGTCCCGTCTGGGCTTACGGAGGTCACCATTGGCGTTGCCACTATCGCGCTCGTCATCCCAAAAAGGTAGTGGTGAGAAGAAAAAGGAAGGGTTGGCTTGACGGCGGGACATGCACCCGCGCTCTTGCATCTCTCCAGCCAGTGCGGCTCTGGGCTTACGGGGTTGCGGTTGATTGGCATTACCACGGTGGCCACGTCATCCTCCCTTCAGATGTTAGAGGCCTAATTAGTTTTAAACAGGGGCACCGCGTGAAGGTTTAGGCCCGTGCCGGGTGTTCGCTGTGGTAGCAGAACTCCCCCTCGACTGACATCCATCGTCGAGGCCCGCCTACCTCTCTTCCCGAGCCCTGTCCCGCTAAAGGCTGGTCACCTGCCTTATCGTTTGCCGAAGGCTTCGATCAAGTGCGCCGGGTAAACCCGGCCCAGAACCCAACTTCTGCACGTGCCAGTCGAGAACGGCACCCATTTTGCAACCAGCAGACTACTATACGACGAACGCACAGCATCTCTTCCAAGGCGACACTAATGTTTAGATACGCAAGGAGTACTGCTATGCAAATCCAAATGCTCAGGGTCCAATGTTTACCCGGGAAGAAGTTTGATTTTGAACACGTTGGAACTTTCTTCTATTCCGTTCATTCAAAAATATGAGCTAATTAAAATTAACTGGCCGAGCTTTGCGGGACATTGGTAAGGTTTGAGACGACAACTACTCAAGCGACTCCGCGAGAGCAAGCTTCCCCGAGTGGAGAGAGTTTCCTCGTTTCTTGCTCAGTGTTCTGCGGTAACCAGTTGGCGTCGTCGTTAACACCTCCGCTCCTCTTCTTACTACATCAATAAAGAAACAGGGACAGCGGACACTAGGCTTCTAAGGATGAGCTCCAAACCTGAGGCAGTCGAAGGTTTCCCTTATCGCGAAGGGTTAAAATCTCGTATTCGCTCTTTGGGTAAATTAGAATCGTGGAAAGTTCGTCAGGACCCAAGTACGATCGCTCTCAACCCAAATTATAGTAACAAGGTGCGGTAAAATTCATCCCCTTCTTCTCAGATGCTGTCGGTCAGTCGGAGAGGAAACTTTTTTTTGGCTAACTGCCAGAAAACACATCTCAAATTTCAAATCTTAAAGAGAGGGAGGAAAAAGAAAAGAAACAACTCTGATTATTGATATTTCGTTTTGATAATAGGATATGGATCCTACTCCTCCTCATGAGAGAGTATGGACAATGCTCTCATTCATATCTTTATGGGTGTCTGATGCGTTCAATACGGCAACTGTGCGTTTATCATTCTTTTTCGTTTATTTCAGCAGCAATGCTCACGCTTTCTGTCTCCCGAAATCCAACGACTCGACCCTTTGAATATCAAAATACCATAATCCAACCCCTTCCCCACTTGTCAAATTAATACTGATTATCCAGTGGGAACTGGCCTCCGCTTCGATAGCGATCGGATTAGGCTGGAAGCAAGCCCTCCCAGCCGTAGCATTAGGCCATTTCTTGATTGCACTCGTCATCACCGCCAACGGAACGATTGGAGCCCGATTACACGTCCCTTTCCCTGTCTTGAATCGATCTTCCTTTGGGTTCTGGTTTAGTTATTTCACGGTTATTAGTCGGTATGTTAAGCTCCATTGGTATTGATTGTGAAGTGATTCGTGTCTTTGTGGTTGTTTGGTTGCGTAGCGTGGTGTTGGCTATGTTCTGGTTTGCCATTCAGACGTTTACGGGCAGTGAATGTGTCTATCAGGTAAGTGATCTCTTGAGGTTCATCATTTTTCACCGCACGGAGCCTCGATGATGCAAACGATGTATTCGGGGTATGTAGTGGACGCTTATTTCCTTTGCATTTTTTTGGCGTGTTTGGTTAGATGATTAAAGCGATTTGGCCTTCTTTCGCCCACTGGCCAAATCGCCTTCCTGCTTCTGCAAACATCACCAGCGCAGGTAAGGGATGTGTCTCCTTCTCACGGCCCCATACTTAACATCAAGGGAAACTTGGATGACCCTTATTCTTCTCGTTCGTTATCAGGTTTACTCTCGTACTTCATCTTCTGGCTCATTCAATTCCCGTTCCTACTCGTTTCGCCGCAGAAGGTCCGATGGCTTTTCACTGTCAAGGCCGCTTTAGTTCCTGTCACGTTCATCGCTATGATGGCTTGGGCATTCTCCAGGACGGGAGGTGGACCTCTTTTCGATCAACGAAGTAGATTGCACGGAAGTGCATTATCATGGGCTTGGTTGGGCGCTTTGAACAGTGCACTTGGTGAGTTAATTTTCATCGCCGAAGTAATTGATCGAAGCACTTATTGGTTGTTTTGGGCTCTCTTCATCGTTCTTGGGTGGGGTGGGAATAGGGAATTATGCTACTCTGGCGGTGAACATTCCCGACTTTACGCGATACGCCCGCAAACCCAGCGAGTACGTCACAGTTCGGATGACACGCGACCCCACGTCGTATCATCCTTCTTCCGTACTGATACCCCCCACCCTTTTCGTTCCCTTTTCTCTCTGTCCTCTAGTCAATACGTTCAAGTGGTCATCATCCCCATCCTTTTCACCTTTGCTGCTTTCATCGGTATCGTCGTCACATCCGCCGGAAACGTTCTTTACGGTTCATACATCTGGGATCCATTACGTTTGATCGATCGTTGGGACAATCGGGCTGCGGCTTTCTTTGCTTCATTTTCGTTTGCATTGGCTACCCTTGGAACGAACATTTCGGCCAACTCTATTTCGGCCGCTAATGATTTTACGGCTTTGGCGCCCAAGGTGAGAGCCCCTGGCGGTTTGCGGATATTCATGACACGCATGCAGGTGTCGCCGGTTTCCCATGCTTATTCTTCTTTTCGACGAATGCATGAGGGAAAAAGTTAAACTGACTGCGGAGGGTTCATTTTTTCCACTAGTACATCAACATTCGGCGGGGTCAAATCATTTGTGCCATCATTGGTGGTTGGGCCCTCTGCCCATGGAAGATTCTTGCTCACGCTATTGGTTTCTTGACGTTTATGGCGGGATACACAGTCGTTCTGGCACCTATTTGTGCCGTAATGGTCACGGACTACTGGGCCGTTAAGAAGCGACACGTAGATATTCCGAGCTTGTATCGACCCGATGGGCGGTATGCTTATTGGAACGGTCTTGTGAGTGCTTCCTTGCAGGTGAGAAAAGGGTCGGTATTTACACCTTCCGACGATTCCATTACGTTAGAATTGGAGAGCGGCGTTGGCATTATTGTGCACCGTTCCACTTGGGCTTCCTGGGTTGATAAGTACTATAAATCCTGCGATTAACGTTGGATCAGGAGGGAATCACCTGTTTTCTATCTCGTACATCATGGAGGTAAGTCATTCCTCCCTTCTGGCTCCCTTGAATTCTTTGACATCCGAAGAGTAACTGAGTGGGTTCCTCCTTATACGTCTGTTAGTTCGTCGTTGCTGGGGCCGTCTATTATTGTGTTTCCGCTCTTTTCCCAGCTCGCGAGTCCATGGTCTCACAAACAATTTACTCCATTGAGGAGGCGTCCAGTCCGGGGGAGCATGAAGACGACGAGCAGAAGGTGTCGGGCGTTTGAAGGAGACTTACCCTTGTATTTTCAAGAGCTGTAGGACTCTTTATGATATAATGGCGATATTTATTTAGACAGGTGTTGTTATGCGTTTTGGCTTTCAGGTGGATGATGCATGTTGTCCATGAATCTGTGGCGGTAGTGGGTTACTTAGGCCCATACAATGCGATGGCCATTGCAAACCAAGAAGTAGTATCTGGTGCCTCTTTTGTCCAGGCAGGACTCCAGCCTCTGACTGCGCAATATTTTCATCCTGATTCCTGAAATAGTCCTTATTTTCTGGTCTACAACCAGTGCCTCACAACAGTCAGCCTGACATAATGCTCAATGGAGCACATAATTAATCCCCACATAGAATGCGTTGATCAGCATTACAGACCATAAAGAAAACAACAACACAAATGCAGAATGCAGGTCATAAGTTAGGCACAATTGCAGGAGATGATAGTCGGTGATCCCAGCTGATCACGCAAACAATTGCTCTCAATCTAAAGGCCGTTCCAAGAGGAACGAAAGAGTTGGCTTCAGATGTGTCACGGAGAAAGCGAGGGGCACGATGTTAATACAAATAACTCTAGTGAAAGGATTGGGGGGGAATCCATGGAACCGAAGAAGAGCAATACCGACGATAGAACCACATGGAAATCAAAAGTGGATTGGGTGGGACCCAGTTCGGTGTCGCGAGAGCACAAAAGGTTGCGCAAGCGAGCATTCTTGCCCGTAAGCCGCTTTGACGTTCTGATGTTACTGTTTGAGACGGCCGCCACACTCGCTAGCAGAATAGGCGTACTATGATTGTCGCATTGAGAATCTTCGCAGAATTGAGATCCTGCAAGTCCGACTGAACTGGTGAAAAACCTTCCATCCATGGTGGCATTCGAGGGCCTCTTGAAATGGTCTAGCGACAATAAAGGCTTCGTCAGAGGCCAAAACAGAGAAAGCTGAGAGACTGACAACTCTGCGCTGAAGTTGGTCGGACTGGGTCGTCTCCCTCCTCCGGTTTGAATCCACGCACTCTATGTTCTTAGAATGTTCCTTGAAAAGCGTATGATTTGGATGGTAGGACTCAAGGGGCGATTCTGACGGGTGGTGCCTCTTTCGCAGGCACGGCATGATCGAGCAAGATATCGAGAGAGCGCCAAAAGGTGAACGAGCCAGAGCAGACTCCCCTTCCCGAGTCTCTTTATGCGGATTCGTTCGCCACATCATAAAGCGACAACTCAAACTTAACATGGTCGGTTTGTAGGCAGGTTACCAGCCTCTATTGGTGTGTTGGCTTGAATCACGACGCCACTACTTCGAAAGGATCAACCAAAGCGCATTGCCACATAATTCGTCCAGGGAAAATCATAGTGCTAAGGATATAAGAGCCCGCCACCAAAAGGGACGCAGGTGAGTGCAAAGCATTTCACAGAGCAAGCCCAAGCACTCAGAGACAATACATAAGACGCAATAAATTCGGCCAACTCCGCAGAGACAGAATTAAATAACTTGGGATTGGAGCCTCGCAAGAAACGCGTTCACAATGCCAACCATACTCGGCGCTGCCCAGACGGCGAGCTCTGTCCTACTCCGACTTGGGACCTACATATTTCTGAGGATTGTTGGTCTCGCCGCACTGAACCCCTTCATTGACTAACTCTAATGCTCACTTCAGATTCCAGGAGCCATTCTGTCCACTGTCTTACCAATACTATTTCTTGTATATTTGTTCTCATTTACAGTGGAAAAGCTTGTACGGCTCTCTGGGCGCCAAAGTGAATCAGAGTCTGCGGACATTGTAGATGCCAAATATACACAAGATGGTGCGGAGACTAAGCTGGATGCGACAGACGTCATCGGGGTTACCGTGAGTTTATATCATACTGCCCCTTACATGAAGTATTTAGGCCTACGATGTCCAGGTAAAAACTGTACCATCATCAGTTACAATAAGTACTATACTGTTCAACCTGCCGACTCTGGCGCCTTGGGCGAAAGCTATCGGTTTCCTCATCAATTTAGCATGCATCGCGATGGTGGCCGATTTCGTAGCTCGGCCATTCTATGAAACCCACGAGGATCTTGTCTTCACACGCGTTGGGGCTGTTTACCATGATGCTGCAAAAATTGTGGTTCGATATCCTCGCCCATCTGAAGGGCTTCGCATCGTCTGGAAACAGATGGACGGCACTGGCATGCTGGCTTATTCGGATTCGGATGAAAGTGGATGGGTCGATGGACCTTCTTTGGACCTGAAGGCTGAGGATGATTGGGTGGGGGTCACTCGACTTGACAGCCTGTGGGCAAGCACCAGATATCAATGTAGGAGATTGGATGCTGGTATGGTTTGTATCCTGATATATTTGCCCTCTACCAGACCGTCTGGCAACTTTGAACTCTACGTTACTGCCATACCCAGCGACGCCGATCATCTTCCGCACGTTCCCTGACCCAAGACTGCCCGGATCACACTTCAAATTCATCGCGACTTCTTGTTTGGTGAGTCAGGATGCCTGAGGCAAACCTCCAACTTAAGAGCGACGGTTCGCAGCTGCCGAATTTCCCATACAATCCATTAGCCCCAACCACCCGGCTCGAAGGATTTAGGCTCCTCAAGCAACAGCTTGATTCAACGTCTACAGGATCAACCCCTCCTGGCATTAGCATCCCAACTCAGGGTGCAACTGTGGAAATTGCAGCTCCGGCGGTATCGGCGGAGCCGCAGCTCACTCCCAACGCTGTTGAACCATCTAATTCATCTGCATTACCCGTTCATCAGGCACCTGCAACTGAAACCAACCATTCCAGCCAGATTCCAGTCGTTCGAACAGAAACAGAAATTTCCAGTCCCCTCCCTTTTATTGGAACTCGGCACTCGGCTTCCTTTGTCCCAACGGAGTTCATGATTTTTATGGGAGGTGAATGATCATAGTCCCAGTATTTTTACTTCGCTGACTTCGCACATTGAAGATTTCATCTACGCCGACGTTCCGTACTTCATTGGAGACAGCAGGGAAAGTTACAATCGCCTCTACAGACGAACCTATGCATCTGAAGAGTTCCGTCAGGTGTATGAGCAGCTTCGTAAGTTGGGAAGTCACTGATCGTTCGGTTTTCAATATCTTGACTCGGAATCAGCTGTCTTGAACATCTACGATGATCACGAGTTCAAGAATGATTTCGAGGGTCGGTCAAACGACTCCACATACCTGTTCGCCAATGCATCAGCTGCGTTCTCTACGTATCAGGGCAACGCGAATTACCATACCTACACTGACGCTAGCGGGCGCGTGGTTAATTATTTTGATTTCAAATATGGCGATGTTGCTTTTTTCATTTTGGACACCAGAAGGTATGGAAATTCGCACTTCCTATGATGTCCTGTCTCTTATCAGCATTCAGGTATCGATCTGTGACCGGGAGGAACACCACTGAAGAGGAAACACCTACTATCCTTGGGGAGAGACAACTAGCCGACTTCCATCAGTGGGCTGCCCGGGTGAGTCAGTTCCGAATTTATTGCATCATTGATGCCTACCTCATTGTGACCATCAAGGTAAACTCTACGGCCGCATTCAAATTTATCATTTCTTCTGTCCCAGTTTCAGCTCTTTGGGGTGGCCCGAACGGCCAGGTCGATACCTGGGCCGGTGCTCTCGAAGAGAGACGTGTATTCCTAGACCTACTAGAGTATATCCCGAATGTGATCATCCTTTCGGGTGATCGCCACGAGTTCGCCGCTGTCGAATACATCACTGGCGCACGGGAATTCTCCATCAGGCAAGCCACGTAATTGCTACTGATTTATTTCAAGGCTAACTAATAATGGCTTCAACAGTCCGCTTAACCAATTCTACATCCCATTCTTTAAGACCTTCGACATCAAGAATGGTCAAACTCGCAAGATCAAATATGTGGTCAAGGAGGAAGTGAACAGGTCAGTAACAGAATTTGAAATTGTGGAACAAATTCCCGAGGAAAAAATCCTCGCTTATCTTCCAAGTGGAAATCATAAATGGTAAGCTGCCTTAATCATGTCTTTGATCTGACCCACGCGCTTAACCCCGTACACCCCCCTGACACAGGGGTACCTTCGAGGTTGATACGACGAATGCTTCTAGCCCTACAGTGACCCTTGAACTTAGCATCGATGGGGCGAAAGCATGGACGTGAGTTTGGCGTCGTTAAAATCACCAGATTCTCCGCTGATTCACGTACTGCTTGACACAGACACACTATCGTCGGCAAACCAGTGAAATACACTGGCAGCACTGCCCTTGGTACCCAAATTGCCCAGATCAGTGGGTCGATAAAAGGCATGCTTGGGAGGCTCGGAAAGATCTTCGGATAAACATCGCTATTGCTCGATTCTGCAAGACAGTGAGTCTGTTGTAAGTCTTATTTGAACCATCGATTGCTGTACATAGACGATTGCTACATTATACTATATCCTCTGCCTTTGCTTTACCTTTTCCTTTGTCTGTCCTCTGAACAGCGACATAGAGGTCGCTATCGTCCTCGGTTATCTGGAATTGCGGTTCGCTTGGGACCCCTGCTGAACGTGTTGAGGGCTGTACCGTTGCAGATTGGACGGTGTTGATGGTTTCACGAGCAAATCTCCTTTGAACAGCTTTGTAGTGCTCCATTTCCCCTTGACTGACACTTGGGACCAGTCCTCGGAGCGCCAGCTCAAAATCCTTCCGGGAAACCAAGACGTCGATCTCTTCAGGCGTCGCCAACTCGGCAAGATAGTATTGTGGTGTGAGGGGATGAGGATGTGAGAATGGTGGGGGTTCAGCATTGAGATCAGCTGTGTTAAGTTGGTGTTAGCGTTTAGCACCAAACAAGACCCGGATTCCCACCTATCTTTCGATCTACCTCTTCAGCTTTCCTTGCCATTGCCCTCAACATTGCATCAGAGCACAGTGCATAGAAGTCGGCCCCTGTGAAGTTGAAGGGACACTGCTCCGCAATGTCGGCAAGATCCAAATCCGGATCAAGACGAAACTTGCGTGTGACGGCCTTGATGATGTTCAACTGTGCCTCGTGTGTATCACTAACACCCAGGTATAGCATGCGGTCGAAACTACACACAAGGATATTTAGCGATAATGGGTGTCTGGTAGAAAGTCATCATACCGTCCAGGCCGCAGAAGTGCAGGATCTAGCAGGTCAGGCCTGTTTGTTGCCCCAATGACGAACACGTCTGCCCCTCCTTTTCCATCCGCCATCCCGTCCAGCTCGGCCAGGAGCTGGCTCACTATTCTGTCCATAACGCCACCGGAGTCGCCATGGTTCCCCCTCTTCGGTGCAACCGAATCAAGCTCATCGAAAAAAATGACGCATGGTTTAGCGTCGCGGGCCCTTTGGAAAACTCTACGAACGTTCGCCTCCGACTCCCCGATGTACATGTTGAGCAGTTCGGGGCCTTTAACAGAGAAGAAATTCAGAGAACATGATGTTGCCACGGCTTTCGCTAGCAGGGTTTTCCCTGTTCCCGGTGGACCATACAAAAGGATACCCGAGCGCTTCTTTAGTCCGTCTGCGAAAAGCTCAGGATATTCCAAGGGTAGCTGAATCGTGTCCAGGATGTCACTCTTAACACTCGCGAGTCCACCAACGTCATCCCAGGTAACGTTCGGGATTTTCGGTGCGCCAATGCTCTCAGAGAATGAGGACCTGGCGTCGTTGAGAGCGACATCGAAGTCTGCGGCTGTAAGTACGAGACTGCCATAGAGGTGTACTGGGTTGGACGACTCCAGCCTGAAGTCTACGTGAGACTACGCAAGACAGGGCAAAGTTGCAAAAACTGGACTTACGACGAGGTAGTTCGCTGAAGAGACTTTAACTGTGCTCGTTGCACTAAATCAACAAGGTCCCTGGCAACCAAAGCAGCAGTTTGTGATGCTAACGATTTGATGTTGACATCTGGGGTACAGGTAAATGACTGCAATAGTGTGTGTAAGATTTCGAGACGCTCTGCTTCATTAGGTGACTGTGTACAACTATCAAAATCGGTGAAATTACAGAGTTGCGATATGCTTACCTCGAACTGAATCTCGTGTTTGAAGCAGCTTAGGACACCCTGTGGGATCTTTTCTGGCTCACTTGTAGTTCCAAACAGAAATACAGGGTATCCGGTTTCTTTCCAGCTTTTCCCTAGTATTAATACACAATCTTGCAAGATTGTTGCCATGGGTGGTTCTAAAAGCACACCAAGTCAAAGGAATCACGTCCAACAAAAGAAGCGCCATACCTCTTCCGGTTTCTAACGTCTGGGTGTTCCGAGCGAGCGCCTCCAAATGACGTAGCAGGAAGATACAGGGAGAGCACGAAGCTGCTTTCTCTACTCGAGCACGTAGAGTACCTTCGGTCTTCACATCCGTTTCCCCTAAGACCTCGAAGCAATTGACCTAACGTTTCCAGAATTAGAACCAAAATACTAATCTAAGCTGGAGAGGCTTGCCTCAAGAATATGTATTCCAAGCTTCTGTGCAACCCAGAGCGCCGTAGTCTGCTTCCCAATTCCCCTGGCTCCCTTCAGAAGCACGGTGAGGCTGAGATCAAGATCAGATGCCGAAGGGACCAACGCGGCGGACACCAGGTTGACCAGACGCTTGAATGGCGTGTCTGACAGATCCTCATCTACGGATGCTGGGAGAGGAACAAAGCTCGATTCTACTATGGGAATTAGCGAAACACCGCAGTAAAGACTGAAAGGAACATTACCTATCCCTAGGTAACTGGTCACATCAGGTACCCTAGAATGCTCTAGGCCGGCTTGCACCATCTTAGTCACCTTCGAGTCAACCCAGCATCCTAATTCACCCATGGTGGACGCAAAATACGTGCTCTCCCGCTCCGAAATATCGATATCAACTACATCATGCTCGATATTCGTGATCTTGAAGTATACAACACCCGTGTTTACTGGGGAGGACAATGGGAAGCTAACATATGATCAGCACAATTCTACGTCAACATCGAACATTTTTCTTACTTCTGATTCAAGGTGAATTGAACGACATCCTCTTGCCCCTCAGTCGCTTCATGCTCTTCGTCGCTCGACTCAGCGATTTTAATCACTTCGTCACTGATACGCCTGGAATCTTCAAGTTTCAAACCGATAGCGATCAGATCACCAAGCTTCACGAGCCTGACTTGACTCTCAAAATATTCTTTCAGTGCAATGAGGAAAAGGGGTTGGTACACCCGATCGCTCGCATGGGGAGAAGACACTCGCGCGATTGTCACTGAACGGGCGATGGGCAGTGGTGGGGGCGGGACCCGAAAGGAGTTGGCTGGAGGATGAGCTGCAAATCTGATGCAGAGGGTGCTAAATTGTGAAGTAGCACTGGCGACGCTGCGACACTCGACAAAGAACTGACCGGTCCATGAATAAGAATAAGGTTAGGAAGCAATTCGCCTACGTACCGATAATGCAAGTGATCATTCGCCAGTACCCGAACCAATCTTGAGGAACCCTCTGAATCGATAGTTGCTACAGCCTGCGCAGTTTGATGCGATATCAGAAGCGTTATAACGGGGAACTTCCTATAACATACCCAGTCTCCACTAAATATTCCGGTCTTCCCTAACTCCCCAGAGCTCACATGGATAAAGGATTCAGGGTCGTCTCCTTTCCGACTTAATGATGACGGAATAAGCTTCGGAAGACTTTGAGCGATGAGGGCCCTCTTGGGCAGGTCCTGTCCATCTGCTTCGATCGCGCCTCCCGTAGATTCCAAGGATATCGCATTTTTGGCTCCAAATAAACCACCACTAAGGGTTGATGACAATGACCCTGCCAAGAACCCTTCCCCAATTTCGATTCCATCAATAGAGTGAAGGTCTGACTCCAATTCACTTTCAGTCGAGCATGGGGAACTCGTAATATCTTCGTCACTGCAATAGGGACTGTTTGGGTGCGAGTCTGTGGATGTCACTATGAATCTGGTTACAAGCTGCTTCGCCATTCCCTCGGAGACAGGTTCTGCTGACACTATCTCGTAGAGGTGGTGGACAGCCCGTCCCTTAGAAATTCCGCTTTCTGGTACCCATTCATCATCACTTGGTGTCTCTGGCACCGAAATAATATCTCGAGTCCGCAGAACGCGTGGAGATGCATACAGCCACTTTTCAATCGCTGACGGTTGTGAACGGGAAAACAATGAGGCGGCATCAGAGCGAGCAGCTAATATCACTTCCGTAAGAACAGGTGGTTCGGCCAGGTAAATATCATGGGTTTGTGTCCCTTTGGAAGGCAAGAAACTCGTGGGACTGGTGAAAATGTGGGGATACGTCTCCTTCCATGACCCCGGAACACGAACTCCGATACCCTTCGGTTCCAGACACACATAAATACCATCAGTAAGGCGCTACCCCTTAATGGATCCACCCACATCGCCATCTTTCTTTCCCCAAGCAGTGAAGGGCTGGTTCCCAACTGACCGAAGCTGAAATATGACACCTGTTGGGCTATCACCCAGAGATAAAGCTTCACAGACGTCTCTTCCGAGCCTTACAACATCATCATGGATGTCGTCGTCATATGTGAGGGGGACGGATATTCGTCGCGATGAGCCAAAAATTAAGCTCATTCTCAAGCGCCCGTGGGACAAATCCGAATTCCCACGCTCATTCGCGCAACTCATGGATCTCGACGTAGGGAAGCACTGTGCTGTCTCATCGTGCAACGTCCGCGATTTGTTACCGATCAGGTGCCAAAGCTGCTCTGCCTCGTTTTGCAGCGGTCATATTGGACTCGATAAGCACGGGTGTACGGCCTCCGAACCAACTGAACCGTTGGAGATTCCAGCCTCCTCATGGAAGAAACGGGCTCAGTGTCAGGCGGAGGGTTGCTCGAAACCTGCACTCGCTTCAGCCTTCGGTGGATCCCCATCAAGCCAGGAAATTCTTAACGACGGCTTGTGCCCTTTGTGTCAAGGCGAATTTTGTGTGACGTGAGAGGCATATACATGTCGAACTTCAGCAATACACTAAGTTGATCGAGTCATCGTATTTAATCTCGAAGACATCGACATGGGAATGCCCACGATTGCAAACATTCCATTGTTGGGCGGGTGGAAGATAAGACTGTCAAAGCAAGAGCACTTCTCGCCCAAAATTTCCCCTCAACTGTACAAAAGGTCCCAATTGCAATCAACTCCCCATCAAGGGCTCCAACTGACCCCAAGAAACTCGAGAAATATCGAGCTCTAGAGCTCATGAAGCTGAGACACAAAGCCATTCCGGGTGATTCTCGAAACGTGTCAGTTCCGATCGAGCAACGTCTCCACGTGTCTGTCTCCGGAGGGGATGGACCAAAGCACAACTTGTGGTTCAAGAAGGTTCGTAGAACATGAATGAAAAATACATGAGATATTGACAAAGCAGCCAGGATGTTGTGTCTGGTAAAGCGCTAGACCTTATTGCGGCACGAATGAAAATGTCGTTCGTAAGTCTCATCAGATGCTCGACCTAGGGTGAAAGACTCAAAGGAAAGGTCATCTACCCAGCCCCTCAAACTGGTAAAGCCTGGCATAGACGATGAAAGTGTGCAATTAGATCTAAGTCGCCCACTGAGTAGCCAGGTTGATGATGGTGGTGAATTGTTAATTTTGAAACCCTAATTTTGGTGACGAGGTCACGCCGAATGGCGCTGGATGACGAGTAGGTAGAGGCTCGTGCCAGCCACCAAGCAGGCCACGCTACTCAGTACAATCTCGTGTATTCTGTCAACGGTCATGTATTGATTCCTGACGCTGTGAAAAGAAACTGGCTCGCGAACCTAAAACCACCCACAAAACCTACACCCTGCTTCATTTGTCTGCCTGACTCTTCATAAGCATACCAACCCGTTATTACCTGTTCAAGATGAAAAGAAATCCAAACCCATGTCACGCAAAGGGACAACTAACGGTGCAGAGTGAGGCAATAAAGTACACCGAGCTTAGCGGTACCGCCGCCTCAGTGAAACCAACTGAATTGTCAGTTTGTGAGGATAATCGGGATCGAAGCAGGATCGAAGAAGACAACAGTGAGAGCAAAAGTCCCAGGCGAGCGTGCGAGAGATAGTTACGCTCGATGGCTTTCAACCAAAGACAATTAGCGGGGTTCTATCCATGGGTCACAGATCGATATTTACCACAAAAGTCCCGAGCTGTGCTCCCCACATTCCTAATTCCTATGGCGGTTTCCATACGTATCTGTTGGGAATGTGAGAAGGAACAGGCCTGTGATTTTACGAGTTGTTTCCGGTTCGACTGCTATGACTTAATCCGACAATCCTTGGGCTCGATGCATTCGAAAAGTCCTAGTAGTCAGGGGGAAATCTTTCTAAACACTTATAATGTGTAGTTCACATACTCGTCAACATCTCGCATGAACTCTCCAACGACGGCCGGGATTGAGCGATCTTGCAGAAGATGACAGCATGGTGGGATCACACCAGATGGTTGGCTTCAGGTGTGCGAGACCTCGATCGACTGAAGCCTCTGTACTTGACGTACCAGCCTCGGCCGCCTGTCAGAACACCTCCTGGACTACTTTCGGACTCGTTCAATTGGATTATCTGATTGTGGAAAGAACACCAACCTCGCAACAGGCATTTCCTCTTAGGCAAGATAACCAGCCTCTATAGATAGCTTCCTCTTACTGTACACCATTTCTGCCTTTTCCAATGCATCGGTTCTGTCGATATGAAGCGCCGGGGACAATCCTCTGAAAGGTCTTCGTGAGGAACTCATCTATAGCTTCAAACGACCGGGACTACCAGCATGTCCTGCAATATAAAATTAAATGGGTTCTGCATCGCTTCCCTGTCATTCAGTTGCGCAGCGTGGAGAAAAAGTATGTATGGTTGCTGGTTGATCAAGTAGTTGTTATCTTTCCCTTACATAAATTCAACCTTCGGCGTCCGGGGGGGCCTCGCAGGGTATTATGCGGACGGCGGTTCGATTGTTACACGTCGCCCTCCCATAACTTGCCGTTCGATTCTACTCAATCGAGATATTGTGCTGCGTACCTGACGCAAAGCTAGGGCACCTACTATGCACTCGAGGAATTCTGCGGTAGATTACAGGCTCCCCGCTCGCTGCCCGCCCAGAAAAGATGTCCTTCAGCGGTTCGCCAGAGGAAAACGTCCTCCGGCTTTCTAGCCACTTAATTCTCAACTCCGACATCCCAGGCTTCGATCTCCAAATCCAGTCGACGAGTTTCTTTGATGTTCAGTACGCCGCGCCGTATCTGGCGTAAATAAAACGTTCCTTGCTGAATCAGCGATCTGACGGTTGCAAGTTTTCAGCCTGCTGGGAGCAACAAAGACTGCTTTCGTTGATTTAGATAGACATGCTATACGGGGCGAGATATGCGGTCTAGTTTGGAGGTACCAATTCTCACATGCAAGACACATAGTGTCAGTTTGCAGAATCAGAACCGCCAGTTACAAGGGGAAGATTTTTTGCCTCTATTTGCGGTGCCATCACTTTGCCTGACAATACTATGGTGTCTTTTCAGCTTCTGCCAGGCCTAGTGCTCACTCCGCTGCCGTTCGTCCGACTCAGACTGGCAACGCCCCAGCTCATCCCGTGAACACCGCAGTGATAAGATTCTGGATATGACGGCTGCCTCAACATCATATTCAGCCGATCAACTCAGTCTCATTCTCAGCCGATGGACAGAGCAATGCCGGCGTCCGGTGACAAGACGGTCTGGGATGCAAAGCAACTATGTTCGCTCGGTCCCATTGTCACCCGATAGCTCCAGGTAGCATCAGCATCCTATGACCACACATGGGATTGAAATACGGTGGCTGGGGAAGAACTGCATGCAAGGGCACAGTCGGGGGTCAACTCTCATTCATTCTCATCTCACGGATCCATGCAAAGTAGCACCATCCGATAGAGAAACTGTGCGACGTATTCACACTTGCATTATTTCGCAAGCCCTTGCCATCGGTATGCATGGTGGGGGGCATCATTCAAGCACCAGTGCCCTTATGATTACTTGACCACATTCCACTCCAACTACTGGACTGTTCCATTGTGTATGTAATCTGCATACCTGTCTCCTGCACGTAAAGATCCCGAAGATCCAAACTAGTCCTTAACAAACTAGATCCACGATGCACATCTTACCAACCCAACCCATTGTTGGAATGGCCCAGACTCAAGCATCGAATGGGGCAAATCCTCCCGAAGCCGCTTCGCCAGGCCTCAGCCCTTTCCAATCATTGCCGTCCAATCATACTTCTTATAACTGGTTCTGAAAGCCGCCACTCTGCCACGGTTCGCGTGCTCATCTATCCGCCGCGGCCGCCTCCATCGTCGTGGCTCCAGATCCAGAACGTTTCCGATGATCTCGGCGGCAAAGTACCTGGAAGGAAGAAATGTTAAATGTAGAGTTTATTGGCCTGAAAACTGAACTCGCCTTGGAAACTCACCCCCTCCCTTCTCTCCCTCATCCACTGCTCCGTCTGGGTCCCCATCACCGGCGGCATCTCCTACACCTTCGATCACATGCCCATATCCCTTTTCCCCCTTATAGTCCCACTGAACCATAAAATACGGGAGATGTGGCACCATTGCTCTGCGGAAGCCACCAGGTCGAGCTGAGAAATCAATCAATTTCTTGTGTTGCGACCATTCAGCTTCAGAAGCCAATATTGATTCCTGGACAAAATCAATGTCGAGCGCATGTGTCGTACAGACCTCACACACCTTGAAGTATGCGGGTAAATCATCAAAATGATCCATCGGAACTGGGACACATTCTATAACAGTGTGTTTTTGCCATTTGAGACTGATCACAGTTTCATAAAAGAAATAGCCTTTATCATCGTCGGCAGCCATCCGGATGAGACATTTCATGAAGTTCTGACGGCGGGAATGCAGTGAGTACCTCGATGCGGGAAATAGAGACCGTCACCTTGATTTCATCCCAAACGTCGTCATCAGCTTCCAACATCGACAGGTGGTGCTGTATTGGTACAATTAAGCAGTGACCATCAACCAACTGCTCGTGCAAGGTACACGACAAATAAGCCTTTAGTCCCATCGCAACAACGGGGGCCTTCGGAGGGGAATCATCCTCTCCGTAGCAGAAAGGACAGGTTGCCAAGACCTTCCGCGTTTTCGCATAATCTAATGGGAAATAGCGCGAGATGCCACGTTGAACCCGAAGGGAGGGAGATATCACGCACCATTAATTGCAAACTGGCGCTTCATCGCATCACTTCTCATCTTCTTCCTTCCTAACCGATCTGCATTATCGTCCATATATTCCAGATCGTTCTGGGCGGATTGATCAGTGCTTCCAATTTTGTTAAAATGGAGAAGTATTCTTACTTCGAATTTCCCGTCCGTCATGATTGCACGGGCAAGCTCAGCGTCCATGTTCTTTTGGTCAGACATCCCGGCGCTGAAACGTTCTTGTCGAAGCATTTCTCCGAGTGTCGTCTTGTCATCATCAGCATTGTATCTGACTACATCACCAGTCTTGGGGTCTCGGGTTTCAACCTGGTTCAAGGTTGTGAATGATGTTATTGTCGTGTTTAGTGCCAACTGACCTTATCCTTTTTACGTCGATTCCCCGAAAGAGGTGACTTGTCATCACCCTTGCCAGTACCAACATCGTAGAGACGACCACGACTATCGAGAGTGGGGAGCATCTCAATTTTAGTACCCTCGCTGTCAACAACACCCGATCGCGCCGCTGCAGCCCGGTCTCGCTCTGCTTCAAACTCCTTTTCAAGTTCCTCGGCATTGGGTGCATTCATCAACCTAGCTTTGAGCACACGAGCTTGAAGTTTGTTCAAGCTGGAGGGTGACAGTGCATGCTTCGCGGATGCTGGGGTGGATGTCGGGGGAAGTACTCTGGGTATCGGTGATGAAGCCCCACTGAGTGGCACAGAGGACGACTGCCGTCGAAGGACATCTACACGCATATTCGCTGGGACTGCAGATGGACCAGGAGTGCTAGGAGTGCCGAGACGTGCTTGAGGCGTAGATGGAGGCGAGTCAGTCCCAACTCCTGGACGGCGGAATGAGGCGCGGCTGGAAGGTCTGCTTTCTGAGCCAGAAAGATCTGTGAACATGTACCTAGTTTCTCCCATAGGCAAATCCTCTTTCCTTGTGCGATCTTGTCTTTGTCCAGAAGAACTACCCCTGGAGGCACGCCGCTGCTCCCGCTCACTGAGGATCCTTTTCTCTTCCTTGGCTGCCTCGAAATCTGCCAAGCTATCATATCGCTCGAGCGCAACATCTTCCACAGGGCGACCCCTTCTTCGGCAGTTTCATATGTCCTCTGCAATTTTTTCATTCGCCATTGATGGCCGGCACTTCCAGGAATTACTTTGGATGGCCTTATGGGTGTCTCGTATTGATCTACAGTTTTCCCTTCTTTCAACTGCACATTGAGTTCTTTGGAGTTGATTATGGGCTGGGACTGAACTCAGTAAAACGAATAAGATCTTGAACTGGGAGATGGCAACTACCTTATCCGGGTCTGGGCGATCGGATGGCTTCTTTTTTCTATGCTCGGTCCCAAGGGAACTGAAGAAGTCGACACCACCTGTCATGGTACGCAAATCGGCACTAGATTCTCCATAATCTTCTGTGAGTGACTCGTACTCCGATAGACGGCTTGATGTCTGAAAGGATTTTCCCGATGGGATCGAGGTAGAAGTAGGGTCGTCTAGAAGCATCCATTCGTCTCGCTTTAGAGTGGAAGCAGTTGGATGTGAAGGGGGGAGCTTGGCCGCATTGGGTTCCGTCGCGTAAGATGCAATCCCAAGACTCTCCCCTGTTGGAATGTCCGCAGCTAATACCTCCAAACGCGAGGATCAAATATACATTTTGCCGTCTCATTGGGAAGCAATTGCACACCTTCGTTCCACCCTCTGCTATATCCTTTTCAACCCATTCCTCATCCCCGTCATCATCTACGATGGTCAGTCCACTGTTATCTTCCCCGCTGTATGTGCTCCTCCGGTGGGGCCTATCTCGGCTGTGCGAATCGTGATGCTCCCTGTGGTGTCGGTGACGCTTGGGGCTTGGGTCATCATGTTCAACTCGGTCCCGACGCCGCTTTTTCAGACTCTCCGCATGTTCAGTGGGGCGCTCATGGCGATGCCTACCGGATTTGCGCCTGTGATCCTCCCTGTATTCCGACATGCGCAGACAGAGTTGGGAACCCGGAGCCGGAAACTTGCGTTGAATGAGTTTGGCGCGCGCTTCCTTGCCCAACCCGCCCCTTACTCGCGACAAATTGTGACGCTTTCTGATGGTGGGAGTCGACCACCCCGTGACCAACATAGATTGCGCACAAGTGTGGAAGATGTTGATGTGACATTCCGATGCCCTTCGTTGTTGCCGTTATTACGGTCAGCCTTGTTATTCTGATGCTTTGGTTTGTGCCACTCAGGAAAGTATATAAGTGCAATGTGTGAGCTGAGGGCGCAATATCTAATGACATTTTGATATCGAGCCCAGAACGCCGGGCTGCGATGCCGCGATTATAACAGAAGATTCTGATTTTTCGCCGGCACACCACTCACTCTTTGCATAATAATGTAATCCATTCCATGAACTATCCCAGTTATGACCCACAGTGTTAAAGGGATCTCCATTGGCCGAAGTGAGAGCCTATGACTGAAGTGGCGAACTAGAGTCTCAAACCTAACCATCTGAGTGTTAAGGCGGTCTGTGGTCCCAGGCATGATGTACAGCACACTCAGTGCATTTTCCCATTTCCCTAGCAGAATCTGTCACTTTTTAGTTTCGCTCGCCGATCCAGCAATGCTTCGTTCAGTCGTCCTTCTTTTCTTGCCTTTTTGAGCTAACAAAACGACGTCAGTTTTAGAGGCAGATTGGCTTGGGACACTATTAGCTGACCTCACGGTCGTCATCCTTTGACACTATTCTTCTCCCTGCACCCCAGAGCTGGAATTTGGAGCTGAAGAAGGTAAGCCGAGGACGGTGCGCGCAAAACGTTATAGTTCTTACTTAATGGTCGCCTCGTCAAATTTCCCGTAGTGTTCATCCTCTTCCGTGTCCAGGCGCTTCTTCTTCTCCTCCTCAGTGGCTTTCTTCTTATACTCATACTGAACTCGAACGAAGAAACGCTCATTGAAGCCAATTTCTTCCGCATCGGCGCGAAGAGTAAGATTACCTCCTGCTACCTCGTCAACGCCCAGATGTTTCTCATACATGGACCTGAATGCAATCATAGGCGGTTGGGTATCTGACAATATAACAGGCGTCCATTCCTCTTGAGGACCCCGAGCTTCCCGATCTGCCGAGACAAGACCATGGACGTCACAAGACAAGAATTTTCCACTTGGTGTTCGGAGATTTATCGTGTCTGTTCCAGCAACACGAGTGACGACCCAGACATGCGAGACTTCAGTAGGCGTGAGGGCCAAAAGCGGAGAAGTAGAACTTGAGGATGAAGCCGATGAGAGAGACGGGAAGGTTACGCGATCTCTCGTAGAGTCAAATGCAATGCACATGGGGGGTTCTGTTGGATGTACAATAAATGTTGGCCCAAGCACTTCGATCGCACTCTCAGGCTCAACCCATGCTGAGCGGCATTCAGTGAGGAGCGTGAAGGGGTTCATAGCGACGAACTTTGCGGGTCAATGCCGTCTTCTGCATATACATCGGTTCCTCTCTCCTTCCTCTTTCTTTTCTTTGGTTTGTCCCCTTTGAAAGTCAGTTTCGTGGGTCTGGCCTTGTCCATTGGCAGTCGTGGCTGTGTGGACGGCACTGGCCATCAGGCCGGCCTGTGCCTCTATATTTTCTAGTCCTAATCGACCCAACTGGCTCTTTTACTGTATCCTAATCTTCAATTGCTTAATTTCACTGTCCGTGTACACGGGGATAGGACCTCCCCAGCGGGCCGGGAAACAAGACTTTGTCGAAATGGATTGGTCCACTGGTTTGCATATGTGACACTGCGTCTCTTGGTTTTGTGTTAGTGAGACGTGTAGCGGCCTCCCTCTCACCCTCGGACACCAAAACTACATTTAGTACCCTGTTGATGGAATACCTAAAATAGTTTACCCATCCCTCTTAACATCTCAATGTGGAGATGGAGTTCCTGGCGATTTCTTGCGCTGATCCCAACCGCCAGATCTCGTAACTCTATTGGCTCAACACGCAAGCATTTATTGCATACACACTGTGTCGTTCGGACGTCCGTTGTCTAGCCCCTTCTGGGACATAACCGGAGCAAATTGCTTCTGATCAAATCATCACGAAGACTAGCGCCACACGTTGGTTGTGCCATGGATGCCATCAGGACCCGCAGTACAAGGCACCCGAAATAACCTCCTGATGATTTTGATTCACCTAATTAAACAGTTGTAGCTTACCGTCAACCAGGCAGAGTTGTTTAATCGCTGCGCGGTAATGTCCACCGCAAAGGTCCTTCTTGAAGGGTGCCAGACTTCACGTTCTGATTCTTTAACGGATTCGAAGTCACTTCAGAAGCCAACGCTTCCATCTCTATGAGATATATTGCCACCAGGCGACAGCCTTCGACACCATGATTATTGCAGAGTCATTTTTATACAACATGGCAGTTTCCCTAAGCTTTTCATCCTTCTTTGACAGCCCTTGTTAGCTTCTTTACTTACGTTTCACACTTATCGGCGCCAATCGTTCCCAAAGCTGCTGACCGAACACCTTACGCTTGATTATAGCGGGCTCGATGTACGTTTACCAGAGCCAGTGGAACCGCTAAATAGGGATCATTGATCATTTCAGAATGAAACCTAGCACCGTTTTATCATTTCCTGCGTTGACCGCCATAGCCTATCACAACTTGTCACTCTACTATTTATCCCTTGACTTACCCTTCAATGTTGAGCTTCGACTAGCTGTTTGCTGATCAATCTATATATTTCATTGAAAGTACACAGCTTCTGTTGGTATCCAGCGTTTCTAGCATTGTCCGACGTGCAATTTGACCAAATATACCCCACTGCTAATAGTAGAAGTACCACTGTTCGGTGCCGGTGGAGGGGGTCAGGTCCGTTCAACTGCGTCATGCGTGAAAATTGTGCTGGCAACTGTACGGGCTCTCCGACGGAACAATATTTAGTTTGTGTAACTGCGGTGACTATGACCACGCCCATGTGAGTTCCCATTAATGCATTGTCACCAATAAAAACCGGAACTTCCATGAACAAAAGACAACCCATCTATCGCTACAGCTTTATAACTTGTATACCTTTAAGGCTGAGTAAGTTTGGCTGGCGAGAAGCATTGAAATTTCCATTCTGTCCTTACCTCGCCGGTCCCCGTTTCGTTCAGCGTCTTCATAAGCTCTTCCGCTTTGCTTCTCCAATCAGCTTCCATCAGGTTCTGTACACGTTTCTCTACAGAGGACATCATCATCCGTTCTAATATATATCTGGAACAGAAAATCGTCTAGATCATGGTCGTAAATGAACAAGAACTGCACATGCCTGTCAGTGAGGGGGTTCGTCATCGCGCCTTTTATTGCCTTAAGGAAACCTTCCTTATCCCCCGAGTGCACATTATACACGTATGGAGGATCCAGGAGCTTCAGCAAGCCATGTTGTATGTCCCAGTAATCTCGATTCCAAGGATCTAAACGATTCCACTGCATTTGGGTGAGTCGGCGAGAGAAAGCGCTATAGAACATGAATCAACACACATTTTTGATAGCGTTAAGGAACGGAACCCCTAGACAGAGCGCATCGTAGGGTGTGGGAGACCTATTGCAGTCCAGGTAAGTACGTAACTGGAATCGGAGGCCTGCTCACGTACGTATATGGACTACCAACTCCAACCAGCATACGCGAGTGCGCTAACACATCCATGAACTCCTTCTGCGGCATCAAACCATAATTAACAATGCTTTTAGGGAGAACGCTGCCTGCGCCAGGATTCTTGACCTTAATTGCGGGATTCGGGGATGCACCGACGACAAAGGATATGCCATTAATTTCTGCAGCGTCATTGTAAAATTCCACGGCCCAGGCACTGTCTGAGCCACCAGAGAAGTACTCCAAGTACTTCCCCATCACATACATCCTATTCCCCCTCTCCTGGGGTGGAACAAATGGGTGGTTCAAACAGTTGGGTTCCACGGAATAGCCAAGGTAATAATTTGGAGCATACGAGGCCTGTTCCAACGGATAAGGCTCCGGACTGAGGGTCCAACCCGATCCAAGGGGGTGATTAGGACTCGTCCAAAAGAAATATGAGAACAATTGCCAAATCGGCACCCCATCAGGATTTTCAGTTGGGCTGTAGATACACCCCACCACTTTCACACAGCTGAAAACCCATTCTGGGCTGACAATCACAACCTTGACAAGCCTACGGACAAGCTGGAACATCCAGTACGTACTCCCCTCGAGTTCTCCGTGATCATTCATGGAAACTAATGAGGTGTAATTCAAATTGGTAAGCGCTATTCTCTGAAGGCAGAACTGGATTAACCGTATGATTGGGCCTCGAGGCACGCAGTGGATGGCTTACAACGGATCTTGCCCTGACGAGAAAGTATTATATCAGATACGAACAACGAGCCTCGACACTTCGAAGAGGAATCAAGCATACCAGATGTGTTCCCCACCGTTGAAACCCGACAACTCATCATTAAAATACTGGGAACCAAGTATAACCACTATTTGTATTGTGTAAAGAGTAAGCCGCGGAAACACTATCTTGATTTGACGTTCAACAAACCTTTCAACTGATTAGGCTCACAATTAGACGCCTCCAGACATCGCATAAGTGATCTTGTCATATTCAAATTATGCATAAGCGCGGGGATATGGTGTCCACCTTGGTCACGGACGGTGATCAGGGCAGAAAAGAGAGATTCGACCGAATTTAATTTTTCCTGTGGCACTTCGGGGTAGGGGATGTTGCTGGTGACTACTACTTCTAGCTCAATACGGGATTTGTGTGTTTGGTGATGTAGGAGATATGTCAAAGAGCCAAATACAAGGCACACGTAAACCCAAAACAGTCTTCGCGAACGGCTTGACAATGCTGGTAAGCCCAGTGATTGGACCAAAGTTAAGGATGTCTTATATACGTACATACGCGAAAATGGTGCAATGTCCCGCATCGTGGGCTGGGACGATGAAGCGCGCAGATTGGTGCCACGCTGAATAAACAGTAGGCAGCCTCTATTGGAATAGATCCCTGTTCCCACCCTTTGTAGCACGTGTTCGTACCTCGATTAATTATGCACTTCGGGAGACAGCCTGAGCTCTGATTGCCCCATCAAACGCTGACTCAGTGATACCCCGCATTTCATTCCGATTGTGAGTCGAATTTTTCCTATAAGCTGGGTACATAATTCAGTCTTTTCTGTGTCTTTCAATTCAGTTCAATCATCTCGCGGCCCGCTTAAAGAGTCTATACTAATAGAGGCTGGTAACCCTGCCTACGTTCAGACGAGGGTGCTTGCCATTGAAAGTAAATGTGCTGATCCTGGTGTCATTAGACCTGCCCCCACCGGGGCTAGGGCGCCAACTCGTGCGTCGAAGGTATATCAGAAATTAATTGGGAGGCAAGATTATTTTTCCTCGCTGTTCTTCTAATCAATACTCATTACGCATATATGGTTGGGTCCAAAGCTTTTGGAGCCTTCAACTCTGTTCCTTCGAAGCTCTTCAGAGATTGAAGGAAATCGTAGGACCGGACATGAAGTCCGTTAATCTGTGGCTGCCAAACTGCACCTTCGCTCAGATGATGTTCCCCTCATCCTCCAATCGCAATTAGTATTCCTTCCATTTCCGAATCGTTTGATGGTGGCTGTCACATATCGAGCATGTCGCTTTTAGTTAGTTGGTCGAATTTGGAGTTGTATCCAAAAGTCTCCCCTTTTCCCACGTCGCCTTTTCATTGTTTTGTCTGTATGTATGTTAGCATTGCTGCTTGGTTTTATTTTCGATCGGTTCAACATGCGAAGTGAGATCCTCGAGAAAGTGCGGAAAATCGGTGGCCCCCAATATCTCCAACTTGCCTTACAGTTATACACTGGTGTTCCATTGGATGCGGGATGGGTATGTGTGTGATTTCTCAATATTAGTGGGGAAACAAGTGCCAAAGATCGCAAGGTTTAGATTTCAAAAAGCTGTCACCGTTTAGCTTGTGAGTGATCACACCCCAACCAAGTCATCCAAAAATGACTTACATCAGTCCGTCCTGAACGTCTCCATTCCTCAAGCAACTTTCCAGCTTCCGTTCTCCAGTCTGTCTCTATCAGCGTCGCTGTGCGGGCTTTCACCGCCGAAATTGTCATTCGTTCAAGGATGTATCTATGCGCGCACAACCCATCAATCATCTAGTGCTTTGAATAAAGCTTGCAAGACTCACCTCTCCGGGAGGGGGTTCTCTACTGCATCCTTGATTGCTTTAATAAATTCACTTTTACTTCCCGCAAGAACGTTGTACACGTATGGGGGCCCAAAAAGCTTCAAGGGGTTATGTTGAGTGTTCCAACGAATCTTATCCTTGGGATTGGAACGGTCCCACTGAGAATGAAGGGTAGTGAGCCATGAGGTTTTCAAGGAAGGGTATCGTAATCTCACCGTTCCGACGGGATTGAGGAAAGGGACCCCGAGACATAAGGCGTCATAAGGAGTGGGTGATCTGCGATCCAGTCTGTCAGTGCCCAGCATAAGGCTAACATGTGATACCCTACGTAGCCGGATCGCCAACTCCGATGAGCATGCGGGAATGAGCCAATACTTCTAGGAACTCCTTCTGAGGGAGAAGTCCATGATTCGTAATATTCTTGGGCAACTTTACATCGGGGCCTTCGATTGCCGTCGTGGTGTTCCACGGGCTCTTGATCGCCCCGACAACGAAAGATATGCCGGCGGCTTCGGCTGCAGCGTCATAAAATTCCGGTGGCCAGCCTTTGGAGGTCGTTCCGGAGAAGAATTGAAACCATTTTCCAAGAATATAGACTTGGTTAGAACGGTTCGATGGCGGGATGAACGGCTGTTGAGAGCAGGATGACTCGACACTATAACCAAGATAGAAGTTAGGATCCGCGTTTGGTTGCGAGATGGTGTAAGGCTCGGGGCTGACTGTCCACCGGGCGCCAAGGGGGTGAATGGCATTGGTCCAAAAGTTGAAAGAAAACATCTTCCACACTGGAATCCCGCTGGGATTTGCGGTCGGTGATATATGCATTCCGTGAGGCGGTAGCAATCGAAGGAGCCCTCGGGGTTTATTATCAGGATCTTCACCCACGGGTGGACGATTCGGTATATGCGAAGTATGTCCTCGGCAATGTTGGGATTCCCCATTGAAGTGAAAACTGTGTATCCGAGGCTCGTCACTGCAGTTCTCTAGTGTATATCAGAAGGCGATGGCAACCGACTCGGAGGCCAACTGATGGCAACCTACCACGGATCCCGCCCTAAACAATAGGAAATAGCCCATTGGCACGGAAAGTTAGTAGAATTCGGTGAGCGAAGACATTGGTCCACTTGCCAGATGTGCTCTCCCCCGATACCGCCGTGAAGCGCGTCGAAAAAGTACTGTGATGCCAGTACAACAACTCGGAATGTCAGTAAGCAGTGGACCACCACATCGCACACAATCCGAGACAGGGAAATCACCTTTTGACTGGTTCGGTCCGCAAGTGTTTGCTTCAAGGCAATGAACAAGTGCAGTTATGCTCTCAATATTCGCACTGAGCGCAAGATTGGCTTCCTTTTCATCGCTTGAACGGCTATTTAACACATCCAATAGCCTTCGTATTTGCTCGATATCGCCACTTGTGGTTGAGGTACCATGGGGATAGCGAGCGACGGCTGCCCTAGAGCGACTTCTGACCAAGGTCCGGAGTAGGAACAGCACGGCGAAAAAAACACCTAAATAAAGGACAGATCGACGCGAGCGCCTTGCAACAAACGTATGAACAATTTTCTCGTCAAACGAATAGTTGACACGCTCACTGGAACAGAAGCATCGTCAATGGCCTGAGGGGCCGCCAAGCTTGTGGCAGTGCTTTCGTTCATTACCTCAAATCCCAAACATATAAAAGGTGTACCTTGTTATCGAGAAACCGAAACCACACTTTCACGACTATAGAGGATAGAAGACTACTGTTGGTGGTGTCGCGCCTTGTCCAGACGACCTTGTAATATTTGTGAAAAAAATGGACGCCAAGAAGCTATGTTCCTGATGTGTGGGAAATGGCCCGAACATGATGATTATGTAACTTCACCTGCTTGGCATCTCAAAAACCAAGCGGTTGCAGGAGCTACACGTTTACAAGTAGTAAGATGTCACCATAAATGAACAAAATTCGTTAGTATTCCTGGAAACTCCTCTCAGTACGGAACAATGGCAATTGCTGCCTTAACCGAGGACTTTCCACAGAAAGGTGGGACATTGGAATCTTCGAGACATGTTAGAGGGTGCGGAAGATTCCTCTTCCTGATGTGCGAGAGAAACGGATCGTAAAGGCGGCGCAAGACTGAATGCCAGGAGTCTTTCGGCGACTGGATCTAGACCGATAGAGGGGTGAGAGGGGTGATAAGATCCAATGAATCCGGCAAAGTTGGGACGGAGCCATGTATGGAGTCTGGCGACCTTCAAGACAATACCACCCCCAACGGACTATGCCACCACTGATGAATGGGAAGTGTGTTGGAAATGCCATCCTATCTGTAGTGGTATGTTGCTTCGTTGATGGGTGAAGAAAGCCATTAGATCGACCTATAAGAGTTAATGAGGCTCCGATTGCAACGAATAATGTGACGACGCGATAGTATCCTCAGACTCGAGCTCGGGGTGATGGGAGGGAGCGATCACAGAACTGCACGCCACATTGTGGGCCTTGGCCAAGGATGCACACGGAAAATAAACCAAAACAGGGCGCGGACTCCGTTACCAAAAACAACACACCGTACATAGCCCAAGGCGCATCCACCATGCGATACTGCGTCCTTTGTCTGATATAAAGATTCTGGTCGCCACACAATCTAGCCAAGCAGACAGAACATAGCTATGCCGAAAGGAACGACTTAAATTCCCCGAGTTTGATGGCGGATCATTGAGACGGTGCCCACCGACTCCTATCACACCGGAGGCCAACCAATAGTTAACGCGCAGTCAAACATGGGGAGAGCCTAGAAACGCATAGTTGGTCTGATGCGAGCAATGGAAACGAACCGCGCACTCCATATGCGAGGTGGAAATTTCGATAATTCTGCGGGACAACGATCCATGACCTCCAGTAGGGAAAAACATGTGAGAAGCGACTGGCCCTAAAGAGGGGCACACATGAACAGTGTTTGTAGCCCATAATATAGAGACCGGTTGCGCGACAGCGGAACCCAATACATGGAGGTGGGCCGTCCGTGGGTGCAACAAAAACCCATGCCTCCTAGGGACGTGAACTGACACGCTTCACCCTGGCCACCCTTGCTGAATTCGTCCAGGGGAAAAGTCGCCGGGCTTAACGGTTCTACCATGCTCCAAGTTCTTGAATGAATTTTCACGGAAACAGATACGAGTTCGGTTTCGGATAAAACACGATACAGGCATTTTTCCTTGATCGGCATGCATATACAACTGGCCGATTCCCCACAAGCAACGCATGTCGTACCCTAAAACTTAGTTCCCCACTTTTCTCAGCGATATATATATAGATGATGGAACTGTCCCCTGGTCGCGTCATAAGATGGTGATCCCAGCAATAGTTCAGTGGTGAGGACTGGTGTTTCCCGGAGTTCCAGTCGCCAAAAAGGAACCGTGCAACAGAGGCATTTATTTTTTGATGTCTCAAAGAGCAAATCTTACTAAAATCGCGCCAGAAATAGATCGCGTCATGAGCTCAAATCTTCCGACTCTCAATACTCCGAGCCTTACAACTTTGGAACGCATGCTCAAAACCGCGAGTTACTGATAGCGGATATCGCGCTCATGCACAGAGGATGAAGGTATTTTCCGGGACATCCGATGTTGACCGGGACGCATCACAAAGGAAAGGTGGTACCGTGGTGGAAAATCGAAGTGGTTAGATGAACAGGGTCACACCAGGTATGGGAGAGGCAGTCTAAGCTCAGCGTTGTGGCACTTTGGGTGAAACGGGGGTTTAGTCACAGCGACGCTGACGCCGCGTTTCTGTGACGGCCGCCAAGCGCTTATTGCTTACTCAAGAAAGTCGAAATATTGCGCAATCGCGGCAAACTGCGGCCTAAATAGTACGATCTTGATTTTTCTCCCCTCTTTTTCTCTCCTCCCCTATCACCCTTTTAGACTCCTTTTATATCCTTAAAAAATGCCGGCTAACGGTGCTGTTCAGGCCGTTCTTCCCCACGGACACTTCCTCTTCACAAGCGAGAGTGTTGGTGAAGGACATCCAGGTAAGCCTTTTTGTCCGCTTTCCTCGCAGGTTTCCACTGACCCTTCATTTCTCCACCAGACAAGATTTGTGATCAGGTCTCAGATGCCATAGTTCGTACATCGTGATTCTTCTTGGATTCCGCCAGGCAGTAATTCTCTATTTCATTGCTCAGCTTGATGCCTGCCTGGAGCAGGATCCTTTCTCTAAGGTTGCTTGTGAAACGGCCTCGAAGACGGGCATGATCATGGTGTTTGGCGAGATCTCCACCAAGGCACATCTCGATTATCAGAAAATCATCCGGGAGACCATTCGCCAGATCGGATATGATGACTCGTCCAAGGGCTTCGATTATAAGACTTGCAACATCCTTGTTGCCATTGAGCAACAATCCCCAGATATCGCCCAGGGTTTGGATCATGGTAACCTTGAGAACCATGGGGCTGGAGATCAAGGCATTATGTTTGGTTATGCGACGGATGAGACGGAAGAATGCATGCCCCTCACCGTTGCTCTCGCACATGAGCTCAACTTTGCCATGGCAGTTGCGCGTCGTTCCGGCGCCCTTCCATGGCTCCGTCCCGATTCCAAGACACAAGTTACCATTGAATACAAGAAGGATGGTGGTGCGGTGATTCCTCTGAGAGTTGACACTGTCGTCATTTCTACTCAGCACGCTGATACCATCACCACTGAGGAGCTCAGACGTGAGGTGATCGAGAAGATTGTAAAGCAGGTCATTCCTGCCAAACTCTTGGATGAGCGTACCATTTATCATGTAGAGCTCTTTCGGCGTCATTTCGGCCCAAATTTACAAGATTATTTAGATACAACCCTCTGGACGTTTTGTGATCGGTGGACCTCAAGGCGATGCGGGCCTGACAGGCCGCAAGATCATTGTTGACACGTACGGTGGCTGGGGTGCCCATGGTGGAGGTGCTTTCAGCGGGAAGGACTTCTCCAAAGTTGATCGCTCCGCCGCTTACACTGCTCGTTGGATTGGTCAGCAGGTCATTCTCTTGGATACTTATACGACATTCTCATCTTGATTATAGCGAAGTCCTTGGTGAAGGCTGGCCTGGCTCGTCGTGTCCTTGTTCAGCTTTCGTACGCAATCGGCGGTAAGGGGATGTCTTGGATAATGCAACCTACTTATTTACGTCTTCAGTGGCCGAGCCTTTGTCTATATACGTGGACACCTATGGGACCGGCAAAAAGTCGGACGATGAGTTGGTCACTATCATTAGAAAGAATTGGGATCTACGTCCTGGCGTTATTGGTCTGTCATCTTCTCATTAGCTTCAATCACCCATTAATTGATGAGCTGCTGTGCAGTGCGCGAACTTGACCTGCAGAAACCGCAATATCTCAAGACCGCTTCCTATGGTCACTTTGGTAAGCCGGCTGCTGTCAAGCTGGAATCGTATTAATCTTGGCTGTTCCAGGTAACCCAAGCTATGCGTGGGAAAAGCCTAAGCAGCTCAAATTATAAGCGAGCCGCATCATTCCTTATAAAGTATCCTGTTGCATTCTAGGAAGTTCATCCTTCCAATTTCTCCATGATGGGCTAGCCCGTCATTATCTTAATGTTTATTACCGCTAAGAGAAGAGAGGTATATCGTTGCACACGCCCACTCTTTCGTTCAACTGATATCCGGATCCCACATCACTTGCATATTATATCGCGGACTCCGACCACACTTCCCATTTTCCAAGCTGCATATAACTCATCTTGACCCTTGTAACGTAGTTTTCCATCATGTTCCGCCTGTATCTCGTTGTAAGGAGATAGCAATTGTCATTCGCGCTCAACCGCGACTTAATCATCATCACAGTTTGTCACCCTCGGAGTATGATTTTCCGGTTGTGCCTGTATGCACGGGTTTGATGAGAAAACTGAAACCATTTCGTATGTATATTCCTGCGCTTGAGGACAAGGCGTTACCATTGGATCGCTTTGTTACAAGCTTAAGTAAGGGCTGCGCATAGAAGGATACCCAAATACCGCAATCCATCGACACTCCAACTAGTGCAGTCTCCCCACAGGAAGCAGTTTTCGTACGCGTGGAACGTTGCTTATATATGCACATACCTGATAGGGGTTGAATGAGGATGGCTAGTCTGTGATGCTTACCCGCAAATAACTAGGGCTTCCTTCCTTGTTGCAGCTAATCATTATCAATTAGACATGCATGATATATATCAATACGGACGAGTGAGTAATCTCCATGGAGTGTCTGCATTGATCCAACTGATCCAACTGACCCAGCTGATCCAACCAACTCCTTTAACCCGGCCCAATACTGCAGAGCAGCTGCCCACGCATCGCATAATTCGGTGGCCGGGAAAGACCTCCATGCATGGGTCACTCAATGCCAATGCGGGATGATGGAACTCATGGATTGAAATACCCTTAGTGTATGAAACTCCGTTTTAGGAGAGATCGGCGTCACTAACTACCTTGGATCAGTTCGGAAGTCAACTTCTTATGGTTGTTCCGAGTATTGGCGCTGGGTGTTTGAATTTTGGGGTAAGTTTTTAAGTCTACTTCACTCGGAATATCTAATTACTATCCAAAGCGCGTGAATTGATCCCACTCTGCGTTGGGGATGCGTTGATTCTGGTGGGAAGGGATAAACGAATGCGTCCGTTAGGGCGGCACTTGAACATCAAAGCGGAAGGATTCATAGATCAATCAAACTCGATCGTCCTGGAATGAGTGGAAATCGATCAATTACACGATCAGTCACGGTAGCTCTGCAGCCCTATCCTCAACACAGGAAACGTTGTCATGCAAATCTGTCCGCCCTAGATACATTCAAACCATCACGTTCGTGAGGGAGGCCGGAACAAATGACCACCCGACTTAGCGACCAGCTGAGAGGTTGAGGCTGCATGAATCAGTGGCGCCAGTTCCAATACCAAGGAGTAGTAATTAAAAATACACAACACAAGAACGGCTCAGCTTCCAACGATTACAAAGGACGCTAGTGCAGAAATGGCAAGGATTCCAGCTCTGAAATAAGATGATTAATTAACAGCCGCTTTGGAAACATTTTGACAAGTGATATCTACACTGTATAGATGAAGACATCGCAGGACCAAATCGAAGAAAGGAGTCCGCTTATTTATGAAGCACAAATCCGGCAAGTCTGCGTGAATGGGGACAATGGAAATGAAATTACACTGAAGGCGATAAATTGCTGATGGGGCACGCGTATGACACGGAGTGGTGAGAAACGAGAGAGGTGGACTGTGAGTTGCAAGAGACGAGTCACCATGCCAGGCCATGATATGCAGCGTGTTCCGCGTAGGCACCTTGCATGGGGCCCTTTTGGTTTTTGTTCGATCGAGAGAAGAAGCAAAAATGCCAAAATGATTGCGAATATTGCGTGCAAATTATACGGTAATGGTTATTAGGGGTGGGAAGGCACATCGGAGTTCCCGCCGCGTCCAAGATATGCCCTAGACTGGTCAACCATGCGGTTTCCCGTGGTTGCAGAAGAAAACGCTCTGGGATGAATACAGTATCTATATGTGGGAGGAAGTGCAGTCATGTGCAGCCCAATTGCAGCAAGAAGGCGTGGTTGATCAGGAAAGCGAGGTACGCGCATTGAGCAAGTCGATAACACGCATATCCTCAGTGGTTCGAACACCATCGATCCTGCCCGAGGTGCGCCTCGCATGTGGAGGCCTCTCCGAGAGGACTGTCGAAGCAAAGCCAACAGTTAATGGTGGCAACGAGGCGGAGGGCAGTGGTTGAGGCGTCGTGGAGTTCGAGTGGTGATGTTGGAGGGTGTGGTATTGGTATGCCGCGTGCGCATTACGAGGATCAGTGATTGGGTGTTCTCGCGACGACTCGGGAAGTTTTTGGGACGCTGATGAGTTCCAGGAACCCGAGGAGGAAGACCGGGATGACGAGTGCTGGGTGAAGGGTGTAGACCCCCGCGGCGAGGTATGAGAAGAACTGTGGAAAATTGGGGAATGTGATGGTGAAGGTGCTTTTGACATGTCAGGGCTGATGTCCAGGGATTGCCGCCCAGTGCCACTCGTGGTACTGCTGGTAACTAACCCGGTGCTTCCATCAACGTTTATCCATCGCAAGCCGCCGTTGCTCTCCTGGCTGCTCGGCTGCTGACGGGTCCGACTCTTGCCACTGCGAAAGATGCCAGGGGGAACGGTGATGTTGCAGAGTTCTTGATCGGTGTCTACCGTAAGCAACGAAGGAAGATCGTCGTGTTCGAAATACGCAGTCAGATGCCATTTTCGGATAGGTGCCATTCCGGGAGGCACATCAGAGGGCGGGAGGGAGACTATCGCAGAATACGTTTGCTTCACGAGCCCTGGGAGGTTTGATGAAGGATAACTGGATAAACGATTGGCAGTGTGAGATCGACCCGAAGAATGAAGCGCATAAGGTGTCTTGGACTCCTACTCACCGAGGGTTGACGGTTCTTGTTTCATAAAACAGGAAAGGCTATGGAAGGAACAAATGAAGATGCTATTGTGCTGATCAATTGACATGGATGAAGGTGAAGAACATACCTCACGCATGCGAGAGGCGGACCAAAGTAGTCCATCCGTCCACCGACGTAGACCAGTATCATCATCGCTCTCCTCCCAGACGAAAACCGAGCCTGATCGTATGTAGGACATTCTCTAGGTAGAAGCAATGTTGAGTAAAGATAGGCCACTCATCGCACGACCAGATGGGGAGAATAAAGGTGTGGTGCTTGGACCCACCTCAACTTCGTTTAGGCGGCGTGTAACTGGCTGAAGCTTGTGCATGCGCACTGCTTCTAGAACGACATGGGCGTCGTTCATGTCCCTATGGAAAGCGTCTTAGCGGACATCATGATAATAGTGTTGGTAGTGGGAGCTGTTTTACCTGACGTGGAGACGAGAATGAGTCGGACGCTGCACAGCATGTGGGTGGATATGGAGCATGGCGAGGGGGGAGGGAGAGGGAAGGCTAGGTAACGGATGAGGGGAAGGCTGGGGCTCTTATGAGGCGTTGAGACAAGAAGAAAAATAACGGTTGCATGTATTGGGCAAGCGAAAGGGTAGATTATCGACTAAGTCATCCTGATGCGCCCACACAGTACTCCGACGTGCGATGATTTCGAGTTGAGCATTCAATTCTGCCATTTGCAGGGAAGCGCTTTGCCACGAGTACGTAACTCGGGGAACCCTTGGAAACCGTTCTCTCTGGGCAGCAGGAGGAAGAAAAATGGCGAGAAAAATTAGAAAGGCAGAAATGAATAAATGAATATGCAGTTGTATCAACATCAAGGAAAGGGAAAAACGCACACACGCACCCACGCACTTCCAGACTATACAAAAAGATCAATCCTTGGTTGTCCATAGCGTGGCGGTCAAAGATAGAAATTGACTCTCATTGAATCTAGTCGTAATTGGTTTTCTCAAATATGGGTCGGCAGTTCATGTACCAAAATGGGATTGGACATTTCGACACATCACCATTCAACTATTTCCATATAAGATGGTTTCTTGCCGTGTCTCTAGTTTGGCAGCCAGTCGAGCAACGTTGGTGACTCAACCCTGAGGGCAACACAGCTTGTTCGCTACCTCAAGCGGCCGTCGCCCGAGGCGAAGAGGTGCAACTTTACTCTCTATGGGAACGGTGCAACCGCAAGGCAGTTGCAACACACAAAATCCCCTGCGCGAACACACAAAGCTGGGCCCATCGTACACACAGCGCAACAATATCGGCATATCTATTCGTGACTATCTCTGATTCCGAATTCAGCCGTTAGGCTATGGACTTTGCGAGCACCAAACGTTTTTCAGCTTTCATTTGTCTCTATCGCTTGAATACATATTTAGGTTGAGTCAGAATTGAACCCTTTTGGTCGTTGCTGTGTCTCAAAGGATGGTAGTTTTGCGCCGAGATCACTCCGGCCACATGGCTTGGTCGCGGAAAAGGGAATTTCAAACCAACTTTGATCGTTGTCGATCATGCGTCAATAAGCGCCGTTGACAAGAACGAATCAGGCTTACGGCTTGAATTATTTTCGTATCAAATTCTCAAGGGCTTTACAAGAATTGTACCGTAACCGCCAACCAATAATGGGCTCAATACCTTCGGAACTTGATGTGCAATGGTTATTCCATATTCCATCTGCGTTCCCAGGGTTTGATGGATCCAAACCTTAACAATGTTCGGGAGAAGTTAGAGCATATTTTGCGGCTGGGGTCGGTACGAAAATGTGAAGTCAGTGCAAGATTCCCTCCTGAGTTTGATATCGGCAATCGCTGATGGACGAGTGAAACAATAGCCCCGATCGAATTCTCCCAGGAGAAGTTGAGAACGCGATCAAATGTGCGCAAGGATGCGCGCAGAAGTCAACCCTGAAGTCCGAGGCTCTATAGCTTTGCTTCATCTGTGCTAAGGACTTTGTAGTATCCCAAGCTAGTCTCTGGCTCCTCTTGCATGACCATCGCAGTGATCTCTAGGAATGATGTGAACCGGTCAACCTAGTCTAGAGGTGGAAGTGGCCGATAGAAGGCCGCTTATCGCATGAATCGGTCCCTTGGCAATACACAGTACTCTACCGTGGAATTCTAGCGGAAGATGGTGGCGTGGTTGGATCAGAGATTCAATCGAGGTTGTTAGTGCCAGCTGAGCAGAGGACACCAGCATGACTGGCGAGAAAAATTGATAGCCTCACTACTGAATAGCCAACTTGCGGGGCCCTACTGAACAGTGTGAGAAAGTTGTTGACATGATGAATCTTACGGGTTTTGTTTGTCCGCAGCTTGCGTTGCTTCCGGACAATCTAGTGTAATGCATTTTTGTCTTGACCCAATGCGGTCATTATTCTACCAACTCGCCCCATAGGAACTTGGGGAAGCACAGTCAAAACTGTGTAGTCAATACCCGCGGAGATCAGCCCTTTATGTGTAGCAAGATAGAGTTGATGTACAGCTATAAGCGGTGTAGCGCTTAGACGAGGCTATTTCGGTTGCACATGTTCGACTCTTGCTCAGTAAGCTTTTTGTTTGCATTCTCTCATGCAATATTTCTATTTGTTATACACACCAAGGAGTGATGAATGAAAAAAAAAAAACAGTTTACTGAGCAAGAATCGAATAAAAGAACCAAGTACACAGGGGTGTTGACTACAAAGCTTTGACTGGTTCAGTTGGGTATAACGACCTGATCTTCGGATTCAATGGACAGGGACACCAGCAAGCTGCGGACAAACACAGCCCGCAACCAAAACTCGTAAGATTCATCATGTCATCAATTTTTGCACATTATTCAGTAGCCACACCATAACGATGAGGCATGCACCCGTGACGAGTACATTTGTTTTCGGTGGCTCATTCCATATGTAGGGCATTCTCACTCCATTCCACCCAAAGCCTCCAATGGTGTCACTGTCCAGATAAGCTCGTTCATCTACTGAATTGTGCCAAAACGGCTTTCTGGCTTTCTGAGTCATGCATATGACAATATGACAATAAATTCGGACAACTCCATTTATATTTAGGCACGTGAGTGTAACGGAATCCCCCGAGTCAACCCCCGCACGTGGATCGAAGGAACGGCGATGCAGGCTAGTCCGTCATCAACCCGTCCGAGCAGTCCTGCACCGTCAGAGCATCCATCGTATCGGGCCGTTCGCCCAAATCAACCTTCTTCGTTTCGCTTCAACTGGGATGCATCTAAACCACGCGGCCCAGGAAGCGTGACGTCTGACGCGAACGAGAGCCGCTTCGACCTTTCAACCAGTGAGTTCCACCCAACCCTTGGGATCACGCAATATGCGTCTTCGGAGGTATATGGTCTAAACGGTCACGCGTTTGCACCATTTTGGAGCTCAAGTACTCAAGGATTCAATGGTGTGTTATCATAGCTTCCATTTCCCTAATCGGTTCTGAGTGCGATTTTTAGCCATATCGACCGTACTTAACAATCCGAAGAAGGATTCCGTTGCGCTTAAGCACTCGCGGGCTCCTTTTCCATCCACAGTATCCCCAGACCTGCCGCGGGTCCGCCGAAAGGACTTCGATTCATACCTCACGTCCATTAGTTCGGAATGGGAGAGGTTTAGACGTAGGGTCAGTGGTATTACCATAATTAGGCGTGCTACTTATATGCTACTGTGTGGCAGGATGCGAGGACTGAGAATTCTTATGCGCCTGCGCTGACCAAAGGAAAAACCAGAGAGGTTCCTTTTCTGACGACTGTGCCAGCCGTATTTTTTGACCCAGAATTTGATTTGGGGAACCCGCGGACATTCTATGCGGTCACTGAGCAAGACTCTGCTTCAGGCTCAACAGTCAACCCCGAAGATATTTCAGTTAACCAAATTCTTCAGGAAAAGCTTTCACGTTATCTGGACATTGTTGAGCAGCATCTCACTAATGAGATACAATCAAGATCTACGTCTTTCTTCGCGGCCCTCTCAAATCTCCAGGATTTACAAACTGAAGGTGCCGACTGTCTCGAAAGAATCGAGAACCTTCGGAATCAACTGCGGGAAATCGACGATCGGATCGCTCGAAAGGGCCTTAGTCTCACTGGAATTCAGAAACAGGAATCTAATATGAAGGTCATTGAAATGGCGGTGGATAGTATGAAGGAAGTTCGTGAGATGATCCTCATGTGTGACAAGTTGGTCGACGAGGGGAATTGGGATGAAGCTATAGGATTGATCTCTGTTCTTGAGGATTTCCGCGCTCAGGCCGTAGTCGGTTACATTCCTTCTCCAAATTTGAACGGTGTCTCTTTGACAGGCGGCCCATCAAGCCCTATCCACAAAGGCCATCATTTCTCACTCGGTCAAGCCTCAATTGATGGATTCCCCTCCTCTTCATCACATCAGCTCACACCCACATCAGAACCTTTCTTTGGTCGATTAACTGCAGAGTCTCAGGCGCCAGAAGTATCTCACCAAAACCGCTCACAGGAAGAAAGTACGTGTAATTCGGCATCTAATTCTTATGCCCCATTTGGCCCCTCTTTTGTCTTGAGTTTGGCGTCGTTTTCCACCCTGCCGTCTCGCTTGGGCGACTTTAATGCACGGATAACGGAATCATTGCTAAGGTCTTTGCTCGACTTGCTGCGAGATGATATTTCTTCGCGTTTCGCGTTACCCTCGCATGGCACAGACGCCTCATCACGATATTTCAGTCTTACCCAACGTTTCATCCCCCTGTGGCAGGGGCTACTTCGTACCGGTGGTGTTAGCCAGGCCCTGACCCAGTATCGAGAAATGACACTCTCAGAAATTCGCGTATGCGTTCGTAAGGTAAGCCCGGTTTCGAGTTCCGAGCTGTAATCGCCGAAGCTCTGAGCGTTTGAAATGCTTTCATCATATGCAGGGGTTGCCCCAGAAAGCTGATGTAGAAGACGATGATGACTTAGTAGACAGGTCTCCAGGGAGGAGCATGGGTGAAAGAAGGTTTGTCGTTCGGTTCAATCAAGTCAAATCACTGACAATTTTGATAGTGCAGCTCTGTCGAGGGATCTGAAATCATTGTCCCACAATGATTTCATGTCATTGTCTCGGAATCTGTATTCCGGTCTTTTGCGATGTTTCGATGGCATAGCTGAACATGTCAAGTTGTTCGGTGCAGAATACAAGCATGAGACAAGGTCAGGAGCCGTTCATCACCGAGCAATGACCGCTGACATTCGGTACCATGTAGGATACCGGACAAGTACATCACGACCAATAAAGAAGCTTTGAGCTCGGGATTAATCGATGCTGTGATGCCAGCAGCAACCGAACTTGCTAACATCCGGGTGTCCAAGGTGATTCTTGTTCGTTCTGAACAACATGGTGTACTTTCGATGCCCGAGTTTCTCGAGCTATTCAACGAGAGTTGGCGATTTGTGGTTAAATGTGAAGTCCTTGCCCGAAAAATGATTGTCGGTCTCCGCGGAGTCATGGTTTCCCAGGTACGCCACTTGATTCGCCACGATAGAAGAGACGATCATAGACTTACCGCACTAACTTAGGCAAAAGCATTTTTGATCAATCTCCATGCAGCTCGAATATCGTCCTCTGCTTCTCTGGTCGAGAACGAGGTATGGGCCCAAGCCGAAGTCTCTGAAGTCTCCCAACATCACGCGAATCTACTCGTTGACGCTGCCGTGACGAATCCTGCCGAACTCGTCCTATCACATGAACCATTGCCACGAGCCACGCCAGCGTCCGACCATGCCCGAGGACCTTTGAAACAGCTCATGATCGAGGGGCGAACGTACTATGTGGTCTCAGCGACTCTCAAAGTCATTGAAATGCTTTTGGACTACGTCAGGGTCGTAATCAACTTGACTCTTCTCACAACAGACACGATGTCGCGCACGATTGAATATCTTAAAGCATTCAATTCACGTACGTGTCAGGTTGTACTTGGAGCCGGAGCTATGCGGTCTGCTGGGCTGAGGAATATTACAGCGAAGCATCTTGGTACGTGGCTCCATTATTTACCCCGATAATCACTAATTATTGTCATTCTAACTAGCCCTTGCCTCCCAGTCCCTATCGATCATGACTGCGCTGATCCCATATGTCCGTGAGGCCTTTCGGCGGCATCTCAACTCTCAGCAAGCGGTGATGCTAATTGAATTTGACAAGCTAAAGCGGGTGAGTGCCCCATCCACTTCGATGCTTGCTGTTTTCGTCGCTCACGCGAAATCTTTTTAACAATGGTGTCTACTCAGGATTACTATGATCACCAAAACGAGATACATTCGAAGCTGATTGCCATCATGGGTGATCGCTTGAATGCACATTGCAAATCACTGCAGGTGATTCTCCCATGAACCATTCCTTTTTGCTGATCTAACTACTTATGGGTTTCATTACAGGTGATTGACTGGGGCTCAACGGAACCGTGGCCGAATCCCAATCCTTACATGGAAATGCTGATGAGGGAAACCCTCACCCTTCATAAGGTTTTAAGCAAGTATCTTGTTGAGCAGACCGTGGAAGTGCGTTGACTTCACCTGAACATGGAGGCAAGACACAGCGTTGTTGAATCGTCCGTATCTTTCATTCCCCGCTTAGATGATTATGGGCCAGGTCTTTGCGGCCATTAACCATCGGCTCAGTGAGGAGTATAGCAACATTGAACTACCCAGTCAGGATGCAAAGGAACGGTGAGAAACACATCCTGTTGATCACTGCCAGGTTTAATTTACAGAGTCCCTGCTGATCTCATCTTAGAATGTTGCAGGATGCACGATATCTCCACGAAAAACTTTCTGCTTTAAAAGATATTGGGGTCCCGAGTGGTATGTTGGAAACTGTCGTGAAGGAGAAGATAGTTGCCCGCCGGTCCCCATTTGCTCGCAAATTTGCCAATAGGGTTTCGTTGGCCATGAACAACTCTGCGGTTGCCACGGACTCACCCAAGCCGCAAAATGAACTTCCGCTACCCACTGATGCCTCGGCAGAGAGCGTAGCTAGCGGTTTCCAGGAATTTAAAGATACGATGGACGGCGACTCAGAACACACATTAGCGCCCGCTCCCGATGGATTGAATGCTGATGGAACCCCAGAAAATAATGGTGCTAGTGTGGGAGGATCCGAGGAGCAAAACCAGGCAGACAGGAAAGCTTCAAACAGCACCATCTGATTGCCGCCACGATTGCGCATGCACAATGCCCATCTTCTCGATTGTATTTTATTTTATTTTCATTGTTACGGTACCTTTGGCTACGCGCGGATTCATTTATATGGGGAGTCCTGCTGTTTCGCACCATCACCCTGTTAATCATGGCAATTCCCTGTCTTTCCCAGCTTGTCCGCAGATCCGCGTCGGAAAGTTTGGCCGGGAGGAGGGCACACCTGAGAAGCCCTAAACAGGTATCGATCATGATTGTACTGCGTGCATGTTTCATTCTCAGAAAGGGCATTTGATATATCGCAGGGGAATCAGAGACTCCGATTGGATTTCCCTGGAAACGTTCCTTTGCCTTTTTGGCATTTGACTCAGCTTCTGGTCAATCACCCTACCTCGTGACTTCCTCTGCGGTGTGTTGAACGAACTGCGAACGTGCTTCAGCGGCTGAAGGTAGATACACGCAAAGCAAGTGTGTCGCACCGGATATCTAATATATATGGAGTCGCATGTGTGAACTTGGTTGACGCGTGTGCAACACGGAGCTTCGGGCTGAAGAGTTTGATATTTGGTGCTGGTGCTACAATACACACGAAGCAGGGCCCACACAGCAGCTCCGCTTGATTTGGTGACTGGCGTTTCCCGGAAGACCGATTGGAAGTAGAGATTTGGGGATTTCGAACAGAGAGGAGGCGTGTCACGTGTGAGATATCACGAGATCAGACATTCACCATAGTTCCTTTGAATCTCGCCATTGTCGCCATCTGTTTGCAGGTCGGTACCACATCAGTCACCATCGACAGTCAAATAGCGCACAATTCGCTTGCGCGCAATTCCAACACTCGCTGGTTCACCGCCATCGGGCTATGCCTTCCGACGAAGCAGCATTCAAAGTGCAACACGATGCCAGCCACCACAAGGAGCTCGACAGTGTGTTTGGAGATTCGCTTTGTTTCATTTGTGGGAATCCAACTGATGGAGGGTGAGTTCTTTGAACACCCGGGCGTATTCGATTTGCGTGCTCAACCTTCCTTTTGCACAGTCTCTACTGTAGTGAGGACTGTCGAGATGTCGACCGTTCTGCACCCCCTGCTGCGTTTCTGAAGCATGGCTATGGTCCGCATCATTGCAGCACCTGTTCATCAACTGGTCACAGCACTCCATTCTGCCCATCTCGCCCAGACGCCTATGGAGACATCATCAAGGGTGTCCTCGACAATCCCACATTGCTTCTACCAAAAAGGCAACGACCGAGCGCAGGTACAACAAGGAGCTTTTCGACCAGGGCCACGTCCTCCTCATCTTCATCCCCACTGTTTTCTCCAGTTGATGCAAGTCCCGAAGTTCCGCCCATCCCTGACGTTACTCGTCCCAAATCACCATTCGGGATCAAGCCGACTTCTCAAACGAGGTCCGCGGGGAATGGCATCCGCACCCCACCTCTTTTAGCGCTTGATTCCCCTTCACCACAGCTTCGTCCCGTTCTCCGATACAATCGAAGGATCTACACAGGAGGAACACGCTCTGGTATAGCTGCATTGAGGAGGCATGCACGCACTCCGTCCGGTAACCAGTGTCTGTTTCCTCTGCGCCCCCCACCTGAAAGTGCCCCGACTTCGGCCGTGACATCACCGGTGCTCCTGGCGCAGGAGGGTAATAACCGTGCTTGTGATGACTCTCGAAGAAAGAAAAAGAGGAACCGCCGAAGCCTTCCACTTGGCTTGGCTGGGCTTAGTACTTCGCTTTTCCCCGCCTCTTCCATGACACCGGCAGCCGAGCCCTCCCTCTCCGTGCAGCATGCACATGGTCTCCAGAGCATTCATGGCGTGAACATAGCCACTGTATCTCAAATCCGTGAAACTGCGACTTCATACAAGCATCTGAAAAATCATGAAGATAATTCATTGAGAGACGCGACTCCCACAAACTTGGCAATACGGCTGGAAGCTTTAGTTTTACAACGCGCACAAAACCTTGAGTGTAAACATCACAGAGCACACTCCAAAACTGGACTTTCGGCTGCGGAATCATCTTCCATCGATGCTTCTTCATCACTTGTCAGCGACCTCGATCTCAACCCTGTTGAAGTCAATGGCCGTGGCAGGTCGCCCAGAGATGTTCGTGTGGATGCGGGCGAAAGTGCGCATTGGCATCCGCCCACATTCTCTTCGTCACGATCCCGTACTCGTTCCAAATCGATACGTCGTCAGAGTAGAAGCCGCCGTCGTCCACGCATTGCTAACCCAGTTACTCCTCTTGAACTGGTTCAGCCACCTATACGTGGAAGGCAGACACTTCGGGGTCTCCTATCAAGCTCTCCCAATCATCGAAGTCAAACAACGCGCCCATCTTCAGCTGTAGAGGGGACTTACGTGCTTGGTCGCCGTAGCTTGCTTTCTCCGGAAGAGCGAGATGCGGCTGGCAGCGGCTCGAGGATGAGGCGAAGAACTGAAGGACGACCCCAAGAGTACAGAGATCGCGGCGTCGACCGAGAACGAACGTTGTCCGCTTGGCTCACCCAGCGCAAGGTAGAATTTCTAGGCTCCAGTGATGACGAACACTCTCGTGGCAGGTCAAGGTCCAAACTTCATTAGCATTCCCACCCTATCACTATTCTCAAAAGTTGACTATTGCCTGTTCACACGAGCCATGCATGACTTTACGATTCCATGAACCCCATTGCATCTCATATCGTTCGCAAAGTCACATTGTCACCCTCATCTCTAGCATCCCTTCTCCATGCATTCATTGCTTGTCGCCCAGTTGCACTTCTGGGTAGTGTTTTCCCGTTCGTTCTGTCATCCATTCAGCATCCGATCCGTCCATTTGCATTCGCATCCCCACAAATACCCTCATCATTGCATTCGAACAATATTGAAAAGTGCCGTCAGTACAATGTTTGTTGGAAATATGCGGACATCCTCTCGTTTCAGAGCTTTGTTTTTACTACCATTAGCACAGTCATACTTCCTTCCCTCTTTCCGGCCGTTTCATCGCTGATCGTTAGCAGGATGGTCGCTATTCCCTATCTCTGTGGGGGTCAAGCCCTTCGATGCTGCATGCCATCGATATTGTATTTTTCCTCGTTTTTCCTCGTTTTTCAATGTATTTTCAAAAAAAATGTGTTCATCAAATCCTTACATTTGTCTATTTGTAGCAAACGTTGCTGAAGGGTGGAAAGAGTGTGCTTGAGTGCACGGTTTGGGTGTAACTTGTTGAGTGACCAGGATTGTGCCGTTACGGGACCATCTAAGACAGAGAAGAGCTACCATATTATCAAGCAAGCCTGAAGCTTTATCCTATCAGGGCATTCTCCTGCCCTTCACCCCTTGTTTTGAAGCCCACCATTGAGCCATTGGCAGACAACCGTCTCAACGGTACTGAGGCCAGACTGGCCAGCAGTCACATCGAACCCTCTTCGAACCCACCCACGAGCTCTTCTCAGTCTTCTCCCTTTGTCCAAAGTGCACGGACTTCAACGGGACTCATAGCACCTGCATCCGTCGTTCCGGCTACTCGGACGAGGGAGGAAGTGGAGTTGGAGGACGCCCTCGTTGACGCTGGTACCTTATCACATCCTACATTTGAGCATCGGCCACCACTGTCTCCTAATACAGGAACCGCACAAACTACGACTCCATCACAGCAGGGTGATTCACGGTCTGGGACTCGGCAGAGGTTTGAAAGAAGCCCGTCCGGAACGTCTTCCGTGCCTCCACTTAGGGGTTCTCCTGAGACCGTCATTGAACGTGCCCATAAACGACAGCGCGTAACAAATCCAACGTCTTTAAGGTTCGTATTCCAGAAGACACTTCGTATTCTACGATGATACTTAGCTATCATCATATCCCAACGCGTACCTGGTGACCCATCTTGCTCTGCCCGCTCTCATTTCACAATCTGTCGTCGTCGGCGCTGGGATTTATATTGCCCTTCCGCTCCAGCCCACGACTGCTTCACCTTTCCTCTTCTCAGCAAACCCGTATGCAGCCCCCTTTAGAAACCGATTCTACATGCTCAACGGATGACCATGACGCGCTCATGGATAACGAAGACCCGTCAAGTTTCGCAGGCCCTTCCAACTCAAGCTCAACCTCACTCATCCCCCCTCCGCTGAATGGAAGTAGCAACGGAATAAGTAAAGAGAATAGATATACGTCCAGGCCTCCCTATATCACATCCTCATCTTCATCTGGTCAGTCTCCTCGTTGCCAATAACATGTGGGTTCCAGCCACCATTCACGTGTTGTCAATTTGCAGAAGTGTCGCCCTCAGCATTCGCATCTTCGTCAATCATTAGGGAGAATGGTAACGTATCGCGCAGTGCGAATGGCTACACAGTAAAGAAGGGTATCTGGGATGGCGCTGACACAGTACCTCGGGTATATCTTCCCGGCACGACTATGTATGAAGATTCCAGCATACAACGGGAAGAGTTTGTGCGGCTGGTTCTGCAAAGCTTACGGGATATTGGTTATATGTGAGTTCTTCGCCCTCTTCGCTTCTTTGAACGTTGATGACTCCAGACGGGGAGTTTCATCAACCCAAGAGAACTAAGCTTTTTCCTGTTTCTCTGTTTTTACAGGCATGCTGCGGATACTCTGGAGGCTGAGTCAGGCTACCAGCTAGAATCAAGCCTCGTGAGCGGTTTTCGGTATTCAATACTTGGGGGAAGATGGGATGAAGCAGAGGAGGCGCTGGAGGACTTGGGAGTGCAAGACGAGGACGAAGTGAAGGTGTGTTTGTCGAACAGCGTACATTACATGAACTCACCAGACCCTGTCTTTAATCCTTAGTCAGCGAAGTTCATGATCCGGCAACAGAAATATCTTGAATCGCTCGAAGCACGACAAACGGATGTCGCCTTGCGGATATTGAGAAATGAACTGGCGCCCCTTCGATACAACCTCGACCGATTACACCTTCTTTCTAGTTTCATGATGTGCTCGTCAAATGAAGACTTGCGCAGCCGGGCAAAATGGTCTGGTTCACTCGGTGGATCGAGGGCCGAGTTGTTGGGCAAGCTGCAGCGTGCGTCATTTTGTACCATAAGTTTCAATCATCGACTAATTTTATTCTCCATTATTAGGAACGGTTCCGCCGTCAGTTATGATACCTCCTCGGCGACTTGAAGCTCTCCTCAATCAAGCCCAGGACACACAGAGACGGTCGTGTCTTTACCATAATACTCGTGCACCTTTTTCATTACTAATAGATCATGATTGTGGGAGGGCACAATTCCCTGGCGTTACTACAAACGTGCTCGCGGAGCATGACGATGAAGTGTGGAATGTTGAATGGAGTCCTGATGGTAAATTTTTGGCCTCGGGTGGGACAGACCAGAATGTCTTCATCTGGCGTATTGGGGCAAGTCAAACCACTGGGTGCTCTGTCCATTAAATGCTGATCATATACATCAGGAATCCAACGGGCTGGTAGGGCGCGAGTGTCATGTTGAGCATGTTCTTAGGGACTTCGATGGTGACATATCTGCCTTGGCATGGTCCAATGATGGGACCATGTTGCTTACAGCGGCAGATAAGACAGTGAAGTTATGGATCGTGAAGGTATAGATATTCCTGACTCAGCGAGTACGGGTGGTCCCTAATAACCCGCTCTCTTATCAGACTGGGGTGTGTAGCAAAGAAATCACTGACCATACCGACATTGTGGGCTCGCTCAAGTGGCTCCCAGATAATTCGGGCTTTGTTACTACTGGGATGGATGCTAAGTTGTTCTTTTACGTTCGTCGCGGCGTTGCTTTACTTTTTTTTGGCTCGTACTGACTGCTCAATGTCAATATACAGGACAAGGGGGGGAACCATTCCACGACGGAGCCTTATATGACTAAAGTTGGGCTTCGAATGGTTGATATTGCAATAAGCCCAAATGGGCGTTACCTCCTAGCTGTGGGGCAACCTCACGAGGCGAGAGGAGTGTCGAACGGACCATTGTTTGACTTGCCGGTCGGCGTCTATGCTACCCCAAGTGATGACTACAGAGCAAAGCGAACGCAGTTGATGGTATTCGATCGTGAGACAGATACTCGGTTCTAGTAAGATTTACTTATAGTTGCTACACTTGAAAAGCATTAAGTCCGCTGCAGTTCTCAGATCCGAATAGGTGATATGACAAGTGTGAAGATCTCTGCTGACTCGAAACTTGCATTGATCAACTTTGCACCCAATGTTGGTCATTGCGCGATAATCTCATTTCTACCATTGACGTGCCCTTCGGTCAATAGGTTGTATTCCTTTGGGACATCGAAGGTCTTCAACTTGTACGACGATACGTAGGTCATCAGCATACTGGACAGGTGCTTCGGAGTTGTTTTGGTGGGTCCAGTGGATCGTGGATCGTGGCTGGAGGAGAAGGTAAGAGCGTTCTTCCCTGGATCGCGGGCGGAATCCTGACCGACCTCGGTAAGATGCTCTCATTCACGTATGGCATCGTGAGACATCAGAGGTTTTGGAGGTCCTAGGCGGGCACAAGCACGGATCAGTAAACAGCGTCGTTTGGAACCCCGTGGACGATGGGGTGTTTGCGTCTTGCTCGGACGATGGTACAGTTCGCATTTGGGAGGCACCTACATGGACTTTTACTGGCGGAAGGACAGCAAATATGAAAGCACCTCTTGGGGCTCGAGTGAATGGATTTCATCTTGAGGACACAAGTGTCTCACAAGAATGGACCTGATTCTACTTATCTTCGTCAGAATTCAACCGCACGCACGCAACCTCGGATTTCCCTTCTCATCCAACTTCGTCCCACCATCGAGTTCTTGCATTGCGCATTTCATTTTCATGGATACACCTTTCCTAGCATCGTTTTTCCATTTGTTACAACTATGACAAATCATGACACCTTCCTGCTGTCCTTTTCCGCCCACATTCCTCAGAGACTCTCTTTACATAATGTACTGATAGAACTTCCAATGTAAACGATCCCTGAATAGCTGGCTGCCGTACCATCAGAAAATGTCATGGAGGGAGATCTTCAACGCGAATAGGAGCAGTTACGGAAGCAGACCACGCATTGGGCTTGCTCCTCCAGCGTTTGAGGAGAAACACGAACAACCTAGCGTTAGGCTTGATACTTGCTCCGACTTCACTTCTTCGCCTCCAATTCAGCTTTCAGCAGAGCAAGCCCTCCCGGAAGCAACCGCACAGCACGAGGCTGCACGCGAAATTGGCGCTCACCACCTAGCTCGACTGCCTTTCGTTGCCAGCACTTGGGGGTGGCGAGTATCCTCGAAGGATTGACTCGCTCGTTGCATGCACATTTTCCCTCCAAAGCTGGGAACAGGATCCAACCCAAGTCCCGCACTCCCAATCGAGCAGCATTTAGACGCACCGTCTTTTGCAGCGCGGCTGCTGGACATCTCTCCTCCGAGCTCTCGCATGTCCGCCCTTACGTCAGACTCAGACTATGGGGCACCTGTTGACAAGGGAAAATGGCGCGAGATTACCAAACCTTCGTACGACTATACATCGAACAATGTGCATGCCCTGAACGACTATCACGACGCGCAAGAATGGCTCTCGGACGAGCTGAAGCAGCCTCTCATCACAGAAAACAAACGTTCTCCCAAGAATATGCACAAGGTTTGCATAAATCCTTTGTTGTATTTCCACTATTCAAGTCGATCAATTTCCACTCCTAGCCACCGCCTTTGCACATCTCTGTCACATCCTCGGATTCTTCGGATAGAGAGCACTCGTCCTCCTCAGCCTCTGGCTTTTTGGACCCTTACTATTTTTCCATACCGTCCCCTGCGGAAAGCTCACCAGTCAGTTTGCATCCAGAGACCAGCGAAACTCCAAGATATCAGTGGCAACAATCTTCTAAACGGGGATGCCTCATCGAGCCCAAAACACCAGGGCGCGACCCCGCTGCAATTGATCGGACACATCTCGTTGGAGTGGGGGAACTTACGACTCCGCGTTGGGCGAAGACGAGAGATCCGGGGTGGGACGATGCCCGGGGTTCTGCCGTGAGCTCGCCCAGTCAATACGACAGTAATAATGAAAGTCTTTTGATGCGTTCGTGGGTCGTCAATGAGATTGAGGCTCCGAATGACGAAGGTGACCACGTCCTTGCCGTGAGTTATCTTCTGTTTTATTGGTTGTTCTTGCACTAATCTTGCTTTCAATAGGAACGGCGTGGCACTCAGACAGCTCCCTTGCAGCCTCCAAATGCTGTTCAATCATCTAAGGCTCCTAAAGTTCTAAGGCATCAGTCGTCCTCCACAGAAGAGAGTGGTGGGGAAGAGATCCTGTACAAGCCACCACTTCCGTCACGGGAACGCACTCTTCGCAGAGTGTCCGAGGTACCCTCTCTCGCACCCTCGACGGCGCTTTCAACTGAGACCACTCTGTCGAAGACGGATTCTAACGAAACGGTGTCACCACCCCAAAGTATTTTGGGTCAACTTACAAATCCAGAGCCTGCCGGGCAAGTCTCACCCCCTTCTTCGTTCCACCCGTACCCCACCGCAAAGAAAAGAACCTCCGAAGAGTTTGAGAGGGACCAGTTTGGTGTCCTTGTGTCGAAAGTCACTGGGTTGTCCTTGTCATCTAATCATTCAGATCGGGGTAGTGACCGTGAGGACCGCGGCTCTCGCAAACATCGCAGCTTAGGAATTGGTGCTCCAGCATCTTTGAAAGACAAAGGCAGAGATCGCAGAAGAACCGACAGCCTGGGTCTTGGCAGTGGATCTGGGACTTCAAAACCTCGCGTTGGTCATTCGCACCAATCCTCTATTTCTTCTCAGGACGCTGGCCGTCGAGTTTTTACGGACCTAGCGCGATTGCCGCCTTCGCCATCTGCTGCCTCCATCTCTCAACAGTTCCCGCGGCAGATGGATCCGTCTTCCGTCCTTATCTCTGGTGCTCCTTCCGACTCTGAAAATAGTGATGCTCGGCGACAGATATTGATGACTCACCAATCATCGCCCAATGTCGCTCATTCGCTCTTGCGTGGCAATCAGGAGGGTTGGTTGGCATTAGATGATAGTTCAGCCGCCGAAGCCCTGCGCAAGCTCGATGGCATAAGCAGCAAGACGCACCGTGGGCGGAGCTCTGTTGTAGGAAGCACGAGCCGTGGTCCAAGTCGTCCCACCACGCCCGCGAGTAAAGGCCTTTCCGCTTCTGGATGGGAAGGAAGAGAGCCACCCGTCACGATACACGATAAGGAGCGTGAATCAAGATCACGCGAGCCACTTTCAGTCTTTTCCGGAGATGTTGCTGAAGCATTGTCGTCACTGACGTTAACCAAGAGTTCAGATGGACCTGATCTTATCGACTTCATCGTACCAGGTGGTGAAGAGATTGCAACTGCATCTCCCGTTCAATTGACGGGGAAACAAATCTTTAAAGATGTTCATACTCCGAGCAGTGCGAGATCGAGCTATGGTTTGAAACGAGGGTCCGCGTCTTCGACAAGCGTATCTGCGACGACTCCAACAACCACTGCTAGTTCGAGAGACTCTGCTTCCATGTCAGCAGCCACCAGTGCCACTTCCGCATCTGTTCTTTCTCATAGAAATTCAGGGGGGAAGCTTCGGCGGAACAGCGTTGGCAGTGATATCTCGAGCATACATTCCTCCGATTTTGCGTCGCAGAAGGATCGTGCTGCACATCTGGCCAATGGACTAGACGTCGCCAATGATGTTGGGATGGTGCAGATACCTCCTGTACCACCATTGCCCAAGGCTTACCAGTCTCCTTCGGCTCCTTCATTCACTCTCCCTGCCGTACCAACTAGCCCCCCGGTTGTACAATCGAATCCGACAACACCAGCTGAAGACCCGGATCGGACACTGGTACTTCCTGTCACAGAAGTGCCGCCCGTCACGCCATCGAAATCACCTGGACGTGGGCCTACAAAGAAATGGAGCTTCTCAGCGCTATTACCTCATTCTTCGAGTAAAGATAATGGTAAATCCCCTCTGTCGCCAAAGGCAACTCGTGGCACACGTACCAACGGACATAGTTCTGAGCATAAAGGGTCGATCGATAACTGGTCTATTATTGAATCCCCTGGAACCTCGCAGAATCGATTGCACCCATCCACGTCGAATGCATCTTTACATCCCATCCCGTCGACTCCGAGTTCCCCGACGCCAGCTTCGACTCTTCATTCGCGCACCCCAGAACGTGGTGTACCCAGTCGTGCTGAGACCTCCTCCAGTGCCAGTACCCAGACAACCTCCCAAGCTGCGCATACCGTCACAAGCCCCCCCTCCAAAGCAGCACCCAATCCGAGGCGACTTACCCCATCGAACATCCCGTTTTTCCGACGTTCATCATCATCATCAATGCAAACATCGATTGTTGGGATCACCTCCCCTTCTCCTCCCCCAGCGATCCCTCATCACATATCCTCTGCCTCAATTTCCACTTTGGCGTCCAAGTCGACTCCGAATAACTCCCTTGAATTGGATCCAACACCACCAGCGGCTCCTCCGCCCCGTAAGACGTCGGTACTGAGTCTCTTGAAAGCCACCACTTCTCGCAAAAGCCTTGTCGTCGACAAGCCTGAGCCAAAGTCAAAGGAGAAAGACGAGCCTAGGGAAAAGGACAGGAAGGATGACAAAGATAGAAGTGAGAGCCGAATCTCAATTCTCATGGGCAGGAGGCGAGGAAAGGTAGGCTTGCTGGCTTTTCAACTTTTCTTTGTAATACTAACATGACTCGCAGACCTTGTCGGCCGCGGAACCAAAGCCTCCTAAGCCAATGCCAATAATGCCCCCGATACAAATGCCAGGCATCCCTGCGTCCGCGTCGTCTCGCGTCGGTAGCATCAAGGTGCGAGAATCCGTGGCATCAATGCCACCCCCTTCATCTACGCGCGCCCGAATATCTGGAGTTGTGCCGCGATCACCCGCAACCAAGACTTCGGACTCCTCCCTTCGCAGCACTCGTCAGAACCTGCCTCCAATAGCTGGTTCACCTTCTGTTGGCACAACTGCACCCCCTCAGGGTGTATCTGTATCTTATCATCCCCCCTGTCCGGGACTACTCGAAGTTCAGTTGACACCAAGGAGACGCCAACAAAGATCCCTCGCATCTCCAGCCGGATGTCAACGCTGCAATCACCAGCTACGACTACACTCAAGTCTTCCGGTTCCGTACTCAGTCACAGGAGGACCAGCTTGGTCGTTGCGGGCTCTTTATCTGGTAAAAATCTCCAGGTTGATCAATCTCCTTCGCCACACGCATCTTTTGTGTCAGACTTCGGTGTTTTAGAGCCAACGGAGACCCCGACGCAAACAAAGGCTCAAACGATGGGATCCAAAGAGCATTCTTCCTCTCAGTCCTCGCCCGCATCCCTTTCGAAAGTGTCTCGGCAGCTAGTAGCACCTCCTTCGGCGAAGAAACCCTCACCTAGAGATTCTGCTGTTGGATTGCGGAAGTCTTCGGCTCCAGCGACCACTGGTGGTGCATCTCTTGTGCCAAGCGAGAGTCACTCACGCTTTTCTGGGTTGTCTCCTTCAAAATCATTGAAGCTGCTCAGTCCCAGGATCTCCCTAGCTACCGCCAAAACGTCTCCTTCTACTACACCGGGCACACCTAGCGGCTCGGGGCGGCAATCTGCTTCCACACCCTCCCCAGCCCCGAGCTCAGCTGACGATGAAGAATTGTTGGCGGACGAAGAGATGGTCCAATATATAAAGCGACAGCAAGCCAGAAAGCTAGCGGCAGGAGCTAAGAAGGAGGAATTGGATGAAATGTTGCGTTTTCCCGAACCCCTGCCCCCCGTTCCTCCGTCGTCCCCCACATGTGAGTCAATAAGCGATTTTCGCTTGCCTCGGTGACTAACTCGTGTGTTTTCTCAAAGCTCTACTCAGAAGCAGTCAAGCAGCCTATCTTTCCGATTACGAAAAGCAGGAGATTTTGGAGTTCCCCAAGATTTACACCATCGGAGCTCACAGTGAAAAGAACAGAGCGACCCCTGACATCAGTGTCAACAACTATGGATATGATGATGACAGAGGGGACTACACCGTTGTTCCTCATGATCACCTGGCTTACCGTTATGAGATTATTGAGGTCCTTGGGAAGGGATCGTTCGGACAGGTTTTGCACTGCCGCGATCATTGCACCGGACTGTCTGTCGCGATCAAAATAATCAGAAACAAGAAACGCTTTCATCATCAGGCCTTAGTCGAAATTAAGATATTGGATAACCTTCGCAAATGGGTCCGTACATTCATTCCATGAGTTTCCGCTCCTGTCATTCACTGCTTATCGTAGGATCCCGAGGAGAAGCATCATGTCATCAAGATGAACGAACATTTTTACTTTCGAGACCACCTTTGCATCGCCATGGAGCTTCTCAGCATTAATCTGTACGAACTCATTAAGGCCAATGGTTTTGCCGGCTTTTCAACTGTCCTCATTCGCCGGTTTACTGTCCAAATGCTTTCTGCTCTCGCTTTGATGAGACATCATCGTGTTGTTCACTGCGATCTAAAACCAGAGGTATGTAGCATCTCTGGGCTTCTTTTCTGGGGCGGAATTGCATGTACTCATCGCTGTACCTAGAACGTCTTGTTGATGCACCCGGCGAAAAGCAAATTGAAAGTCATTGATTTTGGCAGCAGTTGCTTCGAACACGAGAAGGGTATGTCAGGTAGCCCTGCCATTTCACAAGCATCAAACTAAGAGATGTCTTTGTATTAAGTCTACACCTATATCCAGAGTCGCTTCTATCGATCTCCAGAAGTGATTCTTGGAATGAATTATCACATGGCTATCGACATGTGGAGTCTTGGCTGCATTCTAGCTGAGCTTTACACCGGTTACCCCATCTTCCCGGGCGAAAATGAGCAGGAGCAGCTCTCTTGTATCATGGAAGTGCTGGGAGTTCCAGATAAAGATCTTATTGCCCGTAGTTCCCGAAAAAATTTGTTTTTCGGTATGATTTATCACCAATCCTTGTCTTCCGTCACTTACACCGGGGATTCACCAGATCGTACAGGGGCACCACGCCCAGTTGTCAATTCTCGGGGACGTCGGCGTCGCCCAGGCAGCAAGACGCTCGCGCAAGTATTACGATGTGACGAAGAACATTTCATCGACTTTATCTCCAAATGTTTGCACTGGGATCCTGAGCGTCGCTTAAAGCCTCAGAATGCCATGAGACATCCGTTCATCACAGCCGGCCGTCGAAAACTTGTGGCGAGCGGCCTAACGTCAAGCACGTCTCGTACCTTACTCTCCTCTTCACGGTCAACCCGAACTGTCGCTGGGGAAACTCCAAGGCGACCCATTATCGGAGCACCAGTACCGCTCGCCGCCCGAGTCGCGTCATCGAACAGATCGGGCGCAGGATCATCTATACCATCAACGCCAACGGGTACCCCGGCCCATCCCACTATCCCATCTAGCGCCTCAATCACTCACAGAACACCATACCGGTCGGTTCCTACGAGTGTCAGCATTCCCCATCATTCGTCCCGTACAGTCCTGAATGGTTATATTGTAAGCCCAATGATATGAATCTTCATAGTAGCTCTTGTTCACGCCTAGGACCTGGTCTAGCCTCAGCCGACCCCTGCTAAAACGTAAATGATCGCGTATGCTTGTGCAGCGTGCTGGCACGGATGAGCATATGCACACTGACTTCATGATACCATTTTCCCTTCCCTTTTTAAAAGTATTAGACCTTCATGCTTTTGCGCCTGTTGGATGTCTACCATATTTGTGAGTCTGACCGTCGCCTAATGTATGGGTTGTTGTCACTGCTCTTTTCTGGTTCCTTCTTACGAAATGTCATGCGAACAGTTCTTACGAACTACCGCGCCGTCGACCTCTTTACCCATCACGCCTCAGTTTTGTATACAGCACGCATTCATGATTCGTACCCAGTTCCTCGTCGACCTCCCGAGAACTAATGACTTATTTCCAAACATTGTCTGATTTGCCCGTAGTTTACAGTAATATATACATTTCCGATCTAATGAGCATGTGCACACATCTGGTATCCTCATCTTGTACAAGAACTTGGCATGGTCCTATGAAGGACTGTTCGACAAGACGGACCCAGTGAGTGGGCCATGAGCTTCTGATAGGACGAGCGCACTGGGGACGCTGCGCTGCCATAGTTGGAGGAACCAAAGATTGAGCCTCGTTCCTAAGCTAAGCTAGGCTGGTGTGGAGCAGATCCTTTCATAATTACGCTTCCAATCAATCTTCTGGCAGTATTGTTGTTGCGGTGAATTGAAACTGAGAACTCTCGAAAGCTCACATCGTATTGTATAAGAACGTTGATATTGTGCACCACACCAAATAACTAATGAAAGGTGGCGTTGCGAGACGCGCCCGTCTGCATGTTTACTAACTGCCAGACACCGTCCTTCCGACCCTCCGGAGACATGAATGGCTGGAGCTACTTGCCCCAGAACCAAGATTCCCTGCCATCATAGTCAACTTGCGACGCGGAACCGGTACAGGCCATACCTCCGTCCAAACCATCATTTATCAAAGGAACATAACGAAATGCCAATAATCGTGTGACATCGGCGCCGTCCCTATACCCATACGGTTAGCGCGTGTTCAAGCAGCCAATTAAGGAAAAATGACCATTGTCTTGCATAATAGATCAACGCCTACAGTCACTTGGTTGATATATTTCGCCGTGAACTCAGCGTAGATTACGTCGGCCCTAGAATTGACGCCAATAGTCTGCATCTACTGAACCATGGGAGCGATAGATCGGGGGCATTCTAGCTGCGCATGCATGTCAGAATATATAATGAGATTCAACTTACTCAAATGCATGACGAGGAATTCCCATCAGCTTCCACTGCCAAGCCAAGACCCAGTCGGACCTTTCTCTTGTTTCACTTCCCTACTTTGGTTGAAATGACCATTCAACGGGTTTGAAAACCCAGACCTGGGCTGCTCGGGAGTTCACTATTAACGACTTGCCCCTCAGCGGAGTAGGACAGCGCCTCACGATGAACAAGCGAATCCCCTTTGCCCTGTGGGGACTTCTAGCCCTGCCAGTCCAAGTAGAGCTCTCCTTGCATTGAAAGGCTACTCTAAATTACACCTGAAAGAGTCAAGGCTGTGGAAAAGAGGTCAATGCGAAAAAAGGCACAGTCCATATCCCGAGCAGCAACCCAACAACATCAGCTTCTACGTCCAGCCATGTATCAGCGCCCTTCCGTCGAAATTGCGCTAGAACCTATGTGCTGGAGCATCACCGAGAGAATGACGTGTGATGCCGAGGGTGAAAGGAAGGTGTCGTTGGAAAGAAAACAGTAGATCCACGTGTAGAGAGCGAGACTGCAGAGCTGGAAAATACATGCACACGTAGTAGTACTACCGAGGCATGAATGGCAGATCGGGAAACAAACAAGTCATCAGAAGGTCGTCACTGATTGAAGAGATACGTCGTAAAACATAATGTCAGCAATAAAGGGAAGTTGTGACCTGACAAGATTGGAGTGCAAGCCTAGAGATACTGCGGCCAAACACCTCACGTGGAGCGGTGGTAGTTCGGCGGAGAGAACGGAGCAGAATTCGCTCAGAATGTTGAAAGACGGCTGGCTCGTAAACGAAAGTGCAGTCAAAAGATATATAGCAACGACGTTTAGGCGGAGATAGCGTCCAAAGGCAAGCATCAACAAAGTGATGGGGCCGAAGTTTCAAGGGGGAAATATCTTGTCCCCGTTTCAAGCGAGGGTTCGAACATCCAAGACAATACTCGTGCCCCATGCGATACTCAGAAAGAATGAACAGGAAACAGCAGTATTAAGTCCATCACTCTTGTACTGTTGACCCGAGAAGAAAAGGAGTCATCAATCAGCCAGAAGCTGGAGATTCCTACCATACGGAAGTACGGACCCAAGGCACCGAAAAAAAAGCAGAAGGGGGGTTGCTTACCATTCAAAGTAAGGCCCTGATGTGCATTTCAGTCCAGCCGCGAGTAAAAAAAAATAATCCCCCAAACAATGCACAGTACCCCATCAATCATGAACATCTTCTTCATGTGTTCCCTTGCTTCCACGGAGCGATGGAGGCAAGGGGGGATATAGGCTGATTCTGCTTGCATGCACCTCCGGAGGGTAAATGCGTCTGGATCACCCGCGTGAAGAATTCCTCGTCGCCACCAACACTTCAACTAGGCCTTACGCCCCAGAAATGCCTGCGGGTTGGCAAGAATATCGGCGGTCCCTGCGGTTATTTCGGCTCCGGATTCCATTCGACCGTGTAGCAACGACTAAAGCCCACACCGGGAAATAGAGTATCTTGATGACTTAGCCTTGGGCGCTTCTTGATCCGCAACGACAACGTGGTTGAATGACGTATATACAGAGGTACGAAAGAAAACAAAGGCATGGGATGAACCAAAGTAAGTATGTGGGAAAGTGCTTCAATGGAGCGGCGTCCCATCTGGCCGAAGGATCTGGATGAGGAATAGTGGAAGGTACGATAACGATCCCACTCAGGAGTAAAGGGAGTCAGTCCAGGGCCAAGAGAATGAAGATCGGGGAAGTTCATTCCGTTGCCGTCGTTGGGAAGTGAGGTACATGGGAGGCTAGGACTCAGTGATTCTGCTATAGTGTGATGGGATCATAAAAATACGGATGCCACGGACAACAAAATACCCTAGGTCCAGCGCATCACAGCAATTTGCTTCTTTGAATGACAGACTCATTTAGAGTTGTGAGACCACTGGCGTTCTTTTCATGTGATGTCGGTGATGGCAATTGTTGGCCGAACTCCTTCTCTAGAAGATCCATTCGCTGCTCCTTCATCTCTGGGGAGATTTTCCTAACTATATGAACGGGTCCCAAGCAGTGTATCCCAGGGAAGACGCCTCTCCCTTTCGTTTGTTGAATTGCTCGGGTCAAGTTCAGATTGGCCATATCCAGCTGCGGAAGGGGCAGAGAGATGGACCAGTCCATCAGTAAAAAAGGGAAAGATTCTTGTCGGAATCATCTTCGAAAAAATGCGGGAGTTATTAATGAGTAACCATCGCCTTGTCTAGGTGAAGCAGGAGGGAAATGCGGTCTAACGTTCCTCGAGAAAGAGGAGCGGGGAGAGATAACAAAGAGCCGTGGCTCCCAGAAGAATGCATCAGCTCAGAGCCCAAGAGACGTTTCGTGTTGCAAGGACTTGAAGACAATGTCAGAGTACTATATCCCTCGTTGTAGGTAGGATCCAGACGAGGGACAGTAAGTGAGTGAAGAACAAGGCTCTGAGTGTTCTGTGATATCAGTGCTTCCTCTAATATTACGAAGTCATAGAGGCTGGAGTCCTGCCTAAGTGCTTCCAGGCGGAAGGAATCCCACCTACAATCTTGGGCAGGAGGCGTTGGTGGGTTAGAGGCTGATTGGTGGGTTGATCCTTACGATCTCCGGAGTTCACGTGATGTGAACTCGTATGATGAAAGCACTTGGGCAGTCAACGGTCTATACTAATAGAGGCTGGTAACCTGCCTAAGTCAACGGACAGTAACACAATGCGGCTTCGGGAAACCGTGCAAGGCTTTGATCACCGTGGAGTGGCATTTCCTATATCTCACAAATATGCTCGTACAACTACGTTGCTTTGAAAGGCAGCTCAGTATGCCATATTGTAATTATTTAAGATCCTACTATTGATCTTGCGCCAATTTTCTCGGCTAGTTTTTTTTTTTTTTTCAAATTTGCTAAAATTCCAAGTATAACAGAGGCGGTTGGGGCAGCGTTACAAGCGATCGCGTGTGGTAGCCAACTATTTCACGGAAGCTGCCGGGGAGCAATCACATGGCTACTGGAGATCAATATCATATTAGATCACATGTATTCCTCAGGATGACCCTAATCAGCTGGGCGAGGGTGGGAACAAATCGTTGAGGAAAGGAAATCATGTATATCACTATCAGTTGCCGTGTCTCCCATCTTGGTGCCTATAAGCGCTTGCGCATGACCAGCTTTCTGAAGGGATCCTACATTAATTGTGATGCCCAAGGGTGAGATTTGTCTCTGGTGTTCGGACGCTCTTCATGATGGGAACGCAAGGGATTTCAGCAGCGCATGAGCTCCCTCAGCCCGCGAAGCTGCGCCACAGCCACTTATGTACCCGGAGAGAAGAAAACGGCGACTTGTGGACATCGTCGCAATATATACGTATGTGCAACAGACAGGACGTTTTCCAAGTTAAGCTTTAATTTTGGTCGAAGGCTTAGGCTATCATCTGGATGAACATTTATTTGTCTTGGTCGCTGTTATGGGCATATTTGATTTGAGCATTAAGAGAAGAACATTGGCAAAAAATGGGAGATAGTAGCAGTAGCCCTGATCCAATTAAGCCTTGAGCTTGTACCCATACTAGAATTGTCCAGTAACGCACACTATATGGTAGTTGAAGTTATTCTCAATCCTGTCGTAATGCGTGATCAGACCCTTCCGATATATATTCCTTGAGATCTTCCTCAAACTTTTTTCGTTCAGAGCTCCCCCATCAACTCTCACCATCTCCCTCATCCTCTGCCACGTCGCAGACCGTCTCAGAGGCCAACATCCAGCGTCCACCATGCCAGCAGTCCTCGGTTCGCGTCGCACCATGTCCGCACCATTAGGTGCGAATCACATTCGCGCGCGTTCCTCTCCCTATCCATCTCGCGCTTCCCTCAATACGGTCAGTTCTAGGAAGGTAAGACGTGGCTCCGATGGGTTACGCGCGAGAGGACGCCAGGTTCTCGCTGAGATTGACTGGTGGACCATCATGGCTGGCCAGTTGCCGGGATCTGGGTCTGAGTCGTCTGCAGAACCTTCGGAGAGTGATACTTCCTCCATGTATACCCAGGAAGAAACCATCACGTCTGAGGATGAGACGGAGAGGTTGGGCTTTGTGATGGACGTGAGCGAGATTTGTTTGGGGACACCACCATCCTCTCCAGCGTCGTCAGGGTGTGCGGCATTGTGGTCTGTCTCCAGTGGGCGTTCCTCGCCTTTGTCGGTGGGTACCGTCAACCTTCAATCTCCTGTGCTTTCTTGCCCTCTTTCATCTCCGTCGTCGTCGGAATGTGGAATTAACAAAGGCACAATTTTTGCTACGTAGAGTTGCTGGTCGTCACCTCGACGATCCGTTACGCCCACCAAACCGTCGCGTTGTGCCTCCCCCACCACCCCATGTTCTCGCCCTAATTCTCCATCTCGTATTGTCTCCATGTTGCCCGGTACCATTGAATGCACTGGAGCTGCCGACGCGTTATCTACGCTTAACAACCTCCACCGCTGCCATTCCTTCAGCGGGACGAGTTCTCCGCGATATCGTTTCCAGGCACCCACGCTTGCATCACAGGCACGCGCCTTTTCCAGACGCCGACTCTGAACTAATGTACCACACTGGATGCTATATGATTGTCTTTGGCCTCTTATGGTTAGGACGGAGTTACGCGCGGGTTTCTTGATTGCCGCCCGGTTGTTTGGAATCGCTTAACGTGCTTATCATTGCACGTTGAGTTGATCATGCCAGACATACTGACACGCCAAGTAACGCTATATTGACCCGACAACGAATGTCTCTGTCACGACAACAACAATGATCTTCATCTTGAACTGGGGGGGGACTGAGCGTTTTGACGATTCCGCCGCTTTGTACGTCATCTTCACCCTCGTGATGGGCCCGTGTTTGAACCACTCATCTGATTATTTTGACCATTGATGTACAGATCTTTACTTAAATTGCCAAGATAAGCGACTAGCTCATGACTTGTTCCGCTCATAACACCCAATTGGGATGTGTGAAGCCCGCGGAACAATAAACTCGACCTGTCCTTTGAACCAGATTTCTTGTCTTATTTCTTCCTTTCGGCCATGATGTGTCGCAGCTGGACTCATATTCCGACAAGGAACAAAACTGATATTGACCCACTGCGTTGATATTTTCCCTTCCCTTCCATTCTTGAGCCCTTATCGTCCACCATTGCTCACACCGTGCACAGTGCACCACACACATGCAAACCTCAACATCCACTGCATAGCACCTATCCCGCCAGCTGTGTGAATGTATAACAGCGTCATTCCCATTTCCACTCCCACACCATTAGCACATCGCACAATCACACACCGCTTGTATCGCTGAATGGATGGATGGATTCAAACTCAACCAGGAGTCAAGTCCGATCCTCTGTTATTTAATTTCTGTCTTCACGACCTCTTACGACTTGTCATGAACCTACTGCCAAGATTCATCCACGTTCTTGCTTTATGATGAGCTCAAATGTATATGTACTAGTGCAATCTCGACGTGCGTTCTGCTACGGACGTCGTCGTGAATTATTACTGCCGCATCTTCTCTTCTTCCTAGATATTAGCTTCTCGTGAGACGCCGGGACCCGAAGACCAGCGTACGAGAGTGTGGACGAACTTTCATTCGTTAAATCTGGGTTCTTCCATTGGATTTGAGGGTTGCCTTATGGCCCATGCATACATGCCATCTATATCATGATGAGGCTGTATGACTGTTACAGCCGAACAATGTAGCGATGCTTCAACAGCACAGCTCCACAAAGGGGGATATTGGCCAATTTGATACCGTCAAATGCATAGCGCTGGGTATTTCCATCCTCTTTACGTCTTCACAAGAACATTTTACTGCTCAAGGCATGTTTACGGGAAAGTGATAAATCATGGAAGTCATGCTAGTCAATTGGGTACGCGCATGTTTTCTACACGCATTACATGGTAAAGGACCACCGCGAGAATGACCTTCTTCGTTCCCAATTCTGGTAGAGATCTGGGTCAATATTAATATTTTATCCGCATACACAAGGCCTATAAAAGGTACGATAGCTGATAAGGGCAATTAGGTCATCTGTCGCACGGGCTTGGGCCACGCATTGCAAAGTGTATTGCGTGTGTGTGAAAGCCCCATGATGACCAATTACTGTAATGCGGTTGAATTTTCCCGTACTTGTGTCTAGGAGTGCAGACACCAAAGCCGTTCCGATCGGCGAATCTGAGTATACCCTGGTTTTAATCCCAATTACTATGAGAAGGAATGTTGTGCGTCGTGGTGAGCGCGTGATCCCCCAGACCACATTCCCATCGTGTAGCCACACGACTAGTGACGATCCACGGCATGAGTCGTCTCCGGATATAGATGTGCCAAGCCTCCCACGCCTTATGGCTCAACTTTAGCCTAGTAGTCGTGAGGTATAATGTGTGGGTCTTCACATGTGAAGGAAAAACAGGAAAAGGGGGAAAGTCCCCCATATGGCTTTGCACGACCATCTGCCAATAAAGCGTCTGCTGCAATGTAATCATGCGTGAGATTGACCGCATCGTGGTTTTTGACATCCCGTGGGAGGGCCAGGATAACACAATATATTCTGTGACGTGACGCGATGTAACGCAGCGCGATTCATCTCCGAGATTCTGACGTTGGGTTAGACTCAGGCCCAAAGGCAGGACTTCCCACAGCAGAGTACCTCGGGAGTTCTCTGTTGGCCAAAAGCTATATGGATCGATTGCTATGCAGGTGATCACTCTCTAATCGGCAGACGCAACGTGCACTCTCAAGATGACCCCTTTAAACAATAGGACACCGAGATTTTTACGGGCAGAAGGAATAGTACGTGCCGCCCCGGGCCTACCGGAGTTAGGTCATCCAACCTGTGCGTGGAGCGGATCACAGAATGCCGCAACATGGCGTAAGATCGTTTTGAGGCGTGCCTCTTCCTTTGGCGAAGATGCAACACGAGGGCCATAATGATCGTTACCGTGCGCCCCGAAAAGTACAAGACTTTCCACCTGATTACGGCCATTACGACAACCGCAGAGGTGCTGGATTCATCCACAGGAATTGGTAGAACGGTGAGGCATATTCATAGGCCATACCAGAGTCCGATTGGCATACCAGATCCTCGTGACCGAAGTTGAAAAATTCAGGTCATTATACTAGCATAATGGTACGACCGGCGTCTTGCACTTTCTTGGTTAAGATCTAAAGGGGAACTGCTCCTTTCGAAGAGGTTAAGCTTTAGTCATACTTGAAAGAGTTGTACATACAAATTGGTCGTGCAAGAAGGCCTGAAGAGACATGGTCCGACCCGGATATGAGTGAGGCGGAGACAGGAATCAAATCGAAGCTTCTATTAGGGGTCGAGCTTGTGACTTAGACCGGGGAGAAGTATGGGCAACGAGCCATTAATTAGAGGTCGTGTTTCCACGGGACAAGACTACTTACCCAACGCATTTAGTATCACGATTCCACCTCCAATGACTTTTTAAGCAATATATAGGCAAGACTCCGGTGTAATTTGCAGAGATGAGTTCTGTTTTTCGCGATCAGGAGAGATCAATACTCAACTTGATCCAGGACTAGGCAATTCGCCGACATGCTCATGCTCGAATCTTTGGATAGCACAGGGCCGAGGCCTGCATCGATACGGTTGCCAGACTTGCTCATAGCCCAGACGAATGAGTCTGAGGAGACTAAGGCAACATGGAGGACGGAAAGCTGTTTTCAAAATGCCGTGGACACGAAACATGTCTCAAATTAGTCCCATAATTCGTTCATACTTTTAGCATCGCCGAAACACCACCCACCCAGTTGTTGCATCTGCGCACGGGGAATCTTGGGATGCATCCATTGCTGGCAGGCTTTCCACGAGCTTAGCAACGTCACGCGGATAGATGCAGTTGACCTTCTCGATCCTGGTGGTCTCGACTTTCGAGTATAGACGATCTGACAGCCCTCGTGCGTTCATCGATAGAGTCGGAGACTGCCGCCAACATGGCGCCTGGCTCTTGCTGCCCGATCCTCCAAGGCACAAATTATCAGTTGTGAAGCAATTGGTGCATTCCACTGCTGAATAGTCTGCTGTACCAATTCATCTGGAGTCTAAATCTGGCCTCTTAGACTTGGTGCGCTTCCCCAATTTCGCCAGAGCTCGTATCACTCAGCACGGAACGTCATCCTCGCCACGTTTGATCTCCCCTAGCTCCTTTCGGTGTATTGAAATCTCCATATGTCTACTGAGATCGCTACAACTGCAAACAAAATCTTCGAACGGAACGGGGAATCTGTCAAGTTTTTCATTCAACAAGATACAGGAAAGGACTTTATTGGATGGCTGTCTGCGAGAATCGCCGTATGTTTCTTACTGCTGATCGCCGACTCACGCGTGTTCACTACCTTCGTTCATGTTCGTCAACAGGAACACGGTGGAAAGGTGGTTGAAACCGTTCCTCGTGAGGGCTACATCCTCGTGGATCCTGATAGCAAGAAAGGAGAGAAGTTAACGGAGAAATGGTCAAGTCCCGATAAGCCAAACCGACACATTGTTTGCTTTACGTTTGTTCGTGCATCCATAATGGCAGGGCGAATGCTCGATCCGGAGGAGATGCAAGGATCCAGAGTGATCTTCAAGCATGAAGGGGCACCTGTACACATATTTCTTCATCCTGCTCTTGGCGGGTTGGTGTCCGCTCGCCTGGCGATTCAGATAGAGGTGCGTTCACGTCCGTTGCCCCGCGTCGCCTTGTCCCGCTGACACATGGACACACTTCTCAGAAAGCAGGCGGGTCACCGAAACAACGCAGAGTGCTGCTCGGGTGATAATAGTCCCCAAAGCATCCGTGCAAGACTCCAAGTTATTCCAGTTCCTCAGGAGAAAGTACCTATTTCGCACAGACAAGTACGTCGAAGGAATCGAATGGGTGCAGGATTGTTTGGACGCTCAAACCTACCGTCATATCGATGCTCTGCCAATCAATATGAGGGGTATGAAGCCTGGGACCGTGTGCGTGAATCTGTTTCGCGCTAATCCGCCATTGCTGAGCATCTTGTTGTAGATGTGTCGATTTTACCGAGACAGATGACCAAAACTTGATTCAGTATATCGGCACACGAGTGCCAGAACCTGTCGATGAACTTCGAGGCTGCCTCAGTCTCTACACGCAGTTATGCCGTGTGAGTTATCTTCCATTGATGTCTGACGCTTGAAAAGCTTAGATGTTTGACAGTCCGATGAATTCCCCTGGGCTGCTCAACACGTAGCGAAGGTGTGGCAGAGGTACTACCTAAGACGGAAGCACGACTTTGATAAAGATATTAGTAAATGGGTTGAACGAAACCCTCAACCGCTAGATTCGAAGGAACGGTTCAGACTCAAGAAGCGCAGGCGCCAACCGCGTCCCGTGGTTGTGGATGCGGATATGGATGATGTGGTCATCGACGATGACGACCACGACAGTGACGATGAAGATCCTCCTGCAATACGTCATTGTCGCTAGCCATGGAGCTGCCACAAGGGTTGTTGTGTGCTCCTCATTCCTTTGTGGGGAACATCATGGTGGAAAGCGGGAATACCTGTCTAGGTTGTTGAGCGAATGGAGTCCTCTGTTTTTGCAGATAGCTATGAGATGGCCGTCATTCATGGAGGGGTCGAACTGTACCGGTTTAACCAGGCGCAAGGACATAGTTTGCGTTTTGTCCCCCCCCCTTACTAGTCGCACATGTTTGTGTCCTTCGCCAATATCTGGTGCTTCGACCGTTTCAACATTCGTGGTCAATGACAAAATGTTGGAGGTAGATATGATTACTGACCCAGTCTACGAGTGCCCCTGTGTGAACAGCGTCCCAGTAGCCTCACTAACAGTGTTACTATTAGGAATGGAGCTGCCTGCCCCAAGACGCCCCAGGAGACTTCTACTGGCGTCCGTGAATATTCTCAGGGAGGTACATCAAGCAACTGGAACATTATTGCACACTATATTTACCCCTTTGCACGCCATTGCTATACTGTCTCGTCACCACACGATGCAGAGTGGCCTCGACCAGACGTGGCTTTTGTATTCCCAGCTAAGATCTTCACGATGAAAGGGAGATTCGTTAAATTTTTTATTGCAAAGAAAAAAAAAAGCATCCTGGGCAACATCGTCGAATCATACACTGTCCACTACACGTTTCCAGAAATGTAAATCTAAACGTCAAGTCGCCCGTCGTACTTCATTTGGCACTGGCCCTTTCCAACAGGAACATGGAGGAATGGTTGTTACGGTTCTATGTCAGGAGCGGTTCGTCCTCATTGACCCAGCAAGTCGCAAAGAAACTATGCCAAACACGGTCTAATTCCGTAAATCATATCGGCACTTGTCCCCTTCGCGTCTATCGTCGCAGGGAAAATGATAGATGGGTGGCACGCCCATGTTTCTCAGAAGGAAGTGGTATCACTGAAGCCGATGCCAGGGTGATGGTCGCGCCCCGCTCAACTCCATATCCAACTGAAAGAAAACTATTCAAGGAATCGACAGAGCGATATCTGTGGGATCCAAGCAAGCACGTCGAAGAGATGATTGATTGGGTTCGGAAATGTCTGGGGTACAACCTACAAGGATTACCTATTCAGGTTGAAGGAATCAACTTGTGAAGCGGAATCCAAAGCGCCATTCACGGGCGAAGATGATCGGAATCTGGTCAAGTATGTCTCCAAACGACTGGCCAGCAGGTAAGGTCGGAATAGCCAAAAACTTTACACTGAACTGTGCGAGCAGGCAAGTTTGTTGTGTGTGATAGACACGAGAATATCCGTGGGCCTCGAGGCGTTCATGGAAGGTGTGGAGAGCGCATTATCGGACCCACTAGAGAGAGGGGAGGGACAGTTAACCCTCCACGGAGCTTGCACGGATCGGGCATGGGAATGGTGAAGTGGGCCCTCTGCAGAGGCCAACTCATAAGATTTCCAGATCGGTGTACCGGGATTATATTGTTATACTACACAAGCGTTTTCAACGTACTGGTCACGAACTACCATTGAATGCTGCAATCCGAGTGGTTTGACTGCTGTTGTCCACAGATGTGTATGGAATGTGATTCGCACGGACTGTTGGAATCAATCTATCCATAGGTGCTCTTGGCCGTTCACCAGCCCACCGAAGTAGAACGTGAGTGCCTTTAACTTTGATCCCATCCATTCCTCCTCAATTTCGACTTTCTCTTCTTTTGGGTCTACGAGGCCGGCTATTTCTTCAAGATTGGTGTTCCGAGGAAGGTAGTATGCTACATGAGGAGTGATGCTTCTTGCTAAGGAGAAGAGCTGATCACCAGGCAGGGGTGCCGTCATGTCCATTGTAAACTCAGGGTGGGGAGGGGAAGAAGCGGATTGTGATTTGGAGGGAGAGGAAATATACGATGGTCCTCCCCATGGTGGACTTAAGAATGCAACATCGATTTGCGTTGAGAGCCGGTTACGAGGTCTGTCCGGTTGCCCTCCAGAGACCTTCTCGGTAGCTGGTGCTACTTGGAGTGATCTGACAAAAGAGGGGAAATCAGCCAGAATGAATTCTATCCGATCCTGAACACCATAGATCACTGCGTTGTGCCGTGCTAGAGCCAGTCGAACTGCAGAGTTATCAACAGCGATGACTATTGTCCATGGTAAAATTAGTAGATAGATCATTACGAGGTTCTCCCATCCTAACCTCTTTCACAAGTTTGAGCAAAAGCGATAGCGTTTCCTCCGACCCCACAAAAGCATCTAGAATGGTCGTACATCGACATCTATCGGCAATTTGAATGGCCACCCGCTCAGGGGTGACACTATACCAGCCTTCTTCATCAAGAAGACAACCTTCGTTGTATAGGGAAAAATATCGTTGTCGCTGCGCGAAATCTACGCGGAGGCACCATAACTAATGGCACGCCAGAAGCGTCTGAGAACTACTCACACTTGCGGATATGATGAGGCACCTGCCCTGCATGCGTATAGTGTGGTGCGAGGCCAGTTGCATCATACCGTTCCCAACCAGGACCGAGAAGCGCATGGGGCACTTCGACTTTCCTCTTCTTCTGTGGGCGACGGTCCTGGGAGTAGCCAGCGTAAGGACCACTCATTCAGGAAAAAACGCCTAGCAGATGACGCCTCACTGCAAGCAGTGAGTGCGCGCCTGGACAAAAATGTACAACAGGCCGTTCCCACGGTGAACACTTCTGCCGACTTTGTGCTCACAAGTATTCTGTTCCTCTTACTGTAAACACCATGCAAACACTCCGAGGCTTGTTACAGTCAATGACGTGTATGCGGCGGACGGCGCCAATCCCGTCAGGGGTTTCCAGGTTCTATGCATCTGTGGTCCCCACTTCACCTCCTTCGACGTCCTCGCTAAGGCATGAACCCCGCGTCACTCCATACGGCATCTCACCTCATCCGGGTTCGCGTCAAAACGTAGGTTTCACTGCTCCTTTGCAGATTCTCCCTGATATTTATTCTTGTAAAAGCAAAAAAGGCTCGGTCGAGGCCCAAGTTCTGGCCTCGGAGGCACGTCCACTCGAGGCCACAAGGGTCAGAAGGCGCGTTCTGGAAATGGAAAACCGAGACCCGGCTTTGAAGGGGGCCAGACACCCATTACCCGACGTTTCCCAAAGAGGGGATTCTTCAACCAGTGAGTAGAATAGTCGATCTCACCTTACAGTCCGAGGTGCTTATTCACTTATCGCAGGAGCGCCCGTACCTGGGCACCCGTAAATCTTGACCTATTGCAGCATTGGATAAATCAAGGCCGACTCAATCCCTCTCCTAAAAACCCTATTACTGTTCGGCATCTATACGAAAGTAGATGTATCCATGGGGTGCATGATGGCGTAAAGCTTCTTGGCGATGTATGCAGGCTGGGATGTCCTATATCACTTCCTTGCATTGATTCTTGCCTTTTTCTAGGGTGCTGAGCATCTCACCTCAGCTGTTCACATTGTTGTCTCACGAGCCTCGAAATCTGCGATCCATGCAATTGAGAAGCTTGGAGGTTCGGTTGTTTGTCAGTATTACAACAAGTTGGCACTTCGGGATTGTGTCAGAGGGAGAACAGACCGAAGGATGGCAGCTCCAACTCGTAAAGCTGATATACGTGAGTGTGGCGCTGTGAAAGGATTTCCTGTAACTTATGTCATTTTGGACCCGTGGTAGTCTGGTACAGTGACTCCAGAAATAGAGGGTATCTTTCGCCGAAGGTCAGAGGAGATACAGTAGGTCTACAAGCAGAAGTCGAGTCGAGGCTGAAAAAACGGAAGGCTTTACGATCATCGCAGCCAAGCGTCGAATATCCTGTCGTCAGATTCACGGACATGCTTCAGGTCCCTAAACATGCTGACAAGGCATAAATGTCACATTAATTGTATTTGCCTGGCTCTTCTAATATTATTAGACTTGTCTTCATGCAGAAGTGGCTCAAGGGAAATGTAGCATGTCGACAGCCCTGACTTGTGCCGAGACTTCTGAATTGAGGACACGACCCGGTAACATACATGCCATGCATATCTGGTGCGAATATTATGAGGGTCACAGGGATTCCCGTGAAAAAGAACAATACCCAGCTAGCACCAAAACCCAGTGCGAGAGCTTTGCATGGGCTTTGACATAAGAAATAAAGAAAGGAGAGCACACAACCAGAAGGAGATGAGAAAGCAAGGGGCAGAGAAACTATGAAATTACGGGAACACCCATAAAACCTGCAATGTCGCAAATAAACGGGTTCCCACTTGCCGAAGGCATCCGAAGGGCATAAAGCCCCTTCACCTACTGCAAGACCGAAAATTCACAACACAGGTCCAAAGGCCCAATGAAGGGACAACAAGATGAGCCATGCCTGGAAGAGAATATGAGCCCTGGTCTGCGGAAAACAAGTTTTATTTAATGTCGTTCCTCCATTAAATCACAACGATTCAACCTCCCGCCAAACGGGGGTGGCTGTGTCCGACGGAAAGTTCCACATCCCCTATCGTCTTCGAACATGTCTGGAACAGGGCCAAGAGAGAATATATTCCCAACGCGTCAAGCACTAACTAACACGAAGCTGCGCTTGAAGAGTGCACAGAATGGGCATTCTCTGTTGGCCAAAAAACGCGATGCACTCATGATTCGGTTCCGGGCAATCCTGCGGAAAGTGGACGAGGTATTAGCATGGATCTCCTCCCCAACATAATCCTTGTCGTACGGTGGCTGAGATTTCATTGCAACGAGAGCTTTCTTGAGGAGCGGCTCGATATCGCCCACCTCTTCAATGCATTTACTGTATCGATGTCGACATTGACATTCGCTCACTCGTTCTCTGTCCAGGCCAAACGCAAGATGGGTAGAGTCATGCAGCTAGCCTCTTTCTCACTTGCGGAAGTGACCTACGCGACGGGGGCGAACAGCATTTCGTATCTAGTGCAGGAACAGGCAAAGAGTGCATCTTTCCGTGTCAAGTCTCGCAGTGACAACGTTTCTGGTGTCATACTCCCCGCTTTTGAAAGTGATCGCTCGACGGGATCAGGTCGGTACCAAAACTGCTCCCGCTCAGGGGGAGTCTCTCACTGGAACTGAAACTGCAGACTTCAATTTGACTGGACTTGGACGTGGTGGACAGCAAATTCTCAAGGCTCGCGAGGTTTACGCCAAAGCTTTAGAAACGCTGGTAGAGATCGCATCATTGCAGACGGCCTTCATGATATTGGACGATGTCATACGTATCACCAATCGACGCGTGAATGCTATTGAACATGTCGTAATCCCTCGATTGGATAACACAATCAAGTATATCATCAGTGAACTGGACGAAGCTGATCGCGAGGAATTTTTCAGGTGATGTGCCATGCGTTGGTTACTGTACTTCTATTTCTCATACCGATATTCCGATGAACAGGCTGAAGAAGGTGCAGGGAAAGAAAAAGAGGGATGCAGAAGCTGCCGAAGCCGCACTAAAAGCTGCCAAGGAGGATAGCATACAACTTCATAGTGCTATAGTGGATAACTTCGACAACACCACGGAAAATTTGCTGGCTACGAAAGATGCCGATGTCATTTTTTAGCATATGCCATAGATGCCTATAATACCACAACCGGCTCAAAGGGGGGTGAGACGCAGGGGGGCGATCGATAGGCTGTAATTGCATTGCGTGAATACATAACATAGACCGAGACTGGCATGAAGTGAACACGAAGGAGAGCTGCAATTATGAATTTAGGCCTAAAAACTAACGTCAGATAATGCTCCTTGATTAGAGGAATGAGAGCTGACCTGAGTTGCCTCGGCATCCTGCATGACAACATCATTCACTGAATCATCTTGCCCAGATCTTGGTCGGCTTCTTGCAAATGCCCTCCGCTGTAACATCCTCTTGCGGCCCTTATCGATTTTGGGGGTGGTAATAACAACGTTGGACGGACGTATACCGAGCTGGACGGTCGAGCCGTTGCTCTTTTCGCGCGTAACGTGTTCAATGAAAATCACCCATTTCTTCCGGTAGACAGTTGTGACCTTCCCCTCTCGACCCTTATGTTTGCCAACCAGAATCTTGACTACATCCCCCTTAGCAATGGGGAGTGATCTCACCTAGACAGCCGTGGAAAATGGTATAAGTATGACACAGTGCGCATGAAAATGGGTCGAAACGCACATTGTGCTCTTTGCGGAGAGCCTTCGAGAGAGGGGCTGACATTAGGCTATGGCGGACGGATGAAGGGGCAGTAAAATAGGCCTTGCGCGCCTTGCGGCGTGACGAAGAGACGCCTAGGGAATGAGGCAGAATTCGTTTTGTTAACACCAAGTTACATCCAGATGTAAATTATGCCATCCAGACTTCAGATGCGCCAATCCGAGCCGGAGAAGCTGCATATGATTGTCCTGGTCTTGTAGAGCGGAATGCATGCCTTACCAGGATTGTACTTCATCTTGATACCGTCAGAAGTGGGGATATCTTGCGGGTGGAGCTGATGGGGAAGAGTCACCTGACTAGCAATTCGGCTAGACGCTCAGCGCTCAAAAGACGAACTCGTCATTCTCGAAAGAAGTTCTGCTGACCACTGCCCAGAGGCAATCAGCTCAGAACGCCGCTGCACAACGGTCGGATTGTGAAAGGAAGCATCGGACTCTGTAAGTACTAAGGAATATGGCCACTTGTTGCCCGATCCGGCAACTTGTGCCATAATGGATTTGACGACCAAATACACGGAAAGCAAATAACGAAATTAACAGCAGATTCTGACCGTTTAAGCTTTGATCATCGCTGGGTCAAGTGGGGTCGGACTTCAGAGTCACTTATTCATCATTCGTGTGACTTCTGACATCAACGCGTCGGGACTCGTCATCGAAGATGTCGAGAATAATTTTGACAAGGGTCTTCCCCTCAGGTAGTGCCAATAAAACGCCTCTTTTGGCGAGATCTTCGACAATGATTGCTCGGAGGTTCCACGTTTCCTATCGAAGACAAGAGCATTTCCTGAATGTCTCGGCCAAAGTGCGCGGGTTTTTCTCAGTTGACACACGGAGACGCATCTGGATCTCACTTCAAAAAATTCTACACAGGAATTTAATGAGCGTGTTAAAAAAGGAGGGAAGAAGCTAGTTCTAGTTGATTTCTACGCGGAGTGCGTTACGACGTGCTCTTTGATAGAGCATCCACGCTCAAACATTAATCAATCAGTTGGTGTCAGCCGTGCAAGGTCTTATCACCTATATTAGAAAAATTTACAGAAGATCCAAGCCTAGTGGGAGGAGTGGAAGCCGATCTTGTCACCGTTGATGTCGATGCGAATGTAGACTTGGCAATGGAATATGAGGCATGTCTCTTATCCCTTTTCTTTGCCATTCAAACATACTCAGTAATGCGTTTTTGACCCACACCTTGTTTGTGGCCTAAGGTACGAGCAATGCCGACCGTCATTGCCTTCCAATCTGGAAAGCCTGTGGGGCAATTCGTTGGTGCCTTACCACCTCACCAAGTGAAAGCTTTCATCCAGCGACCAGGGACATAGCAGGGCAGCACTGTAGATCTTGCAATAGTATGAGTGTTATCGCAAATCAACTGCTCTTTTATTCGGCTGGATGGAACCATCATATGGGAACAGCATGTAAATGTAACATTCGTAGAATGGGGCTAGTATAGCAGAACCCAAACATGAATAAATAGTAGAAAAAAGTTACCATTAAGACAGCAGGCAGGAACACGTATGCAGTGGATGGAAGGAGTGCAAGGTGGAATAACTTTGTGAGCGAAGTGATCGTGAGGGGTGCAAGGGGATATCACGACATGAAGGTGACCGGAATGTGGAAGACGCTGGAGTGCGTGCGGCGCCTTTCGGCGTGGGCGAGGTCGGGTTCGTGGTCGAAGGAGTGAAAGCTTCACATAATGGTGCAATTGCAACCCTGAGCTGGTGGCGCGTAAGGGTCTTCGCCTTTACCCACTGGCCCCCACACAGATGGAACCTAGATGAAAATGAGGAAAAGCACGGTTAGGAGAACACGTGAGAGACTTGGAGTAGAAAGGACGTCGTACGAGATGATCTTTCGTATTTTTGCAGTAGTTGATCAGGCTGTGCAAGTGCATTGGTTTGGGTCGCGGACAAAGACTCCATAGACCGAAAAGCATACCTAGCGCTAGCCTCACTGACCCGTATCCTTGGGCGTGCAAGGTCATCTCGGAGCCGCTGGATATGCTCGTTCAAGCGCCGAAGTTTGAGCTCAGACATCGACTGTTTATGTGGTCGTGAATTCATGGTGAACCTGAAAGAGCACCATATGTTAGCCCATACCATATGGGTGAGACAAGTCGATCATTATACCCACCAGTACGCCCGATACGCTCACGTCAAGACGGAGATAGAAAGGGATTTCTGACGATAGAAATAAATTGTGAGGGAAACGATTCACGAGGGCGGCAAATACCGCGTCGCCATGCACGTGGTGATCTGCGGGTTCTCGCAACCATTGACCGAAACAGCACCGTAATCACTGACTTTGTGTAGATCTCTATAGGACCACAGGCTTATAGCGGGTGTTAAGTCACAACAAATCCCTTCAGGTGGAAATGCACAATCCCAGGCGTGCCGTTCATGATTCCAAAGGTACGAAACTCGGAAATTGGCTCTTGTCGCTGTGACGATCCCTGGTGCACGATCACTCTTCGATTATCTGCATATTTCCGTGCCCCAGCTTCGAAAGTTCCCCGTCTTTGTCAAAAAATATCTCTCAGTTCTTCCACTCTTGGCGTCAGACCTGCACAGCAGCAGCACTTCTCCAAACTTCGTCCTAGGTTCTCTCACTCTGGCTCTCCTAATGTGGCTCGCTTGCAACCGCCTTCTTTCCCTTACAATGCATTGGGCTCCATCCAGAATCGTTCTTTAGGAGCCGACATGGATGTTGAATGCCTTCTCAAGGATCTATTGGAAGGCTCTTCGAAAGATGTTTTTGATACCTCTGACCACGATGGGCTGCCACCCGACTCCGATGACGAACATTTAGGAGACTGGTTAGAGGGAAAAACCCTGATCGAGTCTGCGGCAGAGATTCACGGCCCTGGTGAAACGTCCGTTCTGAGATATCTCAATACAGAATTGCATGCTTTTTCCTAACTCGACATTCCCCTGGACAGTAATAATGAAGATGCGGATCTCGAATTCAATCTTGAACTCATCCAACAACTCGCTGGTGGGTTTCTTTGTATTTCTCTCCCTGATGATGCATTGGATCCCTGGGTGCTAGAGCCTTTCGATCAACAATCGGCCTCAATTAAGAAAGAGATGTTGGACACTCTGCAACCTGCCTTGAAACGCGTGCATCTTATCTTGTCATATATCTCTAAGGAAGTAGATGCTGACAAATATGTGTGAGTCGAACTTGTCTATCATGTGTGGATGACGCATATTCTCCTTGAGTGGGCGAGGTTGCCGGATTGAAATTGAATCACTATCACTTGGTCCAGATCATCCGGGATTCACGCTTTCAATGAGATTTCAAAGAAATATGAAGCAGCCGCTCAGAACCAGGCGGAAAGTATACAGAAGGGCCTAGAGGAGTCGCAATCCCGTATCAAGGATCTTTTCGAAGAGTTGAGGATGGCTGAAGAACGACGCAACGCATGGTGGGACCGATGTTTTGCTCTTATTGCTGAGGCCGGTTCGTTGCTTTCATTTTCCAGTAGTTACCTTGGAAGAACGCTAAATCTGATCATGCGTGTAGAGAAACTTGCGGAGGGCGTAAGGATCGAAGTCCATGGAGCCATGGAGACGATTATCGCTAAAAATGAGAAGAAGGTGAAGTCGCATCTCAATGAGAAAGGTGTTGGCAAGCAACGGGGCAAAGGCTCCGAGTTTGACAAACTCAAGACGATGATGGCACTGTGATACCAGTAACCTGCTTACGTACGCCACCTCAGGCTCAATTTACTCATGATGCCAAAGCCCGGAATATTGTCCCAACGAATTATCGTCCTGCCCTTGATGAGTCGCATCTAAATGGCTTTGACCCGAACTCAAATGTTTATATCAAAAAGTATCCTGGTGCACCGGTGCAAGAACTAAGCATCTCCTACTATGGAATGAAACAATACAAATTCCCGCACTGAGCTAGATCAATGATCCCATGCCTATGCCCACGCCAACAATGCCCACAACCCCACTCATCACCAGCCTTGCGTTAACGTTCAAATCCCTCACATTAGTCGCCGCTCCAGAGTGTGAGGAGGAAGGCTCGTTGCTCTGGGTCGTAGCCGCAGTCATGCTCGTGCTTGTGCTTCTCTGACTGGTTCGAGTGGAGATTGCTGATGCGCTTAAACTTGACGAAGTGTTGTTCGTAATAGTTGCTAGGGCCTTTTGCTTGAACGCCGCGAACGTGTTGGGCAACGACTTGTTCGCATTGATCGCTGCAACCATTCCTTTCGAGCAATGTCTACAGTCGAATGTAAGCATACAACATTGCAAAACAAGGTAGGGCTAGCATACCCTGTTTGGGCACAGAAAAACCATAGTGGCTTTTTCTCAGTTATATGGATGGTCCATGCTGCAAATTGCCTCATTAGCAATGGACCAGTTGGGTTCCCAGTGGACGGCACGCTCACTCGGGAAGACCGTAGCATTTACTGGTACCGGACGGCTAGTGAGAGATGGGTGAAAGGGTTGAGCATATGAGCCGCCAGATGAAACTCACAATCCAGAGGTAACTGCTCGCAAGGAGGGATCAGCAACTGAGGTGTTGACAAACTGAGTACAAGGTTCCGCGAATGTTGACTGGGAAACCGTCTGGTGTTGGCATAGCATGAGAACGAGTCCAATCATGAATAGCGCCACCTTACATGGTTCTTGGAAGTGAAGATGAATATGACATTATCTCCGGGTTCAGCGGTAATTTCGGCGGGTGTATAGGTGAGAGTGCCATTAGCGCCAACGATAACTTGAATTGTTCGTTGCTGAGGGCGAGTACGTCAGATTTGGCCCTGTGATCTATGAATTGTTTATGACGAACTGCAAAGACGTAGGTAGCAGTCAAGAAAAGCGAGACAAAAAGAGAGAACAACATGGTGGCGATCGTCAGGAGTATGTTAAAAGCTATTTATTGCTGAAAACGAAAAATAAACCAGCGAGTCTGTGATGTTGAAGAGGATCAGTAAGGGAGAGATGCAGTGAAGAAACTGGGCGAGACATACCCTGCTCGAAAGAGAATTGTGAGGGAAAAAGGGGGGGCAAAGTTAGGGAAAAGTACCCCAGCGGCACATATCGCTAGCTACTTGTAGGGCTCAATGATGGAAGAATGGTCATCTCCGATGGTTGCCTTTGATCGGCTGCGGTAACTCAGGTGGTGGTTGCTATAATCACGCTGTTCACGGGCGAGAAGTTTGCGAGGAACCGTAGCTGACAACTGGCCAAGGCACAGCAATCTGCCATGAAGTTCAATCAGCTGAAAGCCGGTGGCTGTGTTGTTAATTGAGGGACACTGCCACCGAATTGAGCCTTCTCGGCCGGCATATTTGTGGAGCCACGCATCTTGTGTGTGTGAAGGAACGGTTCTGCGTTCTTTCCTTGTCTCCAGCATGCTTCCAAGCCATTGGCTATCGGGAATTGATAGCCTTCTTGCGCCTTGCGGAGCGTATCTTTCATCCAAGCTCGGCTTGTCGCGTCTGCCGGAGCATTTCACTCTTGTGGTTTTAAGCGCCTTGACCTTCCACATCATTCAACTCCTCTCAGGCGTATTTTCTCGTGTAATTTTCCCAAAAACTTATGGAAACCTCAAGAAAAACGTCAGGAGTAATTGGGATGCTCATGTTGTGTCCATGGCTCACGCAGTAACCATTATCCCACTCGCATACTCCTTCAAAATGAAAGGCTCTCCTAGCCTGGAGGAGGACCACGCTTTCGGATGGGACCCGGAAATTGGCTCTATTATCGGGATTTCAATAGGATAGTATGTCACAGTTCATTGGCCGTACCCTCCGTCTTCAGGGCGCTCATCTCACTGGATTTATGTTGCGATGTCTCACCAAATGATCCGTGTGAATCATTAGTTTCATGTGGGACAGCATACATTGCATTTTGGACATGACCGACTTTGGTTTTATCGTTCATGCTACGCTTTGTTTGGCAGTATATCTGAACGGCTACGTACGTGGTTTTTGCCCGTGCGGTCCAGTCTTGGGGACATAACTGGCTTGTATATATCAGCGCCCCTTTCTAGCATATTATGCATGCTCATTCTTGTTATGGGAACTGTCTACCCCATTTCTGAATATTCACTGGTGAGCACTCCGAGGTTATTTGATCCATCGCTTACTCCATACCGTGAATCCTTGCATCCAGGTTCCTCGACAAACTTGGGATGACTGGTGGCTTTTTCCAACTCATCAACAGCGCGGTCCTCCTCGTGTCATTTTTTGGTGCTAGGCTTGTTTTCGGCACTTACAGCGTGAGTTCATTCGTACACGAATTAATACATGTATTGGATCAAATTTCAACAAAGAGTTACGAATTTATCAACACCATGCAAGAACTCAAGGCTAACCATCAGATCTCAACCATCTTTTATGCCGCATACCTGTTTGGAAACGTCTCGCTGAACCTGCTGAATTGGATCTGGTATTGTGACTGTCAAATTGTGGTGCTTATTGATCTAATGACTACAATTTGGGATTCCGTCTCTAGGTTCTTCAAAATGATTAAAGCTCTCCGGAAGCGTTTCTCCAAGACCACAGAACCCAGGAGAAATGGAACCGGGTATCACGGAGAAAGCGCGAACGGGGCAACCAAGCAGGTCGCCAACAGCAGATCGAAACGGAAAGTCAAACTTGCTTAGATTGTATCACCGCAAACCGCCATCGAATCCTGTATGAAAAGAGCCGTATTGTACTTCTCTGCTTTAGACAGCTATTTGACTCTACTAATAATTTTGTACTGCATGTATCTGTTGCATCATTTATCATCATGACATATCTTGTCAAGTCTATGCTCGTTACGCCGAGGCTGAGGGATTCTAGATCTATCTATCGAAACATACACCTTCGTGTAGTCCATGTCGATGTTTCACGGCGGTTAAGATGCTCACATAGTGAGCAAGAACAGCCAGGAGGATGTGCACGTGGAAGATCTGATGGGAGGCACCGAACAAGTCAAACGTCCCGGGAGATAATCGCTCGGGAAACCGAGATGCACTACAAGCATTCAACGTTCAACTAACTGCGAGATATCGACGAGTATATGTTTGAAGCACTCACTACATGATAGCACCAGAGATGTAAAAAAATGCGCTTACAAGGACCCAGACAAGGCCCATCTCCTCGGCAAGTCGTCTGAACCCCGCTGTGAAGAGTCCATGGGCGACCGGGACAATCCCTCCTGATCCCAGTGTAAGGAATACCACTGTTCGGGCCCATCGGTATTTAGGGGTAGAATATGACGGATTGAGTACGATGAAAGCTGCGACTGATTGTTCAAACTCATTAGTGGCGTGTTAGCCAGACAAGGTGGAGACGCACGAAAGCCCGCGCTGCAAATGCCCGCCAAGTATAGCCTATGCAACTTTGGTTCACAGAAGAAACCAAAGTGGAGGCTGGGAAAGAAAGATCTGATCCACCGAACAGTTGAATCTGCACCCAGGCTTTGTAACTTGCAGAAATCTTGCTCACCCCACAATGAGAGCTGCATCGAGGGAAATATTCCTCAAAAGCGAGGCAACACTAACTAGGGCTCCAACTCACAAATGATGCCTGTGTAATCAAGAGCATTGCATCGTTTGGCAACCTGCCGCGAATGGCAGCTAACACAGTGAAATACTGCGCTCGATAATAAGCAGAATACCGCGGCACAGAGGAAAATGAGAATTGATGCAACGTCTTTCCAAGTGACACTTGCATGTGTCGCGAGAAAATATGGGTAAGTCCCAATGCCGAGGAAGACGAAAAGTGCGGCGCCCCAGAGATGAGAATGGATGTTAACCGTCTCATTGTGAAAATACCCCAAGACTGAGAACAAGCATGCCGAAAGCGACCTGAGCTCCCTTGCTCATAGACAAATGGATGTCAGCTGTTGCTGCAGGATGAAGGGTACTTACCTTCGATATCCACTATGGGAAAATGCAGAAGCGTTCCAGATCAGAAAATTAGGATGTGGAGTGCTCCTAGAACTTACGTGCGTATATACTCATTGTCTTTCATCTAGGAAATTAGGTGTTAGATGAAATCTCCGATACCGTGGCCTCGATCTCACCCAACCCGGTAATTCATCCCAGGTGATAGTCATCGGGAATGGCTTTCGAGATTTGTTAGCGACCTTGGACAGTCTCTTCATACTCGATCCCAGATAGTCAGTCCAATGGGGAATTGATGCAGTGCGGGAAACGGTCGCACCCCACCAAATTGTTATGTATAAATATTCAGTAACAAGCGCCGAAACACCTTTTGGTTTGCTTCCGTTGACTTGACCATACCGGGGCCGATCGCATAAACAAATGGATTCCATACGCATCGCCAAAGTATGAATAATCGTCTTCCTCCTGGTCGTCCCGCGTAACGCAGCGCGTGCACATAGGTAGAACGGGTGCAATATAATAAAGGACCGATACGCGTCGAAGGCACTCTTCACTTGACGGCCCACCATCTCATATTCAAGTATGAAGGGGGGAATGGAGAGCAGGAAGTATGGGTGAGTAGTTGCTTGCATATGGATCCACGGGTAGAAACAAAATATTTAACGGTAGATACCTTACCCTCTAATCTCCACCGTGACACGCCTCCCTCTGTCCCTGTATGGCCAATCTCCTCTGGCATTCGGATCGAGAAACTTCGAATACTTCACTTTTGTTTTTACAAAAGAGAAGGATGCAATGGATGTCTTCGAGAGCGTGAAAGAGCTCACCGTCTCCCGTAAGCTTGACGCTACCTCCAGCACCCGTCCTGTGATCGAATTATTCTCGATAGCTTCAGTGACAAGTCTTTATGCATATTTTTATCAACCAAATCCACCACTCAGCAGCAACGATGGGTGGTTTATCTATAACTCTCGTCAGGAGTTTACTAGAATGGGCATAGGATCGAGGACCAAGGCTTGGCGCTTCACAGACATCAACAAGGATTACACAGTAGGTATCGGGCTGACAGTGGCATCCTTTATCTGGATTAAACCTTTTCTCTTGCAGTTTTGCCCCACATATCCATCTTTGCTTGTGGTTCCGGCCAAGATTAGCGACACAGTGCTCACTTACGGTGGCAAGTACCGCAGCAAAGCGCGAATTCCGGCTGTAGTTTATCTTCATTGGAATAACCATGTGGGATAAAGTCTTCGTTTCCCATATTCTTCTTGGTAACGGGTTATGGCAGGCCTCAATAACACGATCCAGCCAACCTGCTGTTGGTTTAACAAACAACCGATCAATACAAGATGAAAAGCTTATTGAGGCCATCTTCCAATCCCATCACTTGGTTGCCTCCCCTTTTGCAACTATTCCCCAGCGTTCGACAGTATTTGGCGCGACGGCGACCAATCTTATTATCGACGCTAGGTCTGGTACAAGTGGAGTCGCCAATGTGGTACGGGGTGGCGGAACAGAGAACATGGATTATTATAGGGAAGGGAGGAAAGCTTACCTCGGAGTGGAGAATATTCACGTTATGCGGGATTCGCTTGCCAAAGTGGTGGATGTGCTTCGTGAAGGTGATACGTCAGCACCAATACCTGGCACGAGCGAACGGAGCGATGATAGACGCATTGGGGTTCTAGATCGCCAAGGCCTCAGGAGGTCAGGATGGCTAAAGCACATTTCGGCTCTTTTGGAAGGCGCAGTCATTATCATCAAAAATGTCCACATCAATTCATCACATGTACTCATTCATTGCTCCGATGGATGGGACCGGACGGCCCAACTTTCAAGCCTTTCTCAGCTTTGTTTAGACCCATACTACCGTACGTATCGCGGTTTCCAAGTCCTCATTGAGAAGGATTGGGTGTCTTTCGGTCATCGTTTCCTGGATCGATGCGGCCATCTCTCATCAGAGAAGTTCTTCTTGACACTCAACAATGACGGGGATGGGCCACAAACCTTCCTTGCATCCGTCCAGAACAAGTTCGTCTCCCCATCGCATCTGAAGGAGACGAGTCCCGTGTTCCACCAATTCTTGGAATGCGTTCGACAAATCCAGCGCCAATATCCAAAGAGATTCGAATTCAACGAGCGTTTCTTGGAGAGATTGCATTATCATGTTTACTCATGTCAGTTTGGAACGTTCTTGTTCAACAATGAACGTGACAGACGGTTTTCTGTTGACGGAGCATCGAAACCTGCCATCGCCTGTACACAATCCGTCTGGGACTTCCTGAATTCCGAGTCCGAGAAGAGTTCATTCCTGAACCCTGATTATGACTCGTCTCTGGACTCCAAAGATGACCGCTCCTCGGACATGGGAGTTCTCATTCCGAATCCCAAGGATGTGCGGTTTTGGCACGAACTGTACGGGCGAACTGATGAAGAGATGAATGGACGCAGTGTCGATGTTCAGACAGCTGGAGCGGAGGCGCCAGATTCCGTTGACGAGGATACGGATGGTCCTGCAATAAACCTCAGTTCGACCTTGCCCTCGACGGATACGCAAGAGTTATCGAGACCTTTTCTTCTGCAGCGACAAGCATCCTTTCTACCTCCCGCACCCCGATCGCCCTCTCCTCGGCCCCCCTCTAATACATATATTCCACCACTAACCAGCTCTTCAACATCGGTAACTAGCCAGGCGTTAGAATCTCGGTCCACCACCCCTCCAACTTTCCCGAGTCCTTCCTCTCCTTCTGCAATTCGAAGGCAGCAAACTGGAGCGTTCGGACTTCCGACAGGAGGTATGAAGTCCATGTGGGCACAGTTCTCGTCTAATGCCAGTGCCGCATTCTCTGCCGTACAGGAGGCTTACGACGGAGCCGCGAAGGAACTGTTAGGTGGTGGGGAGCCTCTTCGGGAAAGGGGCAGGACCAGGACGGAGGACTCAGAGCGGGGGACTACAGGAAGCGACGACGACCAAAGACAACCAACATCGTCCTGATCTGGACGAGTCACCTTGGGGAGATGGCGCTACCTCACCAATCTCCCGATTGTCATCATATACGTCTCGGCAGACCTGGTCAGCTGGCTCGAACCGCGCGTCCCCGTCTCGGAATCCACTACCATTGGACTTTGACGACCCGTGGTCAACGAGTAATGTCACAACGCACGTATCAGAAGTCAATACAGAAGATGAGGGTCCAGCTCAGGAGCTAAAGTCAATGTCTTTGTCATCTTCACAGAGAAGTGGGCCACCAGAGTCCTTTGCCTCACCCTCGACGGTGGTCCAGAGCCCGGGCCCGACCCCACTGGATAATGCTCCATTACAACAGGTGTCTCCGACTCCTTCCACTATTTCATCTTTCCGGACACCTGACACATCATCATCATCACTTCAGTTGGAAGCACACATAACTGACACGCCCTCTGAGCTGCTCAGTACTAACGAGAAACAGTTTGATCCATTAGGCGTCAGTTTACTTGGATGACACAAACCGTGTACGTGTATCGATCATTCGATTAAAATAAGAGTACATGGAAGCACGGTGCTGCAGTGCAATTAGTGAATGCTGTGTGATACAACAATGACAAAGAACATTGGGACAATGACAATAAAAGTTGTCCGTAAGTAGTGCAAATGATATGAAGTGAAATGTATACAGTACGGTGAAAGAGATTGTAAGGCGTGACAAACAGTTAACAGTCTTGAGAGCATTACAGTATTAATCCACAAACAAGAGAGCGAGTGGGGAAGTGAATGAGTGAACAATAATGCCTCAGCGGGCACGCGATGGAAGCTGTGAAAGGGTCCTATGCTTTGGCATAAATAAGGGGCTCTGAATGGGCGGCGAATGCTGGACACGCAATGGCCTCGAAAGCTGCGGAGATGGACACGATGACTCGGTGTCGCATTGATTAGCGGCGCTTGAGTGAGAAGAACCTTGCGTTGGTGATGAAGGACCCATAGGCGGGCTCTTAGGTCCTGAAGTTGTGACAACGACACCCGTATTCGAGGCAGGGGGCAACAGAGGACGGCTCTTGAGGGAAACAGTGTTGGTTTGATGCGGAGCCTTGGTAAGGTTGTTAACGCCTGGCGCCAATAAACGTCCTAGCGGTCTGACATGTCGGCCCAATGCGACAGGTCTAGACCCTGCAGCATAGACCCCTGCTTGGCGAGCTGTCTCAGAACGGGCTTTTTCAAAAAGGGTCTTGGGAGTTGAGCTCTTCCCCCCTGCAGACAACCTGTTTAGCGCTAGTATAATACAAAATGACTAATACTCACATCCATTCACTCGAAGTCGCTTCATTGGGGGAATAGATCCACCTGTAAAAACGAGACGCTTTTCTTGCTTTTGAGCCTCAAGTTCCTGGTATTTACTCCTAATACGATGGCCGGCTTCCTCCTCCAGTTTCTTCCTTCGTGCTGTTTCAACCTGACGGAAAGGAGGACGTGAGACGTTAGACACGTGGAGGAGGAACGAAGCACAGTACTATATGGAATTTGCGCCATGATTTAGGCGCCTCAAAACCAGGCTCTCTCTGGATATCGAATTGTCGAACACAGATTTCTTCCCATATTTCTACATTGTTTGCGAATTAGCGTGGCCCAGCACGGAAATTATAAGAATACAACGAACCTTGATCATCTGCCTTCAAGTGCTAAAAAGGTACAGCGTAAGGCAGCAAGAATGCATCTAAAGCGTAAGATACCTTACGGGTGAACTTCGTTCAATCTCCAGTAATTGGTCTGCTTGGCATTGCATGAGGATCGGCTTGGCCAGTCGGTAAGGCATATCCCCTAAACTGTTAATAGTTTCTACGTTAGCCATGATCGACCGCATAGCATATTCAGCAAGGGACTTCAAACGTCCCGAACGATCAGCCATGGTTGTCCACGTCTCCTTTGGTAGTCGTGACAGTCAAGATTGGTTGGGAAGGCTCGATTTAAATAATGGGGCTTTGCCGAGCTTCGGACACCGCCGCTTTCAATGTCGCTAGCTGAAGCATCGGAAGCACGAAAAGTGCGACTCATTGCCCTTCGGAACCGAAAGCTTGGCCAGGGAGAATTATCCGAAGGTGGTGAAGGGTGAGTGTTCAACTCCAAGGCCAATTTCGAATCAAACCCGGACACTCCTGTAAGAAACCGTACCTTCATCTTCAAACAGCGTAACTACGACCCTGAAACACGGACGTTACGAAAGCATGGAGCCACAGACGAGGAGAAAGATACCGTAGAGAAGGCGGTTGAGGGATTGGCTGAGAAAATTGCTGCGGAAGATGAAGAACGACGTGCGCAGGAGCTAGTTAGAGATTTCTTCAGCCTTCCCCACCGCGTTATTGATATTTTTGCTTAGGATCTATTCAACATCGCGCCCAAGAGGCCCAATTGGGATCTAAAAAGAGACATGGAGAAGAAATTGGGGAAGCTCGAACGGAAGACCCAAGAGTGCATTCACGCGTTAATCCGTACGGCGTTATTTGTTCGTTTATTCTCGTGGAATGCTGAATTTCTTTCTAGGACAACGACTTCTGACTCAAAAGGGAGTGGACCCTTCTGCAATCAATCTTTCCGCTGGAATCAGCGAGCGCCAAAAAGCTGCGGAGGACCAACTGGATGATAACGACAGTGATGAAGAATAATTATCTATCGTGCTTATAATACATGGATTATCGTACACTAATGTGATATGTAGCTTTAGGAACTTTGATTTAGGAAGGGTGGAAGCAAACTATGACACCAGGGTACGATTCACAAGTTCTTTTGTTGACGTTGCAGTCCAGCTGTTATGCAAACCGACCGTCTCGTCTGCTCCATTCACTGGTCCGTTGCAATTCGACGCTAACACGTTCGGGTCCAATTGCTGATGAGAGTGTCCGTTGGAGGTTGCAGCAACCTTCCGCTTGGCATCATCGCTTCTCAGGAGGTCGATGTGACGAAGATACTCGTCGTCGACTCCTCCGGTCACATATTCCCCAGTAAATACGGAGCAATCGAACGACCGAAGTTTGCCATTGAATTGCTGCACAGAGGCAACAAGATTTGGGAGTGACTGAAAGATGACTAAATCTGCTCCTATTGCTTCCGCGATTTGTTCTTCATTTCGGTCGTAGGCAACGAGTTCGCTGGGCGATGGCATGTCGATTCCGTAGACGTTCGAGAACCTAGCACCAGTAAGTATGTGATGTTTGGTACAAAGTGTCAGAGCCCACCTTATCGGAGGTGCGCAGGATGCGATCAGAACTTTTTTAGCACCTACGTCTCTGGCCATCTGAATGATTTCCTTCGAAGTTGTGCCTCGGACTATGGAATCTGAGAAAGAATGTTAATGGGATTTCACGACTGTCGCTGGCAATATTACCATCAACAAGGAGGACAACCTTGCCAGCGAATTCCAAGGCCATGGCATTCAACTTCCTTCGCACGTTTTTTCTGCGCGTCTGCTGCCCAGGCATTATGAATGTTCTCCCAATGTAGCGATTCTTCATAAATCCTTCCCTGTACGGTATCTTCAATTGCTGAGCAAGTTCTAACGCGGCTACCCGGCTAGTATCAGGAACCTTCGCATTCACCGTGTCAGTCTCCATGCAATTTGGATGATGTAATGGCAGTCTACATACTGGGATAACAACGTCAACCTGGATCTTCTTATCCTCAAGTACTTGCTTGACTGTGTTGGCTAGGAGCTCGCCCATTGCCATTCGACTGCGGTATACACTCACCCCATCAAGTACAGAGTCAGGACGGGCGAAGTAGACGTATTCAAATATATCGGGTGCGAATTCAGCATATGGCTTTAAATGACGTCTGGATACTCGCTCCCGAGTGATGATAATCGCTTCGCCTAAGAAGACGGGCAAATCAGCTCGTCCAATAAGGGAACTTTGTGAATGTCCGCACCTGGCCTAACATCCTCCCATTCTGCGAATCCAGAAGCATCTGCAACGACGCTTTCACTCGCGAATATGTAGTCCCGTCTGCCCAGAAGATGTCTTCGGACACCCATCCCAACAGGTCGAATTCCATTGGGTCCCTAAACGCAATCAACCCGAAGCCAGCTAGCATTGCGATGCAAGCATAAGCTCCATTGGCCTGGTCCATAAGGTCATGAATGGCTGTGAAGATATCTTCCTCATTGATACGAAACTTTCCCGTCTTTTGGAGGTTATTCGCGAAGATGTTCAGGAGCAATTCAGAATCACTATCCGTATTGATGTGACGATGGGCGTCGGCATCAAGGAATCCTTTAAGTTCCCGGGCATTGATGAGATTGCCATTCTAGACAAGTGTTGCGTCAATTTCGCGTCAGCAACGATGGGATGAGCTCAAACGTGCTCCCTACATGGGCAAAAACGATGCCATAAGGCGAATTGACATAGAACGGCTGTGCCTCGGAGTACGCAGATGAGCCAGCTGTAGGATATCTAACTGGAGTGCTGGAAGTGAGATCGAATCGGAGAGATAACGAGAGAATTTGTGTACTCACCATGACCAACACCCATGCCACCGATCAACGTCGACAAACTTTTCTGATCGAACACATCTCGCACCATCCCATTGGCCTTGCACTGATAGAATTTCCCTTTCGGTCCGCAAGTAATAACCCCACACGCATCCTGACCCCGATGCTGTAACAGGCTCAGTCCTTCGCAAATCTCGGGTGCTACGTCTTCCTCGGGGTTATGAAACAAAAGACCAAGTATCCCACACATTTCAAATACCGATCGTCGAAACCTGTCCTTGAAACGTACGTGGTGGACCCCCACTGGTGTCTTGGAAGAACTGGAGGAATGGTTAAAAATCGCTCAAACCCGAGTTCCCACGAATCGGTTCATCATCTGACTTCAAACACCAACGCGGCACTCAGACGCGTCGCTCAGCACCGCACATATGGGTCGATCGCGCTCAGTCTTGGCTATATGCATTGTGGTTTTGCTGCTAATATGGACCTGGACGCGCCATGCACCTCGCCCGCTCCACCTCCAAAATGTTCAGAGTCGACTATTGGATCTGCACACATCTCCGTTGTATCATGAGCTCTCTCAGATGGCCCAAAATGTTAGCACGCACGCTTTTGAGGTTGTGTCTAGTCGTGTCCCTTCACGTGGTCAGAACGTGATAGACCGAGAACTTGCTCTCCAACGCCGTATCAAGTGTCAACTAAAACACCATGGTCTCGAGAGGTCCTTGCTTCCGCCAGATTGTCGATCGAGCAACTTCTCGCGTTCGGAGCACAATCCGGAGATCTCAGGGGACTCGCCGTGCCCTTACCTTTATGGAAAGACTCTTCTACTGCTTGGCGATCGATCGCAGCATGCGCTTCACGATTTGTTGTTAGATCACTACCCCATCCCTGGCGATCCAGAGAACACTAACTGCCCTGGTGCAGACTTCTGCAATTGGCACGCAATATGTCCGCGCGTCTCTTCCCTCAGTAATGGTCCCTTTGGGTCTGCGGAGCGACTTGCCGCAAAACTCGATTCTAACAGGAAAAAACAGTTGCCCCCTGATAGGCAGAATGTCTCCATTCTTCGCTATGTTCGTACATATCTCCTTTTCCCAACGGGAAGTCGTAAACACAAGCGTCACAACGAGCCACACGTTTCTCGTATCACAGGTGTCCGCGAATCAGAGAGCTATTGGGTATCTTCCGTTCGAGGTGCAGATGTGATTCTTTTATCCAAAGCCCCAGTCCTTGCACCTTCATGGAGCTATGGAAAGGAACGGGGGAAACAAGCATCCACTGATCCAAGACCTTTCCGTCTCCGTCCTCCTCAAACTGGAGATTGGGAGCTAGAGAATGTTCATTACTTTAAAGACATCGTGCCCTTAGTGTCCTTCGACTCTGTTGTTAACAGTGCACTTGACGTTTCTGCTGGAGAAATTCTCTACTCTGCTGTTCGCGCCACTGTGGATGTCTGGGTTCCGACGCTGGTCTCTACACTCATTTCTATCCTGTCTGATTCTGGCATGCGTTCAAAGAGGTTCATATGGAGGGGCGAATGGAGTGCGTTAAGGAAATGCGGGACGGAACATCTATCTGTTCGATTTCCATCCGCGTTGGATACTTTGCTTGGCTTCCAGATGCATCCTTATTACTTGAACCAGCCGGTCAAGGATCCTTGGTTCTCTTTCCACAACTCTCAAGGTAAGATTGACTCTTGTTTTACCAGTAGTGGCTCAAATTGATACGAATTCCGATTGTTAAGTGGTATTCCAGTCCCTTATACTCAGCTACCTCCTTCCCCGGCTCGGGATATCCTACCTCCCCTTCTATGACCTCAAGCTCTCTCCAGCGCCTGAATGTCCATCCGCTGACGAAGCTTACCTCAAATCAAATACGCATCTATTTCAAGTGCAACTTCCGGAAGAAATCGGGAAAACATTTATCGATACATTAGAAATCGCACTTGAGTATTAGCGTACAAGATGAACATGAACTGTTGATGGTCTGGGTATATGAGGGGCAGCTGGAAGGCGCGAATCATGGTATGTGGGGAGATGGTAATAGCGGAGAGGAAGCAACGCTCCGCCAGCGGCAGCAATCACAACAATAACTACACGAACAACAAACAAGCTTGATCATACGTATACAACAGATTTTTGATATTTTCAATCAGCACGCATAGATGTGGTACACTTAATTATCATCAGGTCGGGCTTTACTCATCGATGATCACGCTGCGACCCATTCAGCATTATCATGAAGGCGTGTGTAAGACCTCGTCTTGTGCCTCCATTGCCCACATATATTATGGAAAGTCGCTCTCCTTAAGGTAGGTACTGACTTGCATGTGTCGAAGAGGAGTGCATGAAAGTCATCGTCATCTGAGGCCCACATTCGAGGTGTTCGAGCCGGCGGAACATGGGATAACCCGGTGTTGATGGACTCAAATATGATGTATCATGGTAGGATGATGGAGAAATGAATGGAACCTGGGGCGAGATAGATATAGTGAACTGCATCGCATGCCGTTGTTGCTGATGCTGTGATGTGGGACTCTGACTGAGATTTGGGGTATGGGATGAAGGTGGGGATCCGGCGGATGAAGCGGGGGCTGATGGTGGAGCGGAGGGATTTCCGCTTGAGCCCGCAGCCTCAATGTGACCGGAGACCCAACCCGAACTAGAACTCACTATCCCCATCGTTGCCCCAGGCCGCCATAACAGATGGATATCATTCACTTCGAGATGAAATCTGGGATCCAGTGCAGTGGTGGGGATGTTCGGCAAACCCCCGGTAAACGAATTCCCGATCCCTGACAAAGCTTGTACGATTCTCCGATGATGGTGGTGCATACTGAGCCTTAACGATCTCGCGCCCCTGACTCCCTTCAAAACGGTCACAATGGAATCTAAAGCCCTCTCGCATGCAGGATCGCCATCGGTTCCTAACGACGATCCGATCTCGATTCCGAGGTCTTGTACGAACGCCGTCCGACCACGGGCGAGAATGACAGAAGTGGCGGCGTCGACGTAAGAACAAGCTTCAGCTGAAGTTACAAGCGCCCAACGATCGACGACGATGGTGAAAGATTTCCATAGCCGGCGGGATGCTTCCAAGTTGAATTCTTTACTTACGCAGCTGACGGTCCTCAGTGAATCGAAATCGAGGTGATGGATGAAGAGCCTCCAAACGTCGTATGGGAGTCGCATCTGTGAGGCTCGTGTGGCCGAGGCATAGCTCGGTGTACTGTGGTCATGTTTTGTAATCTGGTGCGTTCGGACACCGGTCTGTGAGCGAAAAGAATGGGACGGACACCTGCGTGTATGCTACATACCATGGGGGCACTGAGTTCCAAAAGATCCTCAGACGACGAGGATGGGGACGAGCCATAGACCGAGTGACTCCTAGCCCAGGCATATGCACTTCTCTGAGCTGGAAGCGCTCGCCGTTGACGGAACCAGTGGTCCAAAGCGTAAAATGGTACAGAGGAGGACGACATGACGATTAGGCGTGGCGCGATGTGGAGCAGCAATCTAGGATTACGATAATGGATGAGTAGACTTGATGAGATTATAAGCTGTGGATGTTCGGATTCGACGGGTGGGCGCGGATCATCTTCTTGAGATAGCTTGTGGCTGGGAGATGGGCGTCTGGGAACCGACTGATGTGGACGTGGACAGGAGTCAGTTCATGATCCAAGCATGAGAAGCATGCATGAGAAATGATATTTAACGGTGCAACTCAAGACGTTCTCATATTTGGGAAAAGTGAATAGATTGGAAAAGGGACCCCGTGATACCTATCCACCTTGTGGAGGCTATTAGCAAAGGGAAATAACGAAAAGGAGATGAGTGTTTGAGAACAGTTTCGTCGTTCTCCTCGACACCGCATATATTGTTGGTTTTCTCAGAGGGTCACATGCTCTTCGCCGGCGATCAACATCCACGATTCGTGCGACCACCTGGGCAGCACCGGCACATCCGTCAAGGTTTTTCCTTATAGCCCGGGGCGAATTAGCTCGCCCCAAACACCCTGATCACAAAGATTCAGACTTTATCCGGAACTTCCTGGACGAATCATGCTCCGTGGTCGAGCGATCAAACTATCGCTATTCTCCATATTCCTTACCTTTGTGAGCGCCATATTGAACGAGCCAACATAGTCTAGCCGGATGTCCTGAGAACGTGCATGTCCTATTCAACTAGTTATTCGTCTTCACGCTCTTCCGTTATGTTCCAACTCGTGAATACTATCTTGATCCATGGACAGGAGAAAAGTTTGGTCAAAGAGGCGTGGACGAAGCTGCATCAGACCCATTATACAGAGCAACCGTCCACAAGCAGAACTGGGGAGGACTGAACAGATTGATAAATCCAACTTCAAACCTAGCGTCGTTACGGGGAAAGTCATCATGGCTGAGTTAGGGAACGCCACTGCCAAGTACGTCTGAACTTAGGATGGGATTTTTTTCTCTTTCTATCTAACGTGCCAGATAATGACCCGTGCTGACGCGATTTCATTCTTCCTGCATCTTCTCACATCTGACGCTCCACGAAAATGATCAAGGGCGGAGCTGGGTCGGGCGACTTGGAGACTCTTGTTGGTGCATTACCTCTCACCTAATTTCTGTGAATCTGACCAACATGAACTTCCGCGACGCTTTCCATCACGAATATGAACTCATCTAGGCATACCATGACATTAAGATACCCCGAGGTACGCATGAACTCAATCTTACGCATTGATTACGTATTCTGTTTTCTGACTGAATCATTTGTGATAGCACCCAACCCACGACGAGCGTGAGGCTTTGAAGAACTACTTCTATCTAACTTCAAGATTGTACCCTTGTGGCGAATGTGCCTCACATTTCCAAAAATTACTCAAAGAATATCCTCCCCAAGTAAGCGAGAACTGTCAATTATGGTTTGAATCTACATTCCTGTCTTGCTCCCACTCGCTGCTGAACGCGGAACTTACAAACATCGCCTCATAAGACAGCCACCCGTAAAACGGCTTCATTGTGGTATGTGTCTTCCGCCTTCACCAATCCCTGTCGACAACGCCGCTCCCGTCACCTTCCGTATCCAGATTGTTTGCAAGGAGACTTATCTGCTCTCCCTTCTCTGGGCTTCCACCCAAACAGGTTATGCCATATCCACAACCTTGTTAACATTCGTCTAAAAAAACCCGAATTTGACTGTGGGAAGCTCGATACGACATACGATTGCGGTTGTGGACCTAACAACACAACATCGTCCCACCTGTCTTCTACTTCCAATTCTAACTCTGCCCCCACCACCATCCCCAAATTGGATACAAAGGACGTAAAGGTTGAGGACGAGTCGTCCCCAAGGGGTGAGCCAGTGAAGAAGGATGAGATTACGGGGGTGGACATGATTCGAGGGGGTGTACGAAAACGAGAGCAAGATGGACAATGAACAACAGTTACGAAAACGATCCTTCCTAGGAGAAGATTGGTAACGTGTAGTCGTGCCAAATCTTCGGCTCTGGGGCCACAATGTTTATTTTTTTTTTACCTCGGGAATGATCGTTTTGGATTCCCTGTCACGAAAACGAATCGCAATTCTTACTTCCCCCCCCACCCCCACCCACATCAGGTCAGCTGGCCAGTTGAATTTCCAGTTTTCATGGACAACTGACTGCTCTGAATGAAATGAGGCTCCAGTGTTCAGCATAAGCGTCTATGCTCTGTTTTCCGTCGGACTAACGAGGTTCGGGGAGTTGGAATGTGTATCGGATTTAACACCCCCCATGATGATCCCATCGATTCAACGCCATGGGGTAAACGATAGCGCTACTTCTCATGTTGATGATCCTGGATATCCTGGCATGTATGGCGGATATAGCAGCACTTAGCAATCGTGTCCGAGCAACTACAGCCGTCAAAATCACTCCTCTACTACTATTTCCATGAGCTGATAAGCCCATCAATCCTACCAAGCCTCTGCGATGGAAGCTCTAAGTAAGGTGGAGTTCGGTCAGGTATGTTCCTGCGATAATCACTAAGCTAGCTAGCACGTCGCAAGCTATCGTACATAACAATGAGTTGTTAGCAAGAGTCATAACAATCGATCAGAGTCTCGATCAACTTATTTCATTCACTTCAGGAGCATAGATGATAGAACAGAATGCGCGTTTATGTTAAAATGTTGGGGTTCGAGGAGTTGGAACGTGTTACATATCGGATTTGCACAAAGCATGCAGCTCAAGTGAAATAGGGCAATACATAATCTGATATGAAATGTTATTGGTCGATTGGCGATTCACACATACGCAGACGTTGTATATTCCATGTAGTTGTGTAATCAAAACGCACGTACGGAGAAAAGGGGGGAGGGAGGGATTAGAAACAAGGAAAGGGATGATGAATGAAACAAGACAATCTAATTCCATCCAGTTCTAAGACCGAATCCATAGCAGAGAGATGAGCTTAAACCAAAATCAAGCAGGAGCAGAACGTGAGACAGCGACGATGATGATGGCGAGCATCGATAACAAAGAATCAGAACGTTGAAAAAAAAAAGAAAAAAAGAAAAAAAGGATCGTCCCGAAATCACCCAACGAGGGAAACCGACACGGGACCTTTTGTTTTCGCAATCGTCGCCAATCTCAGCAACCCCGCTGAGCCTGGACCTACTACGCCTAAGCCTGTTGCTGGTGCACTCGCGCTCTCCGTCCCCTTAGCGTCGCCAATAGCGTTAGCAGCAGCAGCAACAGCAGCAACAGCACTTTTTTGCTGCGGCTGCTGCTGCTGCTGTTCCTTCTTCTTCCCTCGAATATACCCAAACCCTACAATCAAACCCTCCAAAACGATCTCCAAAATAAACAACCCAATCGTTCCCAAGAATACTGGCAACACCATAATGAACACTGCGACTCCGAAGATACACAAAACGAACCCGGTCCATTCGCCCACGGCCGCGATCGCGATCGCCAAGATGGTCCATTTCAAGATTTGGGTCAAGCTGGTTTCGGTCAAGGTGTAACTGGGGGAGAGAAACGTTCGGAGGACGTTGATCGGGAAAGATATCAAGGTGGAGAAATGTTTGATGAATTGTTTCGCGAACGTTATGAACTTTACGATATTTTGTTGGAGGGAGAGAAGGGCTTGAGGACCTGAGAGGACGCCGTTGAGCTGAGAGGGAGGGAGGGAGGGTGCGCACGCGATATCGATTCAGTGGGATTGCGAGAAGAGAAGAGAGGCCAACGTCAGGTCTAAGAAATGGAAGAGTCAAAAAGTTACGTACGAGATCTGATCCTGGTAGGCCAGGTAAGCCGGGAAGCCCAGGAAGTCCAGGAAGCCCAGAGGTTCCAGGCAGTCCGGGAAGTCCAGGCAATCCAGAAACACCAGGAACACTGGGTAAACCAGGTAAACCAGAGACGCTGGGTAAACCTGAAACACCAGGTAGCGCTGAAACAGCACCCCCGACACCTGCTGCTACGCTACCCAAGGTTGATAATCCAGGCAATCCGCCGGTCAAAGGCAACTTCTTTACATCGCCTTCGCTAACACCTGCTGGCGGGTCGACCTTCTTCGTGCTACCAGAAACACCAGGTAGTGCCGAAACAGCGCCCCCAACACCGGCTACCACACTACCCAAGACTGGCAGTCCAGGCAACCCGCCAGTCAAAGACGACTTCTCCTTTAACCCATTCACACCATCGGCCGTCACGACGGGTATTTGAGTAGCAGATGCCAATGCTGTATGTGCGGATTCGGGCAGACCGTTCAAATTACCGGTAGCAGGGTCTTGAAGTGCTCCGGTGATGGGGTTTGCGGGGAGTGCAGGGGCAGGTGCTGCTGTAAGGAGATGTGAACCGGAGATCAGCGTCCGACGATAAGAAGGGACAAACATTGGGTGTTAGAGTCAGCTTTGGGAGCGGTTCCGTTGCCAGTCACAGCTATATATCACACCCGTCGATTAGAAATCCGGTACCCAAAAGGACTGATCACTGTGGTTGTTACCTGCAAGAGGATTGGCAAGGACACCTCCCAGAGGTGTCTGCAGTACCTGAGGAACAGTGGTAGGTATCTGAGGGATGCTGAAGAGAGACATTTGTCCCTCCAAGTAAAAGCGGGGCAAGATAAGTTGAACGAGTGTGAGGGTGCCCAACTACTTATATGTATGAAAACGACTCAGAATGTGACAGAATAAGATCTGTGGAAGATTTCGTGTGATAACTCCGTCCGCGCAGGGTCTACTCTAACGTCAAACACAACTGCACGTGTTACATACTAAATTCTTAATATTATGTGATTGATCTTCAAGCGCCCGTGCCTGGTGGGAGGATCAGGACAGCAAAAATCCCGTTCATTGACTTTCCGCATTCGCAAGTGCTCACAAATCGAAATGTCAAAACGGATATTAACGCCCTACAAAATCTTATGTAATCGACAGGAAATTGCATCTGCACGTTAGTTAGTGATTTATGCATATCGTCATGACTACTGACATAGATCAAATTTGCACGAGACTAACCCGAAGCATCAACAGGATCCCGGACTATCGGGGCCGAATCTTTTCCTGCGCTAGAGAGATGCACCTAGGGCCGAAGAACTACATAGGCAGAGTTAAGCCCACGGCTCCGAAAATCCTGATGTTATGTTAATCACGGCAATTGCCGCACAGGTGAACTAATATTGGACGGCCAAGTTAGCCCAAGTAAAGAGGGGACACCAAATTCCCTGAGGATGAGGAGGATGAGGCTACATCTTCTAAGGCTCGAGTAGCCAAAAAGATGAACTTCAACCCAACCTTATCGTACATGATGGATCCTTCAAGGAAGAACTCATTTTGGGCACTTCTGATGTTCCCTCCATCTTTGTCTTCTCTTCACTTTCCTGATTCGTTAGCTCCAACTCGTCTTCCGTCTTCTTCAACTTCTCCTTGATCTCCACTTGTTCTTCACTGAGCCTGCTTCATCTTATCCAATTCCCTCTTACATAACTTCGTCATCCTTCTTGCACTGAATGTCTTCCTGGACAACTTCAATGAAAGTTCGCTCATCTCTGGGATCATCATCTTCGGGGGGTGGTCAGCTAATCCAGTGACTCTGATGTTCCCTTCAGCGCCTCCTTGACTTCGATTACCACTGTCTTATCCTGAATAGACGTTTTCTTGTCTTGGGCGCTAACTTGGCCTGCCGAGGCCTTCAGAGCTGCTTTTCCAACCTGGTCCTTTGGGAACATTCTTGGGCAGGGCTGAGTACTTGCGAGGGGAGCTGGGCCCTGGGTAAGGTGGAGTCTTAACTCTCGTTTGGCTCTTTCCTGTGCCACTGCAGCTCCACCTCCCTCGCCAGATATCTGTCCCTGACCATTCTCTTGGTTCCTGTGGCCATGTTGGCTCTCTGCGCCTCTGTGCACCATGTTACACTCGTAGGTAAAAACAAACTTCCATTTGAAATGCCTCAATTTCAATACTATTACTAGTTTAAGCGCCTCTAGCTGTTCTTTCCTTGCAGGTATCACTTCGACCACGGGCTCTCTCAGTTCCAAAATGATCTTCTCCTCCTTCCCGCTTTAGTCCAGACCAACAGCACTACGCACCCTCGGAGATTTTGCCCATTGTTGCGTGTCCGGAATAAGAATGTTCATCGAGAACTGGATGACCTGTCTGACTTGTGATGACTCTTGAGAGAGGAAGAATTTCGTGACGTATTGGTGCTGACCAAAGGATCAAAAGGTATCAGTCACAAGAGTGAGCGATCGATCGCTGATGGCAGTGGTGGTGCCGGTAAAATCGGAAATCACATTCGTTTTCTTCTGCTGCGTTTCCCGCAGTCAGTAGGCAAAGATCTCTTCGTTAGCTTCAATATTTGGAGCGCTGCCTGAACTCGTCCGTTGCGTAATTTGCGCTGTGCACCGGAGTCAACGGAAGGCTAGTGGGGCCCCTTGCTTGTTTGTTCCTCGATACCCTTTTCGACGATGGGCAGGAACATTCTTAGCGATCGCGCATCTGATCAACTCACCTCCAATTGATCGGTTCTCCTCAGCCTTCCAACGAACGCAGGAGTTTCGCTTTACGACGGCACCCCCACTAGGCACCCAATCGGCGGGTTTCGTTCGTTAACATTCCACTACAACCGAGGGGTTGGCACCATTTGCCTGGACGTACAAAACCACCCTTTCCTCTCATGATCCTCCCGCTCCCTATCAATGCATACTATGGCTACGTCAAATACTCAAAACTTACTTTTTGACTCGCGTGCTAGCTTTCTTGTGAGCCCTTTCTGTCGATTGCGTGCCCGCTAACTGACATCTTGGAGCTCGTAGCTGAAGCTGGCCTCATGTCTTTTCTTCTTGCGTCTTCGCTCCTCGTTTACTTTCTGGTGAACCCTTGGTAGTTGAACCCGCGAGGCACATCAGGAACCGTTCCTTTGTGCAGTAATTTCGTGGACACGATGTGAGTCCCATATATATGCTGTACTGTGCAAGGCAGGCGGTTTTGAAGCCAATCGGGAATAACAGTGTGGGTACGCCAACAGCCTACGCTTATTTTCCATGGAATGCTAATGTCTAAAAAAAAGCCATCGATCACCTGGCATGGTTTAGCATGGCGATTCCAGTATTGACGATAGTTTATTCAACCTGAGAGGAGCAAAAAATTTTTGCGACGGGTTCCATCTGCTTCGTAACCGTATTCGTCTTGTCCGAGAATTGCAATTATCGATCGATCGTGAACGCCTGCGATCGACCGTTAGCTGAGGCAAATTACGGTCGTCCGGGACGCTTCAAACAATACCGAGTATCACACAAGTATCGCCAAGTTTGTCCTGCATTTTACTTAATTAACCTCACACTCGCGTTGTCTTGACTTTTTGGACTCGTTGCCTCCTCTTTCCACAAATTATTATGGATGAAAACTGACGGAAAGACAAGCTTACTTACGAGTCAAAATTCGGGTTACTTGGAACGAAACAACATGTAGTCCACAGGCATCGGAATAACACTCGGGTCCGGTCGTGCACCCACCATTATCACAGTTGAACGTCTAGTTATTCTCCACAGCCTCGTAGCTGCAAGACGGCAGAACAAAAACTATAACCTAGGTTTCACCTTGATCGGAGCTCTTTCGATTGTACTTAGTCGCTGGGTAATTGAAAAGTATCTGTGCAAATTTCGAGCGAGAAAATAGAACCGCTCCCCTCCAGCTTCCTATGCATGGAGACTTTCGATAGGGGATGGTGGCGGGGCATACCTAACCTGTCAGCACTCCGCTTATAACATGTTGCCATCATCTCACATTGTAAACCGAATGCGAGGCACATATTTCCGTAACATGGGACGAAACGCACAACGCTTCCTCAGTGAAACAATGCCATCAGCTGGAAGTCATCCCAGCATGGATAGTGTATTTATTCTGACAGGCCATGTATGTCCTCAGCGCTTTCTCTTACCTCGCGCCGGAACATTCTCGAGACGAGCGTACTTATATTGAGTCTTTGGATTCACCCCAACCTTATCAACCACTTTCTTGATCTCCAAGTCGAAGTATACTCGACGTGACTTGTAATGGAACCTCCATGAATCCCATGTATGCCGAGCTGCCCACGGAAACACGTCTGTCTATAACCCCAACCCCCAGTCGTTATATTCTCCAAGTAAAACGGAAACGGATTTTTGAACTTACCCGATCACATAATTCCTGGTAAAGACCGAAACCACATCGACCACCATAACTGGCAATTGGTACCCTCATGGCTATATAATTGATCAAATTCACGTCGTCTTCAACCGAGAATCGAGTCCTTTGTCTAAGGCAAAAAAGAGTCAACAGAAAGACGTGTCAGTTCGAATAGTGGTGCAGAATAAGACAATCAAGTGAAGATCAAAGAGGACTTCAGTACGCACGGTGCTAGACTGGCTGTGTGTTGATAAACACGATCAAGAAGGCTTCGTTCAACCCATTCAGTTTTCTCAATAAATTTGTCTGGTTCACCCCTATACTTCGACTTCATCTGCCGATATAGCTCGGAGCCCATGGATCTCGATGGTGTAACGATTACTCGTGCTTCATATTCTGTTGTTTCAGTCAGGCCACCTGCTTTCTGTGGAAAAAAAAAGGAACGATGAAAGAATCAACAAAGAGTAACTCGTGCACATCGATGAGGTTGAAGGAACGAAATACGTGGCAAGGACAGGATGGCGGTGAATTGACAAACCTCGATCTGAATGGCGAGACGTTTAGCCGTAGCTTTGTCAATAGCGGGATGAAGCCAAATTTGGACCGGTGAACCTTCATGCTGAAAGATGACTCTCGCGTGATGCATCTCCACTGGTTCTAGCATCTCCCCTGCAACGATAGACGCGCGAACGAAGGTGAAGCAGAGGACAAATCGTTTGGGCTTTTCTGGATTTGACCATTTAGACATCAAACTTCTGCCTTTGAGACTGTCTGGGTCGATGAGGACATAACCCTCTTGAGGAACGACATCAACCACCTGTCCTCCGTGTTCCTATGGTTAACGGGTGTGAGTAGGAAGGAAAGGGAAGAAGGTAAAAATAAAGATGGGACACACGCGAGGCAGAGTGGAGTCATTAGGTTGGAAGATCTAAATATGGACAAGGAAACACCCACAGTGATCAACGTCGACAACCATTGAACGAACGCCTCTCCGGTATCCCTCTGAATGAAAAACTTTACCGCGTTCCCATCCTGCGTGAAGAGGTTCGTATCCGGTCCGGTTGTCATTGAACTAGTTTGCGGAAGTAGCGATGAACGCGCCGAAGAAGCTCTCCCCGTTGCTCTCGTTCCACCGAAAACACTCGAAGAAGAGGTGCTTGCGTCTTCCCTGACAAACTCGGATGACATTCTCTGAATTGCTCGATTGGCGGATTACAAATATTGCCTATGGTGCAATCGTCAAAATATGACAAGCTATACTGTGCATGTGCGCTACGACTGCGTTCAGGATAATCAATGACAAGACAACCATGAACTTGGATCAAATCGCACCCGAGGTTGTGGCAGTTCGTTACAGCGGTAAATTCCGTTAACGGGCTGAGACTGGGGGTCAGTCGTTCAGTCCTATTAATGAACGACATAGCACCCGGCTGGGACTTGCTTTTCTATCACCACATCCCAGCGGCATCCTACTGCACAATACCTGCAAGGCCCATCGAATGGGGGATGAGTGGTATCGTATGTGAGAAGGTGCTACATATGACTAGACTCTAAAATGCGTCGTTTTCATGGATCACTTCACTCACCATCCTAAAGTCACCTTCGTTGCCACCCACTCTCTTCCACATCGGCTGCATTTTACGAGCTGCCACATGCGCTTTAGGATTACATACCTGAGAGACAGGCCACCAGACGTCAACATGCACCACTGCCTCCCAATTCCTTGGGTTCAACTGTGCCACTAATCCCGTCGTCGTGTAATGTTCCCGAGTGCTCTACAACCCTTGAAAGCCGACTTTATTTCCGCCCACTGTCTCTTTCCAACAAGACCAGGGGCCGCGAGATTCTAGTACACATGCCGCATTTGAGTGCTGCCTCACCTCCATCATTTCCTTATGAACTGACTAATGTTGGGTATTAATTCGGCGACGGTTCACTTATACGCTCAATCCGGCCACCTTCCTACACACCCGCCGCTGTGCAGAGAGGCGCGTTGCTGGTTTGGTTGCCGCACTTATACTACTGAATCTCGTCATCCCTTTCCCCTATGCCCAGCCTTTACATGACAATCCACGCTCTGTTGGATTTTAGGCGATGTGTCGCTTTGTTGGTCCGGCTCCATATGTGGGCTCAAAATTCATTCATTTGGCGACGAGAATTTTCTTCTCTAACAGATATCTAACAATTAAATGTATACGACTTGGCCGAATTTGTTTTCTCTGCCGGCTCTGCCAAATCCTGGCTACTAGCAGTCAATGGTGGCGCTTGGTCTTGTTGGAAAGAGAGCATCGCAAAAGCCGCTATCGGTCACTGTAGCCGTGGCAGGTAGCGTTATAGCAGTATCCATCCGTGGTCTGCGAATTAGGCTGGATGCTATATTGAACGCCGGAGATGCTCGCGGTGTAATCATTTCCCACAAAAATCGAAATACTCTCGCCGGACAAAGTTACTATAGAAGGGAAACTTATCCCTGGGAGGCTATATAGGAGCTGTGGTATCCAATCATTATTCGAAAAAGTAATCTTCCCTACAGAATGACAACAGGCACCATCTGAGTGTCATTCTTGTTGCAAGGGGGATCGATACTAAGTGCATATACTTTGATACGATTGATGCGACGGACAGGCACAGTCTGCCTCGGAGATGTTCAACAGATATTGATAATATACACTAAGTAGTTGACCTGCCTTCCACTGGTCACGCAGATACCACATGCACCATGGACCATTATATTACGGTGCCAATGGAATGGAACCTTCACCATGAATCACACCTGAACCTGAGAGAGTGCGCACTTGATACGTGGCACTCAGTGGAAACAGTTGGGATGGGGGAAGAGTGATGGATAGCATTGTAACCATGAACGCGGTATGAGCTAACAACGCGCGTAGAAGAAATATAAGATATGACCAATGAAGCAATAAGGCGAGAACGAGTGCTGTACTTATACGTTCATTGCCAATATGATCGCGAAAAAAATGGTGTCGAATGTCGACATGCTTACTGTGCCCGAGAAACTGGGGGTTGCGCGAGGGTGCATGAGATGCCAGAGAATGTGCCGGGTGGCTGATGGTAGCCACTCAGTTTCTAGGCTGAATATAGATGAGTTTCGAGGGTGGCTATGCATGATGACCATAGCCATCGAATCAGGAAACTGCCAAAGCTCAATCAATTCATCAGTTTGGATACCAATTATTTAACTATTTTTCTATATATATTTATATCAGCGCAAAGGCCCATGAGCACCACGAACGCAGTCAGTGGCTCAAGGTAAGTTTTCGGCTTCATCCAGATCGAGCGTGTAGATGAGTTAAACTTTAATAGGTCAAACGATGAAATCTGGGCCCCTTCCCCGCGGACTATTAAGTACAACTCCCATTTTAGTAGCAATGTGAGGGTGCGTAGTACGATTGGTATAATGGAATTCTGCCAAATGTTGACACAATGAGGCAACGGGGAACGGGTGATGGCTCCTCCGAGACGTATTCGTCTGTCCGACACCGAAGCTACAGCCCGGTTAGGCTGTTCTTCAAGCATACGGTATTCCTGCGCGCAAAGAAGGAACGTTTTAGTTGTCAAAATAAGGGGAATGAAAGCAATGAAAAACCACCAACCATTTTGTATCTGAACGAGAGCGCGACACCGCACGCGATCAGTAGATACGAATCGTGGACCAGGGGAAATCTCACTGTGTTACTCACCCTTTGGAATTCATCGTACACGGTGCTTCGAACATTTTCGTGTGCATTCCGAATTACAGCCATCATCCATTCAGCGGCCTGCCGCTCCGTCATCCCAGGCACAAACCGATCCCGGAGTCGCTGGATCGTCGGTTCCCCTTTAAAACTCGGTAATCCCGTTCCAAGCATCAACCGGACAGTTTCAACGATTTGATCAGCAAATGGGCGGATAGCAAGGAACGCCTTCACAGTGAGCCGCACGAAGAGTTGATACCCTTCAGAATTTCGCCCACCCATGAGAACCACCATTTCGTGGTTAAGTTTGAATGAGTTTGGTTCGAATTTGACGCCCTAACCATAGAGAGAGAAAAGGATAATGAGCGCTACGATGCTTACATTGCAGGTCCACGATGCTGCACGTACTCCAGGTCGTAGATATCCCGCAGGGAGAAATGACACAACAGATAAGTGAAACTGCCTCCTGGGATGATGGAAAACATCAGGAGTACTTATCTATGTCGAATAAAAAGCCGAAATCTAACGGATTGTCATTATTAAATTAGTTTGTGTTCTAGAACATTGGTCCAAGATTCATACCAATGTGCACAATATGTCCTTCCCCATCAATCATTATGTTCCCATTGTGCCTATCCTTAATTTGTAAAATGTAACAAGCGACCGAATATGCAGCCATAGACTGGATGAAGTTCAACCGAGCTTGTTGAAAAGCCACACTCTCCGAGTGCCCATATTTGGATTCGAAGAAGCCAATGAGATCGTTTATCTTGGCTCTGCCCATCTCGTCGCGCGACGTAGAGTTCGGGACTACATCGATGACACCACACTAGAAGATCGTATGAAGGGAAGAGATCAACAGCCATATACCCAAACCAAACTCACCCCGGGTGCAGTCGCAATGACACGATACGGATACAAATAAAGCACGAGGCCCGCGTTCCTCTCAAATATGCTCTTGAACATCGCAATAACCTGCAGCGCGAGGACATCTTGTCTGCAATCATCCCCGACCTTGAAGATCGCCTGTTGCCATATCTCGACGTGTGTCGTCTTCTCCTTCCCTTCCTCGTCTTGAATGGGAGAAGACTCTTCTTCGAGGACGGAATCTGGGTGGTTGGCCATCAAGGTTCGTTCTTTTCGGACTTTGAATGTTGCCATGAAAGGCGCCTGAAAGCATAGCTGAGGTTGTGGGTAGAGATCTATACTAATTGGACGAACCTTTGCATGGCTTTGAAGTGGTCGCCCAGAACGCTTGTCGATATCGACAACGATGCCATCGGGATTGCTTGGGAGGTAGACACCGACATCGACCCTTATCTTCGCCATCTCCTCGTCTATCTTGGCCTAAGATGAGTAACGTGACATCAATGCATCGGTTTTGGGCTCCCACTGCAACATGAATAGAAGGGACGCACCTTCTTCTCCGCCTTCGTCTTTTTTATGAAAGGCTTGAGCGTTCCGGAGATTGAGGTAACTTCTTCGAAGAAGGCAAACTCCCGATCATAGAACTCCCTTGCGGACCCAGATAAAGAAGCAACTACCATGTCTGTCATGCGGTCAAGCATTGGCTTCATCGGGTCCGGCTTAAGCAATTGCCGAGAAGTCAACAGCGTGTAAGGTCGACGTCAGCCCTCCTTTGCCTCACCTCTTCGCCCGCGTCATCTTTGTAAGTGTTAGCTTTCATATTCCATATAATTTGATGACAGAACAACTGGGAGATCTGAGCAGTTTCGAATACGAACCACTCAACGTAACCTGTGGGGAAAGCGCGTTCAAAACGAAACGCCAGCCTGTGAGCAAAGAATCACAGTTACCAAGTGAATCACCACGCAAAGCCTGCACCACTTGGGGAACGTAGAAGAATGTGACGTCTACGGGGTGTCCTTCAAGCACACGGTGTGCGTACTGCAATAATGAGGGATCATTTCGATAGTGTGGTTGGAAATAGGAAACCGCTAGAACGGGCGCGACTGGAGCCCACATTAAGATGTACTGGACAGAGATTGTTCAACTAGACCGCAGCAAACGCAATCGCAAGAAACGTACCTTCTTGACCTCGCTCGGCAAGGAGACATCCAGTCTGTCCCCGAGCAAGAAGGTCAATGCTTCGGAATAGTCAACGACTGCCGCAGGGTCACCCCTGACCAGACGAGAAACTTCTGCGGCAACTGCTGGAACCTTGAAGCGCTCGACCATATTGACCGCTACGCCAGCCTCAAGCTTCCATGCGATTCGCACAAGCTTTGCCCAGAAATCCTGAAAGCAAATAAACTGATGTCTGTGGACACAGCATGTAGACTCACAGGTGCAATAAGAGGATCCCACGAAGGTTCATCTGATCCACGGCCTGGTTCATTGGCTGGATTATTCCAAACAAGCAATCGACTGATCTCATTTTCCACCAACACGCGCAAAAGGTGACTCTGCTCCAGCCGCATCTTCTCGTAGTCTAAAAGGAGTCCAGCTTTAGAGGGTTCGCTGGGATCTATGGCAGATACATACCTCCATTCTTCTTGATTTGGTCAAGACTCGTGATATCGTGATCAGCTCGGAGACTATCTTTCTGCAGAGTCTCGAGGAACTCTTGCATTAATTTCACGTCGATGTTCAGCTGGATCCGGTTGGCGCCATATGTCCATCTGCGGGTAGGGTTAACATGTCATGAGCCAGACATCGAATTTCACGTACTGCGGACGAGCTGCAAACCACGAGAATGCACTTTGATAGAGGACTGAACGTAGTTGACATTCGGAAGTGGTATCCATACGGCTATTCCTGAGGGCCTGGAACCCGAAAAGGAGGAGGGTAAATCTTGCCTCACGGGCAAGGGGATGTGTGCTAGGCGAACATATCATTGAGTGTCCGGAGGACGAGGATGGAACGTTGTCTCCAATACCTTAACGTTTTGTGTGCCTGTACAGATCGTAAGACAAGCCTGATGATCAAATGGACAAGCGAAGGCATGCGATATCGCACGGCCTGCAATCGGCTGGCCAATGTCTGCAAGAGCATCGTGTGGGGGACAAGCAGCCGACGAGCAGAATGCAGTGCCCTTTCAATATTATCCCTTTGTGTAGGGGAGTATTCAACGGGATGGAAGAAAGTATCAACGAGACTGTTGAAAAGCGTCATTCGTGCACAAAGAAGTTAGGGTGAAGGTGCATACTTGAGGGAGGGTGAAAACATTCCTTTCTGCAACTCGATAGTTGACAGCCACGCAGCGTCAAATTCGAGCATGAGCGCCACCTCGAGATCTGGCCGCTCGCGTACCAGCCATGTCCAAGCGTCTCGACCAGCTGCGACGGATGCCGGTGTCAGCGTCTCGAACGGCGCTACTACTATGTAGTGAAGCAGATCATATTCACACTATGACAAGAGTTATCGAAGGTGCACAGTTCGGTGATAAAAGCAAACCACCCACTCCAGGCATAGAAATTAATACTGAGACACATCTGAAAAGCAATCGTCGGAGATCTTGGGTCGTCAAGACACTTGTTTTGGCTCGAATTTCACCAATCGTTTGAACCATTTTTTGCTTCAATGCCTTGACCTCATTCGTGGGTGCCTCTACTGGAGGTAACTTTTGCACATCTTCGAGACCTGCAGCCAAAATTTAAATCAATTGGGTGTAACAACGACAGATGCTAAAACATTTTCACCAATTCGGGCGGCCAGGCGCACTCCCGCTGCTTCTCCACAGTAGTGAGCATGCGAGGCAAGCTGGCTGGTAAACAGCTTGGCTCGATCAGGCTGTACAGACTCGAGAGGCGATCCCGGAACTGATAGCAATGTTAACGCTGATATATGGAGTACGCGAACATCTCACCGTATCGGCTCTGGACTGTTCCGAAATCGACAGCATATTGAAGTGCGGTGGAAGCGCCAAGCTCCGCCACGTTCGGTAACGGTAGCCTGGTATGATCCGAAAGATATTTCTAAAGGAAACCTTAGTCCCCAACTTGTCCAGACTAAACGGTACCGCATACTTGTAATATTGCCTGAGCTTCAATAGGAGCCCGGGCAATGGACATGGACAGCCACTTCTTAGCATACCTATAAAGACTCATCAGAATTTCCTTCCTTGTGGTGTAAGAGTCGGTCAGTGTGATGGTGAGGTTACTTCGGTCCGAATGGAACGTGTGTTGGGGATTGAACTACGACAACAGGGTTGTTCATCTACAGCGACACAGGAAGACAACAACTCACCTCGTCTATGTAACGCCCTTCGCAGGCATTCTGAAGCAATGTCAGAATGTCTAGGACGGCAAAGACGAAACCCGAATCACACATCAAGGATGGAAATGCGGACACGAGGCGGTCAATATATTTGGAGGCAATTATCCGAGCCTTCGATATTCTGTGGCAACTCCATATTAAGAGATTCTTCAGGCCGTCATTTAATTCTGGACCAAGAGAGTGGTCTACGACCCGACGCGCGAGAGTATCGACTGAAGTACCAACGATCTATGCCCATATGATGAGTAGAATGCAGATGAATGCCCGCCTCGATACACACACTGTCAGCAAGCAATTCCATACAAGCGGAGAGGTGGATATTGGAATTCACATCAGCATTGACAAAATAACCTGGCAACGCGGAGGGCAGACCGCCTGCCGCCCTCAGACCCTCGATGTCGTCCATTGAGAGCAAGAAAACCACTTGCGCCGGGGTTAGATGCTTAACCTCGCTGACTCGTGTTTTGAAGGAATTGAGAAGTGTGGCCTTGTGGTGAGACAGCATCTGACATACGGTTCAGCGGGAAACAAAATAACGCAGAAGTGAGGCGCACTCGTTCTCCATAATCTTTTCTGAGAGATCTATTATACTCAAGATTGCTGCTGAGATAGTCATGAGACTCTTCTAAAACGAACTGAGGGGTCTTCGCAGCAATTCTAGCGAGTGCAGCACTCTTCCATTCATTTGACCGACGAGGGTCGGATAAGCGGAAGACGGCCGCGATAAACCAAAATCCCTGGAAAAGACCCACGACTTCTTGAGAGAACGAGTGAAGACGAAAGGGTTTGTGGGCAAGAAGAGCATCGATTGGCAGGGCAAGGGCAGAAAGATGATCGATATCTTCTTGTGCCTATCGAAGTGGTGGCTGACCATAAGAACGAGCGTCAACAAGCAACTGAACTCACAGGCTGGTGATTGGTGCCGTTCGTACATTTGACTTGGATAGCTGTCCCTATATCGATGGATAGGTTGAGAAGCTGAGAAAGATAAATCTTATGCTGGTCTTCGCCTTTCAATTCTTGGGCAAGTCGAGTTTGTGCGGCCAAAATCTAACCCTAAGTGAGAAGGTGACGTGAGACTTTGAGGAGAAGCTTACAGCATTATGTCGTCCAGTGCAAGCTCCGGACTGCAAAGACACCATGCTCATGTTGGAATACGCTTTGACTATATCCGAGAAGACTTCCACCGGAGCAGGAAGGGCAAGATCCACGAGGTTATAAGCAATTGCAGCTTCTACGTGTGCATCCGGATGTTGTAGTCTTTGTAGCAACATCGATATGGCGAGCCGTGTAATCTGCGAATGAGAACGTTATTACTGGAATGCACCGTCATTTGAAAGACCTACGTCTTCATCTTGGAGTTCTAAAGCAAGGCGCGTGATAACGCAGACCGTGCTCGTAGCAATCAATCTGCGTTGCTCCTCGGAGTAACCTTGGAAAGTGCCCTCATTGAAGTCAAGCTGAGAACCACCCGTATGCTTAAGCCTGTCGTGAGCATCGGCCGGAAGACTATGGTGCAGCCCCCCTGGGTTCGAAACGAAATTGAATAAGGAATAGATATAAGACAGCCCAAGATCGTTTCCGGTAATCAGCTACCATTGCTAAGGTTATTCCAGTGTTGACACGAGGGAAAGAGGTAGGAGTGAACACGCCTTAAGACAAACAGCCAAACCCTTTGTTGCCGATCTCAACAACGGGGGTGCACGAACAGTTGAGGTATATTCAAACTCAAACGGCGGCAAAGGGGCGGTGACAAACCGTCTAAGCAGGCTGGCCATGGAAGGGGCAAGTTCTGGGAAGCTGGCGGAGGAATACGATTAACATCCAGCATGAGGATTCTGACGGAACACACTTTCTGACAAGTACGACGACGCATTTTATAGCTGAGTCTTGAAGGTCGACATCTGTTATCGGTGTCCTTTCGCTGAGCAACAATCGTAAGCGATCTAGCAATGGTGCATGGGCTTCCCCAACAGCAACGCAACAAATGGTCGCCAGTTTCTGTCCGAGACGTTAATATCAAGCAGAGGCAGGAAGTAGGGACGTGCCAAGCTTTCGGATAAGGTTTCGTAAGCATATGCTTCAGGATTGACGTCTCCGATCTCTTCAATCTGCTCCAAAAGGTCCGCGCAGCACTGCATTGCAGAGTTAATGGATGACACGACAGCAGACTTGAATTCCCCTTCTAACTCTCCCGGTATCTTGTCGATTGCATTGCCCGCTAGTGATGCCCATGAAGTGATGGACGCCTGAGATGGATAGAATCTTGTTCCACCGGACTTCCCGGTAGATGATGATGATGCGGGACTTTGGGGTGCAGGAGACAAAAGAATCTGCGCCAGTGCAGTGCATTGAATCTCCATGACGCTGCGGACAGCGAAATACCCGGACAAGGGCCTTCCATTCGAAATGTATCTTGATAGAAGAGTCCGTGCATAAAGTGAGTCTTTAGATGTTTCCTCCTGGAATCCCTCGTTTTCAAGAAAGGTAGTGAGGAGGCTGTTAAGACGATCCACGATGTCTTGTTTGAAAAGATCCTGGGTTATACCCGCCAAACTTTCCCATTCAGCCCCCTTCCATGGGAAGGGCGTAGAAGTGATGGCGCGATACAATCCATGTAACGATGGAACAATATCAGTAACAACCCTCTGAGCTACAAATGGGTGAATCAGTCAAAGGACAGTTAAGCGAAGCATGTGGATCACAATTCTCAGTCCGCAGCGACTGCACAGCAAGTTTTGAAAAGGTTCCAATGCTATCAATTGTCAGAGTTCTGGTCTCCGGAAATGATGAGGCGAGCCATAAGAGGGAGGACACAGTGGTGAACACCAATTGGTCTGGCAGTGACCACTCTAAACGCGGAATTCAGGCTCTAACCACTTCATGGGCCATGAAACGCACCGCTCCAAGTCAGACATTGAGGAAAGTCGATGAAAGGGACATCGCGCAGGATGTCGATGAGGACTTGCACTGTTTCCTGCACTTTCACCGCCGGAACGTTCAGGGCAAGTTCCCCAAATGCAATGTTGCACTCAATTCCAGACGCAGACTTCATGGACCATAAATATCAACAGTGGAAGCGCAGATAGCAGAACCAATCTAACCATTGGAGCTCGTTCCTGCCCGAGTGCTTCGTCCGTGAGGTCTCTGACTTTGACCCTAGTTGAAATCACTTCGATAGCATTATTGGATGACACATCATTCGTAGATGCATTAATTGAACGAGCTAGGTCAGTAAGAATCAAACCATGAAGACTGAAATCAAGGGCGTCCATGATTGTTCGTTGTCGTGTGTAAGGTCACGTTGCCCCGCCACTTGCATTTGAAACTGGCAGCGGCGATGAATCCATGGATTTTTTACGGTTGCCAGATTTATCAAAGACATATCTTTGTGCCTAGACATCGTATTGGGTCGTATCGCTTCGCATCTACCTTATCAACTCATGTTGATGAATTTCCGTGCGAACGAATCAGGTCAGTTGATTGTTTGCGGTGTGCGACGGTGTTTGGGTTGTGCTAATTATTACACAGGAACTTCAGCATCATCGCACACATTGATCATGGGAAATCGACGCTAGCAGACCGGTGAGTCTGTCCCTCTGCTAAGAGGTGTACCCTATGTAACCCAACATTCAGGTTGCTCGAAGTGGGTAGCCCGTCTCCATAATCCAAAGCTAATTCATCAGATTGCTAGGCGACAAGAACGATACAACCTGCAACAACTGGTTTGAACAAACAAGTTTTGGATAAGTTGAAGGTTGAACGGGACCGAGGCATTACGGTCAAGGCACAGACCGCGAGGTGTGATTAGTTGGGTCCATGCTCGGATTCCAATTGAAGCATTCACCCGTCTATCTAGCATGATTCATTCTTTCAATGGGAAAAAACACCTTCTGAACTTAATTGACACGCCTGGTCATGTCGACTTTGCGTGGGAAGTATCGCGTTCCCTCTCGGCATGCCAAGGCGCTCTGCTGCTTGTGGATGCCACACGTAAGTCCCCGCCTGGGTTGACATTTTGTGACGTTGAGTCCGACACCCTGTTCAGAGGGTGTACAGGCTCAATCGTTATCTGTATTTCACATCGCGAAGGAGAGGGGACTTGTTATCATCCCTATCATTAACAAGGTGTGTGTGCGTGTTGGGCGATTCTTGAGAGGCATTGGACGGTACAGAAATGAAAACAGGTGGATCTCCCTCAAGCCGATGTAGAAGCAGTTTCCGCACAGATGTGCTCAACTTTTGATCTGGATCTCTCGGACATATTGTGCATTTCCGCGAAAACGGGATCAGGAGTTGGTCAGGTTCTAGATGCAATTCATGACCGCATCCCGCCTCCAGTAGGAGACCCTCGCGCACCGCTGAAAGCGTTCTTGTTCGACTCTTCGTGCGTCTCGTCCATAAAACGAAGCCCATGCGTGCTGAGCCCATTGCCTCAGATATGATCGTTATCGGGGAGTGATTTCACTTGTTTCCATAAGCTCTGGATCGTTGCGCAAAGGTATTGTGCGATCCCGAAACCCCTTACGGAGTCTTCCATTTATAAACGTGCAGGAGACAGAATTATGTCTTGCCATACCCGAAAACGATACGACGTGTCGGATGCAGGAATTTTGCACCCTGAGGAAGTCAGTACACAAGTCCTTCTCCCTGGTCAAGTCGGATACATCGGTCAGTGTTTTTACTTCTAGAGTAATCACGGTGTTGCCTGATTAGATTAGTCTGCAATATGAAGGAATTGTCTGAAGGTGCATGACAATAGATGCAGCCCGATCTATTTCTCATGCGTGTACCACTCCTGACAGCACATATCGGCGATACATTTCATCGCCAGGGAGAATTCGTTGAGCCATTGGAAGGATTTGCTCCGGCCAGAGCTATGGTGAGTTCAACCGCGTGAGTAGCCCTATGAACCCGAGTTTATACCGTGCATTCAGGTGTACGCTGGGATTTTCCCTGTAGATACAAAAGACTTCCCCAAGTTGGAAGAATCGATTAAAAGGGTACGTTACTGCGCCATGAATCTTCTCACAGGCTATTCAAGTCCTTTCAGCTTGCACTCACAGATCGCAGTGTGACCATTCAACGAGAATCCTCCACTGCTCTGGGACAGGGCTGCCGATTAGGGTTTTTAGGCACTCTACACATGGATGTCTTTCGACAAAGGTATGGGTCGACTCGACTGTCTTTGTGGTTCGCTCTGTTAATCTTTTGGAGGCTGGAGGATGAATATGACGCGAATGTGATGTCAGTTAAGATTATTTCCCCTTCGCTATGCCAGCCTCAATTTGATCCTTAGAATCACGGCACCAACTGTCCCGTACAAAGTTGTTTACAAGGACCGAACGATGACAATCAGTAATCCCACTGAGTTCCCGGATGCGCATGAGTCAAACTACAAGGTCGTGGAAATCCAGGAGCCTATGATCAATGCCAAAATCATTGCTCCGCAAGGTGTTCTTCATTCGCGCCTCGCGCCTCGATCTTGACTTACTAATGGATTAGACTATCTTGGAGAAATGATAGCCTTGTGTACATCACACCGAGGCAAAAACATAGAACATAAATATCTTTCTTATGGCGTGGGGAATCCAGGTGTTGGATCATCTCATGTGCTTCTCACTACAAGACTCCCGTTGTCTGAAGTCGTAACGGACTTTTACGACTCACTAAAACACCGAAGCTCGGGATATGCAAGCTTTGAGTAAGTTCAGGATATTCAAGTACGGCAGTGCTGGGTTTAAGAACTTCAAGTTACGAGGACGCCGGATATGAGGCATGCGATATGAAGAAGGTGGGCACGTTCGACGTCACTCTCGGATAAGTCAATCATTGAGGCTTTCACTAGATGACGTTCCTATTGAATGGTAAACCTATTGATGCATTAGCTATGATCGTTCACAATACTTGCGTGCAAAACGTTGGCAGAGCATGGGTGAGGAGACTAAGTAAGTGTCGGTTGCAATCTGGTTTTACAAGTTCTGACGTTGGCTGAACCTCAAGAGGAAGTCATTCCACGACATCTATTCGAGGTTGCTATCCAAGCTGTCGTGGGTTCAAAGGTTGTTGCTCGCGAAACTCTGTCGGCCTTGCGCAAAGGTATGCATAATCGCTGCGTTGGCACGGCCGCTTTCCAGCTCACCACATAATGCCAGATGTTACTGCGGGACTGTACGGAGGTAGGGTCACTTCTACCTGTTTACTCCCTCGAAGTGCTTCCGTTTCCCCTCCCCATAGGGCATTATGAACGCAAGTTGAAGGTATGCTCCATAATCCAAAGGAAGACTTCGCCGCTCCTAAGAGTCACAACTTAGCATTTGAACAGACAGAAGGAAGGGAAAAGAAAAATGAAAAGGATTGGGAACATAGAGTTGCCACAAGGAGCATTTTACCAAGTGCTTGGTTCTGCATCGCCAAAGTAAACTAGGTAATTGGAACAGCCAGTGAATCGCATATTCATCCCTTTGGATAATGCGCAAGTTAGAGAATTTCTAGTTTGGCGGAAGCATGAGAAACATCAAAGTTTGTTGTCTTCTTCATCGTACATCTCTGTTACCATCCTGTCGAGAGCATGAGAAACCAAAGAGAGGGGATTCCAAGATATGTACCTATACACATATGCTGGCGGGTGATCGCCACTGTGAAGGTCGGTGACGGAGTCAATGAATCGTTACGCGCGACGGGTGAACCCCACATACTAGTTCGTTATGAGAACGTCAATCAACTCGGGCTTCACATAATCAAACCAGGGATTAAGGATGTCGACATTTTCTTCTCGAATGTTGTATTCTAGTTCCGAAAGATTCAGGACCTGTTCGGGATCTCCCAGGTCTACTGATGCATATTGGTAATGCAAATTCCACAGTGGCGTCAACTTGAACTGTCCGGTACAAACAATTACGGGGGTAGAATGATCCTTGGCCGCTGAAGCAGCGAGGAGTGAGCCAGATATCCCGAACATGCCGCCGTTGGCCATGACAGCATGCGCTCCAAGGACTACTTTGTTTACACGGGACATCAATGCATATAAGCATGAATCAGGAACAAGGACGGTGCTAATCTTGGCGTCAGCCAATAATGCTGCCATCTCCCTACCCGAGTAGCTGTCCAAGAAAGCTAAGCGAAACACAACATAGCAATCAAAATCAAGACTACGCACGAGGGCGCTGTTTCAGCGACGATGACAGTAAACTTTCGATCTCGAGCTGCAGCTTTGAAGAATGACTCTACGGTCTTTGATTTTCCTACAGTCAGCACAATGTCACTGTAGTCAAGGATTTCAGTTCACTGATTGTCCGGGGGGGGGGGTTAGTCCTACTCTGAGTGTATGTGGTCGCGCGCATTCTTAGAGATATTTTCGTACACGGTCTCCAGTTCATCGATGACCTCCTGTATTGCATCTATTAATGCTGGCTTGATTGATTGCGCCTTTCTGTTCACGTCCCCCGAGTGCATCGTGTCAGGGGTCTCAGAACCTGATTGCGCGGATCTGTGGCCAGGTACCGCGGTAGGCCTTCCCTTCAGAACAAATCGAGCAACTGATGAAGTAGAAGCAAAACCAGTCAACGGATCCTGCCCAGTTCGAAAGAACTCTTCTCGAGAAGATGAATTTTTGGGCACGCCGAGAGTTGCCTGCGCCTCCTCAAGTGTAGTCACAGCAGCGTACTCATCGCGAATGAGTTTTAAAACCTTGCGGACAATATTCCCGACACTATTCTCTAAAAGCTATCAGACCTTCTGGATTCGTGTGCCAAGCCTGTCACTCACCTCGGGGCTGGGCTTCTGCCAGACGTTTTCCGACCAAGCGCACGGTCTCGAGAAGTTGATCAATTGTATCGAATCTAGCGGCCGCGACGACTTTACGAAGGAGATGTACGGTTTGAAGGGCGGCTTCCCTAGAACCTACAAGTTGCCTTGTGTTTTGTCAGACAGGGGCCATCCGAACATTCGTACTAGTACCTCCGCCGCAATTGCGATGCAAGGGCATCCACGGCTCTCTGCGTAGCTCTATCCTTGACCTCGGCTCCTGTCATGTTGTGCTAAGTCGCCAGCAATGAATCTAAGTGTGGCTGAGAAGGCGTTTTCTCACGCTTGCTAAATTGTCTGAACGACAGAAATGGAAACAGGAGCTGAGGCAGATGCCAGGACTATCCTCGTTATTTATACCGGGGGGACCATAGGAATGTTGCTAGGCGATCGCGGTAAGTTTATAGGCTTCTTCTAACATCCGCCTCTGGTAAGGCTAGCGTCGCCCATCAGGGTATCAACCAGAACCCTTTTACCTCACGACTGCCCTCAAACATCAAACACGATTCAATGATCCAATTGGAAATTCTCTGTACTCTAACTCGGCGAGTATCGCTGAGTGGCGAATGCACAAAAGAGACTCAAACCCTGAGACACCATCCGGTGCGAAGGGAAGCCCTTTGAACCCGCTTATCACTGTACGCTCCACACGTCCTGTGTGCTACCCAGACCATCCATATGCGTCCACGGAAACCATCCCAGGGGTCTTTGAGACACCGTTGCCTTCTTTGGTAACCCCAGCTAGTTCAACTGACAAGCGCATTCGGTACGTGATTCTTGAAGTAGGTGTCACACCATGAGAAACGAAGGAAGGAGAATTAACGGAAACGATCTAATGCACTCAGTGGCAACCCATTCTTGATAGCAGGTAACGCCAATTAGCCAAGCCCCGAGCCTGTGTTTACCGAAGTCAAATATAGTGACATGGGCCACCATGACTGGATCCGCTTGGCGACTGAAGTTGAGCTGAATTACGCTTACTTCGATGCATTCCTAATTTTGTCAGGGACCGACACGATCTGGTATGTGGACTGTTTAGTGTTTCTGCACCCATCTCTTACGCAGAGTCGATTCAAGTTATACATCCAGTGCTTTGTCATTTTTGTTAGAGGATCTGGGGAAGACAGTGGTCAGATTAATTTCGTTTTGTCCTATCGCTCTATCCAGACGTTTCCGGCACAAAGATAATTACCGGAGCTCAGATTCCTCTTTCCCAACTGCGGAATGATGCGGTGGATAATCTCTTGGGGTCATTATCGATAGCTGGTCGATACATCATTCCTGGAAAGTCGAGGTCTCCGCAGACATGAACAACTCCTAATGTTGACGCCTTATAGAATGTTGCCTCTATTTCAACCATATCCTTTTCCGAGGAAACCGCGTCTCTAAAACATCTTCTTCAGATCTCGACGCTTTCTCAAGCCCTAATTTTCCTACCCTTGTAGACGGTATGTTGACCAGGGTACCACCTTCACTCGCCCCGAATCACCGTGTTACACAACAGTTGGTACTAATATTGAGGTCAACTGGAGAAATGTGTTAGTGCCCCGTGCCCTCAGCAGGTTTCGTGCCCATAAAGGCAAGCTATATTTAGTCTTTGTTGCGCTTGCTCTTAACTCACAGTGCACGGGCGAAGAACTTTGTGCGGACGTTGGTGAGCAGGATCATATTGCAAAAGAATGTTTGGTGCTCAAGCAAAGGTGCCCAGCGACCTTACGCTTGTTTCCTGGCATAACGGCCGCTTCTGCGCGATCATTCCTCGCACCCCCGATCAGGGGAGTCATTCTTGAAAGTTTTGGAGCAGGGTACTTTTCGGGCTCCACCGTTAGTCATATTGTTTACCCAACTCCACAGAAACGCCCCTCAGCGCCAAGATTTATTGGATGCCATTAAGGAAGCCTGTGACTATGGTGTCGTGATTGTGACTATATCTCAGTGTACCAGAGGCAGCGTAAGCTCGGCTTATGCAGCCGGGCGCTCGTTGTACGACTCAGGGGTGGTGGCTGGTGCAGATATGACGCCAGAGGTAATGAAGGGTGCTCTGACAACTAGCCAGTCAACAGTAACGATCATTAAAGGCAGCCCTCAGCAAGCTCTCCTATCTGCTGTCGAAGCGGGAACTCTCCACCGATGATGTTCGTAGACTCATGAGTGTACCTCTACGCGGCGAACTGAGTCTTCCGGCTTCACCCAACGATATTAGAAGGCCCGAAGGTTCACAGGGGGTCATGTCTCACATCTACAGGCTATCCATCCCCAGTACACTGTCACGCGGATCAGTTTTCCTCTCCACCGGACCACCGTTGTCAGGTGCAAAGGGCGTTGACACGGTCGCGGGCGAATCTCAAAGTCTGTCCGATGTTTCTATATCCGAAATCTTGGTAATGCCCTACCTAATACACCTGGCAGCATCTAAAAATGATGCGGAAGCTGTACGTTACTGCCTTGATGCCTTTGAAGTCGCAGTGCAGAATGCGAACCAACCCACGAGCGAGGCGGTTCCAAATGCACACTCCTTCATGGTTGCAGTTGGAGGAGGAATTGTTAACGCGTTGGATCCCTGTGGACGTGCACCTCTACACACTGCGGCATTGCACGGGAGTCAGGAATGTACAGAGATCCTGCTCAGGGGAGGCGCATCAGTCCACTTACGTGATTCTCTCGACCATACACCTCTCTATTACGTAGGTTCGTAGTACTTCCGTTTTTGCCTGCTTACATCCTCTCGATAGGCCAAGCGCCAGCATGCTGATGGGGTTGTCCTGCTTCTCGAGAGTGCCGGGGCCTTCTTGGCAGGTTCAGACCTCACTCATAGAGAAAATTAGCAAGTCGAGATTGCAGAGAATAATTCTGTAGCAAAGAATCCGGAATTATCCAATTAATGATAGATAAATAGTGTGCTCCGCCCTGGCAGTTGAGGCTGCGCGTTCTCGCTTCGTTAGGTGGGTTCGTTCGGACCCAAATATTCTATTTCATCCGATTCAAGCTCTTCGTCCGTTTCTACCGCATCATTACTGAAACTGAGGCCCATGTGTAACTGTATCTGGTGAAGGAATTGGGGGGATTGCCATTTTGGACATTTGAAGGCCCCCGAAAGAAAGTCAAGTGACTCTCTAAACTCCTCGCTTTCTTTCTCAAGATCGTGTGGTGTATATCGCATCATCTCCCTGTTTGGATCCTCCTCTGTAGGTTCTGGGATAATGTCGAGGCTGAAATTTAGGCCTACCAGGGGACGCTTAGAAGGCCAATATGTAGAATTAATCAAGGGACTTACTCTCGCTAGCGCCAGTAGTCTTCATGTAGCATTTGAATTCTGTTTGAACCCCGTGTTCTCCTTTTGTGGTCGCGACACTCCGAACCATTAGCTGGGTGAGTTCTTCATAAAGGCATATAGTGGACTGTTCTTTCGTGGGTCCTAATAATGTTCTTCTCTCTGGCTCTCGCATAGCGCTACCTCCTCGGGGTTTCAACGTTGTCCCGTTTGTAAGGGCTGCAAGTTCGCTTCGAGCAATATTGCGTTCTTCAATGAGGTGCTTTGAATTTGAAACCTCAGCATCGTAGTCTCGCTGCCGCATGGCTATTTCTCGCTGATAGTCATTCTTGAGAGTTTCAACTGGGAGCTCAATCAGTTTGCTGAATCCAGTTAAAGAAAGGAGTACTTGCTTTCTGCCTTGTAGTTACTTATCATCGTATCTTTACCCCGTAATTGTTCCCTAAGCTCCGCAATCTCTGCCCTTTGAGCTCCGAGCTTCACTTCGTATTCTTGGAAACGGGCATCTGTTGCCTCCCGCGTCAATAAAGTGATGGCGGCTGAACTTCCTGATGCAGAGAGCTCCGTGAATCGTGACATGCTTTGCGTCAGCATTTGAATATGCTCCTTCTGATCTGTTGGAAACATACGAGCGGTCATAACAAACTCAGGTACAATATCGGAAAGCTTACGCTTATCATGTTCTTCGTGAAATTTACGATATCCCTCCAACGCCGCCTCTGCATCGGTGCTCCTCTGCTTAGCAAGTTGTTCAAAATCACGCAAATACTGATCCCTTTCCTTCTTAAGCTGTACGAACACAAGTCAAAGCTGGGCGGCAAGAGCATGAACGAGCGTACAAACCTGCTGCACCATATTATCCCATTCAGCTTCAGTCCTCGTCCGCTTACGGGCTGGCGAGAATGATCCTGACTGGTCATGCTCAGAAGCCAGGGCTGCCGCTTTCCTCTTACGAGAAGTCGAAACCATCCCGTTAGACAGTTTCAAGGGAGCCGACTTTTTGGACGAAGATGGAATGGAGCTGGATGGTTTCGATGTCTGAGGATTCAGCTCAGCTACGTCCGAATCATCTCCCTCCTGCTCAACGATGCTCTCCGCGTTCGATGGTTGTGAAATTGGTTTCGCATTCCCATTGTGCTTAGCGCTTGCCCCCCACCTGAATGCGCTTTTGATTTTGACGAGGCGGAAGATGTTTTGTGCGTATTGGGTGCCTCTGTGGCAAATGTCATTTGCGCTTATTTACAGAGGTTTGAATCCCAGCGCTCACTCCCTGATTGGTCGTCCTCATCGTCGGACGCAAACTGATGCCCAGTTTTATTGTACGTGGTACGCGCCATGATTAGTCACGCAGGATCACTAGACGTGTCTCACGCAAAGAGAGACGGATAACAATATCAGGGGTGCAATGCGATGTCGGGGCGCCGTGTTGAGGGAAGCTGTAGTAGCCTCGGTGCAAATAACCATAATTCACAAGTACGATCAGCAGAAGGCAAAAAATACCTGGAAACTCCGCCACTCAAAAAAGGGTCACTACAGCAGTCTAACCACCATCTGTATTAGCATTGACCTACACAATACCCCCTCAAGTTGTCATCTAAGTGAAAAATGTGCAAAAAAAAACTGTAAATTTATCTTAATCTGTGGGCTCCATTCAATTCTCCACATCTGCACTCCACAACGCAAGTGGAGAAATAGCTACGAGTTACAGCTTTGCACGATTTTTGTATTGTGGTTGTCAGGAATCTCGATAATTTGAATCGTCCCTGATCGTGATCTCTATTTTACCATCCACCCACCGTGTAGAAACTCTGTATCAAGAAATTGTGAAACTTTGTACGAAAGGGAGAGACCTAGCGCCTACTGACTGGGTGAGGTCCTGAACAATGTAATCAGGGTTAGCTCCCGACTCGAGAATCTCCTCCTTGGAGTGACTGGTGCAAACTGCCAGGGTCTTGGCCCCAGCCGCATGTCCGCTTCGTATGCCTGATGGTGCGTCTTCTACCACAAGCACATTGTGCGCGTCAACATTGCAACGCCGAGCGCCTTCGACGTATGGGTCTGGAAATGGTTTTCCTCGTGAGACGTGCTCTGATGTGACAATTGAGGCAGGCATGATGATCCCGGTTCGTTCCAAGGAGGCCTGAGCATAGGACGAAGTACCAGATGTAACAATAGTCCATTTATTTGATGATCCGCCGTCAAGCTTGGGTGGCGAGTAGAATCAGGTGTCAGTCCGCGAAAATAATCCAAACTAGCGCACTTCTTTAAGCAGTGAACGCACACCCGGTAGCACTACGGGTCCCCCTTCAATGGCCAGCTTCTCGAATCGCATCGACTCTTTCTGGAATCGATATAAGTCTCCCAGTTGAATGCAAAGGAATGCCCATGCCTGCAGGGTTTCGGGATCTGTGATCTCGCACCACGTCTTAAGACTATCCACCAGTCGTACACCATGGGTCTCTGTACATTGCTCTCAGAATGACACGTCCCTGAGTGAAAATTAATCCGATTCCCTTTTACCTTTCAACACGGCAGGGACATCAAGCTGGTACATTTCTGCGAACTTGTACCACGCACTGATAACCCCTGGAGTTGAGTCGATTAGTGTCTGTAAAACATGGCCCAACATTAGAGCGCCGCCACAATAAAGGGATGAGCATTAATTGCCCCACCCCATCCTGGCGTATGATTCAGTTCAGTGCGATTGGAGTGTGTGCTCATGAATATCTTGCCATGTCAAAAAGCACTGCGTCTACGATGAATGAGAACATATTGCGCTAACCAATAAGTGAGAGCAAAGGGAGATAGATGGGCTAATTCTAAAAGATCGGAGAAATATTCACACCATTAACTGGTCAGGCAAACCGGAACTTGCCACCAGTTAGCACTTTCACTGCTGATTCGAGACTGCAAGCAACCCCGTTTCGGCGCCCACCGTCAGGCACGACGGACGATGTCAGGCACACTGAGGGTTTTGCGATGGGTTGTGCCCAGCAGGCGCTCCTACTCCTATTTTTCTCAGAAACCTGGTGGAGGGGGCCGCTTCTTCACATCATCTAAGCCTCATAAAGCACCACCTCGGACGACTAAGCCTCAAAGAGCACCAATTCCTTCAACGAATGTAACTACTCCCGTAGAGGCAGAGCCTTCAGGAAGTGCTCAGGTTCCTTCGGAACATCCGAGTTCGTCTCCTGTTGGGGACTCCGAGTCGCCCGCAACCCTACCTGCTTCACCCCTCTCTGAATCTCTACCTTTTGCACCTACATCTCACCCAAGCCCAGTTCTGCCAGCCCTTCATCTTCATTCATTCTTCTCACAGCATCGCCCTTTGTTGCTCCTTAATCAACCAGTGTCCTCGTTGTTCCGCCCGTGGAGCTCGAACAGGAAAGTAATACTGCAATTGACGCCGCCCGGGATGGGGAAGCATTCGATCCGATGAGCCCCATCGACGATCCGGAAGCAGACACGGACACTGCCAGGCTACTTGCCAGGGCTGTTGTCCTGCAGCGTGTTCAGGCAGGCCAAGAGTGGGACTCCATCCTGAATCGCCTCGGGATCGAAGTGGAGAGTAAGGTTATTCAACTAGACAGTGTCAAGCGTAAACGCAGAAAGAAGATTACCAAGCACAAGTAAGTCTTTCACAATATTACGTTTGCAAGTGATAGGCTTAATTCGTCTGCTGCCTTCCACAGGTACAAGAAGCGAAGACGGGCAAGTGCTTTTATTCCCCGCTTTCAACATTATTGAGACAACCGGTCTTCTTTCAGCTACAACGTGCAGAAAGACGACGATTGAAGAAGAATTAGAGCGGTCATTTGGACATACATCCATCCACTGTACACCATAAAGCGCGTAATGACTCCACACCAATTCTCCGATCTACTATGGGACGTATGACGTGATGGCCGAATACTCAAGATGCGGGCTGGCAAGTCTCTTCGACAAGTAGCGGGAAACAACTGAAGATCCGAGAGTAAAGCGAAATGAACCTTTGCCCAGAAGTGGAAAACAGAACAATCTCTCTACTGTTACCGCGGGATGTTCTCGCGTGCTTGTGCGCGGATTCGCTTCCTAGATAGCATGAATCAGCGCACTCCGACTTGTCCTGAAACTTGACTTACTCATATGCAACTTTGTCATTCCTGCATTCGACAGCTTAGTGAACAATTGCTGTAACGATTACTTCTGCTCACTTAAAGAGGGTATACGCCTCTGTTTGCGCCGGATCATTCGCGTTGGGATCGTTCAGGAGATCTTGTATGCCGAGCAGTATCTGCAACTACGATGAGCAGGGTTGACCAGCCGAGGAGGCAAGGACCATACCTGCTTGATGGTGATGGATGGTTTCCATGACTTTTCCTCATCCAAAATGGACAGGCACACTGTGCCAGATGGATAAACATTTGGATGGAACAACGGTGGGGTGAATTTGCCTAAAGGGGATGCGGTCAAGTTAGGCGCTGAGAACGGTCACTAATCCTCGTACACTTGGGTGGTTTCGTGGGATATTCTGTATAAAGAGTTATGTTCAGGAGAATAGTCAGCGATCGAGTGCCCAGGATACGTGCCTTCAGGAAATAGCACAATGAGTTTGTATGTGCCTCCCTCCCAGGGCGTCTACAACACGGTCGTTAGCGGACCTGCAGTGGTACAAGGGCGGGAACATACATTCTGCTTTCCAGGAATGCCTACTTCCCACTCTAAGAGGTTCAGGGACCCGTCCTGCGCCTTTACTGGTCTAGCATAGAAACCCTTCGACGATCGGTTCGATAACTTTCCTAACCGTCGGCACCAAAGGGGCACACTCACATAAGGATGATCTTTGCGCCACTGCTTTCTTTCTTCAGCCAGGCGCGCCCTAGAAATGCCGGACATTGTTGGTGATTTCTGTTAAGCGTTCCCGTCGCGTGTATTCGTCTGCGGGAATTTCCGCTAACCGCCAGCGTTTTGGCGGTACCTCCCTTTCCGCCTTCGACGACAGACCACCCTGTCCCCACTGCTCTTCAGGTCAGTTCCACATCATCCCACCATGCTCAACCAACACCCTTACCCCTCCATACACATCCACCTACCCTCCCTCAATCCAGACATTATCCTATCCTGCTCCAGATTCATACAACATCTCCTTCAAATTTTCCCGCATTAACCTGACTCCGCCACCCATCCTGATGCCAGAGGAGTCTTCCTTGAAGCGATCACGTTCACCAGAGCCCGAAGCACTGCACTCTAATAAGCGCCAGATTATTTCGGGCAGTTCCAGGGAGGGAGCCCATGAGGGAAAGACATACACTCATACCTCCGCTCCCGCGAAAAACGAGTCATCGACCACTGATTCGAAGATGAATGATGCAAACTCTGAACCCAAACCCACACAAGCAACTGGAAAAGATGCGCTCCCTGCACCCGTTCAAAGTGCTCAACCAGCTGCACCACCTGTTCCCTCTCAACAAATACATCTCCGTTGCTTGATCGTCACTCAAGATGCCTCCATAATCATTGGAAAAGGTGGCTCGCACGTCAACGAGATTCGGGAGAAATCTGGCGCACGAGTCATGGTCTCTGAGAGTATTCCTGGAAATCCCGAACGAATCCTAAACGTCAGTGGTCCATTGGATGCTGTGTCCAAAGTACGTTTTTTCTTGCGTCGTGTGCATCCCCTCGTCGCGCTCTGACAGCCGTCCCAAATTAGGCATTCGGACTCATCGTGCGACGAATCAATGATGAGCCATTCGATGTGCCCTCAGTTCCTGGAAGTCGCGCTGTTACCATCAAATTTATCATCCCCAATTCGCGCATGGGTTCAGTCATTGGAAAGGGGGGTTCCAAGATTAGGGAAATACAAGAGGCTAGTGGTGCAAAGCTCAATGCGAGCGAAGGGATGCTCCCCGGTTCGACTGAGGTGAATGGAAAAACTCCATTGGGGATTATTCTCATTGCTGACATCTTTGCAGCGCGTTCTCAGTGTGTCCGGTGTTGCGGATGCTATACACATTGCCACGTATTATGTTGGCAACATTCTGATCGAAGCTGGTGCCCTTGCTCCTTCATCCTCCAATAACTCATACCGCCCCTCCGCCTCATCCAGAGGTCCTCGCTCTACCGCGTCTTCCTCACAATATGGTTACGGATCCTCTATTGTCAATCCCGTTGATCCTTCCATGGCACCACAAACTCAGCAAATTTTTATCCCGAACGACCTTGTGGGCTGTATCATTGGCAAGGGTGGAAGCAAGATCAACGAGATTCGTAGCATGAGCGCCAGTCAGATAAAGATCATGGAGCCTGGGGTCACACCTGCGGGGACTCCTGGCCCACCATCAAATGAGCGGTTGGTAATTATCACAGGTGCACCGGCCAATGTAAACATGGCGGTGCAGCTGCTTTATCATGTAAGTGACGCCTTCCACTTCTTGAGGAACGCCTGCCTAATTATCTTACTTTTCAGCGTCTAGAGACAGAGCGCCAGAGACTTGCGGCACAGGCAGCACAAGCTGGTGCTACTGCAGCCACTTCAAGCACTTGATTGTCGACTGAATCAGTTTTCTTTTGTGGCGGTTTGCAGTCATTCCGAACCCCCCACCCCTTTGAGCGTCTCTCTCCAAATCACTTCCCCGTCCCCTCCCCCCTCCCGACGCCTCAATTTTTTGTTCCAGTCTGCTGCATGTAAATAAGCCTCTTTCGTTGCAAATCTTATTCAAATTACCCGTTCCTCAACCACGGGATTCCCGAGTGAGGGTTTGTGGCCCAAAGCATGGCCACTCTCCTCGCAAAAGCGCAGAAAAGGTGGGGGATATCGAAAGATAAGGGACGTGACCATGATCAAATGGACGTCGATGAGCCCGAGGACACCTCAGCAGCTCATCAACCACAAGCGCGGAGGAACTCGCAACGGGTGCTGTTACTTTCATCTCGAGGCATCCCTAATCGTACGCGCCACCTACTGAAAGATCTTGAGGCATTATTGCCCCATACTAAAAGAGGTTGGTCTTCCCGGTGATGTAAAAATTGAGGCTGAGTCACTCTACAGATTCTAAACTGAGCGCGAAGTCTACAAACCTCATCCCCGAACTTGCTGACCTCAACAATTGCAATAACTGCCTCTACTTTGAGTCCCGGCATCATGAGGAACTGTATCTATGGGCGGCGAAGACTCCCAATGGGCCCACCGTCAAGATGCATGTGCAGAACGTGCACACGATGGATGAGCTAAAAATGACTGGGAACTGTCTCAAAGGAAGCCGGGGCTTGGTTTCATTTGACAAAACCTTTGACTCGGCTGAACACTGGAAGCTATTGAAGGAGCTGTTCACTCAAGTATGCATTGCACCTGTCATTAACCCTACCACAGTCACTTAGCACGGTATTTCCTCTAGATATTCAGTGTTCCACCCAATTCAAGGCGCACAAAACCTTTCATCGATCACATCCTCACATTCTCGGTGGTAGACGATAAGATATGGTTCCGTAATTACCAAGTTCGTAGTCTTGCTGCTCCGTACCACTTGACACATGACGAGATGGAATTGGCAGGTGGTAGAAAAGGAAACGACACAACCAGACGGTTCTCCGCCAATGTCCCTAGTGGAAATAGGTCCCCGCTTTGTTTTAACCCCCATACGGGTCTTTGAAGGTGCTTTCAATGGTGCCACTATCTACACAAACAAAGGTGCGTGGTCACATTACTGCGATGTCATTGCTAGACTTCACCTCTGGCTTGTAGGATTTATCACACCAGCCTCTATACGAATCTCCGTACGACGGGACCAGGCAGCCAAAATCCGCCGACGGAAGCATGAAGCTCATGAAAGGGAAGTCAGAAAGGAAGCAAGGAAGCTTCCTGACGATGAACTCGCTGTTACAAAAGTATTCTCTTGAACATGGCAGATCTGCTTTTACCGTCTATATGTTTACATGTGTGTTGATCATAATTATCATCCAACGGAAAGATCATCTTCAGTATTCGGGCGGCCTCTGCACCCCATCGCATCATGAACACTAAATTTGAGTGGAATCATCCGGAAATTCTGTCATATCATACCAACGGATTGTCTCGTTCCAATCTCGCTTGCGCCTTCGAACGATCGAGAAATATCTTGTCACGTCTTCAACGGACTGAACGCGAAACGTCCAAGCACAAGGAGCTCACCTTCGGATGGCATCCCATCTTCCTCCTACGCGCCCTTTCTGGCTTCGATCCCCCCTGGTCGGACCAAGCCAGTTTGAGCCAGCATCATTTCTCGCACCAGTCTGGCGGTTTGGGCAATTTCATCCAAATCAGTAGCACTTGTAGTGCCGTCGAAGGTAGAAGATCGTGAACGTCTTCGCTCAAGAACGAAAAACTTTTCTGGATCCTCTGGTAGGCCAAGATTCCCGACTGCGAATGAATGAACACGTTCATGTAGCTCATCTCTGATTTGGCGCAATCTCCTTAATTCTCCATGATGAAAATATAGCATTTTCGAAATTGCTCGAACCGCTCGGAATGTGGATGTAAGATCTTCGGTCCAGCGCAGCGTCATCCACATCCAAACAGGGACGAGCCAAAATGTGAGCCAGAACAAAGGTAAGGTCGTGAGGATGCATCCCAACCAGACAATCGTCCCCGAAAGAAGGCCATAGATAAGTTTCTGTTGGGCGATTTCGTCGTACACGTCCGAGACTGGTCCAGATCGCTTCATTTTGTTTCCGTAGTAAGACGCAGTGAGGAATATTGGGGTCCACAAAACCAAGCCTGGCAGTGCCATAGGCAAAAGAACACCTAGCCATCCAAGGCGCAATATAAGCCGCCAGAGGAGAGATGGTCGAGAAGCTGGCCGGCGGATACGATCGTCTTTTAACCCCAGGCTATCAATAGCGCCTTGATATGCCTTGGGAGATCCGATTAGGTGGATTGGCTATCGTCGACTGATCATGCTTACCTTGAGATCCCTGATAAGAACAGATATGGCATCCCTACCAATAATGCCTTTATGGTTAGGCTCTTCATCTTCAATTCTTGTTGTGGCATCGGGTGTGGGTGCGAACCCACATATAAAGGCGCGCACAACTCTGACCCAGTCGCCCAGCGACATCCTTGTACCAAATGGAGCATACATTCTTGCGGCTGTTTTGGAAACTTGAACTATCTCCCAAGATGGCGCATCAATTATTCCAGAGGATAATTGGGTCTGAATGAGTCTTGTGAGGGATTGAATAGCGCCAGCAGGAAATGGCGATCCCGGACGTTGAATTAGGGAAGGGTGGGTGGAAGGTCGCAGGTGGAGGGGTGGATTGAACTGCGATAAAATCCCGAGCGATGAGTAAAGTAGTGAATGCACGAAACCTTTGGTACTCACCGTGACCAAGACATCGCTCCGAAATCGAGACGGATGAACATATGCGATTGAACATGTAAGGAGAGTCACCTCAAAATCAGGATCTGCGAGATTGCGTGATAATGTATCTGAGGCAATACGAGCCGCTGTGAAGTGGTACACATAATTATTTCTACCTCTGTTATTTGGAAGGTTCATTCATACGCACCTCCCGTCTTAATGGGCGAAAGCTTGGATTGGTATTTACTCATGCCTTCAGGGAACAGGCAGATCGCATCTCCCTCTTCAAGGGCCTGAGCGTGTCAGGTCCCTCATCAGAACAAACCCAATCATTACTGGGCCTACATGCATACCTGAACAAGGCTATTAAGAACCAATGTATTGTCGGAATTGTCCCCTGGATTGTCCTGGCGACGTTTGACTGGGACAGATCCGACACTTTCGATAAGCCACGAACTAAATGTACGTTTTCCGAATAGCGTTGATTTGGCCGTCATCCTTAAGAAATTTCGTTTCTGTGACGAGTTTACAAAATGACACGTTAGAATACCTGCACAACTAATTCACTCGAGAACACATGCCTTAGATGATACGGAGGTGATGATCATTCTTAGCGACGACATCGAGTTTAGACCAGGTTAGCCACTCTCACCCAAACACCACTTGAGACGCCTCACATTGCGTCGGTCAGTGAGTTCCCATGGTTCGCACAAATGATTCTACGGGGGTCGGGTAGTGATGAGCTCAGCGCCTCTAGGACGGGATGGTTATGTGTGCAGGATCCGATTAGTGTACGCACGTTGGACATCCGTTCCCTGGGATAAAGTCCTCATTCTCGATTACGATACTGGCATAGAATACCTTCAGAACGAACTGGACAGTGAGAAAATAGAGCGTGTCAATGCCTAAATTGAATGGTAATGACGCAAAGTTAACGGACCTTGAATAGCAAACGAATGAGCACGTATGCCCATGGGGTTTTCTTGGATTTTAAGCTTTCAGGCGCCATACGAGATGCTGAAGAGGTTCAGTGGTAACTCCCAGCAAAGGAGCAGGGAAGATTAATCCCATGGGGTAAACGAACGTGCATACACGTGCTAGTTCGGGCGTGGGAAAATACTGACGCACGGTTCATATCAGGAATCCATGACAGGCATCAACCCTTTTCGATTCCCATCCACGTACATATAAAAATATCCAACGATTAGGCGTGGCCAGCTGTCCGTCTAAATGCTCGCTATCCTGGGATCAAATACGAGGTGCTTGATTCCGTTCTACGGACACGTACTACATCCTTATGGAGGCGTTTCGAGCGTTTCAATGAACTGAATAGAAACACATCTCCAGCTCGTGAGCTCATAGAGCTATGGGTTGCACGAACATAATCTCAACCGGGTTGCTCCTTGAGCTATTCCTCCGGGTGGCACATTACTCGTTGCTGAGATGCCCATCAATCGCATCAGAAGGGAAGATTGCTGCTTTGGCCCATTATTGACAAGATCCCTTCCTAGGTCGTCATTCTCCATCTTCCGGTGTGGGAGAGTCGCTACATTGTCCCTTCTTGGGAAAGGCTCGCGTAGGCGGTGGTAAAGAAACAGGCAATGCCCGAAAAAATACTGATGCTCTGATCATTACCTCTGCACCAATCCTTCAGCTGCCGCAAGTATCCAGAACCAACAATGGTTACCTGAGTAACGCGGACAGGGGGGAAAGCTTTGGACTTCTGGAATGAATTTGGCAAGTAGTCTTGCGGCCGTCTTCTCCCTCCAGAAATCGGTCACTGTGCACGAGAAACCTGTAGATGATTAGATTTGCTCTTTATAATTGGTCCTTCCAAAGAGGAGTGGTCATACCGCATCGCGACTTTGACAGCTTTCCTTCCACTTCTGGTACTCAAAACTGCTCAGCATCGAGGCTGCCAGGTTAGCACTCTGGAAGCATTCTTTCGGGCCCATGAGCGATAATTCTACAGCAAGGCTTGCAGGAGTAGTTTGGAAGAAGAAAATCCATCACTCGCCTCCCTCTTAGTACTTGTAGGAACCCAGACCCAGGGGGCACTATATGCAGGTAGGGCTCAACTAGTTGATCTTTGAGCAGAATCTTTACTCAATGATACAGGAGGGAGATCATTGCTTCGCACGCACATGTAAACGTTCATGTTGAGGGATAGTTTACGTAATGCGCACTAGTAGAGATTAATATACACGTGACCTTTGTTTTTCCTGCATAATCAACGAACAGGATTGATTTAGTCGAGTAGACTGGTCAGACCTTGCTTGTTGACCTAAGCTCATCTGCAGTCTGCAGATCTTCGAACGGCGAAGCCACCACCGTGAGACGAGTTGCGATTTTTCTGCGGAGCGTAACCCCGTTATATCGTGTCAGAGCTCTTCCAGAGCCACAAGACGCTCCTTAGCACCTTCATCACTACCCCTTACTCGCTTTCCAACGGGATACCAGATTCCCCGCCTATTTCTTGCAGCAATTGAAACATGTCGAATCTTCCTCCCCGACCCCCGACTCTCCCTTCTTATTCATATCAACCCAAGGTGCAAATCCAATCCTCCACTCATTTGGGCTCTTCAAAAGACGTAAATTCATATGTCCACGCGACGGCCTCTGGCGCAGCCTCGACAGACAGCAATCCTCTTCCTGCTATGCGCTCTCGAGCCGGTTCGGTAAACACAGTTTCTTCTCTTCGAACAGGGACTCAGGCTGGATCAATCCGCCGTTTTGGTGACGCATCTCCTCCGGAGATGCCATCGAAGACCCCATCCCACTCTCGTTCACGCAGTGGGGCGACAGCGAGTCACGCTGGTGGTATACAGCCTCCGGCCGCTTTCTTTCGTACCGCCCCCTCCACCCCTTCGAAGTCCAGTCCTCACAGAAATATGCCTTTCAGACCAACGAAACACTCGCGCACCCCTACAAGATCTGCTATACCGGTGCCACGTCGAGGCGCGACTCATGATTCTCGACATGGGACTGATGCATCTGATCTTGAGTTCACATCCCGATCATCTGGGGAGCACGACCGTGCTCCATTCGTACCGATAGGTCTCTTAAGTGCTACTCACTCAGATTCCCCAGCTACAGCAGAGCAAACTACAGCTCATGTGTTTAATGATTCAAGTTTTAGCACGAGTCAGGCAGCAGATGCATCTTTTGGCACTACCGGGCCTGGGCCTCTTTCATATCGTTCGAAACCCAGTAGGGATCCCCTTCTGCCGACACTGAATGATCAGCCTGTCCCTGTGCGTGGAACCAAGCCCCGAGGCAGTATCGATCAGGTTTTCCAACGGCAAAGCCTGGAGACAAATCGTTCCAGTTTCGATGTTGAAAAGGGTGCGGGTTCGCCGATACCTATGACGGAGCTTGTTAAGGAAGGCCCGTCAAACCGTAGCGATGGTCCCATCCCAGTTGTTCCGCACTCACCCGCTGGGACAAGTGGCCCCGACACGCATCGAAGAAGCTACGTTGGACCCAGACGAGCCATGTCCCCCAACAGTCCGCCCCATGCCGCGAGTGGTTTCAGCCATTCATCAATTTCGCGACCTGCGCACATGTCTCAGCCATCATCCCGCCATCTCTTTTATCCTCGTTCAATTACTCCCCATGGCCACCCTCCGGAAGCCAAGATGCCTACACGTCCTGTGCTTGATTCCAAAACTGGCCGTCCAGTCCGGAATTATTCACGTCATCCAGGAGCCAACGTTTTCTGTTTCAATGGCCGGATGCTGACAGGAGGAGATTCTCCGCTTCCATTCATCGGCACACTTATCTTTGTATTTGGATTGGCAGGGGTGTGGTTTGGATGTGTGGCGCCTTGGTGGTGGCACCATGTCAGCCCTGCAGTGCCGGTTATAGCAGGCTACCTGACTCTGGTTTCGATATCGAGTCTAGTGATAACGGTAGGAAAAATTGCGCATTTGCTTCCTCAGCCTTTGACGTGTTATACTTCCAGGCAACGAAAGATCCTGGTATCTTGCCTCGTAACCTAGATCCTGATCCACCATATACAACGTCTTCCCAAGTCAGTGAAAACACTCCTGCTGTTCCGATGCCTCGGGATATCCAAGTAAGGGCGGGTATGTGAGTATCAACTGCTTTCATGGCGGCTTCATCCCGAAATTCTCACTCCCTTGAGAAAGTGCTCGGGTCAAGTGGTGTCAGACTTGCAGGATGTATCGTCCCCCTCGGTCAAGTCATTGCAAGATGGTAAGGGATGTTGCGCCTCCGTAGATGTCTAACTCAGAGCGCCCCTATTCAGTGCGACAATTGTGTAGATGGTTGCGACCATCATTGCCAATGGGTCAACAATTGCGTGGGAAGACGCAACTACACCCATTTCTTCACTCTTATCATCGCGATGGTACGCACCTGTGCTATTAAGAGACGGATAGCACGCTGAAGCTGCCATCATCTGGCAGTCCGTTACCGATATTTACATTGTTGTGACCTCTGCGCTGCAACTGTATTTCCTCAGCAAATGGGATCACCTTAGGTTCCGACGGTGTTATCGCACGCACCCGGAACTGCCGTAGCCTTCTCGATGTCAGTTGTTGCAGCCTGGCCTGTACTTGCCCTGTTGTTTTATCACGTTCGAGTTGAGTGCAATTACTCAGCGTCCTGTCAAATTTTCATTGATTTCTCCACTTCTAGCTCGTTTTCCTTAACATCACTACCATTGAGCAAGTGCGAAGCAAAGCGCATGCTTTCGTCACGCCAGGCGAGGCCCCACGAAATCCCTTCACCCTCGGGAGTTGGAGAAGGAACGTGGCATGGGTCTTCTGCCATCCCTCCGGATTCTCATGGATCGAGCCGTCAGCATATGCCGAGGAAGACTCAAGAGTTGTCAATCCTGGGTCTTTGCCTGGATGGAGATACCCTGAGAAGGAAATCGATGAGACGAACGAAACGGAGGAAAGCAATATTGTGGATGGGAGAGGCCCAAGGGTGGATACCTATGTCTAACCCAGACGCTGTTGATGAAGATGGACGAGGGGTTTGCTCTTCACAGTACCTTTCTCGGCGTTCGCCTGCTGTTTATTCCTTTAACTATTTGTTTCTTTCACGGTTGCATCGCAATACCTTTCTTGGAGAATTACTGAAACCCGCGGCCGGACACGATGCCCAATTCGAGTTTCTGCTGGTTGCATGCATGACATTCCATATTTCTGCTACCTAAACATTCCTACCAGCTAGTAAGCTGTCCATATTCATGTGTAGGATCCAGGTAAATACTATTCAGACGGTGTCGCTTCGACACACCAAGCACGGCGGCTCTTGCTGTGGATGCAGTCCTCTTTTGGCCATTCGTTTGATGACACCAGTGGTTAGCCCTGGTCACACCTGGTGACAGGGAGCGAATCGGATTCCACTTTGGTCCGGTCGAAGCTGGCCTGCCTTTCGCTTGTCAGTTCTATTGGTTGTCAAAATTTTACCACGGCTCAGCGCCCACTTGGGCTCGATTGTTGTTTTCTCTCGTGATTTATCATATCCGCCTTTCCGTGTTTTCTACTCTTCAGTTCAATTCCGGTGAACATCGGCCCCTCATCACAAGGAACAAGTGGCTTACGAGCCCCGAACGCATCCTCTGCAGATGTGCAAACACTGCGTCGGAGAACGTTTCTCAGACTCCCGAAGGCAGCAACTGAAAGTTCGGTGGCACTTGAATGTTGGCAAGAGCTGTTGGATGCCATCAATTCCGACCATAAAACCAGTTGTATTTGTACCCCAAGCCTCGTCCCAAACCTGTGACCCAACTAAAAATAAAGCAACAATAAATGATTATGAACGTATGATGGGGTTCGTCATCAAATCATCGGTCTCCAATTCTTCAACAATATCTCCTTGCTGTGCTGTGGCTTGAGGGTTTCCACCAGTTGGGGTAGAAGGTCGAGGACCACCTTCAATAGACTGTTCGATCTCCTGGAACTGTACTCGGAATGATTGTATCCAAGGGTGTTCCAGGAGAGTCTCCGCAGTTGGGCGTCGCATTGGATCAAGCGTCAAACACGCTTTGATGAAACTGATTCCGGGTGGACTCAGCTCAGACGTCGATGGTAATTGCGGACCACGATCGGCTTGGCTAGAGTTTTCATCTCCATCAGAGCATACGGGACATTACAAAGTGGATAGCACTCACCCAATTTGATAGAGGATAGCCCTGGGAAGAAGGCTTGAGCGAGAGTAATTAAATCGGAAAAGGATCGAAGTCCGCACCATTCATTATCTAGATGTGACCAAGCCTTCCTGCCAGTCGCACACTCTAGAACTACACAGCCCAAAGACCATATGTCCATCGCTCCTTGAGCACCTCGTCTGTCGTTCTTAATCACTTCGGGAGACATGTACATTGGAGTACCCGTCAGGCTATTGTTGATCCCACGTTTACCGGGGTCGAGCCATGGAGGTGGTGGAGCACTCGTGCTTGGTCGTGAAATGGATTTATGTTGACCCTTAGCGAGAATCTTGGCAGCTCCAAAATCAACAAACTTGATCGTGTCATTGTGATCAAGGAGAATATCTGAACAAGATTCAGATGGACAAATCGGGGGTCGTAGTGGCATTATAACTTACTGTCAGGTTTGATATCACGATGAACAACATTTCGTAAATGAAGGTACGCCAATCCCTCGAGCATTTGGATGGTGTAGAACTGCAGGACAGTCTCATCTTCGATGCGACCGAGCTCTAACAGCGAAGCCAAGCTGCCTCCTTTGCAGTACTCTTCGAAGATAAAAATCTTGTCCCGGTGCACTTCGATACCATAATACTCCACAATATTGGGATGCTGCAACATCTCCATAACGGATAGTTCGTCCTTAATCTGCTGATAAAAGCTCGTGAGGTTACTCATGTCCTGGAATTTGATCTCCTTTGCAGCCATGAGTCCACCGGTGTCGAGGTTAACAGCAAGGTAAACCGAGCCAAACGCGCCCGAACCAATATGTCGCCCCTGCTGCCAACGGATAGAAATGTTTGAGGTCGAAGACGCCAGGAAGAGGAGGGATTTGTCCTCAAGCTTATCCTCATCTACTACACGACCAACGGCTCTGTGCTGTGAATCGATCTCGTACCGTTTTGCGTCCAATTCCCGGACCTTCTTTAATGGCTCCTCCCACCTCAATCTCAAACTTTGATTCTCTATTTCAGTTTCTGTGATCGGTGAGTTGGGGAGTGAAGACCCCCCATTCACTCCACGACTACGCCCGATGAATTCATCCATCCGACGGATCTCCGCAAGCCGCTCTTGTTCTTTTTTGGCTTCGAAACTAGATCGAGCCCCAAGGATGTCGAAATGACCAATAAGAAGCGTCATACAGCTCGCGACCTTCTGTCGCAACAGTGCGAATTCGTCGTCCGGGAGGTGAAGAATATTGGTGCCGTGAGTCCGTAACATCGCGAACTCCAAAGCGTTGACCGCCCAACGAAATGTCTTACGGTCGGTGGGATCGCAATCATCGCAAATAAAAGCAACCCAAGAAATAGCCAGCTTCGTCATCATACGAGAGAAATGGGGAGAGACGGTAGCTTCCATATGCTTTTGCGCATGCTGACCGTGATCGGACGCAAATGAAAACCAATTTTCTAGCAGCTCCTGGTAACCTTCCGAGCCTCGCAGAGAGTCGCTGATATTATGAACAGAGGCTACGATGATTTCTGCCAACTTGTTTGTTGCTCGAGTTATCCTTCGAAGTTCACGATTTACATTCGGAAGGTGCGCCAATTGTTCCATTAGGCAATGAAGCATGACGGGATCCAGATTCACTTTATCAGCTTGAGCCTCCGCCAAGCCCAAGCTGTCGTCATTTTCGACATCTGATGCTTCGGAAAAGTCATCCGTAAGGCAAGAAGTGAACTGGGCCTTAGCTGACACAAAGCGATTCTGGGGGCCGTCTGCTACGAGTCGTATACGGAGTGGCTCAAGAGCCAGGTCCACTCGAGTCAGCTGGAGAACCATAACGAGTCCCTGCCACACAAAGGCTTCGCCAGGCGTTAGTAGTAGAATGTAGCCGTAGTCTTCCAGATCCTCCACAGCGCTGTCCCCCGAAATGGTCTCTGTAGCCAACGAAGCGGTATCCATAACGGGTCGATTCACGTTATAAGCCTTTATAAGCATTTCGTTGATGAGGGGAGGGTGAGCGCGGAGATTGGGAGATGCGACGATGTATATCCCTTGCTCCGCGTAGAAATCGGAAAGGACCATAAAGTGTTCTGTGGCAACTAGCCTTGTGATTAACAGTTCGGTGTTAACACCTTCAAGAGAGTACTCAGCAGCATTGGAGAAGCGCTGCATTAAAGACCTGTCAAGAAAGGGTTTTCAATCACTTGCACTCAACTACCGGAGACAAAGCTGACCTGGCATACCGCTGGAGCTTGCGGTAACGCAGGCGAACGCTCTCCAGCACCTTGCTCAACCAAACTACAACATCTGAAGACCCAGTCTCCTCCTCATTACTATTCTTCCCCGCGTCGCGCCAATTCTTCGTTCCCGTAGAGCCGGCTCGCGAACGTGACCTAATCACTGGTACTTGCACTTGGGTCTCAAAGTAGTTGATGATCCTATGTAGTAATCTATTGGTCAAGCCGCTGGGCAATCGTCAATTGAGCGTCACTAAGATTGTTGCGAGAAACAAAGACGACGAACCACAGCTGCTCCGCGATGACAGCGGAGCCACCTTGAACCGTCATGCTGACCTCATCCATAAGATCCTCCTGAGCCTCCAGAACATCAGTCTCCTTGAAGTATATGCCTTTGGCACCTCCTTTCAGCTTCCAATGCAGCAACTTGAAGAACAAAAGTAGGGACTGAAGGAGAACTCGGTCGAATCCTTTCGGTATGCTTGGTGGTAACTTCCATTTCCCATCCGGATCCTCCTCCATCAGTGCCTCGTACTCTCGCTTCAATGTGCAAGCGAGACCGATTTGTAGCCGAATATCATCTGTCATCGTGTCAAGAACCATCGAGTTTGGATTCTGAATGCGGTCGGCGGATTCGAGACGGACGTGTAATGAGGCTTCGATGAGCTTGATGGGAAAAGAGATGAGCTGGACCAGTTGGTTCTCGAGGGAGGGTAGGTTGAGTTCTTCGAACATTTCCGATCGAGTAGTCACAACACGACGGGCAGATTCGATGAGAACATGAATAGATACTAAAGCATCCTTCTCAAATGTCCGCTGAAGCGAATCCTCCTTCAAGACACGCTCTAGGAAGGTGGTCGATCCAGTGCGCTCAGAGCTCTCTTTATTCTCCCCGACAACGGAGACCTCGACGGGCTCGTTTGGCTTTGTAACATCGAGGCTCTCACTGCCAGTCCACTTCTGGAGAGCGCTGATCTGCTGTTGCAACGACATTTGCAGTTTGTTCCAGCTGATAAGAGCATCCAACCTGTCCATAAGTTCCGGGCTCGCTGTCTCGGGTTTGTCGTCTTGCATTGCCTTGAAACTCGTATAGAGGGAACAAGCAACATCCCATCGGTCTAGAACATCATGGACTTGCTCTTCAGCTGGGTATGAAGATTTTCCGGTCTCTTGGTCCATCTCGGCTTGGACACGGAAGGACATGATTTCCTCATAAATCGCGGTAACCACTCTGTTCCGGCGGTCTTCCAGGCGAGCTAGCTCCTCGGAATCAGAACGGCCTCGTAACCACGCACGGATACCGAGCCATATGTCGTGACGCGTGTTGCTTCGAGCTTCCACAGTTTCTAGCGCTCGCACGATCCTGGTTTTTTCTGAGCGGAAGACCTCGCCATCAAGCACCGAAGCCAGCATAGTTTGCCATTCCAACCGTTCACGTTCCGCTTGGGAGAGGGATTCTATGTCGGGAGATGTCATGTCTGATCCAGGTATGAGAAGTCCATTCGATACAGCGAGTGCACTAGGTTTCGGTACTGTATCATCATCACTATCCCCAGGATCGTTGAGTTGTTCAAGCCCACGTTGGAAGTAATTTGCGTCAGGGTCTTGTCTGTCTGCTCCCTCAGACGGGTCGGGGCGGTATTTGCGCTGAAATGTCGAGAATACAACTGCAGCACGTTTTGGAGCATCTGGAGGACGTGCAACATTGCCGATGATGGAGGAGGTGGTACTAGAAGTGCTCGGAGAAGCGAACGATGTTGTATAATATGGATTTCCGGATCTGGGCTTTGTGCGATTACTGCGAGAGGTTGATGGTGTGATGGAACTGCTAGAAGGAGACGTTTGACGTGACATATCAGGACGGGGAGATGGTGCATCAGTTGAACTTTCGATTTCTCCACTTTCAGGATGTGGGTAGAGGACAGGCGTGTGCTTGCCGCTTCCCGTTCGAGGCATGGTGACAGCCAGCTGGTCAGTTTCACACTTTAGCTTGTACCAAATTAAGAAGTGAAGAGCACGGCAGAAACACCCAGTAGGAAAAGTCGTGGAGGGAACCAGGAACTGCTCAAAATATGCAGCAAATGTATTGTAACAGTGTAAGGGGCGTGAAGGTGAGCGAAATTGCAAATTATGTAGTTGGCTGGAATAGGCAAATGAGAACTTCTGCTGTGCCTGACCGCTGTCCTAGGTAAATCGGATTCAGCAGATGGAGGGTCCTTAACTTCTGGGTAACTGGGCTGGCCGAGTAGCCCGGTACTGCGAGTTTGAGACGAGTGTTCGATGTCTAAATTACTCTGCACACAGAGTCATTAACCCGTCGCAATATTACGCAAATTTCGACGCTGAAAATTTGTCATCATCTTGCCTTTGGTTTCTTTTCTTTTTTTACATGCATTTTCTTACGGGTCTTTTTTGCAATCACGTCATCCCTGTTGTCTGCTGACGCCATCCCGCGCGTGGGCGTTCTCATATGTGCACTCATCCACTGCTAGTATGATAACTAGCACCACCTCTCCCAGTAGCGATGTACATGCGCTGCACTGTTGTCTTCATTGTCTTTTGAAGGCTTCCGAAAATGTTTGGAGTGTACCATTTCTAAATGGGATTTATTGCCACCAACTCCTCCAGCATGCCGACCTCCCCGCGAGCATTCCTCTCTAAATGAGAGGTCACAGACGGTTCATCTGGCTACCTTTCCACCGGTTTCACGCCGGGAGGAGGCATCTGCTGAGTTCTAGCTCACCAAAGCGCCCTGCGCTTTGGCTTTCTCTGGACAGGCCAAATCCCTGTGGAGATGAGGGCATCTCAGCACCTGCTCTCTGAGGCGCCCGGCGCTTCGGCTTTTTCTGGGCTGGTTAAATGCCCCTACTCTTTCTGAGAGGCCAAAGATAGTCTACTCGACTGTCTTCCATCCGGTTTCACACCGGAATGAAGACAGCTCAGCTTCTGCTGAGTGCCCTCTCTCTAAGGCTGTCGAATCTCCAGCCCCAACTGTTCCTCTCGTTCTGAGAGACCAGAGGTGGTTCCTATGACTGCTTCCCCACCGGTTCTAGGTGGAGAAATGCGCTTACCAGCCCAGGCCGGGTGCCAGTTCACTGAGCACCCTCGCGCCTTTCTGGGTCAAACTGACCAGTGGCTTTCGCCACTGCTCCTGGGCGACCAGCTCCATCCGTACGCATAGTAACGACACCGGCAATGCATCCTATGTCGTTTCCAGCCTAGGAGATGGCTCTTCAGCCAATACTGGTTGTTGGCCCTCAATCTCAGCATACGCTGGTGTCCCATCAGTTAACTGTGGAAGCCTAACCACTTCACTGCAAAACTCTTATCACTTTTGTGTTATTGTCTTTGTCTTCATAGATGGAAATCAACTCTGAAAGGCTCCACTTCCTTTTTTTTGAATTTCTTGATCGTATTTTCTTGCGTTGTGAGACAAAGGTATGAATTTAATTATGTAACTCTCGCAACATAACAAAACGAAATAAGTGGGTGAAGCACGCACATTGCGGATTGGCGGTTTCCGGGCGCTCTTGTTTTCCACAAACTACAACGGCAAAATAAACCGTTGCAACGTCACCCATGGCATAATCAACATATGCACCAACAAGAATATAACACTTGTACTACGTGTCTCAGGCCAAAGCTCCGAGGGGATCCCAGGGAGGCAGTACAATTGGTTCCTGATCCAATACCTTGATCAGGTCTCCGGGTGCAAGCTGCTTCGGCACAACCACTTGGTAGACGTATCTGTATAAACTGAGTCAACAATAGTCCACAAGGAGATGCCAAGACCAGAACTTACTCATCGAACCATTCAGTGGTCATGACAAAGTAACCGTGCTCACCAGCTGTCTCTCCCCAAGAGTTTTCCACTTTGAATCGGACTGGGGTCCCCTTGTCGTCCAAGTGGACGGCAGTAATTGTCATGGCTGTTGCACCTTATGAATCGCATATAGGACGCTAAACGTACGGAGAACTAACCATGAGTCATGGCGGACTCGCCAGTGCGGAGACGATCAGCCTTGTCAAGTCCCAAGGTAACGCCAAAGGCGTTCTCGACTGCGCACATCATGTGGATTCACCAGTAATTCAAACCTACAATTAAACGACATACTATCATAGAGACCAGTGGCCATCACACCGCTGGCCTGGTCCGAAGATTGGCCGACGTCGCAGCCGAAGAAGACTGGTTGACCCGCTTTGATAGTCTAGTGAAATGCAAATATGAGCCCTACGCGAGGAACTGAGGACCAACTCACGTACCTTGACAACAGCCTCCCTGAGTCTTTGAGATGAGGTGTTCACATCTGTAGAATGTCAGTCATTGTATATGGGTTTCTTGAAAGCTGTGGCCCACATCGAATTGGTCGTCCATTCCAGACATTTCCAAGCTTGTCAACCGTGTAGAGTTTACCATACTCATTACGGGGATCGTTAATTAAAGAGAATGCTTCGTGATGAGGATACCGCTTGTTGCTGAAAGTCTTGGAAGAAATTCATAATGAACACAAGCACCAAATCACTTCAATAGGGGGGATGTAACCTTGTAAAATTCAAGCGGCGTTCCGGTCCAAGACTTGTAATCGCCGTGAGCAGTATAGTACTCCCAATCAAACCTGTCATTCGGTTTAGGGGGTTCACCAAGAGTGACAGTTAAAATCTTGTAGACCTCCCCGATATATTGCTCCTTCCGCTGGCGGAGATCTTCTTGGATCCTTTGTTGACGAGTTGGCGCATCCAACACTCCAAGGCTCCCTTCCAATTCTGCAAACCTCTTCCGAAGGAGGAGCGCGTGCTCACGCAACTTGGTAGTGATCAGCTGGTCGAGTCGCTTGGAAGCCGAAGATGAGTAGGATTCCGGGAAAATAGCCTGAGGAACAAGGCCGTAGTTCTGAACAGGAGTATCACGCGAAGATGTGTCACTACGCCGTTGGAATCGACGAGGAATCACAGCACCTCAAGCAGATTAACAGCCATATCCCATTGACCGCCGTCTCCAACGGGATCATCAGCTAAATGAACGATAAGTCTGTCATCAAGAGGAAGGTCCACGTGTTGAATGCTGAGCTCGAGATAATAGTTTGCTTTATTCAGCTATGATGAAAGGGCCGTACGTTTTATGGCACGATGAAAAGCGAAGTCGGAAGTCTGGTCACCTTATCATAGAGGAACAGATACGATCTAGAATGGCAAGGTTTTTTGATCGCATACAATTAAGGCTAACTTACATAACGTGAACTTACTGAGAGAGCTGGAAATCTTCGAGTCCCAAGGACTTAGCAATATTGTAGCGAATGACCTGTCCAGATTTGTCAGCATGATCGGGCATTCGCAGCTCATCCCATTACATTAGTGGTTGCAAAAAGCCAACACCTAGCAAGGCCTAGTAAGGTCAGCGAGCCTAGTCAAGATACACAATAACACATACCTCCCGCTCGACTTCTGGTCTGTGACTTTGGTGTTCCCGTGGAAATCCAACCTCGTGTTAAAGATGTGCAAATTCGCAATTTTGGTCTTCCGGGAGAGCAGTGCAGTCTTGAAGTCCGTATGATTCAGGATCGTGCGTGAAAGCTGGAGCCTTTGATCCTACGCACATCATAAGTACGTGTAACGTGCTGGTCAATCAAGGAATACACGTGCCTTAGAGGCCTCATCCTCCCAGTTCTCAAGGTTTTCGAGGGAAATGGAGCCATCACTGGAGACTGGCCCCTGAGCGCTCGGACTGATAGAGAGCGGCAATATTGCTGCCGCGATGGCCTCATCGGAGGCATGCTGATAGTGGTGTTTCTCGTTAAGCTTGGCCTTGGAGACTTTCTGCGTTGATTGGCTGGCACCCATACCGTACGCACTTGGAGCAGTAGAACAAAGTGACAAGTGCAGCAATTCCTTTAGATAAGTATAACCGGCGACCCCTGAGAACGAAGCCCAAAACGATATTGAGAAAATGACACAGCCACTTCGCGGGTGTAATAAAGCGGTGACAGTTGGACAATCACTCATATCGACGACCGATTATCATAAAGCAAGCTATTCAAAGCTAAAAATGGTTCTTTTTCCAACCTATACTGAGTATATCATGAGTAATCATAACATGATCTGACGGCTCGTCACTCCCGGTGGCCCTTCAACATAGGATTGATCCCGATAGGACAAGGCTTCCACCCATCCTCCGGACCTAACAGCCGAATCCCTGGAGCAGGGTTTTTCTCAGGCACTATGGTCTCATCCATCACGATGTCGTTTTGGGTCTCCTGACACCTGAGGTGCGCTTCGAGTGTTTGAAGGCGCTCCTCCATGAGTGCAATGCTCATATCTGCTACCTAGACCAAGTATGGGGGCGTGGGACATAAGCCGACAAAATCACTCACTTCAACATCAGTGTTAGATCGTGTTTGCAGCAGGGTTTCAATTTGTTGCTCCAAGTCGGAATCGGACCCGCAGAGGGAATGGATCATTGGCCGGTATCTAAATGTCAAGGAGTGAGATAGAAGTATTCGCATGCCAACACTAAAACTGACTTCAACATCTCGAAAGAATCGATCCTGCCGACCTCGAAAAGGAGCAGGGAAAGTGCATCTTCGCGTGTGCAATCCACGTCCTTATGGCCCCATTTTTCTACGACCCAAATGACCCAATTCGACAAGCATTCATGAAACGAGGGGTCCTCTTCCGGTGCGTTGGTAAGAGTAGAGATGATACGATCCAATAAATACGATGCGAATTTGTGATGTTTAATTTGAACATGCAAGAGAAGCTGGCCCCACAGTTCCAGGTATGAGAGAGAACTCTCATTGGAAGGGCCTTCCTGGAGCCGTTTCCTGGACAATTGCGTGTTCAACAACGTCTGAGGGGAACAAAAACGAATGATACTTTTTGGATTTAGGTACGATACCTCCCTTTTTCACTAACTCCGTACATAATTGGTCGATTGCCCATGATGATCCCCCATCTTGATGTGCATTTCGGCCAGGGCCAAGACGCCATGCCGCTGAGGCCTCGTCAATCCAGCGTTCCAATTGGCGCAGCGCTGCGGTTATTTGGGTTTTCTTCAGAGTGGCATCCTTAATCAGGGCTTTCTTCGACGATTTATATTCCTGGAGAAGTGGCGCCAGAAGTGCCAGTTCCAGGAGAGGGGTTTGAAGTGCTTCCCCTGGATGGAGAGTCGGTATCCAATAGTTCTGAAAGATCCAGCTCATCGACTTCGGGGAAAATATAAGGGAGGAATGTTTGACGGCTGAAAGGGCGCGAGGACTCGTACCTGGGTTGCTGCCTCGCGTAAAAGTTCAAGAGAAGGCAAGGCCTCGTGGGTTGTAGCGTGTCGGAGTTCGACAAGCCATTGCGGCAGCCCGATCCTCCCCGCCAAATATGACAGGGGTTTGGCGTAAAGGCTTTTCTGTAAAGGATCGACAAGACCGTTGACCGTCCGGACAATTGCCAGGGCATACGCTTGTCGAACACCAAGGAACGACGAACCATTGACTTCCCTCCTAACAGCACTGTGATCCAGCAGAACAGCCCCCAAGATTAGCCAAGTGGACTCTATTGAGTGCGGAAGAACAGTTGCCACCCTCCACGCTGCAAGCTAGAGAACAATCAAGGACTGCGAGGCAAATCGGCAGGCGTCAACACACACTTTGGCAAGGGCCTTTCGCTTCGAGACCTCGTCAGCAGCATCGGAAAATATCCAAGAGCATACTTCTTCGAGCTCTGATATTGAGGCCCAGGGAACTCGTCGGGGGAGTGGTGGTCGAACTGGCATCTGTAGCGCTATTTTCTCGGTGCAAATAGCCCATAATAAATTGTTCTCTCGGTTTGGGGCATGCAACGGACCACTCGGCCTTGGCTTGCGATAATTAATCATATTGCAGCTATGTCTACGACACTGAGACCCTCGAATACTCTTTGCCCATCCCGTCCCAAGCCCTCATTGCAAATTGAGCTAACACCTACTGAGGACAAACTCTTCACACTACTTGACGATTGCACAAAGTATTTGCGCGAGAAATACACAGATTTGGTCCCAGTTGAATGTCGAATTGCTGGGGGATGGGTGAGGGACAAAGTCAGTTTTACTTACATCGTCCAGGATAGTCTTTGACCCTACTCAAAGCTGCTCGGACTCGAGTCAAATGACATTGACGTCGCATTATCCACTATGATGGGCGTACCCTTCGCTGAGCACCTTGTGTCGTTCTTGGCTTCTCGTGGCATTGCTATTAAGGATGTGGCAAAAGTGGCCATGAACCCTGATCAGTCCAAGCATCTTGAGACAGCAATGGTTAATGTCCTTGGACTTGACATAGACTTTGTTAACATGAGAAGCGAGGTTTATGCGGAAAACAGTAGGATTCCTGCGGAAGTCGTAAGTCGATTCGTTCAATGCAACCATGATCTCTCAAATCTATTCTAGAGTTTTGGCACTCCCCTTCAAGACGCTATGCGGCGTGACATAACGATCAATGCGCTATTCTATAATGTCCACACCCGCTCAGTCGAGGATTATACGGGAAGGTGGGCGAACATGGCAGGTTATTTTATCTTGCTCAAGCGGACCTAGGAGTCCAGGGATTGGAAGACTTGAAGGCAGGCATCATTCGCACACCGCTAGCTCCTCGAGAGACCTTCATGGATGACCCACTGCGAATCCTTCGATGCATAAGATTCGCAAGCCGATTCGAATATAGCCTAGACAACGAGGCGAAAACTGCCATGGTGCAACACGATATTCAGGTCAGCCCCAGTTGTTTAATATGAAACGAAGCAGTTGAATTGGGTGCAGGAGGCTTTGGCTGCAAAAATTAGTCGAGAGCGAGTTGGGATTGAAGTCGATAAAATGCTGAAAGGTTGTGTATCCGCTTTTGACGCCAGCCGCTGCAGGAGATTGACCCGGGTCTACTCAGGAAAGAATCCACTCCTACCGCTTCAAATGATAGATTCGCTCGGCCTTCATGAGCAAACATTCTGGCTACCCCCTGAGATCTCATCCTCTCTCTCGGCTGCCCCGAGGACGCGGTCACTCGGACTAGCGTCGGCCGCAATATTACACACTATCTTCAGGCAATTTGATGATCCCAGTGCCCCTCACCCTCTGCCGAGCATACATAAGGACATCATTGAGTTCTCGGCCAATGACAAGAATATCAGAAGGCGCCTGTACATGGCGGCGGCTCTAACTCCATACAGAGGAATCACTTTCCAGGAGAGGAAAAAGACTGTAACAGCTATGGAAGGTATAGCAAGATATGGCTTGAAGGTAACGCTACCTGCATAACAGCACAACAAGTTTCATTCAGATGATTCATACAGTTGGGAAACGCTAATTATTATATGGATGGCATCCCCGCTCTCTTTGCTGCTGCAGCTAAATTGTCGATACCGATTCTCAGCAAGTTCACGCACCCTTCTGGAAGTGAGCGAGTTGCACTTGGCCTCGCGTTACGAGATAAAAATGTCCATAATGAAACCACTGGTTCCCACTGGACCACTTCCCTGCTGTTCTCTCTCGTGCAGGACTTAGTGGAAACGATAAACCCGGTCGATGGAAAGTTTTTAGCAGAAAACATTGACTGTAAGGGAAACTTGCATCGCTATTATGCCGCATCCTTTACTAAGCTCAAATCCCCTGCTTTAGCTCGGGAAGTGCTATCTGTAATCGAAACTTATAACATGTTCATCTCCAAAGTGCTCGAACTGGGTCTTCCATCTTCTGTTCACAATAAACCTATCTTAGACGTTCGTCCATCCCCATGTTCATACCGATCCTGATTTAACGCAACTACTTAGGGGCGTGAAGTATGTGCCGCACTCGGGTTAAAACCAGGTCCACACACCGGCCACATCTTGAACAGCGTTACTGAATGGCAATTGGAACATCCAGACAGGGATAAGGCCGCTTGCGAGCAGTGGTTACGGGATGAGCACGGAGCAGGACGTCTGATGCCAGCTCCATCACCAGATGGAAAAAGAGTGAAAGGAGAGGACGAATCGAGAAAGGTCAAAAAACCAAAAACAAAAGGCTGAACAAGAGGAATGGTACATCATGCGGCTGACTGGGCCGTTATGTCAGCCTCTTCTGGCACTGGCAAATCACAGATCCTTCGGGGCACTCGATAGCACTTGTACTATAAATCGAAACGAAATGAATGAAGACGAAATCGTAAACAGTGATTAAAACATACCCTGACCATCTCAACCACACTGTTAACACCTCGCTTACAATCAGGACAATTTGCCACAGCTTCAAGGCATGATTTCATTTCCTCAGCCACATCGGTGCCCGCATCCAACCTATCCAACACATTCTGTCGACGGTAATCCCAAAGAACTCGAGTTGCTGTTCCGTGATGCCGACAGATCAAGTAGTCATGAGGGAAGACCTGCTCTTCGCGGAGTATCTGACGAAGAGCATTCTCGCGGAATGTTTGGAGTCGAAGAAGATTATGGAACGCCTCAACTGTTGTGATGATGCGAGCCTTCTCCACAGAATATGTCAAAACGGGAGGAGTGAGGAGGAACTGAGAAGCGTTTGATGAAATGTCCTCCAATCCGAGGAAGGACGCAAGGGAGTAAACATGAAGGGGCGACGTTCGAGCATGTGCCAACAAGTGAGAGTGGAGCGGTTTGATAAACGCATCTGTGAGCTGATACTTGTTCGCTAGATGATAAAGGTAATTTCTTATTTCATCGAGAGGAATTAATGACGGGGAAGGCTCTTCCGGTGGCAGGACATCGGGTTCGCCTGGTTTGAACTTGGGCCTCGCAACGGGCGGGGGCAATTCCTCCGGTGGTTCATAGATAATGCGAACCAGTGTCCCTAGAGTTTCTGTTGGTTCTGCCATGTCTATTATGGACTCCTTCTCTTCGGGAAGGGATTCAAACATGTCTTTGAAGACGTTGCTACCTTCGATGAGTCGAGCCCGGGAGCAACGGAACAGACTACCATCAAGTGAGCGAAGCGTAATATCCACATCCTCGGACAACTTGCTCGCGTGCGGAGGGGTCTGCAAGGTGGGCATTTGTTCGTGGATGGACATTCCAGGGCGAGTTCCAGGTTAAAGACAACTCAGACGACGGACCGATGCAGTATATGTTTCTGAAGCGGACACTCATACAAATAATCCAGCGCTTTGCACAGCATAAGTGGTGACACGTCGCACAGCTGCGCGTTTAACGTGTACAAACATGTTCAGCACTGCGAACAGTGCCGGTGCCGGAAAGTCCCAATTCAATTGACTTTCTGCTCAACTGCTCAAGTGCTGTCCTTTGACTTGTGGACGATGTGTCATGGGAGAACACAGATTAGCTGATCTTTTCAGCTCACTCAGACGGGTGATTCCTCGTGTGCCTTTCTTCCAGCTTGCCGTCCATCGAGTTCCTACCCGGTGGACATTATATAGGGGGCTGTTGCGAAATGCCCCGGGAGAGAATGTGTGTTCCACAGTAAAGCACCACCGACCCCAGGCTGACAATTCAACTATCTCTCAAGTCCAAGTGGCGTCTGCGAGCGTTCTTCAGAAGGTACCAGCATCTTACCAGCCCTCCGACCACAAAAAAGAAGTTGGAACAAGCTCATTCTGTCCGTGGTTGCCCATTTCTTATGGTTTACCGTTTTTCTGAACAACAAGTTGATGAAGCTGCTAGACGCCTTCATCGATGCCAAGAATGGAGACGAAACCGCTATGAATCTCGCGCGTCGGTTCGAATCGAACTCACGCGTCAGTCGCGTCCGCGAAGCATGGAATCTCACCTATGCCAGAGAGCTCGTAGGGAACCGTTTAGTCATAGCTTTCATTGACTTTCATGACGCAAAACTCAGGCATTCATCCAAAAAATGCGTCGGCGACCACATCTCACTGGGGGGTATCTCCGACCTTCGTTCTACAATCGCCCTCTGCCTCGCATGCGAAACCAACCTGTTGATGTCACAATGATGATCAGTAAACGTGTCAAGGCTCGTGCAAGGAGGCAAGTTGCATTCGAGTCAATACAGAGCACGAAAGAAGATGTACGCCTTGAGTGCTCGTTCGAGGGCAGATTGAAGGCCGAAGCTGCCAGACTCGGTTTTGAGAGCAGTTGGGAACCTTATTTCGGCGATCTCAGAGGCTGGCGTAAGTTCTCGGTTGGGGCCCAAATAACTCTCACTGATGCCTTTTCAGTAGAACCTTTGCGACAGCATGAGAAGTCGCTCCAAGCATCTTTCGAACTTGACACAGAGCGTGCATCATCCAAGTTCAGTCCCGAGCTGCTTGAACGGATCAAGGATGCCCGACGGAACCTAATCAATAATAAGACCCGCGAGCGGGAACGAGAACGGCGTGGCGAAGTGCTGATGGCGACTCTCCGGCGGATGAGACAAGGACCGCCCCCGCACGTACTCACCAGAATGAGCGAGAAAGATAAGAGGGAAGACAAAATCCTCCGAGAAGTTGGCGCTGGCGGATATTCAAAGTGGGTTCAGTCTGGTGTTTGGGGTGAAGGGGACCTGGGAAAAGAAAGGAATCACGAGAAGCTAGATAGGCTTGAACACCAGATCAGGGAGCACAACTTGAGAAAGCGTGCAACAGGCAAATACTAGATCCACTCTCATGACCGGCTCGCAATTGCACAAATCCCACCGAAACAACAGTCACTGATGGCATGTCGAGTTTGAAATGGCATTGCATCCATTTGTACAAGTCACTGCGAAGGGTACGAGAAAATGTAATGAATAGAGAAAATTATCGGGCTTTGCAAGTGCGAGGATGAGGACGAGTCACTTATGCCTTCTTACGGAAGGAGCACCCTGTGAAAAGTGAAATCAATGGCCAGCGAGCTACACAAGAACGCAGAGAATATACCATCAGTGAGGAGGGCCTTCCCGCCAGTTGGCTGGCAAAGGACCTGCTGGCAAGCAGCGCACACGACAACAGAGTCAGCATGCGAGAAGACAGTTGTTATGGCGAAGCACCCTTTAATCGATGAATCGATGACGTGGAGTCAATTTTATGTCTATGTGTATAATGCGGGACTACTGACCAGGGCATTTGACGTCCATGAAGTATGAGTTTGGGTTAGGAATGAGACGCTTTAGCTTGTGCTTCCTCTTTTCGGACTCAGCGGAAGGGTTCAGAAGGTCAACGGCGAGAGGCTAAGAAAACAATAAAAGCATCATCAGTATCATGATATCCAAGGAAAACGATTTGTTCGAACCATGCTTGCTGCTTGACAAGTGCTGTAGTAGAAGAGTTTTCAAGGGAGTGAGTTCGGATCTGGGTAGTTTTTTGTTATCTCCGTTTACTCCGTTTTACATCCGGCGCCTCAGCACCTATCACCGTGGGAGTTGTCAGTGCCTTGAATGGAAATCCTGCCCACACACAGATCCACGATCGCGATTGTTGATTTGCCCGCTGCTGCTTCAGGTCTCAGCACAGCAATGCAGGCTTCAGTTTTAAGACGACTTCCCATATCTTGTGCTGTTGTGCCTCCCGGACGGCTTCTGTTTTCTCGTGGCCACGCAACGACCATCGAACATTCGGGTGGGGATTCCAGTACTGACGCATCTCAGGGCTCCCTCTCGGACAATTCTAAGCGATTTTCTAAGCGGGAGATATCGGATATTTATCATTCGCCTTTGCTGGGGCTCGTCTATCGCGCCGCAAGTGTTCATGCTGTCAATCACGATCCGACAAAGGTTCAGCTATGTACTCTCTTAAACATAAAGAGTGAGTATTATACCCCAAGTAGCTCTACTCCAAAGCTTAACAACACTCACTCAGGCGGTGGTTGCACGGAAGATTGTAAGCTTGAGCATTCCAGGGATTGCCAGTTATGGACACGATCCTACCCGACTAGGCTCCTACTGCTCTCAATCGTCTCGCTACAAGACTGCTACCAAGTCGGAAAAGTTACTTCAAGTGGAACCTGTGCTGGAGGCTGCACGTAAGGCTAAAGCGAATGGAAGCACTCGCTTCTGCATGGGTGCCGCTTGGCGTGACCTCCAAGGCAGGAAGAGCGGGTTTGAAAGGAAGTTGTTATTTATAGGTATATACAAGGACGGCCAGTACTGAAGGTCTTTCTTATAGGATTTTGAAAATGGTCTCCGAAATAAGGCACATATCTCTCATCATATCAAGCTAGCAATATTCCCAACTCACTGTTCTGCCCATGCAGAGGGATGGGTATGGAAGTCTGCACAACGCTGGGCATGCTCAGCCCTGAACAGGCTCAACGACTTAAAGAGGCTGGCCTAACAGCTTACAACCATAACCTCGACACCTCTCGAGAATATTACCCCAAAGTCATCACCACACGGTCGTACGATGAGCGGTTAGAGACGATTAATGCAGTCCGAGATGCTGGAATCAGTGTTTGTTCCGGAGGCATATTAGGTCTTGGAGAAAGCGATGTGGACCGAGTAGGACTTCTTTGGGAGGCATCAAAGTGAGCGGACAAACGCATGCCCGTTCGGACATAACCCACACCCATAATGTTGCAACCAGCATGCATGAACATCCCGAGTCATTCCCGGTCAATGCATTAGTGCCAATCCCAGGTACGCCACTTGAAAAGAACCCGGTGAGTTCCACACCATGTAATCGTTCCAAACCCGCCTAAGCCACTTTCCAACTCATAGCCCCTTCAGCATGATACAATCCTCCGTACGATCGCAACAGCACGTGTGGTGATGCCCACAACGATCATCCGTCTCGCAGCTGGCCGTCAATCATATTCCGAAGCCGAACAAGCCCTCTGTTTCATGGCCGGTGCTAACGCAATCTTTACCGGCGATGCCATGCTGACTACACCTTGTAAGTAAACCTTCTTGCTGTCCCTGTCCCTCCACTTTCACCCAAATATCTATCCCGCCGCTAAACCTTCGTGACTGCACCCCTCCTTCCGTGACACCCGTGTACAGGCTCCCCTTGGGATCAGGATAAGGCAATGCTAAACAAATGGGGCTTGAAAGGTATGGCGTCCTTCGACCAACAGAGCATTAGGACGAAGGAACGCTCTTTTATTGGAGATGCTACTCCTCACAACTCCACTGACACGCCATTGGGATCTGAGACCGCGTGAACTCATGAGCTACCCCCCCGTCAAGACTGAGCTTTTGTATCACTTATTTACTTGCACCTGTAGTTCAAAGGACGAAAGTGCAACTGGTTGCGACGTCATTGTTAGAGGTGGTGGATACACATGTATAATCGAAGACAAGGGCACAACAGGATCGTTCGGCAAGTGGTGTAAAGTTAAACGAAAGGCAATAAAGTGGTAACGACGTGATGCGAGGAATCGTTCTGAGGGAGAGGCGGAAGATCCATAGGAAGAAAGGGAAAGATTTATGGCAGGGAGAAATTAGAGCACATCGGAAGCAGGAATCACTAAGTTCTGAAGTACGGTGGGGAGGAGACTTCAGATTAACGGTCGATATGCCATGATCTCTTCGTACAAGAGTTCTCTTAGTTGTTCCCGGTTGATCTCATCTTTCTGGAAATCAAAATCGAAGAATTCAGGCGGAAGTGACGCGCATGTAGGTTCGTCACTAGGGTCATGCTGATGGCCAAGGAGCAGTGAGTGATATGCTGCTACACGAACGGTCGGGAAAACTTACGTATGCTTCTAGGTAAGGGTGCCCAAGTGCATCCTCAACCGAAATGCGCTTCTTAGGATCGAAAGTCAATGTCTTGTCAAGAAGTCGATAGCGGCTTCGCTCGCATGAGGGAATAACTGCGCGAAAAGCTTCTTCTTGCGGAATGGCAGCGCACGCAAATAATCTCTTGACCTTCTCGATGTGATGGCGTAGAATTCGTCAATAGTTGGTGTGCCGAGGACATCAAGGATAAGACTGAGTTGGTGATGATAATCACGCCCAGGGAATAATGGTTTCCCATTAAGCATCTCAGCAAGAATACATCCAACGGACCAGACGTCGATTGCCTTGGAGTAGTTGGAAAAGGACAGCATGATCTCGGGAGCACGGTACCATCTTGTTGCAACGTATTCTGTCATGAAGCCATTCTCGCCCCCTGGGGCGGCAGTCTTCACGGAACGCGCAAGACCAAAGTCAGCGACTTTAAGGTCACAATTGCTGTTGAGCAGAAGATTGGAAGGCTTAAGGTCACGGTGAATGACATCTGCGGAGTGAATCGCCTTAAGTGCGCGCAGTGTCTGGTAGACAAAGTATTGCGCATGATCATCTGAGAGGTCTTGGGTGCGAATGACGCGGTGCATATCTGTTTCCATGAGTTCTTGGATCACTGTAGTAACAAGAGTGGTCAAACAAAATCATTCAACTAAGCAAGAGGGGGATCACGAACAGTAAACCTCTTTGAAGGACTCTAGCGACGTAGGCTTGATCATGTCAATGATAGAAATAATCTGAATACGAGCCAACAATTGTCAACGTGTATTGGTGCCGTCGCGGAATGAGACCGACATTTTCAGAGACGCCAGCTTCAGCCCAGTAAACGAGCAGCTTGAGCTCGCGTAACGTTCGGAGAGCGAACCTACGCGACCGGAGGAATATTCATTAGTTGTGAAGAACGCGCTTGTTACTCAGCAACCGCAAGGCCTACATGGTATGATCAAACGGAGCGATCTTCTTGATGGCAACCTTCCGACCGGAGGGTCTATGAACAGCAGATGCTACGACACCATATGCCTAGGACAGGCCGCAAGCCAAATAGCGGGGTTGAACACATTGAGAAGCAAAGTTGAGATTGGTCTACCAACTTACACCTTCGCCAATGACATCGAGGACCTTGTAGTTAGACCCAACGTTAAAGCGCACCTTCCGTGGTGCGCTCTGAGAGGCGGCGTGCCCGTGTTTAGCCTTAGTCTCAGCCTTGGCTGGAGTAGCCTGTGTGTGAGGCGCGGCGGGTTGAGGAGCGACCATTGCATCAGCCATTGTAGAACAACGATTAGTACGTAAGCGAGTGAGTGTCTGGGATAGGCTGGGATGCGCGTGCAGACAAGAGAGGACAGAGTTGTTTAAGGAGCGAGTGGGAGGTTTGGTCGCTGTGCTGTTGTTTCTTTTATGCGGGAATAGGAATTATGCTGTTTCACACAAGACCAATAGCGACGGGACCAGCCACGGTTACAATGAAAGAGCCGAAACAAAGCGAACCAAACAACACACAAGGGGGGAATTGTTCTCAGAGCTCTCGACCAGGAGAAAGGGAGAACTAGAAGGAATAGCAAAGAGGGAGATTGTACGCCTTTGACCACTCGACAGGGCTCTTTTTGTACACAACTCGAGCGTCTCTTGTTGCCACCGCTTGGTTGCTCCGCCTTTATCCCACTACGGGCTGATGAGACTTTCGATGATTGTTGCTTCGCTACAAACACTAGTACAGCAACTAGCTAAACACCCAGTTCAAGATCACTGCAACCAAGGGATTGAATGTATTTCCAAAAAGGGACCTAGCATCCATCACCTTTCACCTGAGATTTCTAGTCGTGTGTCGCCTAGGGTATGGTTCACGAGGGCTACGCACGCTTGTCGACTAGCTTCATCCCAAACTCCAGCAACCTACAAATGATTGCCAAGTTGATCAACATTAGGATCGGAACTGCCACAGAGTGTACTCACCATTCTGGCTCGATTTCTGTGATGATTCGGATACTGCACCCGAACACAGGATTAGACAGATCAAATCTGGAGAGCAACCTCGGTGATCTAGGGATAAAACGCACTGTGTTTTCTTCGTCTCTTCCATCTCATGGAACACAACCCAGCCGGTTTGAGGTTTCCGCGTAAACATGACCGAATTGGGATGGATATTTAGGACCTAAGATACCAACGCTGCCATCAAATACCCATTGCATAGGTCAAATGATTGACACATACCGAATCGCCTCTGACATTTCTGAAGGTCCCATCATGAACCCACCGGGCAGCATTTCTCCAGTAGCCACTCGTAAGGCATTTCCGCAATCGCTTGTGATCTCCCTCGCAGCTCTCCAACGGCAATCCGAATCGTACCATGTATTTTTTGAGTTGATGGCGAATAGACACTGCCCGGGACATCGCACGGAAAGAGAGTGCGTGTTGGCGGCACCACGAAGACGTTTGCCCATATCGAGTAAACGCGTTGTACGCTATGAAGCTGCAGATTAGCGCATCACTTAAAAGAACTGGACAATGTGTTTCTTGCCATTTAGCAGCGTCAAATGGTCCTACAGCAAGTCGATCGTTAACTAGGAAAAAAGGAATCGCCCGAGGAATGAGTATCTCACCCCCTCTTCAGCTGTGAACTTTCGTCGTTCAAGCTCAGCAAGAGCGCCCGGTGCTCCTTCCGGAATGATAAACACGTCCTATCCGAACATCTTCAATTAAATACTTGGATTTGGACTCGAAGCTCACCTGCACCGTAGTCATTGCAGCGATAGTCAAAATCTCAGCACCACACTTGAACTCTTTTGAGTTGAAAAGCTACCCGTTGATGTATCGAGTCACTATACCGATACACAGATGCGCGAGCACCACTGGAACCCACCATCCTGGCTACACCCACGTCAACAGGGCATTCCCCGACCTTCTCCCCAACTTCCGTTAATCTTCCCTCCTTGTCGATCATTCCGCTCGCAATGAGCCCTTCAAGGGCCCGCAACACGCTCTCAGCGCTTGGATTGGTTACCCACTCAAACTTCATCACGTCATCTATTCCAAGACTTTTCAGTTGAAGAATGGGAGTTGTGAGGTCGGTGCGGAGGATTTCGGGTGGACTAGTTCGAGGGAGCGTAGACAACGCCGACTCAGGGTAAAGGCGGTAACATACACCAGGTGCGGTGCGGCCAGCGCGACCAGCGCGCTGAGTGGCAGAAGCCAGGGAGGTGGGGATAACGACAAGGGACGATAGAGTGGTTGTAGGGTTGTACGTCCGAACCTAAATAATCCCCATTAGATCCATGCCAGAATTGAGGGTTCGTTGTACCTTTACAAAACCGCAGTCGACAACAAACCGGATGTTCTCGATTGTCACGCTAGCCTGATCGGGAATCAGAGACCTCTGACCGCACGAACTGCTCTGTCGACGCTGACCTCAGCAATGTTTGTTGATAAGATAACCTTGCGAGTTCCGGGTTCGGCAGGCTCGAAGATTCGCATCTGATCCTCGGTAGGGAGACCGGCATAAAGTGGCAGCAACCTTAGGCGACCGGCGTTGCGTGGAAGGCTGAGTCGATTGCATCAATGTGGAATCACACAGATATCCCTGGTGAAAAGAACGACTCACGTTGGCAACAGGTCAGCCAAGTCTTGCAATGCTCTGTCAATCTCTTCCCTCCCGGTGAGGAAGACCAGGATGTCCCCTCGGCCTTGCTGACTCCGGAGCAGGATTAAGCAACGGGTCTAGAAGAATAAAACGGGAGATCTTACTTGCTGATGAATGCCTGTCACCACACTGATAGCTTCACGGACGTAGTCCGATGTTGGTTGTCTCAAATATGCAGTCTCCACCGGAAACATCTTTCCTTCCAGGCTTACTATGATGCTTTCACTAGGTGAGTTCCCTGCATTGAAATAGTCAAGGAAAAAGGTGGCATCAAGGGTGGCAGAAGAGACAATTAACCGCAGGGATGGTCGTTTTCGGCGAATTCTGATTCAAAAACATAAAGAATAAAATCTCTTGACTTTGGGATCAGCGTACTTCTTCAGGATACCAAGTATTAGGTCTGTGTATAGGCTGCGTTCGTGAGCTTCGTCGATCTGCGCAGGTGGGCGATGAACATGGTTCAGCGACCCTGGAATTTGCGAACTTACCATTATAACGCTATATTTGCTCAGTAGTGGATCCAAGAGAGTTTCTCGGAAGAGCATTCCATCCGTCATGTACTTTATCCGTGTGCGCTCCTTATGACTCACGTCTTCAAAGCGAATAGTGTAGCCAACCTACTTGACAATTAATATCAACATGGGATGGATCAGAGCTCACCATATGGTGAGTACGTATTCACTCACTTCATCGCCTAAAACGGTCCCCACTTCTGCAGCCACGCGTTGAGCTACAGAGGTTGCCGCCACCCGTCTAGGTTGAGTGCACGCAATGACATTGCCATTTGTAGCCCAGCCTGCTTCAAATAGATATTGAGGAAGTTCTAAGGAGAGATGAACATTCGCCGTCGATACTCTTGGAAGAATCACGAACGAGTAGTTTTTCCGCATCCCGTCTGCCCTATGACAATCGTCACGCCATGTTTTTCAATACAATACAGGAGTTTCTCCCCTTTCCGCAAACAATGTTTTCAGATATGTCACCATTTTTTGGTCATGCACGAACTCACTATGCTTGAAGATTGGCAATCGTTCTCTCTGCTCTTGTATTCCTAATTGAGATATCGCTGAAGGAATTACATGGCCCTCGGCTTCGGTAGCGCGATCAAGAGTACTACCGGGGCCCTGTGTTCCGGGCTTCCAAACTGAAGCGACATGCCTTCGTCACCAGTCAATCGATGTAGGTGTAAGGAGAGAACTAAATATTTAGCGTTGTTGGCGTCGATGGGGGCCTCAGTTTAATTTTCTCACGCCTTTGCAGTGGCTGCTAATTCACTCCTACGGACAATTTCAATGGGTGCTGAACAGTCAAGGACATCTGATGACCGAATTTTCTCCAGTGGCCGCTCTGTTTCTGTACGCTTTGTTCGCTGTCAGCGTCGAGACTCGCTCTCACCTGTCTTGTCTTTGCAAAGTTTTCCCCAGACCTCGTGAATCACCTTGAAGACAACCTTTCCTCGCCCACACCTTCCGCAGACCGCCAAGACACCCTCGATGCTCACGTTAGGGCCCGGATACAAGCTGAGCTAGAAAGGCTGCAGGCTGAGGAAGAATTAGTCCGCGAGCAGATTGAAGCCGCACTCGAGAAGGAGAACCTCGACAAAGAAACATCCCTCTCTCAGGGAAGTGGAAGTGATGATGGTCAGATTGTGAAGAGTGTTTCTAGTACTGCCACTCTCCAGGGCGATTTGGAAGAATTCAGAAGAAAGTCGAACGCTTCCACACACGGAGATCGCTTGACGAGTATCCCGACGTCAAAGCTGCTCAAACACACGTCCTAGAATGCTACCAGTTAGTCGCTCTGCATTTTCCCTTTCTTGTTCACCCCCCCTCTGACATTGCCACACCCAAAGATCGAATCCTTCAACACCGCTGAATTGCGTAGATGCAGTAAAACAATTCAAGGACACAGTAGTTCAGGCTGAAAAGAAATTTGTAGAATCATTACGGTGACTTTCGCCCAATAGATTGTCTCGCCCTGTCCATGTGTAGGTCTGACACGCTAGTTCACCACCTCGCGAGCAGTGTCTTTCCCTGGCATTGAGGACTCCTCTAGAGTTAGTTGAGCCGGATCGGGCGTGATGACCTAGGATCCTCAGCGCCGGCACGCCAGCTTTCTTGGACAAAGCATCGCATGCGACCATGGCCATGGGTGTCATCTGCATCTGCTATCCCCGCTGTGGTGTTCCAAGGAAACAGTTGAGGGGTCTGAGGCACACCGCTTCCAACGCTGCTTCACATGGTCGTAAGCTCTGCTTGGAATCGAAGCGCGGCTGGCGGAGTTGCATGACTTATCACTAAAAGTAACTGTCCTCTGCTTGCGTGCGATCACGTCGTTTTGCTCTGTCAAATAATTTCATTCATTTCGCTGGTTGATATGAATTTCCCGCGCCAAGAATGTTCTCATCATCGATTTCCTAGCTACCATAGCTGCGGACTCCACACAAACATTACCGCAGCTGCAGGACTCTGAGTAGGGCGGAATGAGACGACGACGACAAAGCCACACAAAGGGTCAATTATAAATCAGCAACACCAGACTATTCTTACGATAAACATAGTCCATTCCTTAGGTCATCTCTCCACACATGTTCTGGTTCGATACAAGTTACTCTTCGGGACCAGTCTTGCTGTTGTCACGGACATCGAGAGTCAGAGGGGCTCGCCGCGAGTGTCATTTATTTTTCCATTTGGATGGTAGGGCCACCATGCTCCATGAACCACTTGTTGTGAAGGGGGAGGCGCTTACGGCAGCTCCATGTCCGGGTTCCGCCATTGGGGTCTACGAAGCCATCTCGAAGTGGCTTTGTCGGGTGTGTGTTCGGCGATACCACAGAGGGTCTGTTAGTCCAATTTGGTCCAGTGGTACCAAGGACTTATCATGAGGTGTCCCAACGGGTCGTCCAAGTTAAGCTATTGACTCTGAGTGACTCAGGTCGGCACTCTAAGGTTTCTAGTTATCACCACTCACCCGGAACCGCGCATGACGATACAACGCCAATATATATATAGCCGTCAGACTCGGATCTAGTTTCTTCGTTGGCTCGTCCGCCCTACAAAGTCCCCTGCACCTTCCCCGAGTTTAAACCGACGCCAGAGCCTCGACGCGTCCTTCCTTGAAGAATCCAAGCAATTCAAAGAGTTGATGCCATAGGTGACAAAGCGGATGGTCAATCCGGCGCCCGCGAGACAATTTTCCCACGACAACTGTTTATGCATATCAGCATCATATCTACAGTCATGAGGCTGGAGTTCTGCTGGAGTTCTGCCTGTGGTTAACTAGTGTGGATCGCAGTGCGCTACCTTGCGCGAAGTGCGGTGAAGCACCTGTCGAGTCTCGCATATAGGATAGCCTTGCATGCCATCGGTTCTAATAGGGGCTGGTAACCTGCCTAACCATGGTTGCTTTGTCCACTGAGGTCTATCCGAGCTAGCGAAGGACTTCCACTAGTCAGGTCTTCTGATTTAGGCCCGAGTGTGCGAACATTTCAAACACACCGCCGTGCAACACTTGTGCGAGTCCGATCGCACCGAGTTTCCCGTTGCACCGATGGACGACCGATAAGAAAAACCATTGTCTTGAAACCTTGTTACTGTTGACATGCATTGAGGAATCTATCAAATTGGTCAAGTCGGACGTATATCAGTAGCCTGCCTTGCACTAACTTCGTATGAGACGAAGAACGCTTGCGCATAATTACTCCACTTCATTGCATCCTTATTCGTCTCATAACTTGTAATGCCGTCTACCGGTTGGCAACCGTGTGTGCGAAGGTGTAAACTTAATGTTGCTCTTCCATAAGCTACTTTTATAGCGAAGTAGATTTCCTCAGCGACATTTGGGCTAATGGCTGGCTCTCAATCTATACATAAAGTAGTTTTATCCGATGGTGCGAGAGGCAGCCGTCACAGCGTCATGTGCGGAGTCCATGCCAACGAGCGCCACCTCTTTACCAGGGCTGTGGAGAAGGGGGCGAGGCTGTATTAGAGAGTTAGAGAGTATGCATCTATGATTTCAGTGGGAAGGATCGACTCGTTTGAGTGACTCCAAGGTAAAGTCCCCTAGTCGCTGTCCCCATGCTAGACCACGCGTACCTTATAACACATTGTTCAAATAAATTTGAAATTTGGAAGTGTTGGTGTCTTCAGGGACAAAACGGGTGGCCAAATCCTGGCGCGGCGCTGGAAAGGCGATTAATTTTCTCACGGTATGACGGGTCGTGACTGTGATGCCGATACAATATTGCGTGCCGATTTGCACGCAATGGCCCGGTTTTTGCTCGACCTCTGTCCGGATCATATATTCTTGCAATTACTCATTCCTGCTATGCCCCACGCATGCATGTACTCGTGCGTGGCACTCAAGGATGAAGATAAGCGCCCACCGAATGTTCCGTGAGTGATGGCCGATCGAGTGCGGATGGCACTGTGTACCATGCACAGCAGATAGATGCGTGGTGCGACAGATGTTGTCTGCGCAGTAGACAACACTGACAGGCATGCACCGCTTTACAACAAGTCCATGATAAATAGGCTTCTTTCTCGCTTGATGACCGGCCAATAATCAGTGTAGCAGGTGCATAACACGCGACAGCGGATTTAAAGCGACATGAATACGTATACGGATTTAAGCAAAATCTAATGCGCTTTGGAAATCCGGTTACATATTGCATCGGGCCAAAGTTCAACTTCGACTCTTCATCTCAGCCACCAGAGTTGGGGAAACTGTCACCCTTGTCCATGCCCTTTTGACATGTTCGGAGTTTTTTTTTTCTTAACGTCCAACACCTAGAAACCCTATAGATCCTTTGCATTGGTGCGTGACCGACCCATGATGAACCACCTGTTGATCTTAACATCAAGGGATCCGATCAGCGGTTTCCACTCACTCGCGATCTAGTTACAAAGGATAACAAGATTTCTCTTCCACCTGCCAACGACAGCCCAGTCGCCACATAAACAGGTATGTCTATGGTCAAATTGCGTCTACCCGTTCACACCTCCAATCACAGAGGGAGTTCAACTGGTCATCTATGGCACACATCTCCATTCACCCTAATCCCTCACCTCACTGCCATATCAATGCAATATGCTCATGTTGTTGTTATGACCAGCCTGGTAAGGGCGTAGCGAGTCCCGGCTACACTCGAATATTCCATAATGAGGCGAAGGTGAGATCAAAAGCTTATTATTTATTATGGCTGACTGCCAGGATTTTTGCTGTACTTCAGGGGGAGACGCACAGACGCGTCGAAGAGGTGGTATTGGGATTTGTGGGGACGCTGCGCATTAGCATAGCATAGCATGTGAATGCATGTTGCTAGGGCGGGTATCTCAACACAGCGTTGCGCTTGTGGTTTGTTGTTGATGTTACTACATGTACATTACCTCGTCGCGAAAATATATCTTTATTTTTCACCGATCTTTTAATTTCACATTGTGTAATTAGCTTAACCGGGATTTCGACACTCTGGTTATGTCTCAACGCGGAAGACAGACTCACTCATCAGCACATCAGGTGGACCATATATATGCCAACAAAGGGGATACTGCTTCCAAATTATGATCCTCGCATGGAACCCAAAAAAATTACTATATACAACATGTAAAGACACATGCACAACTTGGCGCCGCATCTTCGTAAATAGGTTTTGGATGGTTGATGAAATGAAAGGGCCGCAGAGCGTGCGTTACGGATATTGGGATGATTACAGGTAATAGAATCCGTGAGAGGCGACGGTGAGCAAGTACGATAAGGTATAGACGCGAGCCCTTGTTGACGCGCGGGCACGAAGGCCGAATGAATAGGTCGACAGGACTGCAAGGGACAACATCACAGGAAGCAAATACGGATGCAGAAGCACCCGAAGAAGTGGCGGCTCCCCAGTGACGTGTTTTACTCAAGTGTTAAGGAATTGCCGAGCTAGGATCGAATCAGAAAGGAATGTGGAATTGGTGCAAGTGAAATAAGAAGACAGCAATTGAGGTCAAGCCCGCGGACGACAAGGAGCTAAAGGCCCATAATAGGGAAGAGAAAATGGAAGAGGCGGAAGAATCACCATGCCATTCCCTTGCAGGAATGTAGCGACTATCGCGAGGGTGAGGACAAGATTCCTCTTGGCCCACGAGGCAGGATGATAGAGAGAGCGAGTGGGATGTCTATGAGATATCTAGATTCGTAGAGGGAATCACGTCAAAATAGGAGGCCCACAGGGATAAATGATAGAACAACTGTGTCAAGACAATTAAAGAGCACATCCAACTGGCGCAGGGGCACCATGTTCTCCATTCGATCTGTACTCAGGAGGAGCCAATGGATCTGAAGGGGACATCAATGAAGTTTCCTTCGCTCCCTCGACAGGATCTGAGAACGACGGGCTTGTTGGCGGCGGCGACATAATCGAAAGCTTCTCCACCGCTTCTCGTGGAGGCGAGATACCACGAGCGTTGGACCCTGCAGACGGCGGATAGGTAGCCTCCATCACCCCTCCCATGGTATTTGACAGTGGACTGCGTCGGAAAGGGATGTAAGACTTTACGGGTGTCGTGATGTTACTAGTGTTGATCACGGTGGATGATGATGATGAGGTGGAAGAAGAAGCGATACTGCTAAAGCTACCTCTGCGAGGGTTCGGTACGACAATAGGTGGCACGCGTGAGCGTGGTACCCGTGCAGGCTCAGGCTGAGTAATGGCCTCCGACACAGGACCACGTTTTCCCTCAGAAGCGGAAAGGGATGAATAGCAAGCGACGATGAATCGGTTGCAACGGACTGCGGATTTTCATAGATTGTCGTCTGAGTGCTACTGCTGGTTGATTTGAACGTGTTGCTGGGAAGGAGAGGTATCGAGTCGTCTCTTCGACATCCTTGTCAAGCTGAAATGCGACCATTAACCTATCTTGCTCAACTGTGAGTCAAGGGTGATAGGGAGTCACTCACCACGCCACGTCGAACAACAAACAACCAAGCCACAACAATGACCACCAAGAGGGCGACCCCACATAGAACACCCACAGCCAGCGCACCAAACTGGTAGGCTACAGATTTGTCCTGATCTCCAGAAGGTGACGAATCGGTTGCCACCGACAGCTTCGAAGCCCATCCTGTGGCCGTCCTAGAAACTAACCGACGCGGTTGGCCTCGCTGCCAGTGGAAGGGTATGTCGGGGAGAGTGGACGCTAATTTGACAATCCATCGACGGGATTGCGAGAAACTCAGAGTGTTGGGAAGAGCGGGCATCGTTTCTGTGGATTGATCCGGAAAGGGGGAGGGGAGTGATAATTACTTGTTAAAAGGAAAGCAGATGGAAACGAGTGGAATGGACGCAGGTTGGAAGCAAAGTCCACACCTGTGTGCGCGACAACTAGAAGGGGAGACGAGGAAGGAAGCTTGAGGAGAGAAAAGATCCTGTGCAAGGGACACATTTCTTACATAACTCAACACATTTGCGGACAGGGTCCGCTTCAAGACACATTAGATGGAAGCCAAGCCTAATTAGGTAACCCCTCCATAATTAGCATGTTGTCAGATAAATTACGCCGAGGCACCGCCATTGAATTAAATCGGAACGAAATTCCGCCGTCCGGGGTTGGAACACGTGAAGCGACGGCACGTTAATATTAATCAGGCCGCCGACAACGCCACCTCGTTCACCTCCTCGAGACTCATCATCAAAGCCTCCTGCTTGGCCTCCACTCTCGTACCAATCTCCCTCTTCTCCTCATCTAACTCCTTGAACCTAAGCTGCAACATTCTTCCTCTTATTTCCAACTGTGCAACTTCTTCCTTCAACGTCTCGACACGCCTAGGGCCCACCGCTTGCTCGTTCATGTTCAAACGCGAGAAGCTCTCAAAGTCCACCGACACCTTTTGTAGCTCCGCGAATGCTTCAGACACCCTCTTCGAAAGCACATCTGAGCGAGCTCGGTACCCTCCCAGCAACTTCCCTAATTTCTTCTCCAGCTTGGACGCCTTGGTGGCATTCGTAGTCATCTCGTCGCGTTCCTCTTCAAGTAAAACCGCAAGCCCGGCGACCCTGGCTTCAGTCGTCAGCTCATTTGGCTCAATCCAAACACGTCTCTGAGCGTCGTATGACAACCTGGAACGAATCTTCGCCCATCCATATGCGTCAAGATCAACATCTTCCTCCTTTACGATAAGGTTGATCCCCTGCTTGATCTGCTCCGCATTCGCATCAGGGAACCCAAGCGTCTTCGCCAATTCCGTGTGGATCGCCGAACGAGCAACCGTCATAGCATCATCTTCTGGATGCGCATAAGAAGATTGGGTACCACCAGGATGAGCTGTACCAGGTATCGGATGGGCAATCGAATCATGCTCCATGAGGTTCACGAACTCAACATCGATCATTTGCTGTACAGGGTCCCTCTCCTCATTGGCGGCAGTGACTCGGTCCAAAAGATCTGTGACATCCACATTTGCAGGCCGGGGCAACGACTGTTGCACAACTAAGCTCCTTCTCGCCAGTGCCATGCGCGCCTCTTCCTCCTGTTGACGCTTCATCTTCGCATCCCGCTCGGCTGCATCTTCCTCAGTCAACACCTGCCCCTCTCCCCCCGCCTCCAGGCCCTCATCCTCAGGCATCTCTATTTCAAAGTCATTCAATGGCTTTGGTAACGAAGCGAAACCGAGTCTCAGCGTTCGCTTAGCATCGATAAATCCATCAGGACCATCTTCTGTGTTGATGCTAAGACGGTCGCGCATCGGTGTGGCGCCAACTGTCGTACCGGTTTCGCTTTGGGGTGTTTGAGACGGGTCATATGGGCCGCCGCGCTGGCGAAGGGGTGTGGCAAGGGGATTAGGGGTAAAAGCAACAGAATGGCGGGGCGTAGCACCTTCAAAGCCTGTTCCACCATCGATAGGCGTATGGAGGGGAGTGTTTTCGTGACCCAGTAACGGAGTCTGAGCTGTAACCATGTTTCGAAGATTACGTGCTTCAACCATAACAGTATCCGCTGTGATTCCATGTTAATGATCATGAATAGAAAACCAAAATGGTCAATGTACCTACCTTGAGGTGCTGTTCTCGGTGTACGAGCCATCTTCGCTCGGTCGAACCCTTCGTAATCTCCGAGCAGCCGTCCACTGGCCTGCGCTGCTTCACTTTCCGAGCTCAACAACGCCCTTGCATTCTCTCCCGCTTGCCCAATCTTCACAATCTCCTCCAATTCTGTCTCACCTACTTGCGCAGCAGGTAACTCCAACTTCCGTCGTTTACTAATCTGTTCCGCCTCCTTTAGCCGTTGAATCTGTGCGTCACGCGCGGCAACGAATTTTGTTTGGTGCTCGCCATCCTTGGGAGCGTTCTTCCGTGCGCGTTTCTTGGCTTCTGCGGCCTCTTCCTCAGGTTTCCGTTTATTTTCGAGGCGACGAAGACTTTGACCGATGGGGGCAGTTTGGGCACGAGCATCCTCTTCCGATACGTCGTAGAATCCAGGGGCAGGTTTTTTCTCGAAGGGTATATCAGTGTTGTACTGCGGGAGGGTCAGGTCGCTGTCAGAAATAATGAAATGGGCTCAAAAATGTTAGGCTCACATCCATGCCCCTCTTCTTAGTTTTGTAACGCATACTGTGAAAAAATTCTGCATCAATGTCAAGTAATAAAAGGATAGGCATTGAATGACAAACATGATACCAGCAGCTTTCAATTCTCGCTTCTTTTGCAACACTGCTAGCCGCCGAGCCTCCTCAAGCTGACGCTCTCTTGCCTTCCGCTTAGCCTTCTTTCCCTGTGTGTTGGCAAGGCGTGCACGGGCCTCCGAAAGCATTTCCTTCTCTAAAGAAGCCAGCGTCGGTCATGCAGCGCACGCTGCTAAAATAATGCCCAACTTACCATCTTCGTCCATGTCGATAGGATCGGGTCGAGCAGGTTTCGTTTCCGGGTCGGGATCAATTTCTCCTGGTCGTAACTTTCGAATATCATCGGCGCTAGGCCCTGCTTCGGCCCCTGGACCACCCAATCCTAATTCTTCATTCTCCTTCGCCTCTGCATCATCTAGGAGCTTCTGATATCGTTCCAAGCATTGAGTTGCTGTTCTGCCTACTATCGGTGCTATTGTCCTCCACTGTGTAGGCATCAGCTTTGCAAGATGAAGAAGTTTCTCATCCTCCGTCTTTACATATTATGTGTGAGCGCATACTTGTGCTTACAGGAATAGCACACGTACCTTTGACCATTCGGTCTTCTTGATTGACGGGTCCAGCCACTCATACCACCGAGCTTTGCATTGTTTTGGCGTTTTCCGGACAAGGAGGGAAGATATACGCGCCCTGTTAATCCCAAATAAAAGTCAGAATAGCGGATGGAAAAGTTGGAAATTTGGCGTTTACCATTGGTTCTTGCCGTACTTGGCGATGGCAGCTTTTAGCACTTCATCCTCAGTATTCTTCCACACACCACCCTTCACAAGAATCCGAACCATGGTTACAATGCGATCGCCTCCAACAAAGAGTGGTATTAACGGAGATGTTAGAAGACTGGCGATGGGGTAAGTCAACAACACAAGTCAATCATGAATAATGCCACAGTTGTCTGGCAAACGCCGACTGAATTGGGTGGGTTTTCGACTTCGCGCATCTGAGAAAGATATCGACCGCGTCAAGAATGAGCAGAGGAGGATTCTACGGTGGAGCACGTGGTACCGGTGTGTCCAGACACGCCTACTTCTACTTCTCTATTTCATTAAATTGCTCGGACAGGTCGAGGAGGCGGCAGGCCAAGGGTCGACGCCGGCCCTCCTGAAAATGTTTTAGGTTTGGAATCAATCCTAAAAAGTAGTTCATTGGGAATCACAGAGAATGTATCTTCATAGAAATGGGCACATTTGTCCACGCGGTTGAAGGCGAAATGGTCTGCGCATCTGTCATGCCAAACAAAGTCCCCTACTTCAACGCTCCCATTTACCTTGCGAACAAATCTACCATAGGGAAAGTCGATGAGATCCTTGGTCCGATTAACGAGGTCTACTTCTCCGTAAAAGTCAATCAAGGAATACTGGCGACTAGCTTCAATAAAGGCGACAAGGTCTACATCGGTGATGACAAGCTGCTGCCGTTAGAGAGATTCTTACCCAAACCGAAAACAGCTGGAGGAGGTGAGATTATTTTCTCGTATCATTGAACCCTTTTTTTTCTGACTAAACTCATACAGTTCAAAGTCTGTACTTGGCTTTTCTCTCACTGAATGAATGACCCATTGTTCTCCACAGAGCGGAGGGGTGCTGCTGGGGGGCCGCGAGGTGGGCGCGGTGGACGTGGTGGACGCGGTGGGTTTGGCGGACGTGGAGGGTTCAGCGGACGTGGTGGATCTGGCGGACGTGGTGGATCCGGTGGACGTGGTGGATCCGGTGGACGTGGTGGGTTCGGTGAACGGGGTGGATTCCGAGGGGGTGCTGGTAGAGGTCAGTTTTCCCCAAGACATTTACAATGTGAAATTTCTGATAGGAACGTAAAGGGATGGCTCGTGGTGGCTCTGCTGGGTCAAGGGGCTTTTCTGGAGGAAGAGGGGGCAGCTTCAGGGGTGGTGGCAGAGGATATTAGCTACTACCGTTGTCAAACGCAATATCATTCATACCCACCTTACAGTAAATGAAGCCTCCCGTGCCTAATTACCTGTACAGCGTGATAGCCTCAATGGTTGCGTATGAATTTTTGGAGCTCTGATCCCTCAAACTCTTGTCTGAGACTGAGGCATGAGTTCTTGGTGGAACCCCAGTAGTTTTCGCGATATGTTCGTATTTGGGGTTTGTGATGGGGTCACTTGTATTTTTTTGGTGGAAACGGCCTGTACTTTCGCGATACAGCAATGTCCGGTAGCTAGGATGGTGTAGAGTTGGAGCCTTGGGACTCATTACCACTGCAGGGGAATGCATTCCTGCATTCATCAGCCGGGCGCTGAGTGTATACCCACTAAAACTCCGGTGCTGTTCAGCCAATCGTCACTGATATTTCTGTGGCACGCTATTGAATATCAAAGACCATGGCTACTGGAGATTTTTATATCTAGAACCAGAAGCGCTTGTCGCTTAAATGTCACTTAGTTTCATGCACATGACATCAACTACTGACTCTGCGTCCGTGCATGACAAGTGCTTTGGGTTTGCCTTATCTCCTATCGTGCTGCAGGAGAAGTCGCAAGGATTTTGAAATCAGATAATTTGGTTTCACTATGCAGGAAAAGGCACATGAGAACGCCCAAAGCACCGCCAAGATTGTGACAGGAACAGGAACTGCGAGTAAGCACAACCTCTGCACCCCCACAACTGTGCAAAGCCTAGTACACTCGATCCCTGACATCGTGCTCATTACCAGCGGCCGTTGGCTTCATATCTGGGGGAGTGTATGGGCTATCCGTCCGTGGCATAAACCCAATCCTGACAGCCGCATCCATGGGTTTGAATTTCGGTATCGTTGGTCTGGGATTCTTTTGTAAGTTTGCAAGTCCGTGCGTCACCGATCCCCTTGAAATTAAAGCAACTCCAGGTGTCAGAGAATGGCTAGTGAGCCCGATACTTGTGTCTACCCTGGGTTGGGAAGAGTATGCGCGTCGGGGCCACTCCACTACCTCAGGTCACCTGTCACCGCCGCCTTCTCCTAGCCTCCGTAAAATGAGGACCGAGGGTCTCCTAGATACCGCTCTTGCTGGGGCCTGTACAGGGGCTGCCCTGAACAGCATGCGACGCGGGATCCGAGGGCTTATCCCCGGCGCAGTTACTGTTTCACTGGCTTTCTCGGGCGTCCAATATGTGACAAATAGTCTCCATATTGCGAGACTGCAATATCTCGCCGTCAAAAAGGACGAAACAGCTAATGCTGTCGCGTCTTCTCCAGATGAAATCAGACAATCAGCCCTTAGCACGCCCGCCACACCCCCTTCACCAGCTCCCACATTGACTCAGAGTGTACTTGACAAGCTTAGATCATTTTCACCCGTCAAAAGGCTCACACCCGAGGAATTTGATGCACTGAAGGAGCGTAGAACACAAGATAAGGCAGAAAAGGAAGGCTCACGGCCCGTGAAACCAGAAAGATAATATCGAGGGGAAAGCAGTGAGATTACAGGTTGATGTGTATTTAGGGGGTTATACCAAGCATGTATTCAGATCTAACGGAATTCCCGAACAAAGCCCAGAACGCCCAATGCTTTGCTTGTAAGATCCAACACTCTTTCACTTTCGCTTTTTTGGACTTCCTCGAGCCGTTCGAGGGCGCTCTGCACCAGCTCTGCTTCGGAGTCTCTGCCCTCAGAAAAGCGTTGAACAATGGTGTCTCCGTGGATCCGAATCAAGACGGCTACAAGAGACTGGATAAGCTCGAAATCTCGATGGCTCTCCAGTCGTTTTATAAGGGCGTGAATGAATAACAGAACGGTTGAGTGGGCAGATGAATGTTGCTCCATAGAAAGTGAGCGCACTTCCAGGTCGAGGGTGGCCGGGGAAAGCATCTTGACGTAGGTAAAAAAGGATTCTCCTTCAGCCGCATCGATCAGCCTTGCAACCACCACGTTTGGTGTATTCGCACATACCAGATCGTTCTTGAGCCTCAGCCATAAGTTTTCGAACAAATTCGCTCTCAATAAACAGCTGCTTGTTACGCAGTACTCTCGAATCATCGGAAGGGTTCTCCTTAACGGGTGTTTCCTCGCCAAGGTCGAATTTGTGTTCTACACCAGCCAGTGTGGGAATAAAAAAAGGTGCCCGTTCCGGCGCTTTCGGTGGCTCTTTCGGTTTATTGCGTGCCTAAAACAACATTGCCGGTGAGTTACTGTTGTTGCACCGTCAATGGCAAAGTGCGTACAGTTATGACCTCAAGGTTGAGCAAAGTTTGCCATTTTGAGCGGGGGAGGAGTGTTAAAGTCACGAGCTTCTCTTCGAGCTGATCGGGGGTCGTGTAGACACTGGGCGGGTTGTCTTGCAGCGTGAGCGCCCCTAGTACATCTAGGGCTATGAGGGCATTAGAGCAGGAATCTCCGAACGTAAGACCCGTAAAACGCCTTACTCTTTTCTTCCGCGTTACCTTCAATGGAAGGTAAAGATACGACAGGAACATCCGAGTCACTCGCATCAGACGCTTCCACGAAGGAGTGAAGCGAAATATCCGTGAATTGTGCGCGATTTGTCCTGGTTGAAAGACAACAATGAGTAACCGAGTCAGATGAATTGCAAGCGAGCCTCCAACCATAAGCATACTCCAAGACTATCCACGTGAGCAGACGCGAGGAAGTCTCCGGTAGGAGAGAAGGATACGCTTGTTGCAGGAGAAGGTGTCCTGAACGCATCAATCAATTTCCCGGTCGGGATGTCGAATGTGCGGATCACAGCATCCAGAGATGTGGTAACCAACCATCTCGAATCATGCGAAAATGTCTAATAAGAGAGATGAGTGATCGAAAAATGATCAGATGGACGAGTGTACTATATCGAGTAGCCTCCCTCGAAAACCGCGCAACTCTCGCACAAGCCGTCGAGTTTGTATGTCGACGAGCCGTACAGCCAAGTCGTCACATATCAAAGCAATGAGACCACTGTCAATCTGGAATTCCAGAGAGGTTATGGCTGAGGGTATCCGAAGGACATGCTCCAACTCAGCCGTGTGGAAGTCGAAGAACTGAAGACAACATTAAACCAGTGCAGCATAAACACGTTGCTCTGACGCACATTTAATGTCCCATCTAGGGTTGCAGCGACCAGCACCGTGTTGAGCGCATTCACAGCCAAACCAGTGATGGCCCGCTCTTTATAGAGCTTCTTGTCCACTGGTTCATGATCCTTACGACTGTCCAAAACACTTTCTGTTTTTTCGAGGGGCCCAACATCGAAGGTTCTCCTTCGAATGCCTGATTGCATGTTCCACATTGTAATCTCTCGATCACCGGTGCCAACCAGACCAAAGTTTCCGCAAGGAGTAACCAAGACGGATCGGACAACACTCCCGGCTGAGGAAATACTGTTGTTTTGCACGCTGGATCTTGAGGAGCTGTCCGGGAACACACCGCGACTGTCGACAACCTTTGGACCCATCGTCCAACGACCAAGACGATGATCTTGGACTGACCACGTCCTTGCAAAAGAAGAACCCGATCCTGAAGATCCAGAAACCTCCTGGATGGAGTAAGACGAATGTGCTGTGAGCAGGTCTTCCCAATCTCTTGATCGAGCAGAGGAGAAAGACAGGGAGGTAATAGGGGTCAACTTGAAGTGAGAAAGGGGGATAGAGAGTGAGTTTGACGCCTTCAGTACAGAACCTGCGGATTTCGAGATCAAAGCATTAACGATAACCGGCATCATCAAAGAGTACCTTGTGACAATTCATGACTTGTCGCGTCTCTGACGATGGATAAACACCGCAAGCTGCGATCCCGAGATGCGCTCAGCAGTTTTTTACCATCTGTTCCGAAATATCTAATCAAATGAGGGGGCATCTTATGACCACCTCTGGACCTCAGTAATCTGGGAGGTGCTGAGGGCGAATCAAACAGCCATTCCTACGAGGGAATAAGGACGTTGTTCTATGAAGTAGTCTATCTCGCTAGTTTCACCTTAACTGAGTTGTCGTCTCCAGAAGTCAGCAGTAGAGGCTGGCCTTGGATCCATTCCATCGCAGTTACTGCGCCATCATGGGCCCCCCTCTGTACATGGAGCAGAGATGCATTCGCATTGAGATCCCAAAAAGCAATATGGCCGCTTGTTGAAGCCGTGGCAAGGATAGACTCGCCATCTTCATGTCGGAGTTGATTCGTGAGACCATTCCTAAACCCACCATAGACAACGCACCTGACCGAAAACCGATTGCACTGATTCTTCCTAGATCACCACCGGATCCGTTAAGGCTAGCTCCCATATTCACCGTAAGTAGTCTTTCATCCGCTCTGATGTCATATACGACGACTTCTCCAGAGGCAAAGCCAATTCCGACAATATCGACAGCGGGAGATTGCGTCAGGGTGGTTACGGCGCTGGGCCCCAGCTTACCCAAAAGGGGACGGAATGAAGATGCCTCGAAGCGGAATATACAAGACCTGAAAATCAATTGTATGTGAAGGATGTCCATGATCAACAGACAAACAACTCACGAAGTCGCAATATTCCACAATTGCAACGACCCCTCATTGCTCCCCACCAGGATTTTGTTTAGATAGGTTGCCGGGTGCATCATACAGCTTGCCGAGAAACCTTGGCCAAACTCAATGGTGTTCACAACATCTTAAACAAAGTAAAATAAGTGTTCGCGCCGACATGGAAGAAAGCCCTATACCATTATTCTCTGTGTCCCACACAATGAGGTGCCTTCCATCCTCCGTGAGTGACAGCATCCGAGAGCCAAAGAGCAAAATAGAAGCAAGTCGAGTCGCAAAAGGGTTTGAAAGTTCGGCCACCTAAAATAGTACTGAAGCTTTGCAACATTGGAAACAAGTAGTTACAACGAACCTGCTGTGAGGATTTAAACCTGAATACCTTAGGGCCGGATGCTACCCATATGGCTTGAGTAGTAAGACGAAGGGATGCTATAGGCTCTTCTAGTGTAGGACCTGAAAGACGGTGAGAACAGTAAGCACTACTGCCAAACAAATCTCACTTGCCAGCCAAAAGAAGCTTCATCGCTTCACCGCCCCATAATGCAAAGGAGTTCCCCAGACATGTCAAAATGATGATCTCGGGAGCAGCTGAGGATCCAATAGCTGGCTTCAAATTGATACTGAAGGGAACATGATTGGTGACAAGACCTAGGAGTCGAAATGGAGCAAATAGCCCAGGCGGCGCCGCTTGAGAACGAGCATTTCCAGATTCAAGTCTAGCCCTCTTCTCTCCATGCAAGACCATCACGGGAGTGCCCAATGCAAAGTCCCAGTCTTGAGAGTTGCAAATTTTGCACTGCCACCCATCCCGACGACATGATTCCCACGGGTGGCTTGGCCAAGTGGGGCCACAACTTCAAACGCCAGAAGAGCTGTTATCTTCGCTAATGCTCAGTCTGTATTTCAATACATCCTGTGAATGGATAGAATGTGGCCCCTATGCATGTACGAGAACTCTCACTATGACGTCTGAACACCAGCAGAGCGTCAGGGACGTGATGAACTCAGTATCGTTGAGATCGGCTATTCGAGTCTATGACTTCAGCAAAATCTTGGGCCCGAGGTGCCCCGGTTGAAGCTGGGGGAATCATTGCGCGGATCCTTAGGCGCCAGCGTGGCAACAGCTCTCCTTCCTTGGGGTCATCAGTTCAGCTATTCTTCTCATGCGTAACTAACGATAACAATGAGGGAACAAGGAATTCCTACCCGCGATCTCGCTGCACCCTTGACCGCTGGTATGGCGCCATACGATAGTGATCAACGCTGATGTTCCAACAACTTCTTCCTCAGCTCGACGACACCCCCGCCATCACTTCCAACACCACAGACTGCCATCCAGTTCGTACCTAAGGTGGAATGTTCGGATATGGCATTAACCTTGAGAATACTCGACGTTGTATCCCTCCATATCTCTGTGGAATCTCTGCGGCCATCCGTCCCCTTCGAGAACCTATATTTGGATAGAACTCCACCTAAGGTCACAGCAGTCACCACATCCGTAGACTCAAAGGCTCTGATCGAGAGAGAGGCTTAGTATGTCTTCGCAGCGAACCTGGTACGGTACCGCACTCACACCCCGACAACAGGGCCAGAAGCAATGGAAAGCGTCAGTGATGCCCCTTTTCTCTTTAATCCTTCCCAGTGACGGCGCCGTTTTGTCTTTGCATTGATAGACGAGGAGTCCTTTGGTATTTCTCCGCCAAACCCGAGCCACAAGCGACCATCGGCTGTCCCGACCGCCAGTACACCACTGGATGATATGGCCATGCTCAGAATGAATGGCGGTGACATGGAAACGTGGGGATCGTTTGTTTCGCGTGGAGGCAATGACCCTATCATACGAGTGCTCTATTGCAGAAGTCCTGGATTTTGGAATTATTTCTTACCAAAATCAAAGCTCGCAATTGCTGAGCAAGTGGTTCGATCATGATGATTCAGGCATAGATCATATCCACCGGACACAACTACGCAACATAACATCAGAAACTAGATGAGAATCTGGAGGACGGCGGAAACTTACATTCACGCGGCCTGTTGGGAATAAATAATACTGACCCCGCGATCTGCGAGAACGGAGATCAGTCCATGTAGAAGAGGAATACACACTGTTCTGCCCACGTTTTGGTGGCGGCGTTTCATTAAAGACACTGATCCGGTTCCAGCGTCGACGACCCCAATGTTCCCGCTATCAGTTGTGAACGCGATGTGGGAGGATGACCATGCAATCTGAAATGTGTCGTTGGCGGAACAATTTAGAGGACTCCTCGATGTGAAAAGGAAGCCAAACTTCATTTAGAACATCGTCGCTATCATTGAGATGCGGCGACAGATCGAATCTCTTGGTGGCATGAGATTGATTCAAGACTAAGATAGCCGTGTTCGAGTTAAGCTCAAATATGTATATCTATCCCGCACAATGTGGATCGTCCCTATTACTCAGTGACATATATAAGTTTGTGCAAACAAACCTGGAGCCCAGATGCGACCGCAATGGGAGACGAAGACTCATCCCCTCCCGTGCTGCAGAGTGCTACAGAGCTAATTTCTCCCCCCAATCCTCGGATAGCCCTCTGAGCCTTCACACTGGGAAGTTGATATAATCTGCAGGAACCATCCTCTGAAACGTTGCAATTCAAGCTCGGAAACACATCTTTTTGTTGGGTTTAGCTCACCGGATCCAATTACAAGGAGGCCAGAGGGTGAAAGAGTGCAACACGACACAGGACTTGGCACCTTTATGGTCTCATGCAGCCCGCATCCTGTGTTTTCTGCCATAGGTAAGATCGTTTCCGGCGACGGAATTGAACAACTAGAGCAACTGAACCCAGTCTAATTCCCACGCTCCTCACTTCGACATCTCCTCTCACCTTTCGCTTCTTGAACATGGCGATGGCTGCTAAAGGTGCACCAAAGAGCGTGCAAGAATTGGAACTCATACTATCTGGGGACAACAAAGTCAAAGTTGCGGGTCAGTTTAGTGCCTGTAACATATGCCTGAGATCAGTATAACGACTAGAGTGCGCATTCAGGTCTAGATGGTACGCCGTATGCTGGCTGCAAGGCGTCATGGGGGGGTGACCAGTGTGCCGATTTGTAGTGGATGGCGTGCTGCGTGGGAAATTCATAGTAAGCCTCCATAAAGGGGTTTCCTGAACGCCTCAAACATATAAAATGCATCAAAGTCGAAGTCGAAATTCCTTAGTGTAGCAAAAGATGGCTTTGGGTTCTGTAGCGTTATATTGTGCGCGATCTATTATAAATTATTCAACTTCTCGGCTGACTCGTGCTCTACCTACAGTGGATGGGACATACATGACACGGTTTACCCAAAGGAATTGCTGATTTCGAACAGGAACAATGGGTATAGGGACTTACTTGCCGCAATCGACCTCTCCACGTACCGCCGAATTCCCTGGGAAAACGATGTGCCATTCTTTCTCCTTTACTTTCTCGACCCGGAAACCAAGAAGCCCATCTCTGTTGATCCTCGAGGAACGCTCCGGAAGGCTGTCTCTCAAGTGGAAGCGAAAGGCTGGCAATGCATTTCGGGTATAGAATTCGAGGTGAAGTCTAAGAGATTTCTGCTAGGCCTTCGTGTCTGTTGACTGGTTTCACCAGTATTTTCAATTCCAAGGTCCATACATTTTTGGATCTCGCATTGCACGGCCCTTATTACAGTTACCTAGAGACCCCTTACTCCGTGGTGGAGAAGAAATACGTTGATCTTAAACCGCTGACACCTGGAAGTGAGTCCAGCCCGGAACTCTTCCGGTCGGCGAATTGATTTCAGTCCCCAGTGCATGGTTATTCACTTCTGCGACCATCACTGAACAATGAGTATTTCCACGATCTTTTCGATGTGAGCCTGAAGATGGGAGTCGATATCGAGGGTCACCGTAAGCAGTTTTTACGTTCATGCTGTTCGATTCTGAAATCCCACCGCAGATACCGAGACTGGGCCAGGCGTCTTTGAGACAGCTTTGGTTAGGGATGCGCCTCGCAACTGTTTCCCCCCAGTAACCATTCATTTTCATAGGCGTATACCACCGCTCTTCGCGTGGCGGACAACGCCACACTGTTCAAACTCATAGCCAAGAGTATAGGAATTCGGAGGAACATTCTACCTAGCTTCATGGCTAAGCCATGGGCCAATCTTCCAGGTTGTAGCGGACATATTCATGTGTCCCTGAAGGATACGTCGGGAAAGAATGTTTTTTCTCTTTCTCCTGACGAAATCAAGCAGGGCGGACGCAAAGACGCACGGTATGAAGATGTACAGTTCATTAGCCAGGAAGGAGAGTGGTTTATTTCCGGGCTTCTGGATGGATTGCCTCATGGTGAATGGTCGTATTACATTGCTTCTATGCAAAAGCTAAGCGCACATTCACAGTTGTCCCACTAGTGAGTTAAGCTAGGTCAGTGGCATTTGCAGCCGTGCCCGATTGACGCCTACTCGCCCAGCTTGTACCCACTATTAACGGCTACAAACGACTCGCAGGAGGAGAGGCATTCTGGGCTCCAAACAAGGTTTAGTCTTGACACTCCTGGGCCGTTGCTTGGGACTAATAAGTTAGACGCAGTTGACATATGGTTACGATTCTCGTGCAGCCTCCATACGTGTTATATCTCCGCCGTCATGCTCGCCCAGTGCAACTCGCCTAGAAATTCGCATTCCCGGCGCAGATGTCCAGCCCCACTATGCACTATCTGCTATATTTCTGCTGGGCCTCCGCGGAATTAACAAGAAGCTCGTGTTGCCGTTCCCACCGGTATCACAGCAGCAGGCACAAGGCGACGAGGCACAAGTCGTCAAATTACCCACCAGCCTGAAAGATGCAACGGAAAAAATGATGCAGCCGGGTAGCATTGCACGTGAGATCCTTGGTAATGAATTTGTTGATCACTTTGGCGGAACTCGACTTCACGAGGTAAATGTCTGGGACTCGGCAGTCACCAACTGGGAACGTGAGTTTCATCTCCAGATTCTCGGATTCAAGGTGTTGATAGTGTTTTGACCCCTGTTTCATTTCCGCTTTTCGGTAGTGGAAAGATACCTTGAGCTCGCCTGATGAGTTGCGCAGCTGGACAAATCGCATTACCTTTGTGTACAGATTTGTAGAAATAAGACATTAGACATTTGAATATGGCCTCGTGAAGAAGGTTCAAATTGAAAAAATCCCAAAGTCATGAGCTAGCTCTGGCTTATCGAGAATCAAGGTTCACTATTTCGTTCTTCATCAAGTCCACCAGTCCAAAGTAGCGACTTCGACCACGAGTGGCCTCGTCCCGTGGGAGCTTTTCTCCTCGTTCTGTTGAGATGCCCACATACCGGCGGGTTTTCCTCCCTTGTTTTATCCGATAGAAACGAACGAAACCCGGAATCTCGGCGTGTAGAGTGTGGTCACGACCCATGTAAACCTAGGATTACGTATCAATTCGCCAAAAAAAACTGGTTGAAACATGACGGTAGCTCACATGCTGTCCGGGATGAAATTGAGTGCCGCGCTGGCGGATAATGATATCTCCAGGTTGTGCCGCTTGGTCTACGTAAGGCTCCGTCAACTCAAGTGCTCCCACCAACCACCAAAGACCCGCTAACCAGAGAAGAGCTTCAAACCCAAACGTTGCCCTGGAGAGCCACCATGATTCGAAGCACTCCCGCCACCTCGCTTTGTTGAATGACGAACTTGATCGAGAATGCCCGACTCGAGGATGCCTGTGAAACTTCCACATGTAGACAAGACTCATAAAATAAATCAAATGAACTTACAAGTTGTTCTATTGTTCCATAGGAGTTGCGGTCTTTGCGCCAGCAGAAATCCGCTTCTTGCCAGAACGTTCATTGGCATTTTGGGACAAGTGGCCCAACATCAACGTTCCCGCGGGAAGAATTAAGGAGGATGCCGAAAGTGCACTCCTCAATTCTCTCCAACTGCCCCTCCCTATAAGTAGTAGGCGTTGCCACTCAGATCGCGGAGCCTGTCTCGACTGTCCATTCTGCCTCTCGACAGTTCTTTGTTCTCACTACATCAAACTCGATTCTATACCATTAATAAGCATGCCTACGCTCATCACATCCGATAACGAGAGTTTCGCAGTCGACAAGGACGTGGCAGAACGGAGCGTCCTGATAAAAAACATGCTTGAGGGTGGGTGTCGTGGTGTCCTTGAGGGGTCGATTTGTTCAACGCTCCTCATTATCACTTAGATGTTGGCGAGAATGACCATCCGATCCCATTACCAAATGTTTCAGCCAGCGTCTTGAAAAAGGCGTGCTAAATTTGACGTGGTCTACAGCTAGATCTAATACTCCCTCTCCCTTAACCTAGGTTTTGGAGTACTGTGAGCACCACAGAGGGGAGCCGATCCCAACTGCGGACACAGACAACGATGATACACGCAAGCGTACGACCGATATTGGGGAGTGGGACCAGAAGTTCATTGCGGTCGACCAGGAAATGCTATTTGAAATCATCTTGGCCGCCAACTATCTTGACATCAAGCCTTTACTGTGCGTATTCGACCATGATGATTTACGGTTCGGTTCCGCACACTGCTGACGCCCAAACCACATTTCCCCCCCTCACAGTGATGTTGGTTGCAAAACAGTCGCCAATATGATCAAAGGAAAAACTCCGGAGGAGATCCGTAAACTTTTCAACATCGTTAATGATTTCACTCCTGAGGAGGAGGTGCGCGTGTTTGTTTCCCCCTCACCAAAATCAGCCCACTGACTGCCGTGTTGCGTCCATTTCTCAGGCCCAAATCAAAAAGGAGAATGAATGGGCTGAGGGTGCGTTAACGATCCGCATCGCTGCAACTCGTTGTTTCGCGCCACTAACTCTGCTTACCTTGTAGACCGCTGAAACGTTGCTTCTAGTCTTTTCTCTCTGTTTGTTGCTTCGGTTCCTCTCTTTGTCTCTATATCTCTTACCCTACGAACTCCCCATCTTGTGGGTCGATCATAACAGAGTTACATTTTGCATTGCGACACTGCCGTCCATGACGCCGGCTGCGTCATAGGCGCCGGGTCATGCTATCGATTGAACTGATTTGTGCGAGCTTGAGATAGTCGCTTTCCCAGCCTTCTGGAGCTTCGGCTTTGCGCTGAGCCTGCGTTCGTGTGCACCGTGTTGCCGTGATGGATCCTGTCAGGTCTAGGTTGCAAGGGATGTCGAAGATAGCAGCGGGGATGGGACCACAATACATATTATCGTCGGGCGCAGCGATCTATGACGTAAATGCACAACAACAACAATATCGGGGGGAACAATGAATATATCATAGTCAACGGTGGCGTGCAACTTGGACGACATGCGCAACGACACAGGTGCAGTGGGGTTTACGGCACCCAAATTTGAGGCCATGGACCCAAATGAGTAGGCACTGTGTAGGAAGTACGGGACAGTTTTAATTTTTCCCCAGATATAATATAACGAGTCCGATCGAGTCAACAACACTTGCTACTTGAACCATCGTAGCCGCCAGCTTCAGTAATGGAAAGATACAATATCAATGCTGAACGCCAATACTTAGGGAGTACTAAGTAAGGAAGGGCCAAGAATGCAGTGGAAGTTGATGTCATATCATAGCACCTCAATTAACCGCCAGGCCAGTGTCCAAATTAGGTCGCATTCAAGTGGTGGAATTCAGCTATTCGGCAAGAAAAGAACCCTTTCCATGCAAATTTGTTGCCTGTGCCTGCTAGTTAAGGATGGACGGGGGCAGACAATTAAGGGGGCGTTACATGCGAATATGGCTTACAACGTATGAGCATCCCGCCTTTCATAAAAAGCAAATCAAGTGGACAAGCTTCAATCCATCATGCAACCAGGTCATGCAGAATTATACAAGCACCAAAGGCGCTCATCAGGTATCAGTGATAGCATACTAAACAAATAATAGAGGAGTACAAACATTTTTCATGCATATCGGCTTGGGGTACCGTCAAGCTACATCAAGACCATGCAGCCAAAGATCACCATCATTAACCCTACACAAAAAACTTACTGAGGATAAATACTCAACTTCGCCCCGTTCGCCTGCGAAAAATAAATTTGGCTGCCTTGTTCAATTCATACTATCCCTCCCACCCATAGAACTAGCTGCGGAAAGACACTCTACCGCACCGCGCCCTCAAACCCCTCACGATCATACTCTGCTCACTTGCATCCGGCCTCATTGACCCGCCACTCTGCCTTCTCGCACTACTCGCAGTCGCGCCACTCCCTCCGCCACAACCTTTCCCGATAAACACAACAAAAAGGATGATAGTCAGTCGAAATGAACCACCTCGGATTCATCACGGAAATCCAACAGCACAAGGGACTCGATCGATCCGATCATGGGTGGGATTCTCCGTGAATGGTTGATCTTATTCCAATACGGACACACAAGAAGATGATGGTTTCAAAACAGTGATCCACTTTTTATGCTTACGGCATTGAGAGCCTATGGTAAGTATGCTGCATGAAGTGGCGGAGGATGTGAGGAAGGGAAGGGGTAAATCATTAACGCAATGCTAAAGGGCGAGGGGGATACCATACTAGAATAATCCCCGTCGTCTTAGCCCTCGCCGTCAACACGTCGGTCGAACCAGGCACATAATCCCCCGAATATGTCCCCCTCGCATGACTCAGAAAATACGCAGCCAAATCTATAAGTCACCCATACTATTATTTTCCGTTGGTCTGCCACCACCACCTCCGTTGCTCGTAGATGATGAAAATGAAAGTCATAGCGAACTGGAACGGAGCGTGGATGGGGAGGATCTGGTTTATTACCCCGTCGTTATCACATAGCAAAGCGGCTATCCCGATCGGTACACCGTGGCGGGGATCGTCGATGCAAGTTAGGTGTTCACTAGTGTGTGCAGTCGGGTTAGGAGTCCAAGGGGTGTGTCCGTGTATATCGATGGAAGGGAAAAATCGGTTACGAAACATTAAAGTCTGTTTCTGCTCTGCTGTCTCGAACCGCTCTATCTCCCTGCAGCGTTTCCTGGTCCTGTTTTCTCTAAGTCGTGTCTGGGGTCAGGCTTGTCTCCGGTGTTCGTTCGCTTGTTGGCTGCATGGAGGCCTCGAGATGATGAGGAAGAACCAGTTAACGGCAATAGCTAGCTCCAGAGTTTAACGCTCTCTTCGATGAGTGGGGGCACCTCCGAGTACCGTCCGAGTTCCGAAAGAGCATCACATAGATTGTTAAGTGACAAGGTCAAACCCAGTGTGTGTAATCCTGGGTCAATGGCAACGAGCTGGCGGTAGAGTTTGACGCTTTCCTCGATGAATGGGAGTGCCTCCGAGTGCCGTCCGAGATCGGAAAGAGCCAAATATTGATTGGCCTCCAATCTTATATCTATGGCGAATTCTAGCACGCTCGGTGGCCGGGCCCGGACTGGTTAAGTGAAAAGGCTTAGATCTCACAGGAACCAAAGCAACTGGAACGGATGGTGACCTAGGCAGGTAACTCTAGAGAACCAGTATTAGCCCGTATTAGTAGAACTGGAGGATGAGTGGGATTAGGAATGTGGACTAGCAAGGACACTATGAGACATCACACCGAGGCACAGGTCGCGGCGCCGGTGTGGCACAAGTACGCGCGAAGTGCGTCAGTTGAATCGGTGATCGATTAACAAGAAAAATCATACCTCACGCCTGTGACCTAAGTCAGAGGTGAATAGTCGAAGCTAAGGCTTCCATACAGCTGATGTGCAAAAAAATGTCATTGAGTCGCCCCGACTCGGATGCCAGCCATCCGGCAACCAAGGCAGTGCCAGCTTACCACTGAGACATCAGAATTCGGTTTTGAGTATTTCTTCATCCAGCATGATCAGGGGTCTTCGGGGACTGGAGTTAGGAGGGGTACGAGGTAGTAGGTAATAATACGACCATGTTCAAAAGCAGGGCCACGAAATCGGCCAAGTGTGTTCGAGCGGTTTCAAAGCGTTGTTGTTATACGACCATCATCCATCCCTAGAGTATCGGAATCCACAACAAATCCCACTGCACAACTGTCTCGCGAACGGACAGGAAAAGGCGCTGTGTGTGATGTTTACGAGGAGTGCCAGTGCACACAGCTTTCAGAGCTTTTACAATTCGAGCGACTACATGAGTATTACCACGGTTTTGTTATACCTCTTCTGGATAAAGGATGGATTTGCTGAGCCCAACGAAAGTCTATCTGACAGATGCGAATACCCCACTAATACACGGTATCCGACGTCTCAGACATGGGCACGGCTTAACAGAAAGAACCAGTATTAGGCCACCCGGAGCTGGAACATGTGTGATTAGGAATGAAAACTAGATATGAACCACTATGAGACATCGCGCCGAGGCACAGGTCGCGTCTTTCGCTTCGTACGGGGGGTCGGCGGTTGTGCCACGAGTACGCGAATTACCTCAATGGAGGCTGGGATCCTTTCATCACGACCTTGGGGTCGAGTTCCCAGGCTAAATGAAGGGATTTGAATATTCCGTCCATTCGAGCTTGTTCTCGTTAAGAGTGGCCCTAAATCATGGTTTGAGGAGTGTCGGTAAATTTTGTTAGGAGACTGAAGGGCAAAGAGTAATCAGTTAGATCGGTGATCGATCAACCATACCTCAGGCCTGTGACCCAAGTCGGAGGTGATTAATCGAAGTTGGGGCTCCCATAACAGCTGATGCGTGGTCATTGAGTCGCTTCGACGTCAGCCATCCGGCAACCAAGGCAGTACCAGACATTAATGAATTCGGTTCTGTGCCCATGTTCAAAAGCAGGGTTCCCCGAAATCATGTTCGAGCGCTTTCAAAGCATCACCGTTATACGACAATAATCCTTCCTCAGAACATCGAAATATCGGAATCCATAACAAATCCCACTACAGAAGTGTATCGTGAACGGAGAGGGAGAAGCGCGGGGGCTGCACTGTGTGTGTACATGATGTTTACGAGGAGTGCGGGGCGTTGGGTAAGACACGCAGCTTTGAAAGCTTTTATAACTCAAGCGATCGCATGGGTGTTACTTTGGTTTTGTTCTCTTCTGGATAGAGGATAGGTTTGCTGAGCCCAACGGAAGTCTAACTGACAAGTCCTGCCAATGAAGGAAGAACATTCCACGGTGCGTGGGAGAATCCCCACATGCCGATGTGCTCCTGCGATAGATCCGAGTGTCCTTCCAGCCCCATGCATGGTGTCAAATTTGGCATTCGCCTCTAACTTCGCCCAAACGTTCGTAGGGACTCATAACATAACACCGGCCCCGCACAATAGGCGCCGCGTTAATTAACTTTTATATATGGTCTCTCTTTCTTCAATGCCATTCCCAGCCTAGCCCCTCGCGGACCTCTACGCTGGAGCTCCCGGCCCGGTCTCCATATGCTCCTCTACTTCCTGCATGCAGCAGATCCGTTTTGCACATTCGGGCACTGCTCGATTATCGAATATTGGGTATAATTGGCATTTGAACGGCTTTCAAATCCCAGTACAGTCATGATGTGCGTTCTCTGTCCAGCACATGCACAGTATGCGGCCATACTGGAGCTGTATTCGTACTCGGCCCATAAAGTAGATACATGCATTAATTTTGTTATAACTGTCCACCGAGCCTTGAATAAATCTGTCTGAAACATCATGCAACTTTGCATGTGGAAATGTCATAAAATGGATGCGTGTTTTTGCAACTTGATCCAGCGAACGCGAACATCAGGAAATTAAGAGCTCGGCACTGCTTAATCTTCGGACAAAGGTTTTTGTTCCTTGTTAGAAAAATACCATCGACGGAGGACTGCTATCGATACGCTGCATGGCTGGTCAAAATAGAAAAAAAAAAAATACGGCACCCAAGCAACGGCCAGCGCCATCACCATCACCTCCCGAACGCGGGACAGAACCAATGAACGATAGAATGAATGGACCAACTGCGGAGACTGAAAAACGAAAAACGGGATAATTTGAAGATTGTCAATTGTTGTGCAACCTGGTCATGAGCCATAAGAGTTGATAATACGTGATGGTGAGCGATGATAAGTGATGGGGAGGGTGGTGGGCCAGATCGTGGGAGATGAGGGAGCCAAGAGAGGTAGCACCCCACTGCCAGGTTAATGTCGAACATCGCGACATTCAAGTGGCGAACCTCGGCTGTTCGGCAAGAAAAGAATCCTTGCCA